TWRAMMWTGTTGGCCAGCTCTTTCCGCGATGACGGGCGGATGTTCTCCTTGCCCAGGGTGTCGATGAAGCGACGGAACTCATCGTCGGTGAACTTTCCATCCGAGCATGCATGAAAGGGCCACGGCTTCTCTGCACTGCCGTGTGCTACAATGGCGTACTGGTCGGTGGTGAAACGCTTCCCATTGGCCATTTCCATCTGATAGGGACTGCCTTCGGTGAAGTCTGGAGAAAATGTTAGCATGGTGGGAGGACTGATCGGGAGATGAGCAGGACTCACCCAGAATCTGCGTCATGCGGTATTGATTCTGTCCGGTTCCGCGGTTCAATCCAATGCTCACGCGGGCAAAGCAGCCCCGGATGGCCTCCTCGAAGCGCGGATAGAAGCAGACCTTTGCGAAGTTGGAGCGGCCGACTCTGCAGCGCTCAAAGTCTCGCAGCTCGGCCGGCGCTTCATCACGATCTGCTCCTTTCTGTCGGTCCGCCTTCGCTTCCGCCCATTCCACCCGCTCACTCTCACTGTCTGCGTCTCGGGAGGGCGAGCGAGATGCTCGTTCTTCCCTCCGAGAGCGCCCGGCATCCCTGCGGTCTCTCTCTGCCCCCTTCTGCTCTCGTGCACGCTTGAGGTTGTCAAGAGCGGCCGCGCGTTTGTCCGTCTTGGGCCGGGTGCTGCGCTTGTTGCTGTCTTCCAGCTCGGCGGCGTCGGCTTTGCGCTTCTTCTTCGCCGCCACGTCTCCCGAAGCAGACGCAGCGAGGGCCTTTTTCAGCACGAGATCTTGATTTCGGCGGGTCATCTGCGTCGCGCGTTCGGCCAGAATCTCCTCGCGCTCGATTTCGGGGAGGGCGAGGATTCGGTCGCGGTCGGCGTGCGAGGTGAATTTGCCCTCGAGGGGGAAGAGGGGTTGGTCGTCGTCCTCTGCATCCTCGTGGGGAGCATCGTCGTGTTCGTTGTCCATCATGGCCGAGGCGGGTGATTGCGCGGGCGAGGATGAGCTGGGGGTGGTGTCAGCGGATGAAGGGGAAGAGGGGATTGCTTGCTTGACTGATTGAATGATTGATTTCTTAACTTACGCTTCACCTTCATCCTCACTTTCTTCTTGCTTGCGCTTTTTCCGCCCGCGCGCCGTGACCTTTTGCGCCACTCCTCGCAGCGACTTGGCGGGAGCATCGTCTCGCTTCTTCTCCTTGACCTTGACATCCGGGCTGGCATCACGCCTCATGGGCGTTGGCTCGTCGAATTGGTCGGCCTGGTCGGCTTCGGAATCGCTTTCGCTGTCATCGTCGACGAGGCCGAGCAGTTCGTTGTCGAGGTCCGACATGTTGGTGGGGGGAAAGGGAGGGTGTATGGGTGGTAGTGTGGTGGACGTGAGCGTGTTGAGGCCGAATTGACTATGAGGTCGATGTCGGTGGAACGCGCTTGAGAATCACGGGGGTTGCAAGGGTGACGGGTGAATGATTTGCAGGATTTCGCTTGAAATATTTCATGGATTTGAGGACGCAATAATAAGCTTGAAACTGGACCACGGAACCACATGGGAACAAACCATCTTTTTTTCCACAATAATCCGACAATACTTGGGAATAATCCTCTCAATCACAATTTCGGACAGATTTTGAAGTGTATAACTCTGATGATGTAAGAATAAGAACAAGAAAGGTGAAAGTAACAACGATGTAGGAGGTAACATGATGATAATGTCCAAGTCGTGACGTCGAGTCCCCCATGAACCTCCAAAGAAAGAAAGCTACCCGGGCAAGAAAGGAACAGGCTTGCCACCGATTTCATGCACTCTCCCGTTGCAACGCTACACCACATCAACATCCACTGCATGCCGCATAGTAATATACACAACTGCTCAATAATCATGCATCCTCCTGCACTCCCTCTCAAAACCCGCCTCACCCCCCTGGCCTTTCAATTGCAAGCCCGCCATCGAGCAGCAGCAGCAGCAGCACTTGGATCCTCCATCCCAAGCAACAGAACATTCTCCACCAGTCCAAGACACAATAATCAAGATGAAAAGATCCCTTCCAATCTCCAAACCTCCCAACCCTCACGAACAAAACCCCTAACAGCCGCCCAAAAGAAATACCTCGACGCAGCACTCCGAGTCAACCACGCCGGGGAATTGGCAGCAACATTAATCTACACCTCCCAAACCCCTCCCATCACCAAAGCCCACCCACATCTCCGCCCACTGATGAAGCACATGTACGATCAAGAAGCCGGCCATTTCACCAAATTCAACGCCCTCCTCGCCAAACATCGCATTCGTCCCACGGCCATGTATCCCGTCTGGCACGCGGCGGCCACGGCTTTGGGGTGGGCGACGGGCGCCATGGGGAGGGAAGCCGCGATGGCGTGTACGGAAGCCGTGGAGACGGAGATTGGAGGGCATTATAATGAGCAGGTCCGAGAGTTGTTGGCGTGGGCGAGGGATTGTGAGGCACGGGGAGAGGAGCTGGGAGAGGAATTGAGGGTGTTGATTGGGGATATTCGGAGGATTCGGGATGAGGAGTTGGAGCATTTGGATCATGCGGTGGAGAATGATGCCAAAGAGGCCAAACCGTATGAGTTGTTGACGGGTGTCATCCGGGCGGGTTGCAGAGGTGCCATTTGGGTCAGCGAGAAGGTGTAGGAGAGGTGGTGTAGATCTGTATTGGATGCGAGGAGTGGTATGCGTTCCAAATCGCCTCCATTCCACGTACAGACAGGGTGAAGCGGAGAGATGATCGAAGAGGAAGGGTTGTCATCCCTACAGAATCCGCCCTACGAAGGATCACGCATAACTTGGAAAGCATCCACGCATAGCTTGGGAAGCAATCGGAACGCGTACTGGAAGACGTTGCCATCCTTGGCAGAATCTGCGAATGCCGTAAGGTATCCTCCTCCTCCATGAAATTGCTCTGGACTCGACAGACAGACTGAGGCTTTGGATGCTATATCCTTCATTCTACACGAAATATCAGTGCGCACGACCATCGCCTGGTCTCATAACTAGATTCTGTCCTATGATCCGTTGGTTATTTATACCATCTGATACGATACATGGCAATAGAAAGCGTCAGAGTGGGAGAAAGCGTACAGGCACAGTCGAGGACGCGCATCCGCGTCTTTGGTCCGCCTTGCCTGCGCTGCGGATGGAGTTCTTTCGAGAAGGACGTGGCGAGGCTCTACACTGTTACAGCTTGTAATCGCTTGAACGAGTTCTCTCTCTGGATGACGTGGTTGAGGAGGTGGATTGGAGAAGGTGTCTTTGTTTTCCACCAGATGGTCATGGTCATGGCAAGCTGTCACAGGCTTAAGAAACGCTCACGGCATGGAACACATGCATTATAACATTTTCCTCGTGTAAGGTCAGTACCATTTCGCTCGGCTATATCCAAAGCTCGAGGTCTATACTCTTCATCACATTCAAATTGATGACACCCTTCCTATTCTACCGTATCCAAATGTCAGGTTCGCCGGCTTCATTCACTCCAAATTCTACTCCACCCACCACCACAATCAGGATAAAAACGGCATCCACTTCCTATTGTCAGGTTTTTTTTTTTTCGAGCTCCAACCTACATGACCTCTTTTCGACTCGCTTCTCTTTCTTTCCTTTCCCCTCAGACCACATACCACTTTCTTACACCGTACAATCTTACGCCATACCATCACAACATTTGAAAGAAGCAGCGTTGATCGCACTTTCTTCACACCCTTACCAACGACTACGTCACAACCCACAAGATATCTTCACCAACCATGTCTTGCGCAGGCCAGAAATTCTACAGCAAGGCCCACAGGGATAGTCATCCCGAGCAGTTCTTCCAGCACCGCGGTAAAGGCCGCTACTATCCAGTTTCCGCCGAGGGCGCCACTGTCCCACCGCCACAGCTTCTTCAGAAGTTCAAGGCGGAGAAGAAGCAGACTAAAGCATCTCTCAAAACCGAGAAGGAGGCGACCAAACCATCTCTCGAAACTGAGGGTGGTGAGGAAGACGCACCACTCGAGGCAAAAGTCCCTCGCAAGCGTCGTGCAGGCGTTGACCCTAACGACCAGCCTGTCATTCTCAAGGAGACGCGTACGCGCAAAGGCAGCGCTCCCAATGCTGCTATTGACGTCGACGAGCAGCAGCAGCAGCCAGCTTCCAACGACGCAGAAGACGCGAGCACCACCACGGGCGAGAAGCGTAAGCGTTCTCTCGGCGACGACGATATCAGCGACGAGATCCCCGTTGCTGCAGCCGCCACCGTCAAACTCCCCAACAAAATCACTCCCAAGATCAAGGCCAAGGCCAGCCCGCCGACGAAGAAGAAGAAGACAGCTCGCGCGGCACCCAAGCCTCGCATGAAGCCTGTCCTTGAGGGCATTGACGGCATGACTTACAAGTATCAAGGCCCCAAGAGTTTCCGGGAGGAGCGTGGTATGGGTAAGACTCAGATTGACGCCGACTTCGTTGCCATGGGTTTGTCTCCCCTCCTCCTCCTCCTCATCACCTTCACAGCACTCCAAAGAGAACCAATCAGCTAACTGTTTGATAGGAATCATGGAGCCAGGCCCAGCCGCCGCCCGCGTCGCCGCAGCAGCTCGCCGTCCCGAACCCGTCGTGGACTCAACAACCCAACGCACCACCGGCACCCTGAAGCGTCTGCAAGAAGAACTCGAAGAAGCCCGCAAAGCCATCTTCGAAAAGAAGCAAGACAAACTTGCCACTGCCGCCCGCAGCGGCGCCTCCAAGAAACACAGCAAGCAAATCGACGTCGACGAGCCCGATATCGATTTCCCATCCAACTGGGTCCTCTTCGACCCCCGTCACGATTTCCCTCCCGTTCACTCCCCACCTCCGGAAATCTTCCAGCGTCTGCAGCATTTCAAGCCCGCCAACTCCAAGATTGTGGCGTACAATGTTGAGAGCTATGCTTGTGCTCTTCGGCAGACTCCCGCGGCTTTTGAGGGTTGTGAGGTGCAGTATGGTCGTAGCGGTATGAAATTGGTGAAGCTCAAGGAGAAGAAGACTGAGGCTAGAATCGACAGTCCGATTGAGATTGCTGATTCTGAGGAGGAGTGAGTTAGAGAGTTTGGTTTGGTTTGGGCAGAATGAATGAATGAATGAATGAATGGTGAGAGTTGCTGTTAGATAGAATGCATGCATGCATGAATGAATGAATGAAATTAAATGATTACCTGAAGAGCCTTCCCTCCCTACCTCTCTCGTTGTAGTGTAATCAACGCTCGGGATTGGAACGGTAAGCTCTGAGGATAAAAGAAGGCAACTTTACGGAGAGAGGGAGAGAGGACCTGAAGAGTCTTCCCTCCCTCTCTCATCGTAGTAAAATCAACGCTCGGGATCGGAATGGCAAACTCTAGGGATGAAGGAAAGTAACTTTACGGAGAGGGAGAGGCGGAGATTTCAGATAATTCTTATGTACCTGTACTTGTGCAAAAAAAAAAAAAGACTTATGCGAGAGAAGAGCCTCCCCTCCCTCCCTCTCTCCCTCCCCCTCTCTCTCTCTCTCGTATTTATGATTAAAGCTCGGGATAGGAACGGCAAGCTCTAGGGATAAGAGAAAGTAACTTCACGGAGAGGGAGAGCAAGAGAGAATTTAAATAATAGGTTAGTAGGTACCTATGCTTATACAAAAAAAAAAAAAGAGAAGAGCCTTTCCTGCCTCCCTTCCCCTTCCTCTCCCTCTCCCGTATTTGTTATTAAACACTTAGGATTAAAATAATAGGAAGGTATACGTATTAAAGGATATAAATTTCCGGAGAGTAAGAGCGAGAGTAAGAGGAGAGGATAGAGAAAAAAAAAATGTTATAGGATAGCGAAACCTCTTATTTTACCCCGAGACTTTTCTTCTTTTTCTTCTTCTTCTCGTAGCTGAATCCACGACTATGCTTACGAATTGGTCGCTGTGAGTAGTTAAAGATACGAGATTATAGAGAGCGACTTCTTAGAGGAATGGGCACTTTTTTTTTCTTGAACTGACTGGCTCTTAAGTAGCATAGWAGGCAGTCTGGGACTCTTTCTTTTTCTCGGGATGGAGGTTATTATCTACCTATTTGTACACCTCATGATTGCTTGCTTGCTTGCTTACATGTAAATGATCGAGGGGAGTCGGCGATGTTTCCCTCGTTTCTCATTTCTGATTTCTCTTTTGATTGCATGTGATCAAGGTCTGTCTCCCGATAGATAAGTAGTCATCTACTTGGTGGGAGGGGGAACGAGTAGTCTCTTGTAAGTAGGAAAGGTCGTGCTGTATGTATCACATACCAACATCTTACCTCCTTACATCCATCTTTCCTCCTCGCACCCTCTCGAGCCTTTACAACATCATCCAAAGCCGTCAGTACTTCCCTCCTCAACCCTTCAAAGCATCATTCAACGCCGTAAACCCTTCTTCCGGAGGCTGCAACCAATTCCTCCCATCATACTCCCACCCCTCCCCACCCTCAATAACATGAAAAGTATAAATCATCCTCCCCTTGGAACTCAAATTCCTCTCACTCTTATGCAACAAATTCCCATGAATCAACACCAAAGTCCCAGCTTTGACCTCCCCAAGCTCATACTCCTCCTCCTCCTCCTCCTCCCCATCAATCCCCTCCTCCCTCTCCGCATCCCTCGGCCACTCCCCCAAATCATTCTTAACAAAAGTCGTCCCCTTCCCATCCTCACTCCTCACAAACCGCTCCCGAATCCCCGCCCTCTTATGACTCCCGGGCGCAAAACTCAAACATCCATTCTCCACCGTACAATCCTCCAAAGCATACCAAAACCCCACAGCGCTCGGCGGGTTGGTGTACAAAAAACACGAATCCTGATGCGGAGGTACCCGTCCTCCAATCTCGGGCTGTTTACAAATTATCATACTTTGCAAAACTCGAGGATCCCGAAACCCCAAATCTCGTGCAATGTGTGCATTTTGTTGCGTGAGGGAGATGGTTCGAAATGCGGGGTGTAAATGGTGCAGGTAATGGCCGATTTTATTGATGGCTTTTTCTTTTGGTTTTGTGAGTTCTGCTCCTCCTCYTCCTCCTTCGCCTGTTGTTGTTGTGGGGGAGAAGGCGTCTTCTTCGAAAAAGAAACGGATTTTGTTGCCTGAGGTTAGGAAGTATTCGTCGCCGACGTGGGATGTGGATTCCCCCGTGGAGAAGCGGGTCATGGGGTGGTCTTTGAGGGAGAATTCGGAGAGGAGAGTGTGGGTTTCGGAGAGGAGAGTGGTGACTTCTGATTCCGAGAGGGCGTTTGGGAGGAGGAGGTAGCCGTTTTTGTGCCATGTTGATAGTTGGGCGGGTGTGAGGCCTTGGGAGAGAGGGGAGGATTCTGGGGGAGGGGGGGAGGAGAGGCGGGAGGGCGCCATGGTGGTTCTGATGTGGGGTGGAGTGTTTTCTCTGGGGTGTTGAGTGTTGAGTGTTGTGTCTTGAGCAGTGTCTTTGTTGTGATAAGGTATCTTTTTACTGGAGACAGACTAGATATGGTGGGGTTTGGGCTTCACCCACGTGGTCAAAGCTTCCTTGCTAGCAGGGATCACCTCCCTTCTACTGCGGAGTTTTGCCATGTGAAAGCACGAGACATCGCGTGGAGGACTGTCAACGCCTTTTGCAGACGGATCTTTGCTAATTCGCACACCATCTTTCGAATCCAGAACATACAAGTGCATTGTTCTACACTAAAAGAACGCTGGAATCCACTCCGTATTCATCATGGCAACAAATGGTCATCTTGTAATCTCGCAATCCTACCATCAACGCCACAGCTGCTGCTTCATCGATAACCTGGTTTCGAGACGGTATGGCGTCCAATTATTGATGATCAGTGATCAGAATCCTTCCAGAGTGCGTTTGGCGGTCAAAGCGGCACGCCTTACCGAGGGATCGACATGGACGCCGTGTGTAGGAGTGGGTAAGTACGACTAATCTTTGTCGCGCTCTGTCGTGGGTTTTTCATATTGCACCTCGTGTTTCCTGGGTTTGTTTTTCTCTCCCTTGCTTGCAAACGAAAAGATACGGATAGATTCATCTCTTCTCTGTTACGGACCATCATGTCCTCCGCAGAACGACCGCCTGGGAGCATGCATGATTCCCAAACAGAAGATCGCGAAGCAAAATCTATATTGGAGGCCATTGATATTGGAAGCACTCATCATGGCAAAGAAAGTAAAGAGTTCGATGATCTTGAAAAGGCTTCCCCCCAAACAAGTCAGACGAACCTCGACTCAGCGGCCAAAGAATCGACATCTGTCAATGCTGCCATGGACTGGACAGGGCCTGATGATCCTGGAAATCCTAACAATTGGTCCAAGTTCAAAAAAGCGTATCATTTTTGGCCTGTATGTAAATTCAATGGCATACAAATCCCAGCTCTTCACTAACATGTTTCCCTCATATAGGTAGCATTCCTCGGTTTCGCTTGCACGACTGGAAGTTCCATCATCTCACCCGCGAATCAAGACATTCAAAACCAATTTCATGTCTCTCGAACGGCAGCGATCATCCCACTTACAGTATTCGTCATTGGTCTCGGATTGGGACCCATGCTGGCCAGTCCCTTGAGTGAACAATTCGGCCGTTCGGTCGTTTACAAGGTCACTGCTCCAGCCTATCTCCTCTTTACTGTTGGAGCAGGACTCTCAGAATCTTTTGCTAGTCTGGTCATTTGTAGACTGTTTGCGGGATTGGCTTCTGGGCCTGTTTTGGCGGTGGGGTCTGGTACGAATGCCGATTTGTATCCGCCAAAGGATAGGGCCTTTTCCGCTAGCATGTTGTAAGTGTGTTGTTGAAAGGAAATGGTAGAAGACGGCCTCGGTGCGGACAAGAGACCTCTGTTGGATCAGACTGCTAACCTCTACGCCTCTTTCTAGCATCATGATGCCATTCCTCGGACCAACCTTTGGACCAGTCATTGGAGGTTTCGCCGCTTACTATCGAGGCTGGAGATGGACGCAATGGTGTATCCTCATTATTGCTGGTGTTGCTTTCTTGACTGCGCTGCCCATGGAGGAGACCTACAAAAAGGTCATTCTTCAAAAACGTGCCAAAAAGTTGGGCGTTCCACCTCCTCCTGGCCCAAAGGTTCTGAGTCTGCAATACTTGAAAGTTCTCATCACCGTCACTCTGTTCCGACCAATCTACATGCTATTTGCGGAACCCATTGTACTTCTCTTCGGAATCTACAATGCCTTTACTTTCGGCATTCTGTTCGGTTACTTTGCGGCATATCCATACACCTTCTCCACGGTGTATGGCTTCACAATCTGGCAAACTGGTCTCACATTTTTGGGCATTGGGGTCGGAGTGATATCAGCCGTCACCACTATCATCCTCTGCGACAAACTCATATACCAGAAGAAACATGTCGAAGCCCTGCAACAAGGTCTTCCAGGCGCGGCGCCGGAGCATCGATTATATGCGGCCATGATCGGCGCTTTCACAGTACCTATCGGGTGAGTACTGCTAGCACTTCAATAATAATCTGGTCGACAGTCCGCTGACAGTAACAGGCTATTCTGGTTTGCATGGACTGCAAGAGCCAACGTACATTGGATCTCTCCCGTTCTAGCGGGAATCCCCTTCGCGCTGGGAAATCTGGCACTCTTCATATCTTCCGTGCTGTATCAAATGGACGTCTACGGTCCCTTGAACGGTGCTTCTGCAATGGCTGCCAATGGACTTTTACGCTACCTTCTCGGCGCGTGTTTTCCTCTTTGGAGTTTTCAGATGTTTGAAACGCTGGGTGTGGATTGGGCCGCTTCGCTGTTGGGTTTCGTTTGTTTGGCGTTGTTGCCGATCCCGTTTGCTTTCTTCAAGTGGGGACCTCTGATTCGTGCGAAGAGTACCTATGCTCCTGCCTGTTGAGGTGTGCTGTGTTACCTTGATAATGTTGAATCACAAATTTGCTCTCGTGTTGGATTGTATTGCCATATCTGCAATCATGGCCATCAAATCGGCTCCGTTGTAGAGAGAAATGGAAGTTGTGGTGATGCGTCGTGGAGCTAACATGCGCTATATCCGACAGGGTCATCAATTTAGACTTTGTATGGTTAAACTTTAGTGAAACAACGCATCGCCCCGTGTCGGCGGTCGCGCGTGCATGCTGGAGCTTGTTGGGATAGATACTTTATCCTCGAATGACGCATTTACAGCTTGGACAGACAGGTTTGGGATTGGAACTCGCCATGGCACTTCACTATGGAATGCAGTGATAGGTCACTTGAAGAAGTGGTCGAATTGAAAAGAGTCGGCGGCAGCGGCAGCGATCGCGTGTAGCGGAGAAGGGGTAACGATGGAGCGGATGCGGGACAGTGAGGAGGTTGCGCCCTCTGGTACATCCCCCGACAACACGACGAGATCCACACAACCGATATCAACAGATGGGATGAGCAGTGGCAGCAGCAGCAATTACGTGTCATCGCCATTGCGAGCCGAACAGCGGAACAGCGCGATTGAAGACAAGGACCTCCCAGCTGTGCCTGAAGAGCGGCAGAGTATAAGCGCACGACGCAAGTCCGGATTGCTGCCAGCACTACAATTCCCTCCCCCATCGCCAGGAAGCTTTCCGTTCAGCGCGGCCGCTGGTGCTTCGGGGGTCCCTCCAACTACGGATGAGCTAGTTGCTGCGCAGGGAGGACAGCGGAGAAGACCACAACCGCTGGAGAATAGCACGCCTGCCGAACGTCGGAGTGTACAATTTAGGAGGAATGATGATTTCGTCCCGACGCCATCTACCAGGACGGCCACGATGGAAGAGGGTGATGGAGATGCGAATGAACACACACCCAAAGAAAGGCAGAATTCAGCTTCAATCTTCACAAAATTGAGGGCATTGGCTTCGCCAGCCTCAACAGGTCATGTGCGGGGCGAAAGCAATGCCACTGGCATGTCTACGCCGAACGCGGCGTTATCACCACAATCAGAGCGAAGCGAACCACTCTATATGATACCTGCCGAGGAAGTTGAAACTGGCACCGATGCTGATGAGGAGGATTCTGGAGATGGAAATGGTCCAGACGGGGTTCGGACGAAGAAGCGTCGGAGAAGGAAACGGCCCATATTCGGTGGGTCAGAATCTCTTCCAACGACACCCAGAGGAGCATCGCGTTTCAGTTCCTTCATGCGTGAGCATAAACGTGAATCCTCTACCGTCGGATCCACCAGCCAGAACGTGGGTCCGGCCCGTCAAGGTACTCTGGAGGACATCTCAGACAGTGATAACGATCGAGTTGGCGTCTCCGAGGATGAAGGTCGAGATCGAATAAGGTCCGCATGGCGGAGAGGTGTGGAGGGTGCTCGTGGTTTGAGCTATGCCAATCGAAAGACTGCGGATGGAGAGGGCGAGAATAGGCGTCCAGGCCATCTGCGGCGCATCACTGGTTTTGGTGTGCATGATGCTTCTGGTTCAAATGTTCGCCAGCGCGGTGATAGGCACGCTAGCGTGAGCGCCGTGAAGTGGCGACAACTTCGAGCTGGCTTGAGAATGCTGGGACAGCGGCAGAAGAACGAGCGCACGAAAGTCGACCATCAAAAGTCTGCCCAATTAATGGCCGAACTACTAGCAGGCGCACCGGCGGCACTAATCTTTGCCAGTATGTTTCAACGAGATGAGCACGAACATCGCAAGGTACCGGTGTTACTGGAGCAGTTGAAAATCAGCATTTCCGAGACAGAATCTCCCACAGACAAGAAAGGTGATCGAGATTACATCTTCAAGGTAGATCTTGAATATGGCAATGGTCCAGCTCGCATGCAGTGGTCCATCAAGCGCTCTGTAAACGACTTTGTCAACTTGCATGTCAAGTACAAGGCACAAGCAGCGACCGATAAAGTTCGTCATTTGAGGAGCGAAGACAAGTCAAAGGCGAAGATACCTCGATTCCCAAAGAGTGTGATTCCCTACGCTCGTGGATTCCGTGGTCTGTTTGAAAAGGTGCAAGATGAAGAGGATGAACAAGAAGCACCAAGTACCGCAAATGTTGATGGAGAGAGCGGTGCTGGAGGCAGACCGCAAGGTCACCGGCGTAGGACGTCCTTCTTCATGCCTCCTCGAAGAACCAGCACGAGCGAGTTGGGGACTGTCGCAGCAGATCCAGATGCGCTTGATGCACGGCAAAAGACAATCTACGCAGAGCGGTCACGAAGAAAGTTGGAGACGTACCTCCAACAGATGATTCGATGGCTCATCTTTCGCCCGGACAGTACACGCTTGTGCAAGTTTCTGGAGCTCTCTGCAATGGCGCTGCGCCTATCCGCAGAGAGTGGCTACCAGGGCAAACAGGGTCTACTTCAATTGGCCTCCCGCAGACATCGAGGCGAGATGCGGACGAGGACGCTGCCCTCCTTCGGTCCCCATGCTGTCAAGGAGAGGCACAAGCGTCGATGGTTCCTCGTCCGACACAGCTACATTGTGTGTGTAGATGGACCGGAGTCCTTGACTCCTCATGATGTATTCTTGGTCGACTCGGACTTTGCCATGGAAAAGGTCAAGGAAAAGATTCTTGACCAGAAAACAGCACAAGACATGGCGAAGATTGCAACTGCAAACGCCACACCGACCAAGAAAGCCCACCTCATACTGCTCCAGAACGCCGAACGAAAGATGAAGTTGTATGCTCGGAATGAAAAACAGTTTGCTCAATTTCGAGAGTCCCTCCATCACATGATGCAAAACACGGTCTGGTCCAAGAAACAGCGTTTCGGCAGCTTTGCGCCGGTTCGCAACAACGTTTGGGCTCGCTGGCTTGTTGATGGTAGAGATCACATGTGGCAGGTGTCTCGAGCCATTGATAATGCAAAGGACTTCATCTACATTCACGACTGGTGGCTCAGCCCGGAGCTATACATGCGCCGACCAGCAGCGATCAGTCAGAAATGGCGCCTTGATCGTCTGCTGCAACGCAAGGCCCAAGAGGGTGTCAAGATCTTCGTCATCGTTTATCGCAATATCGAGTCGGCAATCCCCATCGACTCGGAATACACAAAGTGGAGCTTACTGGATCTACACGAGAACATTTGTGTTCAACGTTCGCCAAACCAATTCCGCCAGAACCAATTTTTCTGGGCACATCACGAGAAGCTGGTTGTTGTGGACAACATGATGGCTTTTGTCGGTGGTGTCGATCTCTGTTTTGGCAGATGGGATGACCCATGCCATTCATTGACTGACGATAAGCTTACTGGTTTCGAGCTTGATCAAAACGTCCCGCGAGACTCGGAGCACTGTCAAGTCTGGCCTGGCAAGGACTATTCCAATCCTCGCGTTCAAGACTTTTACGCCTTGGACAAGCCGTACGAAGAAATGTATGATCGGACAAAAGTACCGAGGATGCCCTGGCATGATATTGCCATGCAGATTGTAGGCCAGCCAGCTCGAGACGTGGGTCGACACTTTGTGCAGAGGTGGAACTACATCCTGCGCTCACGTGTCCCGACTAGGCCTACGCCAATCCTCATGCCGCCACCCGAGTTTGACCAGGAGGAGCTGGATCGACTGGGCATGACCGGCACATGTCAGATACAGATCCTCCGATCATGCGCGCCTTGGTCTATCGGCACACCCAACAAGGTCGAGCATAGCATCATGAACGCATATGTTGCCATGATTGAAAACTCAGAGCACTTTGTGTACATTGAGAATCAGTTTTATATTTCGAGTTGCACTGTGGAGGGCACCACCATTCACAACAAAATTGGCGACGCAATTGTCGAGCGGGCCATCAAAGCACACAACAATAATGAACATTGGCAGGCCTGTTTGGTCATCCCTTTGATACCTGGCTTCCAGAACAGTGTCGATGCTCAAGATGGTACTAGCGTCAGACTTATCATGACCTGCCAGTATCGCAGCATCTGCCGTGGTGAGAGCTCAATCTTCGGACGTTTGCGGGCACATGGCATCGATCCGGAGGACTATGTGCGCTTCTACTCTCTACGACAGTGGGGCAAAATTGGACCTCGAAAGGTTCTCACAACGGAGCAGCTGTACATTCACGCTAAATGCATGATTGTCGATGATCGATCTGCCATTATCGGATCGGCCAACATTAATGAGCGCTCCATGTTGGGGTCGAGAGATTCTGAAGTCGCTGCCATTGTCACCGACACTTGCATGATTCCCAGTAAAATGGGCGGTAATCCATATTATGTCGGAGAATTCCCGCATTCCCTGCGGAAACGCTTGATGAGGGAGCATCTCGGCATCGATGTGGACGCGATCTATCGAAGGGAACAAGCCATGGCGGAAAAGGAGGATCAGGACTTTGAGATGCAGAGAATCTATCGAGAAAACGAATTCGAGCCGTCAGAGGAGTACTTTGAGATGCGACCCTCAACTCCGCCGGCAAGTACAACTCATCTTAACACTCTGGATACAGCGCCTACCGGGAGATCTGCGTCTGCAGCATCCCAAGAAGGAAGTCTTGGACGAAGTCTCACTCCCCAGACGGCCATGTCAAATGTCTCACATCCTGCAGATCTGAGTAAAGAGCTCAAGAAAAGTCCAGAGCGTGATCTGGATGTTGATGGCATGGGATTTGACAATATGAAGAAGATTGTGGAAGCTGGTGGTTCCGGCGGGCGAGACTCGTATGTGGATAGCTTTGGCCGGGAGGTGCTTCTCAAGAGAGACGCGCCTGATGTAGAGCGCATCAAGGGCTTGGAAGCGCAAGAATTTGAGCGTTTGCGAGCAGTTGCCAGGGAAAAGCAGAATCCTATGACGGTGCAGCCACCCTGGCCGATGGAACGCCTGGACACCGTAGCACTGGGACTTCCTACACGCTCCCTTCTTCCTGAACTGCCTGTGCTTGATGACACAGATATCGGCGGCCCTTCACTGGCTTCGGAGACTTCCAAGGGCGGTGCAAATCATATTCTGAACAATCTTCAGCGGGCAGATATCACCGAAAGCTGCATGGATGATCCCCTTGCAGATGAATTCTACAGAGAGATCTGGAACAGGGTTGCCGAGAACAATACGAAGATCTATCGTCAGGTATTCCGATGCATGCCAGATTCCGAAGTCTTGGATTGGAAAGCGTATGAGAAGTATAATGACTACAACGAACGTTTCATGCAGTCGCAGGGATTGGGTACCAACAAGTTCAAGCCCGCCAAGGGTGCACCTGAAAAGTCTGGACCAGTCGGTGCTGGTGGAGTGAGCCCACCAATTCCAAACGACAAGTTCTTGGACCCTAGAGCAAAGCCGAAGAACTTGGTCAGTGGTTTGGTTGATAAGCTACGCCCGGCTAGCAGAGCTTCCAACGTCGACACTCTGCGTACTCAGGATACCCACAACGAGAAGGAGCCGCATCGCAGAGACTCTCCAGCTTCGCCGGTCTCTGGTATATCGAGCGATCCAACTGCAGTACCAACGCCTGAAAACGCACCCGTCGATGAGAAGGAAGCTGCCAAGCAGGAAGATGCAGGCAATGACGAGAAGCTGTCCCCGCCGGACGATCTTGCCAGCAGACAGCGTACGATTCAGTACTCCGAAACGGTCAATCTTGCGCCAGAGACTAGCAGTACACAACAAACCACGCCCCTGCAATACACGACCTCACGCAAGGGTCGTCGACGGGGCAATACTAAAAGCAGTGGCAAGCAGATGCCAGACGATGTACTGTCAAAGGAGGATGCCGAGGAGCTGCTCCAACAGATTCAAGGCACTTTGGTTGTGTGGCCTTATGATTGGTATGTGATGTCTTCCATGGATGTGTCGAATGTCGTTCATCATGCTAACTTTTCACGCAGGCTGGAGAAAGAGGAGCGTGGCGGAAATTGGCTTTACAATATCGATCAGCTCGCGCCACTCGAAATCTACGATTGAACAACTCCGCCGGTCTTGTATGATGAAGCAGTGGTATTCAGGCGAGGCTTTTGAATAAAGGGAAGCGTGGCGTTTGGGGTATGGTTGGTATAGGTTGTACGGCTATTGCGGCGGCGGCTGACCACATGGTGTTCGAATATTCGCTTACTTCATTACTATAATTGAATGACACTGTATGCCTGTCGGTTTCCACCTCTGTGAGGTTCTCATTAATCCACATGGGCTCGCTTAAAGTCCCTCGTCTTCAGGTTTCGAGAGAAGAGAATGTCCAGCTCCTCGAATGTCCGTCCTTGCGTTTCGGGCACTCTCAACCACGCCCATGTGAGACCAAGAGCAGACAATCCTCCGAAGAAGAAGCCAATCTTGCCCCTGAGATTGGCTTCGTCTGGATTGATCATATACCTTGATGCAGAGTCAGCATCTTTCAGTTCATTTAAAAAAGTTTGAGAGTAGAYAACTCACGGTATCGCAACTGTCATGGCAATAGCTAATAACGCTTGCACAGCAGTCGCCAAAGCAATCGTCTTACTCCGAACTTTGGTCGCGGAAACTTCACAAAGAATAACGAAACACACGGGCCCGACGGAGAAATCATAGCAGAAATTCCACACGAGCATCAAAGTGGATTGCGTCCATCGCACACCGCTGTTGGAGTCATAATTAGGAAGAACATCCAGGATGCCAATAAGCAGCATTATAATAACGAGCATCCCGAGCCCCGTGTTGTAGATTGCTCGTCTGCCATAACGAGTGAGAAGAAACCAGGAARATACCGTCCCGAGAAAACCTAACCCGAGGAAACCTAGAGACATTCCGAAAGCTTTTGTTGGAGGGAGACCAGCTAGTTCGAAGAAATAGGTGGCGTAACCGACGAGATAGACGCCGCTGAAAACTTGAATACTATACACTCCGATGGCGATTTCGGTTCTTCGGAGATTGAATGATTTGAAACAATCGAGATAGGTAGATCCAGCTTCCAATTCCACTTCCAAACGATCCGTCTCAATGATCATCGCCAGGGTAGGTTTGACGTCAATGTGCGAGGAAGCGAGACGACGGAGGGATTCTTCTGCTTCGCGTAGGTGGCCTTTACGGACTAGCCACCAGGGACTTTCGGGCGCGAAGGGATATGCGAGGAGGATTATTAGGGGCCAGATCCATTGGGTTGCGAAGGGTGCGCTGTAGGCCCAGTGGCTGGTGAGGGTGCTGGTGCCGGCTATGACGCCGTTGGCGAGTAATTGGCCCATGACGAAGCAGAGGTTTATGTAGGATGTTAGGATGCCGCGCAGGGCTACTGGGCAGACTGTGTTTTTCCCGAATTTTAGCTGAGATCTCTTGGAAGGGTGATATTTTTTGGGGGAGGTTCCACTTCCATACCTTCCGAAGCATAGGTCGGAGCAATCGTGGCATATGTTCCCAATACCAGACCGCCTAGAAGTTCGCCAACCAGCAAGACTTTARGCGAACGAGCGAAGAACTGGATGAAGACGAATGCGGCGGTTAAAATGACGCACACTCCAAATGTCTTTTTTCGTCCATATCGTTCCATTGGATAGGAGGCGAAGAATGCGCCTACGACTTGACCGATCGGGTTACCCACTGTGAAATATCCAAGTCATATCAGACCAGAATTTTTCGAAAAAAAGGGATARTGAGTTCCTTTCAAGCGCTCATCACTTACTACTCAGACCCGTCTGCCATGGTGCGCTGATGATATATTTTCCATTATAAAGATATCCGAAATCTCGCTGGAAAGCCGGCGTGGCATATAAATTACCTATTCATGAAATCGATTAATCAAGCTGTGGTGTGGTGTTGTATATATATATATGTGTGGCTGACGATAAAAACTCACCAAGAAGCTGAGGATCAAAAGCAGTCATAATAATGCCCAGACTGAAGAAGACGCTCCACCCAACCGCCGTGGGATAAAGCTTAACAGCTTCAAGCAAACCGAGATGATGTTCATGCTCAGTAGCTTCCCGCGCCTCTTCCCCAGCAATGCATCCCACAATAGCAGTATCGCCTTTGAGCACGCTATTATTGTCCATGGCGTTTAATTTCGACGAATGGGGTAGTAAAGGTCGCGTCTCGTCTTGTTCGCCAATTTGGATCTATATAGTTGATTCTCAGTGAGGATTCTTCGTAATGCTGGTGGGGATTCATACATTATCTCCCGAGTCCAAGAGACTGCTGGATGTTGCGGTTGACATGGAGGTCACGCTGCGGGTACCTTCAAGTATTCACCACAATCCATGCCCGTTATCGAAGCTTGTATTTCGAGGGTAGCTACAGCGGAGATAGGGCATGAAGCCCCACATGTGGAAGCGAAGGTGAAGGTCAAGTGAACAATGGAACAGGAAGCGAGTGGACGGCATGGTTATCTTCTGCACGCTAGCGAATCACTTTGCCCCGCTTTTGTAGAACACATCCCTTGCCGTTTTACAAACCATCACCAACTTCACCTCTCGCAATCCACCGGCCTGTCTTGCATCTCTTCTGGTGCAATCGTTGGCATGCCATCCACTTCCCTGCTAGGAACTCCATCCGTAATCCAGTGGCGAGGCATCTGTACGCCGAACCCCTTCGCCAAATGTCAATCCGGTGCGCCTGGATTCCTGCCGCCTTTCATCTTCTCATGATTTCATCGATTCTAACTGATGAAACAATACCCACAACTTCGCATTCAATTCATTGATGTTTTCGATCCGCGTGTGCTTTGGCAGCCTACGCTGGGCGTCTTTGAGTCGCTCAAGCCGTGTCTCTTGCTCCAGAATCACCGCTGCATTAAGGAGGAGAGTCAAGCCGTCTCCCTCTCTGGCTGTGGCCTCCACCGAGAATCTCGCCTTGATTGTAGCTRCCTCCTCCCGTAAGATCTCTTCTTCCCCGGGCTGGGCCTCCCGCGCTGACACCTTATCTTGGAGAAGTCGAATTCTGACTTGTATGTCTCTGATGTCCGCCTGCAGCGGTTGCCTAGTTTCTACAAGGATCGCGTCAGCTCACAACTCACCCGGCTTTCCTGACGACGAACTCTCGAAGAGGTGTTCATTGTTTTCTTGGGCGGCGGGTAATGGCGGTGGTGCCGTGTGCGTGGAATGGGAACCATGCTGCATCACCACCGAACCCTGCTCAGATTGGAACGGGATAAAGCGTTGCTGAGGATCATTGGCAAACACCCGTTGCTACCGAGATTGGGATGCCGCAGAGTGTCGCTGAGGATTACTGGACATCACCGATTGCTGCCGAGATTGGGATGCCGCAGAGGGTCGCTGAGGATTGTTGGACACCATCGATTGCTGCCGAGATTGGGATGCCGCAAAGTGTCGCTGAGGATTATTTTGCATCGATTGCTGCTGAGATTGAGGGTGTGGGTAAGAAGACCCAGTTTGGAGAGCCATCAATGGTTGCTGCTGAGCTTGAGATTCCGCGCAGGGCTGCCCAGAATCAGAGCAGATCAATAATGACCGCTGATATTGTCGTGCCGTGGAAGGGTGACCAGATTGGTGTAAAGCCGGTAGGCCAGGCTGTTGGGAGGGATGTTGGCCAGGCTGTTGATTGGGCTGTTGGTTGAGCTGTTGGAAGAGATATTGGTCGTGCGGTGGTGGTGGATATGACATGCTTTTTTGTATGCTGTGGTAAATGTGTCTGCTGGGTTTTCGATGATGCTCCCAAGCGATGTTTATTGATGGAGAGTGAAACAGACGGAAGAGCGGAAGCAAGATCAAGCTGGGCCACGATCTCTCTTGCCTTGCTCATGACAAACTCCAGGACCGAGGAAAGCGCTGGCCGGCCAAATCAACGAGACRAGCGAGAGTGTCTTCCATTTTGCAAAACTTGTCGAAGGAACGACCACATTAGATCCGATCGACGGCCGGAGCGGACGGCGTCCATGGAAGAGTAAGAACCTCGGAGGGTCCACGCTTCCAACGAGCACGTATATGTAGTGTCTATCAAGACTAATCTGTATGGCTCACCTGTAAGTATGGCAGGGAGTTGGCCTCCTTGATCTCGAGACCTACTGCTGTGATGTGACAAGGGCGGTGCCAGGGCGAGCAATTAGAACAAGACGTGCACGATACTCGCTCAATGAATGAGTACACGTGCAGATTCGGAAAGACTGCTGATGCAAATATCTTCCCACCGACTCCCTTTTTCGTGGAAGTCTCCTAGCATTTTGTGGTGTAGAGCCACTGCTCCGCAGTATGAGTGGCACGGTGATGAGGGCGRGACGGTGGAGAAGAAGAGAATGGAAGGAGAACATATCAGTGACATTTTTGCATTCACATGCAGCTTCCGTGACAGGAAAAAGTCTTCTTCCTTGCGTGAAATCCGGAATCTGAGAGGTAATGAACAGGGCAGACAGGTGTCACTCACAGGGCTTGTCGCATGTCATGAGCAGACAAAATGAGCGCAGACACGCGGCGGAGGAATCCATGTAGTTCGGCCATACCACGCTCCTGTGGGATGAGGGTGATGCATTTGGATTCCGAGGCGGGAGAAACCATTCGCAAAAGGTGTTTGTCTTGCGGTGGTATTGACACAACCAGCCATCCTGTTTCACGCAAGCCTTGGTAGAATGGAAACCCACATAACAGTCCTTGGCACTGCTCGCTTCGCAAGCGCGAGCGTGGTTCGTGTTTCGCTCCAATTCAAGCCTCGTCCTCACGCCAGAGAACGTCCGTAATGCGGCCGGGGAATGCAAGGAAACAATTGTGGAACAGGCGGGGTCGTTTGCGTGGGGCTCCGCTCGAGCCTGATGGGTGAGGAGCTTGTACTTAGTATGGACTGAGAAGTGAGCGATGCCTATCAGGATCACTTATCACTGTTGCTGATTGAGGTCATCAAGTGCATGTGAATATCAAGACAAGGTAAGGTCAATCCTCCGTGGGGGTGACGGGAGCTGAGATGCTCCGCCCGATGCAGCGTGCTCTGGAGTGCGGTCCGCTGCCGAAGAGTCAAGACGTTGAGAGCTCCATCCATAGCTTGAACTCTATCTCGATATTCGAGAGTAGGTACCTGACCCATGAGCTGACCATCTTTTTGCGTAGCGCAGGCACCTTTTCACTCTTTGACGTTGCCTCTTGCTCTTGCTCCAACTTCACTCGCCAAACACAACAACGCCATCGACACTGTACACTTTCTCTCCCAACACCCACATCACCCTCCACCTTTCACGGCCGAACCGTGTATCAATACCATCGCTTCTGTTATCGTACTTTGCTGCCCGCATTGGCTCGAGGACCCACCTCACCGTCTTTTACACTGACTCGCACGCGTTGCTCTCACGCAGCCTTGACGGGCTTGGACGACATCCATTGTACAACACCTCCAAGACAGCCTCAGCAACATCACCGGTCCGCTGTCTCTCGGTGATTCAGCCGTCACGAGACCGCCACCATGGTTTTCGTCGACAACAAGGAAGTCTCCAGCAAAGAGGAGGAGCGTTTGAAGGAAGACCGTGAACGAACCAAGTACTGGAAGAAATGGGGGCCTTATACCGCTGAGCGACAATGGGCTACTGTCCGTGAGGATTACTCGTGGGTCATCCAACAGCTGTGGCTGTTCACTTTCCAACCAATGCATTACTAACTCTCTCCCAGCGCCGATGGCGATGCCTGGAGTTCATTCACCTACGACATGGCTCGGGCTCGTGCTTTTCGATGGGGCGAGGATGGTATTGCTGGTGTTTCCGACTCGCACGGCCGCATGAACATTGCATTTGCCTTTTGGAACGAGAAGGAGTAAGTTGGCTCTTTCCACCCAGACGCACTCATTGCAAGACTAACCGCGTCCAGTGGTCATCTCAAGGAGCGTCTCTTTGGTTTGTCCAACCCTCAAGGTGTTCACGGCGAGAGCATCAAAGAGTGCCATTTCCACCTCGACAACACACCGACCCACTCGTACATGAAGTTCCTCTACAAGCTTCCGCAGGAGGCTTTCCCATATGAAGACATAATCAAGGAGAACGCCCGAAGAAACAAGATGGAGCGGGAGTACAATCTTGTCGATACTGGCATATTCAAGGACAACAAGTACTGGGWCATTTTCATCGAGACCGCAAAGGAGGCCGACAACCCAGACGAGTTGCTTTTCCGCGTGACYGCCTACAATCGTGGTCCGGAACCTGCAAAGCTTCACATTCTCCCTCATGTCTGGTTCCGCAACACCTGGGCATGGGGCCGTGACTCTTACAAGCCCAGCATCACTCAGACAGAACCTCTAGTCTCCCACATTCAACATCGCGACCTCGGCGATCGCTACTTCCAATGCTCTCCTTCGCCAAACAGCTGCGGTAATGAGGCCGATATTGAGCCCGAATTCCTCTTCACAGACAACGACACCAACTTTGTTGAGCTCTGGGGAGCCAAGAAGAACAAGGTGCCGTACGTAAAGGACGCCTTCCACAAGCGTGTGGTTAAAGGGGATAAGAAGGCTTGCAATCCCGACCACACTGGTACCAAGAGCGCAGCTTGGTACGCTTTCGACCAGAACGAGGGTGTTGCCCCGGGCGAGTGCGCTGTCATCCGCATGCGGATCTCCACCAAGAAGGAAGAGGGCTACCTGGATGAAGAGCAATTCGRTCAAATCATGGAAGACCGCCTCGCCGAGGCCGACGAGTTCTACTTCAAGATGAACCCGATGCCAATGGCGGACGATCTTCGCAACATTCAGCGTCAAGCTCTATCGGGTATGATGTGGTGCAAACAGTACTACCACTTCATCTGGGACCAGTGRGCCAATGGCGACCCCGCCATGCCTCCTCCGCCGCCGGAGCGTAAATCTGTTCGAAACGCCCAGTGGAAGCACATGCATTTGGATGATATTCTCTCCATGCCTGACTCCTGGGAGTACCCCTTCTTCGCCGCCTGGGACTCCGCATTCCACTGCATCCCGCTCTCCATGATCGATCCCGAATTTGCCAAGAAGCAGCTTGACCTCTTCACCCGTGAGTGGTACATGCATCCCAACGGACAGCTGCCTGCTTATGAATGGAACTTTGGCGACGTCAACCCGCCCGTCCATGCTTGGGCTACCTTCCGAACTTTCAAGCTTGAGCGCAAGATGTACGGGCGTGAGGATCTTGACTTCCTCGAGCGTGTCTTCCAAAAGCTGCTCATGAACTTCACTTGGTGGTGTAACCGCAAGGACGTWGATGGCAAGAACGTGTTCGAGGGCGGATTCCTCGGTCTGGACAACATTGGTCTGTTCAACCGTTCAGACCCCCTGCCCACTGGCGGTAAGCTGGAGCAAGCAGATGCCACCGGATGGATGGCTTTCTACTGCCTCAGCATGCTCAACATCGCCTTGGAGCTCGCCAAGCACCGTCGCATCTACGAAGACATCGCATCCAAGTTCTTTGAGCACTTTGTTCTCATCTCCGACGCCATGCAGTACCGGGTCGGATCCGAGTCCAAGTCACTCTGGAATGACGAGGACGGTTTCTACTACGATGCGATCTCATGGGGAGGACCCCACTCGCATCAGATGCACGTCCGTTCGCTCGTCGGACTCATCCCCATGTACGCCACTCTTACACTTGAGCCTCAAGTCATTGACAGATTTCCGTCGTTCAAAAAGCACATTGAGTGGTTCTTGAAGAACAAGCACGACGTGGCGTCTCGAAATATTGCCAGCATGGCTYGACGTGGAAAGGACAACCGTCTGATGCTCTCTCTCGTGAGTGAGGACCGTCTTCGTTCCATCTTGAAGTACATGCTGGACGAGAACGAGTTCCTCAGTCCTTACGGCATCCGATCACTTTCCAAGTACCACAAGGACCATCCCGTCACGATGGACGTCAATGGACAGCACTATTCCGTCAGCTATATCCCAGGTGATTCGGACAGTGGTCTCTTTGGTGGCAACAGCAATTGGCGTGGTCCGACTTGGATTGCCGTCAACTTCCTCCTGATCGAGTCACTTTTGCGATTCTACATGTTCTACGGCAACACCTTCAAGGTGGAGTGCCCGACGGGTTCCGGCGAATTCATGCATCTCGGCCATGTTGCAGAGGAGATTCAGCACCGACTGCAGCATTTGATGGCAGCGGATCACACCGGCCGCCGCGCGATCCACGATGGCAATGACATGCTCGACTTTGACGTGAACTGGAAGGACAATCTGTGGTTCTACGAGTTCTTCGATGGTGATACCGGCCGTGGTCTAGGTGCCAGCCACCAGTGCGGTTGGACCGGTCTGATGGCCAAGATTATTCAAGATACTGGGTAAGTTTCGCCGCCTTCTCAACTCTCGTGGAATATGGTTGCTAACATTTACAGCGTAAACTGCCGCCTGCCACAAACTCCACGATCTCCATCGGTGGCCGCCGCACATTACTTTGATGACACCTTCAGCCGTCAACGTCGGGCGTCTCTAGGACCGCGACGACCAACTGGCTTTGCTCGTTCTGTTACTCGCACTCGTTCCATTGGCCAGCGTAGTGACTGGGGTAGCACGAATGGTGATAACACCGAGACTGGCGACAACACTGAGAACGGCGAGGATGCTGACGAGGACGAACCCTCTGCCAATGGCAAGCCTGAGCGTACTTGGAGCATCTACAAGGAAGACGACTCTAGCAAGCCTCGTCCTGAGGATGATCCTGATGACCCGATCAACCGCTATGTCCAGGACCAGCTCTCACGCATCAAGAGTCACGAAAGTGCGGAGATGGCCGAGGAGCTGTCGTCGCTGAATGACGGCTCGAACGATCAAGTTCGAGGTTGAGCGGAACTTCATTTCTTACACCTACCTCCCTACCGCGACGTTTCTGATGATGGGCGACGGTTTACCTCCTTTCGAGAGAGTGTGTACTGCATGGGCATGAGCGGACGGCGTTGGCATGATGGATTACGGCCTAAAAGCTCTGACCTAGAGATTCACCACCTAGATTGATAGAGTCCAAACTATTCTTTGACCTATGTTGTCGTTTTGTTCGTTCGTTGTTTTGAGTAATCTTTGACCGTGTATAGACTCGGTGCGAGAACCCTGCATTCCAGCACATGACCTCCAGTACCACCGGGCGGCTAGATGGTTGGCATTAACTGAGGGCCATCTATGATCTATCTTCCTCGCGCCGACATCAAACGAGATATTGTCAAGACATTGCAACCCTGAAAACCGACTCCAGGATCTGTTGATTCAATCATTGAATTGATTGAACAGCCCCGCCATCCAAGCTCTCCAGCAAGCAAGCAAACACCAGGCCACCCTGTCAAGTTACTCAGATTCAGCTGCCAACGTGAAGCTCTCTCATCAAAGACTGGCCAGCAGAGGTGACACGGCTTGCAGTCAGATAAGCACCTTCTTTCTTTACCACCTCCCCCAATCTTCACGACGGCCGCCTCCACTTCCTCCGGCAGTCGCCCGTCTGCATCTCGTGCATCGTCGTCGACAGCGGCAGACCCACTGACGGTCGCTCGGGCTTTGACGACCGCTCGACACGTGCTTTGGGACCCGCGCTACACGGACAAGCCGCCGCCAGAGGTGCGACTCATCCCCACCCACGTCGGCACCCTCAGCCTGGGAGATCGGACGGACAGCAACATCTCGGTGCGCAGTCTCGGTGGAGGGCACAAGATCACCCCAATGGACAAGCGTCATCCTTCTAGCTTCCAGCAGCTGGAAAAGCTGGGTGAGGGCACATATGCGACGGTCTTCAAGGGCCGCAATGGCCAGACGGGACAGTTTGTGGCTCTCAAGGAAATTCACCTCGACAGCGAGGAGGGCACACCCAGTACCGCGATCCGCGAAATCTCCTTGATGAAGGAGCTCAAGCACGAGAATATTGTCAGCCTGTATGATGTGATTCACACGGAGAATAAGCTCATGCTCGTCTTCGAATACATGGACAAGGACCTGAAAAAGTACATGGACAGCTATCAGAATCCCGCTGGCGGGCAGCGCGGCGCACTGGACCCGGCCACGATCAAGAGCTTCATGTGGCAGCTGATCCGCGGCATTGCCTTTTGCYATGACAACCGCGTCCTCCATCGCGACCTTAAACCGCAGAACCTTCTCATCAACGCCCAGGGTCAGCTCAAACTTGGTGATTTCGGTCTGGCGCGTGCGTTTGGCATTCCTGTCAACACCTTCTCCAACGAGGTGGTGACCCTGTGGTACCGTGCGCCAGACRTCCTGCTTGGCAGTAGAACGTACAACACCAGCATCGATATATGGAGTGCGGGTTGCATCATGGCGGAGATGTTCACAGGCCGACCGCTCTTCCCCGGGACGACCAACGAAGATCAGCTGCTCAAGATCTTCCGTCTGATGGGCACACCTTCCGAGCGTAGCTGGCCTGGAATTACCAACTTTCCCGAATACAAGCGTGAGTGGCCGGTGTATGCCACGCAGGAACTACGAGCCATTCTACCGCAAGTGGATGCGCTGGGCTTGCAATTGCTGGGACAGCTACTACAGCTGCGACCGGAAATGCGCTGCAGTGCAGCCCAGGCTCTTGCGCATCCGTGGTTCGCGGAGCTAAATGCGCGTTCGGCGTTGGCAGGGCAGGGTGGTTTCACGACACCTGTACCGAACATGTCATCAAACCAGCAGCGAGCTTACTAAGTCGATGATCAAGGAACGGGATGGAATGGAATGACATGCATGAATTGCAGGCGTATTGATGAGTTGACGGAATGTGTGCATAGCGACGAAAGGACTGGCGTTTGGGGATGGCATTTCGAAAGCAGACGCGAAGATGCCAGGCGTCATGATGCGCTCAGGATTGATGATAAAAGATGAACGAGTTGAATGAGGGAGGGGGCTGTCCATTCATATGACAGTGCTCCGAAGGTGCTCGCTTAGCAAGATATGAATGACAGCGATCGCTTCCTCAAACTTGGAGAACTCGCTGATGAATTGTGTCCCGCACAGAAACGCCTTGCCCTTGAGGAGAAAATTGAATGCACTACTCCGGCAGAGCGTCAACGTTCCTTGTAACAAATGCCAGTCGCGCGCTATTCTAACTGCTAACACGAGCCCCTGAATCCGACCAGGTAAGCGTCAGGTAGGTGTGCTTACTGCTGACGGGGATGCTTGCAGACTACTGTACCTTGTAAGTTTGTACCTAGCCAACGGAAACACTTTCTCTCGATGAGATTGTGCTGACATCGTTTCGTTTTGCTGTGCACAACGATATTTCAGGCATGTGGGTATAGCGTCGTTATTCCTTATACGACCGAATTGGTAGGTATACCTTCTCATCAAATGTTCTACATATGTATAGTTAGATGGAGAGCAAGCTTTCGTAGCGCTACTAGTGGACTCTATATATTGGCGCGATGGAGCTTCTTCTTTCTTCTTATTAAGCTTGATTGATGATGAATGATCTACCCCCTAGATATCCTAGGTCGAGTTCTCAGAACCCCGGATCTTGTCATCTCATCAGTCTTCGTGGATGACAAGGACTAGCCTGGTTTGTTTGGTTCTTTTGAGCTCATCATGGGTTTGGTCTGGTCGGGTTGGGCTGTACGGCTCTGCTCGGGATATTCCTTGCAATTGATATCCATGCATGAGTATGAAAGCATAAAGTATATATCACGTCTACCTTCCAACCAAAGGTTTAATGATAACCTGTCAGCCTCCCTTTWCCTCCCCTCACAAAACAGTTTACTATACAACCCACCCTTCAACAATCTTCACTCCCCTAACACAATCATGAAGCCCACCACCTCCCTCCTCATCACCCCCCTCCTCCTCCTAACCCTCGCCTCCGCCCAACAACAACAACAACAAAAACGCCCCTGCACCCAAGCAGAAATCGCCCTAGCAACAGGAATCCACCTCAACATCCAAGCCCAACACGCCGAATACAACGGCACACAAAAGATAATCGACATCGAAACTCAAAATCCCGGAGACTTTTACAATTTCGCCCGTTTAAAGGGACAATTACAAGCAAACATCCAATCAGGCATAAATCTTCGACAATTCAATTTACAAATCGCACCAGAAGGGAACCCGGCCATTCCTGGGTTGAAGAAATATCAGGAAGCGCAGGCGACGGAGAAGGGACAGGTGGATGGGTTGTGTGGAGTTTATGTTGAGGATCGGGAGACTTTGGAGAGGTTGATGGAGGAGGTTAAGGGGGGGATTTTGTTGAATGAGGGGAATTTGAAGAATGTGAGTTTTGTTTTGTGGTGCTGGAATTTTTGGTTTCGTGGTGTGAGATTTTGACTAATGTGTGTGTGCGTGATAGGCTACTTCTGTTTGTGACTTTACGTTGGTGTTTCCGCCTGCTAATGAGATGGGTGTGTAAGTTGTTGTTGATGTGTAGGAATTTCGGGGCGATTGAGGGTCAGGGCACGATACATATCGAGTGTTCTGAACCAAAGGAATCGTGGCCGGTCTCACGAAAGACTATCTGTCCGAGGCTCAGAAAGAACTCGGTCGCCATAGCCATTATATCATGTCCTCCTTGGGGACATTTGAGTCATAAGAGTCGTTATGTTGGGTGCTTCATATACAGCAATCGGAAGATGCCCTCAGTCTCGCTTGCCGCGCCTTGAGATCATGCACTCTGGCTACCAGCAACAGTCTGTGCTCCACTATCGGCATAGAATTTCGATGAGACCTCTTCTATCGCGTCCACGACACTCTTCATGGGGTCGCATGCAGCGTACGCCTTCTTGAGTCCCTGCGCTTTCTCCTTATAAGACGGGGTCTTCTGAATCTCCAGCACAGCGTTCTTGACTTGCTCCACAGTCGGTGTCTGCGTCCTAAGGTTAATGGCGGCGCCAGTGAGTTCTCCGAGTACTCCATTATGCTGCTTGTCTTCGGTCATACCGGCAAGGATCATGGGGATACCGTTCACGAAAGCCTGATTGACTCCACCATAGCCTCCGCTTGAGACTACAAGCGAGGTATGTGGGAAGATGTCCTCGAATGGGATCCATTGGGCCCAGCGCACGTTCTGTGGAAGCTCCACGCCGGCAGGAAAGTCCACTTTGACGGCACACACAACGACTCGCACATTGAGATCCTTGCAGGCCTCAATCGTTGGCATAATCAAGTGATTCACATCCAGCCCTGGCATGGTGCCAGAGGAGACCAGAATGAGTGGCCGATCCGTTGTATCGGCTAGAACGAATTCGTCGAACCATTCTGGATGTGGCGTCACGCTGTCGATGTTGCCATTGTATCCGGTCAACGCGCCGCAGAATCGAACGTTCTTGGGCAAGTCGCTACGACGCAGTTCCAGTTCTGGGACACACAATTGACAGTAAATGTCGCAGRGCTGAACCCAATTGTCGAGGAGAAACTTCGACGGTAGCTCTTTTGCGCACTGGTAAGGCTCGAGTAGGCGCCTTTGGACCTCCATTACTGGTTGGAACATGGCGATAACGCCTTCGTTCATTTTTTGATTCATCTCCTCTCCTTGACTGAGTAGACCTGAGTTGAAGGGCGCAGTACTTTTGCTCAAGATTCCAAGTGGGAAGTGTCCTAGTCCGATGACCGGCACACGTCGTATCTGAGGACTTCCAAGTGTCATGGGCATTGTCCCCACAAAAGCTAAGGATATGTCAGTAAAGCGTCTTTCACGTACATGTCCACACTCGACCTACTTCCATCCTGCACGATCACCACTTTCCGATCACGCAGGTCTGGCCTCTCAATAACCTCCTTTACAGTCTCGTATTGTTCATCGAGAGCGGCGATGAAGATCTTCTCCATATCGAAGAGGATCGTGTTCTCCTTTGGTCTGTCTGGGTAGCGTTCATCCAGAGGCGTCTCCAAATCGATATTTGCTTTGCCTTTGAGAGGAACGAAATCCACACCTTTGACCGCTTCTATCTTCTCCTGGAAGGTGGTCCCACTGATGACGGTAACTGTGTACCCTAGAGCTAACAATTTGATTGATAGAGCTATTGCTGGCCGGACGTGACCAAAACCGGGTAAGGCGATAAGCACGACATGAGTGCCCTGGTTTTGAATGCTTCCCATGTTGATTTGATGGTACAAAGATTGCTGATAGAGGTGAAGGAAAAAAATGACGGGTTCGCCAGGAATATAGAATGTGACTTCAGCTGAGGCTGACCGTTTGCCCTAAACAACTGTGATAAAGGATGGAAGCTTGGCCAGATTCTTACAAGACCTCGGAGGGAACYGTTCAACAATAATATAAGTCGTCAACTCTTCAGGCGTCCCATGCACGACGCACGCCCCAAAATAAGACTTGGCAAGCTCGGGGATGGTTCAGCATCTGGGCAAGCCAGGATTCGTCTGGTTCAATCTGACTCGCAAAGACGCCTCGCAGCTGGTTGCATCCGCCATGGATCTTACCGGCATTTTGGGCTTATCAGATGTTGTCGCMCAGCGGAGGATTTCCACAAGTCAGAACCGGAGGCAGAGCGAAGGCTGCGGGTCCATGCAGTGTTTGCAGGATGCAGGAGTGACGACTCTGATAGGATGAACTGTGAAGGGTTTGGTTGGTGATTCCATAGCTCATTGTGATTGTATTAGGTTGTGCCATGCTTGTGCGGCAGAACGACGCATCGGCATTGCCTGGACGGCAATGCGTTACCTCGGGGTGGGATGCGTCATCTCGTCGCTAGCACCATATGCGCTGCTCATCAGGATGCAGCTGTGCGGAGAGGATGCGGGCGAGATGCGGGAAAGGTGGGGATGAAAGATGGAGGGGAGTGTGAAGAATAGGTGGAAGAAGAACAGCGGGAGCATCTTGGCACGGATGATGACTTGTCTGACTCGCTATAACTAACTTAATTGTAACCCATGAACCCATGTCATGTGCACTTTACTACTCTCGTTTCCCAAGTCACGATGGACATGCACACCTTCGCTACTGATTCCGCCATCTCCCCGGTAGAGCATGCCGGTGCAGGGAGGCCATGAACTACAAACCTTGGACACCGCCGCACAGGAGGAAACGACGACGATGCGGAGATCATCGACCCACGAAGTCGGGATGGCGGCGGCGACTGATGAAGTGGGTCGGCGTACAGTGTGGAAGCTCGATATCATCCTGCTGCCCTTCCTCGCACTGCTGTTCATGCTGAATAGCCTGGACAAGAGCAACATCGGAAATGCCGAGACCGCGGGCTTTACAAAGGACACGGGACTTTCCAGGAGCGATGTCAACGACTCCATGGCCGTCTTCTTCTTCGTCTTCGTCCTGTTACAACCCATCGGCGCCGGGCTGGGAAGAAGCATCGGCATGAGAAGATATGTGCCGGTGTGTATGACGCTGTGGGGTTTCAGCACGATACTACACATACTGGTGAGGAAGAGATGGCATTTGATCGTACTCCGGTGTGTGATTGCGGTGCTGGAAAGCGGATTCTACCCGACCACCGTGTCTTATATGAGTCTGTTTTATACAAAGTATGAGTTTGCAGTGCGCCTCGGCATCTTCTATGGGATGACGGCCGTGAGCGGCGTGCTGGGAGGTGTATTGAGCTGGGCGATATTCTCCCATTTCCCCGATGATGGAGACCCCTCGGATACACCGCAGTTCCCTCCTCCCGGTGTTGGGGTGGAGACGCTGAAGCAAGCACATTGGAAGAGCTGGGAGATACTTTTTCTGGTTGAAGGATGTATGACTATGACGGTTGCTTTGATTGGGTTTGTGTGGCTTCCACGATCCGCAGAAACAGCATGGTTCTTGAACAGAGAAGAGAGGGTATGGGCAGAGAAACGCATGCAGTTGGATGTTGTCCGCTCAAGAGAGACATCAAAAGAAGTAAATGAGGAGGAAGAGCCGCTTACTCGCCCGCTCACAAGCGACTCCCGTGGCGATGAGCAGGGTACAGAGGCACACGATCGATTACTGCAGGACTCTGAAAACAACATGCTGAGGAGCTGGCGCTCAAATGCATCTGCAAGATCGATCACTGCTGATTCTGGATTATCAAGCCAGGACATTCTTGAAGCCGTCTTCAACTACAAGATCTGGCACCTTTTATTCGTAAACATCTTGAGCGCAATTCCGGCCACGGCATTTGGAGTGCTCCTCCCAATCTTGGTCAAGGAGTTATCTCCTTCATTGCATCTCTCCGCCGCAGCATCAAACCTCCTTTCGGCACCGCCATTTGCATGCGGCGCCATCTTACTCTTCGCATTCACACTTTGGTCAGATCGGAGCCGTCAACGTTTGGTCCCAATCCTGTGGGGTCTCATCATCCTGCTGATTGGTCTTGCAATGGCCGTATTTGCGCCTGTGGATAACTATTGGCTCCGCTACGCATCTCTATGCGTCCTGCTTTCGGGCTCGTTCATCGCATCGCCTCTGACGGTTGCATGGCTTGCCAACAACACTCCAGAACCGGGTAAGCGGGCTATCCTACTGGGCATCAACGGCTGGGGGAATCTGGCAGGTGTTTTCATGTCTGTCCTCTTCACTCCTGCGGATCGAGATACTGGTTATGTTCGGCCGTTCACGATTGTATTCATCTGCGTGTTGGTTTCCTTTGCGGGCTTCGTGGCGTTTCGCGTCTTTCTCATCAGGGAGAATAGGCATCGCGATAACGTCACCCGAAGCTGGAGTGAGGAAGAGAAGGAACGGGAACAGCTCATGGGAGATGTCCCTGCTGGTGAGCATTGGGGACAGAGAATCACCAGGGGGCTTTACATTTCTGCTTTGGCGCAGCGGTTTGGGATGGAGGATGAACGACGAGGCGATGAGAAGATGACATATCGATATACCCTATGAATGATGAGCATTTGCAACGATGACGACCTGAATATATGTTGTGATACGTATGTGTTCGAACGACTGATCTTTACTGGCATTCAAACGACGCAAACGCATGCTTTGTTGTTGTCTTTGAGATCATCTGTGGAACGTTATTCGTTGGGGTTGGGGGGGTAGTCGAAAGCCATATATCGGCTGCCAATTGCTGCGCAACATGATTGTAGCGTGCGACGAGAATGGACATGTCGACATTATCCCCATCGATGTGAAGTGAAGTACTATCAATACAGCATTCWCGCAATAGTATCTTGATCCACTCACTAGTAACATATTGTGATATCCGGAGGTACTGGTTCTGTCGATTTGATCAGCTGGGTACGAGTTGAAAAGAATTGTGACTGGGATTTATTGAGGAGCCGTCATGTGAGGCGTGTGAAGAAATTGAAAGCTGTGGGCTGAATGATGTGGATGAAAGAAAGTCGGTACGTTTGATCTACTGCTTGAGACATTATACATTATTCGATGAACGACCGTAATTGGGACGATATCTATCCTACCACCGGCCGGCGATACCACATCCGTGATTATAAAGCCACTATCCAGCTATTCAATTCTGTACAGCACCGCTAGAATCTCACTGACATTGTTATCAAATTAATCGCCACCATCATTTCTTTTTCTTCTTCTTCGCTACTTCTTCACAGCCTTCTCCGGTTTCTCCTCATAAAGTTTACACCACCTACACCACTCCCTCGCCCCTTTCCCCATCGTCATCCTCAAATCCTCCTTGAATTGCATAACTTCCCACTCCTCATCCTCCCAATTATTCCTCTCCTCCCTCTCCCCTTCCCCCTCCTCCCCTTCTTCAACTCGACTACTAGGAAACCACCCAATAGCTTCCAAAACCTCACTCTCACTCGGAGCAGTCGTATAGCGCGGGAAGAATTTCGGATTTCGTTCATGACATTTCGTCGCGAGATATCGTTCCAGAACATCCAATTTCGCAGACGAGGAGAAGTTGATGTGGAGTTTATCCTCTTTGTCCTTGGAAGTGGAAGGGGAAGAAGAGAGACGTTTAGTAACATTCCGACTAATCCTCACCYCTCGAACAGAAGCATAAAGCCAAACGGCGTCGATTTCTAATAAGCCGCCAAAAGGCCAGATGACCACTAATAAAGTATCCAGGACCAAAGTTACGGGTAAGAGTCCCGTGGCGATGATGGCGTCTCTTTCGGCTTTGGATTTTGAGCGGAGGATTGTGTTGATGAATTCTTTGCGGATTGTCTCGTTGGTTCCGGGCATGCTTTCGGGATATATGAGGAGCATTTCTTGTAATTTCACTTTTTTTTTCGTTTGTGCCCCCCGCTTGAAAGGTCTACTACTCTTGTGATGTTGGGTTTCTTTCGCGGCAGCAGTGGCGATATCTTCATTCTCTCCGATTCGGTTCAAGAATTCTAGACTGGAAGATTTCGTCTGGGACATTCCCCATGAGATGCCTCTGGTAGCTTTTCCTTTGATTCCCTTCCACGACCTGGTTTTGATATTTGGGGATGTTTTTGCGGTTCGGACTTCTTCGAGCCATTTTCGTTGGATTTTATGGATTTTGGCTTCTTTTTCGCCTTTTGGGGGTGCGTGCATGAATGGTGGGAGAGGTGGGGTGTAGATGAGGAACCTTTGGGGGATTTGTTCGGGTGGGATGGAAGGGATGGTGGGTTTGGGGAAGGGGATTAGGTAGCCGATTAGTTTGTGAGGGTCTCGGGCGAAGTGGATTGGAGAGGTTGTGTCTGTGTCATTTTGGTCCAGATCTGGCATTGGAGGAACTTCTTTAAGGGCGCCGCTCATGAGGACATTTTGACACGCTTGACAGTCGTGACAATCTTGAGGGTTGCAGGCTGGTGATTCCATTTGCTGTTCCTGTTGCTGTTCTTGTGGTGGTGGTTGTTGTGGCCGCCGAGGAGGCATTGGTGGAGGAATCTCGTCTTGCGCTCGAGGTCGTGGCGGCAAAGGGGGTGGGACTTGATCCATTTCTTGGTGTATTACTGGTGCTGTGATGGTATTATCCATCTTGCCGTGTGCTTTTACTGATTCGGAAAATACAAGAGCTTGACTATACAAAAGATGAAGTAAAAGACGAAAAAGTTGATGAAACGTGAAGACGACGGCGGACTGCTTCTCTTGTACCCATGAAAACCGAACCTTCAATTGAATATATAATTAATTACCTTGCTACTCCACTGGCTGGAAAATCCAGATGAAACCAGCTTGTATATTTTTACTCGCCCTCCTTCATGGATGCGTGCGTGGCTGTGTGTTGTTGCAGAGGAGGGACCTTCGGAAGACGCGTGCCAATCTTACCCTTTCTTCCCAGGAATCCGACCGACGTCATCGATCGTCAACACGTGCGRGCCTTCCCTGTCCAAAATCATCCTCTTCTGTCCAAGGCAATTTCAATCAACACTTCGTCCATGTCCATGAAGAAATGCCACATTTACAGTCCCCCTCCGCTCTCTCACGCCGAAGAAGAAAAAGAACCACCAAGCAAGTAAGCAAAAGCAGAAGCAAAGGATCCGATTAAACACTTCTTCTAACTACTGATAATACTGATACACCCTTCCCATCATTTCCCCCCCACACACACATACATACACACACACCCAATTACTTCTCCTCACCCATAACAGCACTCCTAGCCCTCCCCAAAAGCGGCATCATCCCCATCCACAACCGAAACTGATGCACACCTTGTCCCACAAGCGGTTCCAACCCCGCCACAGTCTTCCACTCTCCCCCTCCACCACCACCACCACCACCAGAATTCCTGAAAATCTCCACCAAAGGCGTCACGGCGGGTTTATAAGCCATCTCCAACATGATCTTCTGCTCCTGGATTCCATTGGCCACTCCGTTCGTCTTGGAGGATGATGTAGCAGGAGRGCAAAGAACCTTTAATATTCCTTCCAATCCAGCATCAATAGGTAAATCCCCAGGAATAGTCCCCACAGCCACTACGGGTTGCTTAGGGATGGCTTTGGCGTCGGCTTCGCTGGCAATGAGCTGAATCCCATAACTCTGATCAAAACTCTCCGTCAACTTCTCCAGTTTGGCCTTGTTGCGTCCCACGAGATAGATGGGACTGTATCCCATTTCTCGCAAAGCATGAATCGCCGCTCGAGCGGTTCCTCCTCCGCCAATCACAACTCCCGCTTCTTGCTTCTTTCCGCCAGAGGAAGAGGAAGGATTGGCGCCGGCATTGCGGAGGGAGAGGACGATGCCTTGCCAGTCGGTGTTGTGTCCCCTTAGCACTGTTTTGCCATTCACACCCTGTATGGGAACGATGGTGTTCACCGCTCCGATGGTCTGTGCCGCTTCATCAATTTCATCGAGAAGTGGCACGACATCCTGCTTCAACGGAATCGTCACACTCGCTCCTCCAAAATCCTCGCTTCGGATGATCTTCTCCATGTCTTTGACGTTATCCGTCTCCAAGAGTTCATAGGAATGCGGAAATCCCGTTTCCCGGAACAAGGTGTTCTGTAGAGCAGGACTACGAGAATGTTGGATTGGTTTTCCAAAAAGATAGAATTTCTTCGGGGTGATCCCTCCTGTGAGTCCGAGTACTGTTCGAATTTCCTTTGCAGACACCTGTCCTGGAGCAGCTTTGGAAGGCAATGATGGGTGACTGACGGGCGTCATGAAACCATTCATCACTCTCGACATCTTGCCTAGTTCGCCCATGTTGATTGCGATGAGCGGGACCTCCGGATGCTGTGTCTTGGCCCAAATCCTGAAGTTGGCGAGATGGGTGTTGTCCTCCACGGTCTTCGCAACGCCAATCAACTTGACGATATCTCCAAACGCTCTGGCTTGGTCGAAATGCTTCTTCCACTCCTCCGCTCCATTGGCCCAGGAAAGTTGTGCCTTTGGATCATGATGGGAGGCAATGATAGTACACATCCTGCGATGGTTAAACACATACTCCTTCACTTCCTTGTGGGCGGTGAGTTCGAGATCCACAAAATCGAATCCCATCCTCAACCCAACACCATAAAGTTCCACAGCTCTCTTGACTTCCTCATCCGGAAACTTCCCACCCTGGGACACGGATCTCAGAGTGAAGATTAATGGTAATCGGGACGAGGAGCGCAAGAGAGCGATCTGCTCTTGGAGGAACTCTGGTCCGAGAAGGCCGTTCGTCGAACTGGGATCCACGAGTAAGTCGACCCGGAGTTCAATCGCATCGCTTCCCACAGTGACTTCYGGTAGAATTGGGAGCAAGCCTTCAATGGTAGGGGAAGTCAAACCGACGAAAAAACTCTCCCTCCTCTCCTGAATCTTCTCCAAAGCTCCACTTCTCCCAGTCATCGTCTTGAGGAACCGCTCAAAATCATCCAATGGGGATGTCCACCCCGCAATAGCGGTACTCTCGTCCACCGCTTGCGAGTGATAGTGAAGGTTACTGCATTCCTCAAACCAAGGCTTCCTCCTCAAATACACGCCCATCATGTCTTCCACATACGCCGGGCGTGTCTTGTCGATGTTGAGAAAGTCGATAATCGTCTTGATGTCCCTCGTCACATACAACACCATACCATCCTTCTGCCATTCCTTCAAGAGAGCTCGAGCTTCAGGTGTTTCGACAATCCCGCCTCCCGTGGCGATGATATGGCCATCCTTCTTCTCAACCATCATACGCCTGAGAAGTTGAAGTTCCTTTTGCCGGAAACCAGCCCAGTCGTTATCCTTGAGCATTTCTGGGATCGTCATGCCTTCTTGGTCTTCAAGCTCGGAATCCATATCCACAAAAGGCCAGCCTAGAATTCGACTCGCCCAWCCTCCAGTAGTTGTCTTTCCGGCTCCACGCATTCCGATGATGAAGATGGATTTCTTGACCTCCTTCGTCTTTCCCGCGTGGCCGTTGACGACAGCACCATTGGTATGGGGTTGCGCCTCCTCAACACCTTCAAGCTGCACGCCAAAAGTCGAGCGGAGAACATCCCACCATCCAGGCCAGGTCTTTCCCGTGCACTCCCTCTCTCCGATGGTCGTTCCTTGAGGCGCAACGGTCGCCAAGACGGAGAAAGACATTGCGACCCGATGGTCGTCATAGGAATGGATTTCTCCCTGCACAGGTCGTAGTCCCTCCACTCCCACGCCGTCGATCTCAATTCCATCGTCGAGCTCTCGACAGGTGACTCCGAACTTCTCCAACTCATCCTTCATAGCCTTGATACGATTACACTCCTTCTCCCTCTGATTCGCAATTCCCACAATCCGCGTCGTACCCTGCGCAACAGCAGCAAGCACACTCGCGGTGAGAAAGGCGTCCGTCATAGGTTCCATATCAACTTCCTTCAGACCTTTCAAGCCTCCTACTTTTGGTCCAGTAACAGTCGTGCTACTCTTGGTCTGCACGACCTCACAACCCATCGGCTTGAGAACATCCACAGCGAAACGAGCATCGCCTTGCAGAGAAGCAGATCCGATATTCGGCACAGTGCATTTCGTCCCTGTGATGGCGGCAATAGCAAGTGGGTACGTCGCACTGCTCGCATCACTCTCGACTTCGTACTCTCCGGGATTCTGGTAAGCTCCTTTTGGAATATGGTAGACATTCTCTTCGGTCTTGCTGCGAGTGACATGCACTCCGAAATCCGCCATCATGGAGATTGTCATGTCAATGTATAATTGACTGATCACTTTACCTCCCACCAATTTCAAGGTCACTGGCTTTTTGGCATAAGGGGCACACATTAGTATGCTGGAGACGTATTGCGAGGAGACCTTGGCTGTGAGCTCAATCTCGCCTCCCTCGAAACCGCCGTTAGCGGGAATGCGGAGTGGGAGAGATTGACTTCCTTCTTTACCAAGGTATTCAATCTCTACCCCATTCGAGCGGAGTGCATCGACCAGAGGACCTTGAGGACGTTCTTGCATCCTTGCATTTCCCGTCAGAATAGTGTGCTTTGCGCTCCCTTTCGGCGAAGCGAGAGAGAGGGCTGTGGTAAGGAATCGGGAAGCAGTCCCTGCATTGCCAATGTATATTTCCTCTGAAGTGGCTTTCAAGGCTCCTCCGTTCCCATTCAAGACGAGAACGCTGCCGGAATCTTCCCAAGTGTAGGTTGCACCTCCGAGAGCTGCAATGGCGGAAAGCATGAATTGCGTGTCGTCTGAATGGAGGAGGTTGCTGATTTTACAGGTGCCGGATCCCAAAGCTGCGAGGAGAAGGACGCGGTTGRAGATGGATTTGCTACCGGGAGGTTTGCATACCACGTTCAATGAGGGAGAGACTTCAGGAATGACGCGGATTGAAGGGCAGAGCACAATGCGAATGTCCTTGTCGGCGACTTGCGTGGCTTGAGGTTCGTAACACTTTCCAATCGAGGAGAGGAGGACAATCTTCTTCTTCGATCCGGCATTCTTCTTGTCGACCGCCATTCTTCGAAGGAGTTCATCCGCAAGACAAACCTTATCCGTCTGTTTGAGGATGAGCTTGTCGTTGACAGCGGTGGGGAGTCCATAGCTCGCGATGCACTTGGTCAATCTTGCCACCGCTCCCGGGGGAAGAACGCCAAGGTATCTGGCCAACTCGGCCTCCTTGACCATACCCACCGCCACAGCCTCTCCATGCAGAATCTCCGGAGTCCAGATGGCTTCATAAGCATGTCCAATCGAATGGCCGAAATTGAGCAGATTCCTCAACCCACCCTCCCTCTCATCAGAACTGACCACCTCAGCCTTGACCCTCGCACTCCCCAGCACAATCCGCTTGAAAACATCCTCAATGCCCTCGAACCTGCCCTTTCCCAAAGGTCTCTCCAATGCCGCCATGATGACCTCCGCTCCAGCCTCCAATCTCTCAAATTCACTCTCATCCCAGATCGCCGCCGTCTTGACCACTTCCGCCATTCCATTACACACCTGCCTCTTGGGTAGAGTCTCCAAGAATTGCAAGTCAATGTATATCCTCTCCGGCTGCCAGAAACTCCCAATCAAATTCTTTCCCAGAGGTGTGTCAATCGCAGTCTTGCCACCAATACTGCTATCCACCATTGCGAGCAAGGAAGTGGGGATTTGTACGAAGCGCACTCCGCGCATGTACGTCGCCGCCACGAATCCTAACAAATCTCCCATGACTCCACCTCCGAGAGCGAGGATGACCGTGTCTCGCGTACATCCCTGTGCGAGCAACCAGTCTTCAATATCGGCCTTTGTTTGTCTGGATTTGGAGGTCTCTCCTGGAGGGATCTTGTCGTAGATGAGKAGACGACTGGAGGTATTTCCTTGCTTTTTCAGTTCATTCTCAAACGAGGATTTGAAAGCGGGAACGTAGTCGAGTTTTGCGAGATTGGAGTCGCAGATGAGAATGTACGTCGACGAGGAAATGTTGCTGACGAGGTCGTGTGTGCAATAGTGAGGCCAGATGCCATAGTCGACGACGATGCTGTCTTTGCCCAGGATCGGAACAATTGTTGCCGTGGAAGAAGCCATGTCGGCAAAGGGGGTTGAGTCGGTTCAATGGCAGTGGATGCGAATGTTATTGTTGTGTCTTGTGTCTGGAGTGAGGGGATTTCACTCAATTTCCAACTCCGAGGGAAACTTCACAGCAGAAGCGGCGAGGACGAGGTCCAATGAGTGAAGGTTGATTATGTCCCACAAGACGTGGTTCTGCATGGAAAGTGTGAGACAAAAGTGAAGCTGTTTTGGAGATTCGGAGGCACACCCAGTCATACAATGCGGAGCTTTGGCCGGGGAAGAAATTATGGTCGGCCACCGACACCGGATCGCCTTGGAATATGCAAGGCACAATGGATCTGCATTAATCCAGCCCCACTACACATATGAATTGCATGCACATCACACACTTCACATGCAGTTTAATACACGGGACAAATCAGAGGTAGAGCCGGCGACGCCTGAGCTTGAGCATGTTGTAGAACTCTTTCAATCAAAGAAAGCTTGCTAAACTAACAGACCCGCGCAACTTTACGTCTACGCAACAAGAGACCAGCACAGGGCTTTCCCCCAAGCACATGCCGTCACATCTGACATGTATCTTGGGTATCTTTCCCTCATGAGTGCCGGTTCACCTCCAAGCCTGCTAGTAGCAAGCTTCTTGTAGAGAAAACTGTACGTTGAAATTTTTTTCTCATCTCATCTTTTTGTTTACCACTTTGGCTCAGAGGCAGGAGCAGCGCCCTCAGCCCAGCCCTGGTTGCCAGTCTCGACGGCCTCGGTGGTAGTGGCAGCCCAGTCACCACCAGCACCCTCAGCATCCCACGAAGAAGCACCAGCACCGGCGGTACCGCTAGCAGCAGCGAAAGCAGAGCCACCAGCATTGCCGACCTCCCACTCACTGCTGAAACCAGCATCCACGGGACCAGCACCGACCTCGTCAGCGCCTGGAACCTTGGCCTCATCCTGACCGGCAGAGTCCTTGTTCTCCTCGGCTTCAGGGTCGCGGTAGAAGTACAAATCGGTCATGACGTMCCACTCGGTGTCGCGGGTCGCGAGGGTTCCACGCAGACGGAGGACCTCACGGGCGAGCATCCACCAGACGAGACCAATGGCGTGACGACCCTTGTTGTTGGTGGGGATGGCCACATCGACGTACTCGGTGGGAGAGTCGGTGTCACAGAGGGCAACGACGGGGATGTTGACGTAAGAAGCCTCCTTGATGGCCTGGGCGTCGGTGCGTGGGTCGGTGACGATGATCAGGCGGGGCTCCTTGAAAGAGCGGGTGATGTAGTTGGTGAAGTTACCGGGGGTGAAGCGACCGGCGATGGGGGAAGCACCGGTGTGGGCGGCGAACTTGAGGACGGCACGCTGACCGTAAGGACGAGCGGAGATGACGGCAATGTCGGCGGGGTTGTCAATGGTGGCGATGATGCGCGCAGCCAGGACAATCTTCTCCCTGGGGAAATGTTGTTAGCTTTGTTGGAGTGAAGCATGCCGAAATAGCCAAAAAAGCTCAAATGCGCGTTCTTGAGGAAGAATATGTCGCATCCGTTCCACAGCTATAATCCCATAGTGAACATACCAGGTCTTGCCAATGTTGATCACATTGATGCCGTCTGGACGAGTCTTCCAGAGGTAAGGCTCCATGTGGACCTGCATGTTCTTGGAGCCAATGTGGCACTGGGCCGACAAGAGCATCYCGATGTCCTGAGCGGTAGCATTGAAGCTCGCGGGGAGGTTGTTGGGAGCCATCTTTGCGGATTGTCGTGGAAGATGGGAGGGAAAGAGAGGGAGTAGATGAAGCGCGTAGTGGTGGTGGTGTGGAGGGGATCTACGGTGCGAAAATAATGCTTGGCGAGGAATATCTCGTATAGATTTCGGATCGAGAAAGTTGGCCTGAGGATGTGGAAATGCGGAGATGGGCTCGGTGGTGTCTTGAGGACTGCACTGGACTAGAAGATTGAAGATTCATTCCATTGCTTCCACGATGCCGCCCAGAATACCCGTCGCGCAATGCCTACGGGTGCAGAGTGGTAATGCATACCCTCTCGTGATCAATCGCAGACAATTCTAATCAAATACAGCATCATCACGCGCCTTCTCCTCAACATCCCGATCGAATGCCTCGACAGTGGCGCAAAAGAGAAAGCACCGAGATCCATACGCAATTGCCCAGGCGAATGCAAAGAAAGCTGCGAAWCTGAGTCGACAAGAGGTACTGCGGGTGGAAAGGGCGGGAAACCTGGGAGATCCTATTCGAGGCACGACGACCCCATTTGTACAATCATTTGACACGGCCACTCCCCCGACCGAATCATCGAAATCATCCACCACCGACAATGACAATCACCTCAACTTCTATCTCAGCAAAGATGAACTGGAGCAGGGCGTCGAGCACAGCAAATGGCTGACCCATCCCCTTCCCGAGGACCTATCTTCCACATCCTCACAGCCCCTCGACATCTCCCTCGACATCTCTCCCGAAGAAACTAACCTAACATCTCCCACCGACTACTCCGACGCCAGCAAACAGAGACTCCCCCCGGACGTGGCCAACAGCTTCAAAGACATATTGTCCAGCTTCTCCAACGAGTCGGACGCCCAAAAAAAGGAATGGGAAGAAACCAACCGCAGCATTCTCACAGACCTCACGCCCGAAGAACGCTCCAAGATTCTGGAAGAAGAACACAACACCGCTCAAGAAGCCCTCCGCCGCATCTCMTCCCTCTCATTATCCTCCTCCGCCGACCGTCTCCGCATCAACAAACAACGCTGTATTGACGTTTTTGGGAGACACAATACCGACCACTCCCTCCCACCCAAACCCGCTGCCGCTAACCCTCATGTCTTGCAAAAGGGTGAGCGCGTAGGTCCAGATACGGGGAGCTCGGAGGTTCAGGTGGCAATTCTGACGGCCAAGATTCGATCTCTGGCCGATTTCTTGGAGACTAGAGGCACGACGGACAAACACGGCAAGAGAGATTTGCGATTGTTGGTGCATCGACGGGCCAAGCTGTTGAAGTATTTGAGGAAGAAGGAGAGGGGTGGGCCGAGATGGCAGCATCTTGTCGAGACGCTGGGATTGACGGATGGGACGTGGAAGGGGGAGATTACGCTGTAGAGGGAGGTGTGTATCTCATAGGCATCATTGTACAGAATACGAAAGCGGGCTTGCAAGTACATGACTGGCATTTCCAAGTGAATCACTTCTAGGTCCATCACAATGTAGGAAAGAACGCCGCATTCCGTCCTTGTTGAAGAACGATGTCGAAGCTAAAGCTTCAAGCGGAGCTAGCTGCTCAGGCTCAGATTCCAGGTGACCTTTCCACAAAGGCATCGTCTCTCCCTCTCTCTGTCTCTCTGAAGCTGCCCCGCGGTCGTGTATTAGTCAATTGGCTTCTACTGTTCTGAGAGAATGTCGGAGGTGGCAGTTCTTCTTCTTCCTCCATGCCAGAGCTTCGACTTTTGGGAGATCTAGCATTTATGGGCCAAGGTGTCGTGGGTGGAAGTGGAAGGAAAGGTTCTGCTTCGGATATTGATGTTGATGGTGATTTGTTTCTAGTAGGGTAAGGGTTGGGGTAGTGATGATAACTTTTTCCAAGTGCCCTTGAATGGTGGGAGAATCTGTTTTGGACGTTGGAAGATGGACTGTTGACGGCGAACGTTCGATCGCTGTCTAGTATTGTGAAGCTGGGTGTTTTGTGGACACTGGTGTTCTTTGAGTCTTGGCTGAGCTATCGTTATGGCGTCTGTGACGATGGCCTCCTGGTCAGATGTGGTCATATCCCGGCAGTGCCACAATTGCATTACACTGAGAGGAGACGCCTACCCTGGGCGAAAGATCTTGACCGGATACAAGGAGCCCTGGAGGCGTGGAAGTAAAAGCACCCAAAGAATGTGTTCGCTCAGTCCTGCGTAAGCTCGATTCTTCTCCCTATCGATGGTGTTTTAAGAAGCAAAGCAAAGCTCGGTACGATCCATCAATGTAGACTGACAGGACCAGAACCTCCTCAATGTGTTTGATCAGTCATACTGGAAATCCTGCTCGTGCTCTTCACTCTCAGTCTTGAGAAGATGCAAATCGAAACCTTGGACATTCAGGGAGTCCATCAGCCAAGTCGGACATAGCCAATACACCCATGACAACCACGTCGCTCGATATCCTTTTCGGATGTACGTTGGCGTTGTCTCCTTTAACAGCTCCTCCACTGTACTCTCCGCGACAGCCCATCGATCATGTCCATTCGCTTCCTCAAACTCCCCTCCATACTTTGCATCCACGGCAGCTTTCACCGGCACATACAAAGACGTCTCGCCGATAGTCCCACCGATTCTATGTCGAAAGAACTCCGTCTTGACAGCCGAAGTAATCAACACAACAACCTTGACTCCCAGTGGTTCAAATTCCACCCTCATGGTATCGCTCAAACTAATCACCGCTGCTTTGGAAGAGGAATWTACTCCCATGAACGGCATGTTGAAGCCTTGCAGTCCGGATATACTCGCTTGATTCACAWCTATTCCCTTCCCGACACGCAGTAACGGAAAGAAAGCTTGCGTAACAGCCAGCATGCCCCAGACGTTGACTTCATACTCCTTTCTCGCTGCCCCGAGATCGGCATCGAGTAGAGGGACATAGTAGCCATATCCTGCATTATTGAAGAGGAAATGGAGAGTGCCGTCTGTGAGATGATGCACATATTCCAAAGCGGAGGCTATTGAGGATGGAGATGTCACGTCCAAGGGAAGTTCAATGAGGAAGCCGTGAGATGGCTCTTGGGGTGCGGTATGGGATGTTCTGACAAAGGATACATCTGTTGCTATGATGTTTATCCCACGGGTGAGGAGGGAGTGGGAGGTTGCTTCTCCGAGACCTCCTGGCGAGCAGCCGGTTACGAGGGCCCATTTCCTTTCTTTGATTCCAGGAGCCGACATCTCATGAAGTTCGTGTTCTTACGAGAATCTTGCTCCGAGAGAAAAAGGGCTGTGTGGTCATGTTATTCTTCGCTGTCGTGAGCTGAAAAACACCGTCGATAAGGCCACCGGCGCCGCGGGTTAGTGGTCATGCCTTCGAAGGTAATATCATAAGTTGCTGCTATTGAGGCCGAGTGGAAAGGGGTTTACGGTCGGTGAATCCTGCCGAAAACAAGCGTCCCACATGTTTAGAACGCGAGTGTGTACCAAATGGGATCCACTCTTCTTCACTCGCGTTCAACAACAACATCACACTCATTGCATTCAATGGATGTTCATTTTCTGGATGAGATGAATTCAGGAATACGATAACATGAAAGAAGCGGAAGCGTGGAAGGCCATCGCCACGGCAAATATCCTTCAAGCTCGAAGCAAAAGCGGCCGCAGGGGCACGAAGTCACGCACTGGCTGTCTGCTCTGCAAGCATCGAAGGGTCAAATGCGATGAGTGAGTGAACCGCAATGTGGAATGCGTGCTTCAAATTCCCCCCCCCTAGCCTCAAAGCTTGAGAATGCGTGCTAATCCTTTGCTTTTCATGATAGGGGTCGTCCTCGTTGTCAGCAATGCTCAACAGCAGGACGAAAATGCGAGTATGCGGGATCTAAGTCGCCACCAGAGCCCTCCCGATCTTCGTCTCCCAGCGAGGACAGCAGTGTCTCAACGATTGAGCGACAGTTGTCTCCGTGGGCTCTGAATCCCGGTGACAAACGAACATTTGACTATTTCCTTTCTTGGACGGCACCGCGGATGGGTGGTTCGTCGATGGACAAGCCGTTTTGGTGTGGTCCGATGCTTTGTAAGTGGYGCCTCACTTGCAGCTCTTACCTACGTCTAATATCACTGTAGCACTTGCTCAAAGCGAGCCTGTGATCCTCGATGCTCTGCTGGCCATCTCAATCCTTTATGAACATCCTCAATACATGAAGACATTCCTAACTAACAATGAACATTATCCCACACCCAGGGATCACCCTGCAATTTCTCCAGTCTCAAGCATTGATAACAACTATGCATCTGCGCTGCGATACTACAATCGATCGATGAAGACATTGAGGAAGCAAGTCGAAGCCAACAAGGCAAGCACACTGTTGGCGTTGGTCTCTTGTATGCTTTTCACATGCATCGAAGTCATCAGAGATTCCGTCTTCTCGGCTCTCGCCCTCCTCACGAATGGAATCAAGCTGCTCGAACAAGTCAGCTCTTGTCCTCTTGCTTCGGATGATGCGCTTTTCAAACCAACGAGGCAGATTTTGATCAGGATGAGTCTTACAGCTGCTGCGTTTGGGCATTGGCTGCCGATTGACATCACCCCTCATCCTTTCATCGGCGGGGAAGACGTCGTGTTCCATAGTCTGGAAGATGCTCGCGATGCGCTGTTTGCGCTCAATCAGGGTGCGTATCTTATATGGAGGTGACTCTTGTTGAACCGTCTAACCTACTATAGACGGTCATAGATTTCTGCAAGATGCTGCGCGGTTGTGGAAGGAATTCACAGAGGCGTCAGATGCCTCACATCCCGACAATCAATCCAACTTGGACACCTCACCATTCGAACATCTATCGGATCCGGAGGAAGACCAATCTCAAAACCAAGACGACGTACTCTACACCCTTCGCTACGGCTGCAGCGCAGAAGCAGCGGTCACGAAACATCCAGGCCAAGAAGACATCCCCTTCATGCTCTACGAGGCAGCCATGTACGGAGATTTGTCCCTACTCATACCTCCTGTCATCCAAACTGCGGGCGACGATCTAGAGCATCGTATTCGTGAGTGGTACCACGTGTTCGTGCGCAGTGGACTTGCCAGAGACCATGACGATGCGGCGTGCAGCTTGCAGATGCTCTACCATGTGTTGCTCGTGAGTGTTGCGGTTCGAATGGCACCCATGCAGACCGCTTTTGATGACTATACTTACCACTTTCGGGAAATTCTTCGATTGGCGGCGGCCTACAATACAAAGAAGTCGGTTGAGAGAGCGGTGTTTACGTTGGAGGTTGGAGCTCTCGCGCCACTTTGGTAAGGATGCCGTGGGGGATGATGCAGGCGGTGAAACTAACATCCATTTCAGGTTCGTGATCTTGAAGTGTCGGATTCCGTCTCTACGAAGGCAGGCTTTGAGTCTACTTTCGACGGGCGTTGAAAAGGAGTCCGTCTTTGGAGCAAGGTCTATGGGCGAGATTGGCGTACGTATCATTGCATTCGAAGAGCAAGGTCTTGGGCTTTCCTTGCCATCACTGGGACGCACTTCCCCAATGCAGGATATTGACGATGATCGCACACCCTTCGAGGAGCAGAGGATCCAGAACCTCGAGATTCTGGTTAATAGAATTGTGGGGAGATTTGAGGTGCGGCTTACGCGATATCTGAGAGGAGCAGAGGGACGCCTTTACAAGGATGTCACGGACGTGCCGCTGTGAGTGGGCCGCCGCCGCCGGCGAGTCGCTTCATATCGGAGATTCCGTTACTGTTCGCGATGGTGTGCCGATTTCCGCGATGGCGTGCCAGATCTTCGACCAGGCAAGCAGGAGGACGAGATGACACTCTTGCAGAAGCCAGGGGAAGCCCATACCCCGAGCAAGGTTCGACGTCACCGGCACATCGGCAAGAGCTTCTTCGCAACGTCCTTTTAGGGGATGGCGTCAAAGGAACAATTAATGTCTCTTGGCGTTCCGCCGGTGAATGGTCAACAGCGCCAGTCTCTTGGCCCAACCCGCGCTAAACGCTGGCTGTAACTCGCATAGAGTTCACTGGAGATTCCTCAGGCTTAACAGCGTTACAGCGCCCAGCCCTCGCTGTGATCTGCAGAGATTACCAGTGGTCGTAGTCAGGCCCGACCGTTGACGTGTTCTGCCCAGGCAGGACCTCGAGACGCAGACACAGCATAAATGCGCGTGCAGGGAAGTTACACATCTGCAGTAGTGCACCTACTGTACGCGCTCGCGGCGAAAGCCGGCGAATCCCAGGGGTCGATGCATGGGGACCTTGAAGGGGCATTATACGGACACTTCTTGGTGGTGGCCTGAGTCGACCGATGTCTCTATATACACATCTACTCGAGTATTGAGATCCAGCTCTACTCAGGGGTAAACCGATTAGATTCACGAAGCAAACCCGGCTCTCGTCGAGGGATCTGGTGAAAGCAGTCGGACGGATCTGACGACAACACCGCGCGAGAGCATCGGCATCGGATCACCAAAGCAATTGTGTTCACCGCTGCACGGAGCATCGCTCTGCATGTTGCCGAAGCAGACCCCTGGAAGTAAGTCAGAGGATCATGCAGCTTTTACAGTACTAAATCCCTGCGAGGACACTTCACAATCTCTTCACACCGCCCCTGCTAGCGCGAAAGGTGAAGAGACTGACAGGCCTCCCCACCGACCACAGCATCTGCTGTACACACAAACTTCTTCACAACCACAGAATTCGCACGTGCAGCGAAGCGAAGCCTTTTAAAACCGGGCCGATGGCACTACTGTCTGCACAATCAAATCGGCTATCACCCTTACTTCCCTGTACCTTGTGTCCAATCTCTATACCAGGTTGCTTTCTCGCCATGGTTGGGTAGCTTCAAGTTCACGACGCCAATTCGCTTCGGCTCGTGGTGCCGGGCTGTGCATATCTCCCCCCGCGAGGCGAGCGGCCCTTCGCTAGATCTTGCAGGACAAACCACCACGCCGAGCACGCTTATGTGGCATCTCGTGGGGCCGTGGGTGGTATCGGGTTCGCTGCAGGATCATGGTGAGCAAAAGAGGAGGATATGTCCGATGTGTTCTGCACGAAATCGCATAGTCGAAAGTCGTGCTGGTCGTTATCCCTGCTACGATGAACTGCTCGGGCACTTTGCATCTCGCTCGGCAACAGACCTCATCGCGGAAACTCGCGACCACAATGCACAATGATGGTGGGGGCGCGAATGTAACGCTGTATTGCTGTGGATCTTCCTTTCACAGTGACACATGTGGCATGTAAAAACTATGCATATCTGGTACGGACCAGTGATTGATTGGTGTTTATCAATAATAATCTGCGGGACTCGTCGAGGGCACTGTCTTCAGAAAGCGGTAACAGCAAGCACCAATGTCAATAATAATCGCGAATTCCTTTTCGTTCTGATGCCCACCGCTTCGGATTTGTTCCGCGTACACTGCACGTGGAGGTGAACAGTATTGTGCAAATCCTCGCTCATTCGTATTCGGAACGGACAGAGCGTCGCTGCAGGCGTGCAGATGCGAAGCAGGGATCCGATCCAACATCACCCAATAACGATGGAACCCCTTCCCTGACCATTGCAAACAGGTTCTAGCCTCTGCAGGCGAGCAGATGCGTAGCAGGGATGAGATCAACATCACCCAATAACGATCGAAACCCCACCCTAACCATTGCGGACAGATTCTAGCCTCTGCTGTGGGATACCAGTCCTGGCCAATGAACTGCCCGATCAGGCGAGAATGCCACGGCAGTCTCGCTACCAAGGATTCAAAAGGTTTTGCAACTACCTGAACAGTTGACCGCCGTTGACAAGCATTTCGCGAACCTTCCCCTGGTGCTGCGACACGTGCACAGCGGGAGGAGAGGCGTTGCAAGGAAGCCTGTCACCCTGGATTTGGAGATCTGTACTGCTGTCCCGGCCATCCCCACAGCATTCATGCCGGCTCTGGCGTGCAATATACGTGCAACCACTATCTGAGGTTAGCCATGCAAGCCACGGCATCGCAATCCGCGTCCGCGCCCAGCTGGCTTCACTCTGTTGGTTTGGAGGGTGGGCCTTTGTTGAGACGGGTCTAATGTACTCTCCACACCATAGCGTTGATTGAATGGACCGCCGATGCTGATCAGGCGAAATTGGTCTGAATCTCTCGCATGACATAGTCCAGGGTTAATTGTGATCAATCATCGATGGCTGCTGCTTCGCCCCACCACCATTCCTGGTTTATTACAGGTGAAAGGAATGTCGTGCAACCTTTCACAGTGGCGTGCAGCACACGAAACCAGGGTTGACAACGGGGCATCTCCAGAATGATGTTGGGAGCAAACGCAACAAGCTGAGTGTTGTTAAAAGAAGAAGCCTGTTCTTTGGGCAACCACAACACGACGCCTCGACAGCCTTTTGTGCTTCAACAATCGCAAATCCCGACCAAATTCTTCTTTGATAATCTCTCAAGCAAGTTGCAGAGATGAGTTCGTACGCACAACAGTATGGCCCTGGCCAGGTCTGGTACTATGAGGAGCCACCTCGGTCAGCTCCACCACCAGCTCCTGTTGTGCCTGTGAGATACTCCCATCACTCGGGAGATTTGTACAATCAGCCGCCCGTGTACAACAACTATGCTCCAGCCGATCCAGTACATCCCATCCAGAGCTCGACGACGTCGTTTGGCACTCCCACGACACCATTTGATACTCCCGCACCCTCCTTCGACAACTCCACCACCAGTGCTCGTCAGACAACTTCACCCGTGAGCGGTTCCGACCGCCGGCGATATCGGATCAAGCGGATACGTACTGTGAGTGTTGAGGGTATCCCTTGGAACGGCCAAGGGCTTATTTTTCTAACGCTTCGCAGGCTTGTGAAGAGTGTCGGAAACGCAAGCAGCGTTGCGATGGCAGCGAATATTGTGGTCCTTGTGTGGAACAAGGCACCCACTGCCGCTACCGGGACATACCGCCCGCAAAGTACGTCCACCGTTATCGCCATCAAAGCAACATTGTACTGATTGTCCCTCCCAGGAAGGACGCCATGATCCAGAAGATGCTACAACTGGTCGAGCAGCATAGCGAGTACCTCGAAAGCATCACCGAAGACATCGACGGCATCAATCGGTCGTTGAGAGACGTCGAGAAGAGACTGCCAAAACAGAAATGATGGCCAGGAGTTTCGGTGGCGTAATCGAGACACACAGCATGTGTTATGAATATTCTTATATGGTCCATTTTCCTTTGGGGGACCATTGTACTACGTTGTAGATGAGGAGATGAACCCGTCATGCCTTATGCAATCATTTGGACGGAGAAATGACAGCTACTCCGGCGTCAGCTGAAGAGATCTTCCTCCTCTCACCTTTCTTTCTCTGGCGCATTGTGGTCGTGGGAAACCGCTTCTTGGTCCCACATGCCATGCATTCCAGCACCAGCATATCTGCATGCGGCTTTTGACCACCGCGAGACAGATTCTCGGTGAATTTATAGCATGTCTCTCCCTCGAGCAGAACTCMATTGCAAGTCTTGCAAAAGCCGCGCTTGACCGAAGTGTCCAGGCGGATTTGAGCCTTTAAAGCGACCTGACGCAGCTGAGAGGAAAGATGGTGAGGAAGACCTGTAGTGGTGGAATGTGATGGTTTGACTCCCGCGACTGACGATGTGTCCAATCCATCCGATGGAGGTGCACGAGTGAGCGARGCATCCGCATGATCTTGCGAGTCCTTCGAAGCACGTGCTAGATGCAACGCTGCTTGGTGAAGAAATGCGACTCGCGCATGGAGGTGCCTGTTAGGCACGCCTTTTGCGCCTTTGATCTTTTCTTTGGCCATCCAGTGGAATGTTGTAAACCGCTGTTCATGTGTATGAATGTTTATATATATATGATGAAGTCATAGACAGAAGTGGTGGAAAAAGCCCAATGACAGCTGACATAAGCGTTCGCGAGGAAGGAGCGGACCTTTGCTTTGTCAAGACCACCTCTCCATTCTTCATTCCATCACCACCCGAGCAAATTTCGCCGCAACCAGWAGCAATCATCATCTCTCATCCTCCGACGATCGCCGCATCCTCATCGTCGAGTAAACTCGCCAGCCTCATCACCGCTCCACCCGACTCGAGCAGGCTACAGCTCGACCGCGCGCGACAACATCTTCCACCTCCCCCACTAACACACGCGTCACCGCCATCATGTCCGCCGGCGAAGAAGATCTCATCGATTACTCCGACGAGGAGCTTCAGCCAACTGACGGCGCAACCGGTGCTGCTGCCTCCAATGGCGATGCCAAGAAGGGCGATGCTGGAACTGGCGACAAGGCAAAGGGCAGCTACGTCGGAATCCATTCGACCAGTTTCCGCGACTTCCTCTTGAAACCCGAGCTTCTCAAGGCTATTACGGACTGCGGCTTCGAGCATCCATCTGAGGGTTAGTCATCTCCGTAAATCCTGATTAGAGCCCACCAGCGAGTCCAGCCCGAGCGAGCGAGGAGCGTCCGTCCACAATCCATCTAGTCCATCAGAAAAGGCTCGAGTATGGAGCGCGCACAAACTAGCCATTGAAAGCGGGGAGAATCAGAGATTTCATGCGCAAGGCGCGTTGAGCCAGTGTGCTGTGCACCTGCGAGTTGGGGCATGCATGTCGCGCGATGAGGAACAATGAAGGAGCTGTTGCATACAACGACACTAGGATGGTGTTCGGGACTTGCGCGGCGAGGCGCATGGCGAAGAACGTGGAAGGCTTGACCATCACGATCTGACCGCTCGCGATCAATGCGTCGTGCTTGGCTAAGAACGCGACACGGATGTGATAGACTGATGGATGGATGGACGGATGGACGCTCTTCTCGCGCTTTTTCTTCATGCGAAACCATTGGACGAACACTCTCTAACATATCACTCCAGTGCAGCAAAACTGCATCCCTCAGGCCATCCTTGGAACCGATGTTCTATGCCAGGCCAAATCTGGTCTCGGTAAGACAGCCGTCTTTGTGCTGTCGACTCTTCAGCAGATGGAGCCCGTAAACGGCGAGGTCAGCGTGCTCATTCTATGCCACACCCGCGAATTGGCTTTCCAAATCAAGAACGAGTACATTCGTTTCAGCAAGTACATGCCTGAAGTGAGAACCGAGGTCTTCTACGGAGGCACCGACATCAAGGAGAACGAGAAGATTCTCAAAAACAAAGAGACCCACCCACACATCATTGTCGCAACCCCTGGTCGTCTCAACGCTCTGGTTCGCGAGAAGAAGTTGCGTCTTGGAAGTGTTCAGCGCTTCGTTCTGGACGAATGTGACAAGATGCTTGACCAGATTGGTRAGTTGTTCTTCATATGCTGAGACTGAACGTGCTCTTGCTAACCATGAATAGACATGCGCCGCGATGTCCAGGAAATTTTCCGTGCTACCCCAACACAAAAGCAGGTCATGATGTTTTCCGCGACGCTCTCACAAGCAGTCCGACCCATCTGCAAGAAATTCATGCAGACTCMGCTGGAACTGTTCATCGACGACGAGAAGAAGCTCTCCCTCCATGGTCTTCAACAGTTCTACATCAGCAGCAAGGAAGAGGAGAAGAACAGGCGCCTGAACGACCTGCTCGACGAGTTGACTTACAACCAAGTCATCATTTTCGTCAAGAGCAGCAGCCGTGCGCAAGAGCTCGACCGTCTCTTGGTGGAGTGCAACTTCCCATCCGTTTGTGTCTATGGCMACCTCCCTCAGGAAGAGCGGTACGTATCCCTTGATCGCATTCGTGTTGAGTGTGCACTAACAAACTTCACAGTATCAAGCGCTACACAGCCTTCAAGAATTTCGACAAGCGTATCTGCGTCAGCACTGATGTTTTCGGTCGTGGTATTGATATCGAGCGTATCAACCTGGCTATCAACTACGACATGCCAGACTCTACCACCAACCCTGGCGCATCCGACAAGGAGTCGCTCAACCAAGCTGCTGACACCTACCTTCACCGTGTCGGCCGTGCTGGTCGTTTCGGTACCAAGGGTGTTTCCATCAGCTTCGTCAGCTCCGAGCGCGACATGGAAGTGCTCAAGACAATCGAGGCTCGTTTCGAGAAGAAGATTGATGAGTACCAGGAGGGTGGCCAGAACACCGTTCTGAAGGAGGGCGAGGAGTAAGGAAAACGTGGATATGCATTGCGCTCTGCGATAGACAGGGGAATGGGCGTTTCCTTGAGAATGGGATGGGGATGATACTTGGTTGTGGGATCGAAATGAAAGGCTTTCTTTAGGCTTATCGAATGTACTACCACAAAAAGCGACTCGGCTTTGACCTGCTTATTTTGTCTCGCTGTGCACTGTAATGAACGGCGAGAACGATGAATGGAGTGGGTGGGCATAGTCTTTGACGAAGGAGTTGATGGCTTGTCTTGAGCCATTCACATGCGAAGTAACCGTCAAGATTCATTCTATCCATGCAGTATGCACCGTCAACAACGAGGTTCAATACATAGAGGAGGAGGCTGCACAGTGTGCTGACGTTTCTGACTGAATTTGGCCGCTGCTTCTTGATTTCGTGCCAATTATCTTGACGCCATCACTTTCGCCGACGAGTCTTCGCCAAGGCGGAGCTTAGCGAGCCACTTCGAGAATCGAACTGCCCACCACTCTGTCAATTTCGCTTTGAGGAGGACAACTAACCACAGCACAACACCGCCGCTATGCGTACCTACGAAGACACCTTCAGCGGTCAGAAGATCTACCCCGGAAAGGTGTGTAATTTGCGCTCCGATTATTGCGCGTCTGGATGCGAACAGCCCGAATTCCGCTCCCAAGTGTCATGTGTGAGGATGATGGTGCAAGATGGTGGATTGGCTCGAGTGCATGGGTGGTCAGATATGGCGGACACAGGTCACTGCAATTTGTGCACTTGGTGTCGGTGGTGATGGGATATGCAAAGAGTGGATGGAGATTTGAGGAGAAAGTGATGATATGGGACGACACAACCACACATGACATTTGGCGCGTGGGCGTTCGCGCGGGACAGCACATTTCATGGCCTATGAACACGCAACTGACAGCGTGATGTACAGGGCAAGCTCTTCGTCCGCTCGGACAGCAAGATCTTCCGTTTCCAGAACGGCAAGACCGAGTCCCTTTTCCTCCAGCGCAAGAACCCTCGCCGCATCGCGTGGACCGTCCTCTGCCGGAGACAGCGGAGAAAGGGTATCTCTGAGGTATGCAGAAATGGGATGTGTCCTGTTGGAAGATACAATTGCTCACACTCCATCACAGGAGCAAGCCAAGACCCGCCGCCGCAAGCAGGTCAAGTCTCAGCGTGCTGTCGTTGGTGCTTCTCTCGATGTCATCAAGGAGCGCCGCTCAATGAGGCCCGAGGCCCGCTCTGCCGCCCGCGCAGAGGCCATCAAGGCTGGCAAGGAGAAGCGCAGCGCCGCACAGAGCGTCAAGAAGGCTGAGAAGGCCAAGACCGCGGCTCACACCACCGGCCGGTATGTTCATCTACATGAATGCAACTTGATAATCCAATACTAACCACATCGTAGTGTCGTTGGAAAGCAGGGCGCCAAGGGAGCCGCACCAAAGGTCAAGGCTACGACCCGCTAAACAAAACAAATGCAACGGCTTGATGTTTTCGGTGAGCATGAGGGATGCATAGGGATGGACCACGGTTGTCCTCGAGACATGGCAATGCTGCACATACGTCTGCGGATGGGCAGACGCAGCGGAGTTCTTAGGCTTGACATTTGCACCAACGGCTTTTCCTGCAACACCATAGTGATCCCAAAAATGAGGTTGTGAAGGTGTTTGATTGAAAATCCTTTTTAACGATGTGAAACATGTACTGTGTCAAATCTTCATCCTTCATCCCTAGGTATCATAATCGTTCCGGTGAGAGGCCAGTTTTTACATGCTGCGCTACATTCAGGCCTGCGATATCCCGCGGTCAAAATCCAGCTGCACGTGCTAGCCCTATAGGTCGGAAGTCTGGTTTTTGGTAGAGAGGTATCGGAAGGCCCCGCAGCAATTTTCGGGTCGTTGTGATCCCTTAAAATAATTTTATGAGAGGGGCTCTCTCCGTCTCTCCCTGAACACCCACCACCTGTCCTAGCGACAACTCTCCTCTCTGTGTGGAATTTGCATTTTACGGCCTCAGCAGAAACATATACTGCTCTAGGCTACCCTCGCGCTATCTGAAGAACCCAGCGACATCACCATCGGCCGTCAGTCCCTCTCTGGATTTGTGCGGCGTCGACGAAGATTTCCACGTCCGCTAGAGGATGCCTCACATCGAGTCTCCTACAATGTCGACTCCCACCATGGTCGCCAGCAAGAGTGCGCCGCCGTCACCAGACGACGTGGCTGCCCTTTCCGCCACAATCTACACCTCCAAAACCTCGCAGGAGTCACTGGACGCCTCATACGCAATGACGGACATCATGCTCAACAGTGTCGGTGTTCGCGGTCTTTCACAGTACAACTTGATTGCCGATGCGCTCAAATTTGCCTCGGACAAGAAAAACCCTGGCCGAAGGGAGGGTGCCATGTTCGCCCTCGGTGCTATCTTTGAGCGCTTTCCACCCAAGGCGCGCCTCAGCGAGGTTGTCTTCCTTCTCCAGGAGGAAACTCTATTCCCGTGCGTCTTGGACGCACTAGCCGACCGAGGAGCCGCTGTCAAGGAGGGTGCTCGTTACGCTATTGATGCTCTTTACGGTCACTTGTCCTCCGAGGCCAAAGTCTACGGCCTGCTTCCCCTCCTCATGACATATTTGCGCAAGAAGACGGGAAAATGGCAGGGTACCGTCGGTGCTTTCGAGCTTATCGGACGCATGGCCGACGATGCCAAGATTGGAATGGAAAGCAAGGAGATTGAGGAGAACAAGGACCTGCTACGTGAAGCACTGGGCAAGCATTTGGCCACGATGATCCCAATCGTCGAGGGCGGTATGCACGACCTCAAGTCCGAGGTCTCCAAGCAGTCGCACAAGACCATGAACAGTCTCACAGGCCTGCTCCAGAACGACGATGTGGCACCACGCATTCCGCTTCTGATAAAGAGCATGGAGGACCCAAGTGAAGATGCGCAGAGAAAAGCGATTCACGCGCTCAGTCAGACGACCTTCGTGACTGTTGTCACATCTCCAGTGCTTGCACTCCTCACACCACTTTTGGAGCGCGCTCTCAACACCCCCACCACTCCTCAGGAGGTTCTCAGACAGACTCTTGTTGTCGTAGAGAACTTGACCAAGCTTGTGCACGATCCAGTCGAAGCACGAGCTTTCTTGCCAAAGCTCAAGCCTGGTGTACAGTCTGTTCGCGATCGTGCATCCCTCCCCGAAGTGCGCGAGATCGGTCAAAGAGCTCTGGATGTTATTCTGAAGGCGATTGGTGAGGTTACGAACGGCGCCGATGACCGCTCCCACCAGCCAATTGAGCGAACCAGCGCCGACGAGGTCGCTGCCCTACTTGAGAAGGAGATCAAGAAGAACGGAGGCATGCTCAACTACCCTGGCGATTCAGAACTGTGGCCACACGCCAAGAAGTTCATTTCGGACAGCGTTGCTGAAGATGCCAACCAGCGTGCTTTGACCCGCATTGTCCGCAATGTTGAGCCCTACCTCCAGCCTCTGCTGGATGACGGCAAGGCAGCACTCGTTGCCCAGGCCTTGCTCGAGTTCTACACATCTGAGGATGCTCGCAAGTTTGGTGTGCCCGAGAAGGAAGACGACGGCGAGGTCGAGATTGTTAATGCCAACTTCTCCCTCGGATACGGAGGCATGCTGCTGCTTTCCCACACAAACCTGCGTCTGCTCAAGGGCCACAGATATGGTCTTTGTGGCCGCAACGGTGCTGGAAAGTCTACCCTGATGCGCTCCATCGCCACCGGCAAGCTTGACGGTTTCCCATCTCAGGATGAGGTCAAGACCTGCTTCGTTGAGCACAACCAGGGAGAAGACGCCGAGATTACTATTCTTGACTACTGCCTTAAGGATGAAGCAATCAAGAGCGAAGGTCGTGAGCGTATTTCTGCTGTCCTGGAGGAGGTCGGCTTCAGCTCTGGACCTGATGGTCGTCAAGAGCAAAAGGTCGGCAGTCTTTCTGGTGGATGGAAGATGAAGCTCGCTCTCGCCAGAGCCATGTTGATGCGTGCTGATGTCTTCCTGCTCGACGAACCCACCAACCATTTGGATGTTGCCAACGTCAAGTGGCTCCAAGAGTACCTGAAGACCCACACCGACATCAGCTCTCTGATTGTATCTCACGACTCCGCTTTCTTGGATGAGGTCTGCACAGACATTTACAACTACGAAAACAAGAAGCTGGTCCACTACAAGGGTAACCTCGCCGATCTGGTCAAGGTTCGCCCAGAAGCCAAGAGCTACTACACCCTCAGTGACTCTCAGGTTCAGTTCAGATTCCCTCCCCCTGGAATCCTCACTGGTGTCAAGTCCAACACTCGTTCCATCCTCCGCATGACCAACTGCACATTCACATATCCTGGTGCCACGAAGCCCAACTTGCATGAAGTCAGTGGTGCCCTTACTCTCAGCAGTCGTGTGGCAATCATCGGACCCAACGGTGCTGGTAAATCCACCCTCATCAAGGTCCTCACCGGCGAGACCATTCCTCAGACTGGTCGTGTCGAGAAGCACCCCAACTTGCGTATTGGCTACATCAAGCAGCACGCGCTTGAACACGTTGAGATGCATCTTGAGAAGACACCCAACCAGTACCTTCAGTGGCGTTATGCCAACGGTGATGACCGTGAAGTGCTCATGAAGCAGACCCGTGTCCTCACTCCAGAGGACAAGGCACAGATGGACAAGTTCATCCAGATTGGAGACGGCAAGGGCGCTCGTCAGATCGAGGCTCTGATCGGTCGTCAGAAGTACAAGAAGAGTTACCAGTACGAGGTCAAGTGGGTGAACGAGCTTCCAAAGAACAACACCATGGTTTCTCGTGAGACGCTTGTTGAGCTTGGCTACCAGAAGCTCATTCAAGAGTTTGACGACCACGAGGCCAGTAGAGAAGGTCTTGGTTTCCGTACACTGGAGCCGAAGGTCATCTCCAAGCACTTTGAGGATATCGGCCTGGATCCCGAGATTGCCAACMATAACGAGATTAGCGGCCTGTCTGGTGGACAAAAGGTCAAGGTTGTGCTTGCTGGTGCTATGTGGTGAGTTGGATTGACAGTCTAGATGAAGGGCAAGACTAACACAATCGCAGGAACAACCCGCATTTGCTCGTTCTTGATGAGCCTACCAACTTCTTGGACAGAGATTCTCTCGGAGGTCTCGCTGTCGCCATTCGCGACTACAAGGGAGGTGTTGTCATGATCTCCCACAACGAAGAGTTCGTCGGTGCTCTCTGCCCTGAGCAGTGGCACGTCAACGATGGTCGCCTGACACAAAAGGGTCACCTCGCTGTGTCTCTCGACCGTTTCGAGGACTCGCGCCCCGGTTCCTCTCTTGCATCTTCTGCAGCTCCTAGCACGGCTGCAAGCTCTGCCGCCCCATCTGCCAATGGTACTCCCATGGGTTCTGGTGCACAGAGTGAAGCCGAGGATGGTGGCGATCTCAAGTTCCGTGCTCGCAAGAAGAAGACGAAGCTCACACGTGCCGAGAAGAAGGAGCAGGAAGTTCGCCGACGTCTGAGACACATCGAGTGGCTCAACAGCCCCAAGGGTACACCTCACCCTCCGGACTCTGACGCCGAGGAGTAATGGTTGAATGGCGAAGGACGAGAAATCTAATCTTCTGCATTTCTACAGAGGGCATGCCTTTCTCATACGATGCTCACGCTTTGAGACTGGTGGCCGAGGCGTTGCGGAGTTCTATACAGTGATGATTACGGGGCTGATGAAGCAAAGCGGAGCAGTAAAAAGTGCATTTTCCGGCGTTGCCTTCGTTTGGGTTGAAAGATGCGATTGAGATTCCCTGGCTCATTGCCTGATTGATAGATGGATAGAATAGTACGCTCGTGATGATTGTCGTGCGAACGAAATGCAAACGTTACACTGTTGTATGCTCTTCAACGTGGTGATCTCGTCTTGCTTTTTCTGATTCCTTCAGCATTTGGTCTGTCGAAAGAGCCAGTGTTGATTTGGTTGCTAAACACATGCTCGAAAGCATCATTCGAAGAAGATCCGCCGACATGTCTTTGGAAAACAGTTCAATATTATTCAATCATCGTATCGATCTTGACCACACTCTATGCGGGAGCACTTTCCTCCCAGTCGAGGAGGAATTGCTTGGCAAAAAATCATCAGTCAGCCACTAAGCATCTTCCACATCGAATTTCGCTGCACCTGCAACTTTTCCCCGCCCGCTTCTCCCACGACTCACCATTAATCACCCAGGTAAGCAATCCTCTTGTGCTGGCAGGGCTGAGAGTCTTCGCTGCAGTCGCCGCTGCAATGAAATTGGAAAGCGCAAGAAAGAGCTTGTGGAAGCCGGGAAGTGATGGAATGCCAGGTCGAGGCAGTTTATATGGACAACCATGCCACCCAAAGCAGATGCATGTGCGCGACAGTCTATGCGATTGCTTTGGGGGCATCGGCGGCAAAAATCAAGGCAGACGCGCATTGGGAMAAAACATGAGCAGCGGCTGCAGAGTGCAGCGAAGACAATTGAGACTTGGCGGCAGGATATAGAGGTTCAGTGCAAACGCTGACTTTTTCCTCTCAGGACTCCACGCCACAGGAAGCCAGGATGCAGTCCACCACAGCCCCAGCCCAGGCCATGAGCGGAGTCAACATCTCCAAGCGCCGCAAGTTCGTCGCAGACGGTGTTTTCTACGCCGAGCTCAACGAGTTCTTCCAGCGCGAGTTGGCTGAGGAAGGTTACTCCGGTGTCGAGGTCCGCGTTACCCCCACCGTCACCGACATCATCATCCGTGCGACACACACCCAGGAGGTTCTTGGAGAGCAGGGACGCCGCATTCGCGAGGTCAGTTTGGAAGGATATGAAGTAGGATGGGGACGAATACTGACCCCATAACAGCTCACCAGCTTGATCACCCACCGTTTCAAGTTCCCAGCCGACAGCGTCTCCCTTTACGCCGCCAAGGTTCAGTCCCGTGGTCTTTCCGCTGTCGCCCAGTGCGAGTCTCTCCGCTACAAGCTCCTCAACGGTCTTGCCGTTCGTCGTGCATGCTATGGTGTCCTTCGGTGGGTTGCATGAAAGCCCTATACTTTAGACTCCTTGACTGATAACAATATAGCTTCATCATGGAGTCTGGTGCCAAGGGTTGCGAGGTTGTCGTCTCCGGAAAGCTGCGTGCTGCTCGTGCCAAGAGCATGAAGTTCACCGACGGATTCATGATCCACTCCGGTCAACCCGCCAAGGACTTCATCGACCACGCCACTCGTCACGTTCTCCTCAGACAAGGTGTGCTCGGAATCAAGGTCAAGATCATGCGCGCTTCGTCCACCCCTGGTGACCCAGCTGGCGAGAAGGCCGGCGGTAAGGGTCTCCCAGACTCCGTCACCATCATCGAGCCAAAGGAGGAGCAGCCCATCCTCGCACCAAGCTCGACAGACTACGGTGCCAAGGCCGCTCAGGCCGCTCAAAATGCCGCTGCACAGCAGGCGGCCGCACAGGAGGAGGGTGCGCCTGGTGAGGAGAGCGCAGCACCGGCTCAGGAATACTAGTCGATGTGTGATGTTCTACGAAGTCCCCTACCTCAAGTCACGGTCATGGAAATCGGAGTTGGCAGAGGAAAGCGTTGATTCATGGTGTTTTATGGTTAAGCCCAGACAGAGACTTCTTCTTTAAGTCAATGAGGCAGTACTACTTACAACGAATTCGAGCCGACTCCGCACAGCCTGAAGTTGGCGAGTTGTTCATGATGTTGTCTTGAATCGTTTCCATGTTTCAGTGTATGCCTGAGCGTACGATCTCCTGATCAACTGGACTCTTTGCCACTGTGGTGGTTACTCACACGTGTCTGCTGCCAGGACAACAGGAAGCACTTCCGTCCAAGCCGATGCTGTTATGTTGCTTCATGAAACAGTGCACGCTCTCACATTTTGTCGTGCGGCAATTGTGAGCCGAGATCCGGAGGCGGGTTCGGCGGCGATCGTTTCGTCGAATCGTCGGCAGGGTCCTCCAGCTCGCGACCTCTAACAAACATCGGAACGCGTCTCAACATCACCAACGATCACCTTGTATCTTGGCTATTCCAGATCCTTCAGAGGGCTACACTGACACTATACAAAAACCGTGGGATCAATCAGCAAGACTTCCATCCCTCACGAAGCTGCTCGCAAGGTTTTCGACGCGTTGGAAGCTCCAACGAGCATTATGCAAACAAACAAAGAACCCGGTGCTGGCGCTGGACCCATGTCGGCTCACCCAGGCAGCAGGAGCAATGCATCTTCTGGACGTCGCGTTCTGGGAGATATGTCTCCCAATGTTCGAGCCTCAGCAATACCTCCCGCCAGTCATTTGACCAAGCCAATGGCGGGGAGTCCCCTCAAACGGAGCTTTACGGCTGCTATGGAAGGCAACGGCTTCAAGTACTTCAAGAAGCGGAGGCTGTCCAGTGAAACGCCGCTCCATCAACAGTACCACTCTCATGAGAATCAGGACAGTAACCGAAGCGCCGCGAGCGTTGGACATGCCCATGTATGAATGGACTACCAGACCTAGTCCTGATCATCACTAACGTCGACACAGCCCGTTCCAGCTCAGACGCAGGTACCTGTACCAAAAATTGAAACATCTTATCCAACAGAGCCCAACACACCAACATCTGAAGACGGCAATGCCAATGTTGTTGAAGGATCTTCCGGGGAACGAGCATCCTTCTCCTCCCTCATCAACTACGACCCATCATCCCAGACACTTCCTCCGAGCGGATCTCAACAGGACCACGCAAGATCTGGATTTGTGTTCAATGGTCCTTCTCGTGCTGAGCTACTTCGACTTCGCCTCAAGGTAGCCATGTTCAAAGTACGGACGAATCAAGTCGCCATCCCGTTTGAAGAGCTAGAGCCGGAAGCCAAATTAAGCACTTCCGTAGCGGTGGAAGGTGCTGTCGCTCTACTTCGCGACCAAGCTCGAGCAAGGATGGCCCAAGCACCTCCGCCGCCTCCGAATGTCATGCTCKCAGCTCCAGTGCTGAAGCCTACGAGTTATAGCAGTCGAATGTTGTATGGTCCGGCGGTTTCGAGCTCTCCTCCAGCCGCGTCGCTTGCGGGTCTGTCTCGGGGGTCCGGAGGAATGGAGACGCCTGGGAGGAGATACGTACAGGACGATGCCGAATTGACAAGTAGTACTGTCAAGGGAAGGGTTGCAGAAGGGCTGTTGGGATTAAGGCATGGTTTTTGVGGTGTTGATAATACGACGGACGCTTCCCAGAAAGGAGATGCGATGACATGGTGGCTTCCATGGCTGTACGATGAGAGTACACCTGCATCGTGAAGAGGCCTTTGGGCAATGCATTGTCTGCGGGGCATTCTTGCGAGGGATCGAACGTGTTTGACGCAAGACGCTGCAAGACGTGAGCATCATGATTACGATGCAACGCTGATCGACTATCGATTAGGAGACATACACATTGCTCACACACTCCCATCGATACATCACATTGCAGCTTGATCGTCCTCTCTCAAGCTTCCAGATAGTATTGACTCCTTCTGATAACAGGAATCACAACTCCAGATTGCTCATCCCAATTATCACCCTGTAGCTCCCGCCTCCTCGTATCGAGAGCCTCGAAGTCTGCAGAACTCAGCCTATCCTCTCGCAGGACGCGTAGGTTCAGGGATCCGAAGCCTGCGGCTCGTCGAGCTTTGGCAAGCGTTCCGAAGATGCCCTTCAATTGAATCTCGGGGATTGTGGGTGTATTGGCGGACGTGGCTGGTTTGTAGATCAGCCAGTCGACGGCGTAGAGGTCGACGCCGATGGAGTGAAATCGTCGGAGTCCATCGGTCTCGTAGTGAGGAGGAGGAGGAATTGGGTCTGCTGTCTCGTTCACTAGATTCCCGTCTTCATGAGGAATATCGCGGGTAATTCGTGGCTGATAAGAAGACATGTTGCCGCGAGATTTTGAGGAAAGCTGTTGGCAAATGGCTGGAAGGTAGTTGATTGATGGGGAATATCAATCTCGATTCGATCGAGAAGCGCTGGGACTACGTCTGGATCTTAAGATCGATTGGCAAAAGAATCATCATCTGCTTGATCAAGATCTGCGATCGCGATGCAGGGACGACTAGAAGAACTAGCCATCCTGATGGAATGGACGTTCATCTTGACATTGCTTCTCAACAACGTCAAAACGATGCCTGCTTCTGAAACTTGTGGCTCGAGATTTTGCTCAACCGACCGACACCACCCTCTTTGCCGCTACGCCCGTTGGAAAGCTCCCAGACCAGAGAGAAAACCACCACCAATCCAGGAGGACCAGCAGACTGTGACTGCACCCGCAACTCCCACGCCGAAGCCATCAAGCTCATCTGCTCCAGAAGATGATGGAATTCCAGCACAGCCAATTGCTTCTTCATCACGAAGTCGCAATCTCAACCAGCACCAGAATCGCACACGCGGCACACCTCCCATGATGTTGGCTTTCTTGGCTAAAGGGGCTCAGCAAGAAAGGGCCCGACAAGCATCCGCCGCCACACAAACGCTTCCATATCGAGGATCAAGATCCTCATTGGAAGAAACAGCTGGTCCATCAGCACCACCTAGCATTCCGAACTTGCCTACCACATCGACAAACTCCAGCGCGCCACTGCTCTTCACACACGGCGGCCCCGGCGAAACGCATCGAAAGCTACACAGCGATCCATACCAATACAACATTCCAGATCTAGCCTCCGGTCCACCTTACTTCCACGTCACATTGACATATTATGCCGTGCAAGGAGGTCTGTTACCCGAACAGCATATAGGACAATATACCTCGAAAGTCGGATGTTGGAATTCGCTGGCTGCGGCTCGAGAAGGTGCTCGAAGGCATTCGCTAGGTTCGAGATTTTGTAATCATCCAGTCCATGTTGTGGTGAAACCTATCATTGGTGGCGTTGAGGCGAAGGTGAGGAATAACAGGGGATTTAATGGTCGTCCTGATCGATTGAGTGAGCCGTGGGGAGGAGGTGCTTTTATTGAGATTGTGGAATCTTTGAATCGTTTTCCGGGATATTAGTCTGCTGGGAGACGGAAAGAATGATGGTCGAGTTGTGGTTGTATGTACCTTTGTCATGGGAAGCGGATTGTGGAGTTGTTGGATGTCGTTCCGTCCCTTTGGCCAGTGCGATGTTGCTGCTACTGCCATCTGTAGTCGGTAAACGATGAAGTCTTTCTCGATTCGCTTCTATCGATCTTCAATTCGTGGGGCTATTCATGAGAGCGGCTTTTATCGATGATCTGAATGATTGGCGCTGTTGTTTAGAAGTATGTATTGAGCTTCTGATTCTTGAACATGGTGAATGGCATCTCACTTGTTCCGAGCTATTTACTGTACCTTAGGGTAAGAACAATGCTGAGAAGCAGTAGATCTCGCCGGTGGGAGTATTAATAGATGTGGAGCTTTCGCTCTCGGTAGGTAAGATTGAGTCGACTGCCAAGATCTTCACGTGCTGGTTTGCTCGAAGTAATGCTGTGCTGTTTCCAGCTTTCCACATCCCACATCTACGAAGCACTTCCAACTCGTCCGATCCGATCATCGGACTTTCGACATGTCACACCAACTCTCCATCATGTCGATACAAAGCCTCATCGAGCGCGCTAATGCCTGGTACGGCGACCACGCCACCTTTCGCAGGCTCCTTGACGACATGCGCATGACATGGGAGACGAGTCCCAAGATCGTACGCGCCGCAAGCCTCGATCTGCTGCTTCGTCCCAAGGAACAAGTGCCACTCATTGCACGCGTCCAACTTTGGCTTTGGGTCGCCGCCACCGACAGCACTTCGGACGGCGGTCATCGCCACCTGCGGGCTGCAGAAGAGTCAATGCAGTATGTTCGCTCCTGGATGATGCAATGCTCAAAGCTAATGCTTACGTTTGGCAGGGAGCTCGAGGAGTGGAATAACTCTCCGGAGGTGTGGAAGGCAACTGGCGGGGACCTGAAGGTTAGCGAGTTGCGGGCGCGCGTCGACTTGCAGATTGCGACCCACGGGGAACGAGGCCAAAAGAGGAAGAGTCTGCCGACATCGAACAAGCCGATACGAAAGAGGGAGAGTCGGAGATCACTATTGCCATGGCCACACCAGAAGAGGAGCCTTTTCTGTATGGCATGCCAGGCGATTCGGAAATCGATCATGATTTGCTTCGCATGCTTTCAAGATATGCTTGAGCCATTGCCCGCTCGGCCGATATCAGAGTGTGAATATGCGACAAGTCAGCCATGGAAGAAGCCTTTGTTCAAGCCGATCGATCTATCGTCGCTCTTGCAGCTGCATGTGCTGAGTCCGTAACGCGAAAAGGAAGGAAATCAGACTTAGGCTGGCAGTTCATTCGCTGTCCTGCTCATCATAAGATATCCGCCAATTCTAGGCTTCAAGTTCAGTTTGAGTCTCGTCCGGACTTCTTCTTTGATATCAACTTCCATCCCTGTCTGTAGCTGCAAGGCCTTCTTACTGCGGACTTGCGAAACAAGCACCGCATAGCTTCTGCAGTACCTGACGATGCAGGCCTGTCTTGGCGTGGAAGTGCGGTCGTGATCATCTGTGACCAGTGCCACAGCAAGCGGCTTTCTTCAATTAATCGAGAGTCGCAAGCCATCTTGCCTAATGGTCTTTTCAGGAGGTACCTTATGGTGTGTATGTCGACCGTCGGCTACGATAGGGTCCACTCTGGTCCATTTGCGGTGGCATCTGCCAGATTATCTTTGTTCTTGGAAATCCCGTGTCTTTCAGTTGCTAGCATCTTCGATTTGTTCGCTCCTACCTACAATCGGACAATGTGGTTGGGTTGTCGTTGACTGGACTTGCACATGCCTATTGTCGATCTTCCCCGTTCTCGGACGCGAACCTAACCGTCGATCATCCATCATCCACCTCTGGAAATAAACACCACCACCACAACAACACAACACGGTCCTCTGTTCGACATGGCGTCGTTCGACTACAGCGAGTGGCTCAACGGAGCAGCCGCAGTATACGAGCAGCAGCGACACCTGCTCCCGATGTACGGCCACCTTCTGATCTCCGCTCTCTTCCCCATCTACACCGGCGCGCATGCCTCGCTGTCACGCCCAGCATCCGCCGCGAAACCAGTAAAAGACGATGCAAATAGCAATGAGGAAGACGATGGAGAAGAGACTGTCCAGCAGATGGAAGGCTTGACAAACACAGATGCAGTCATCTTTCCTGTCATGGCCGGGCTGGTCTTGACTGCTTTGTACTTTTTGATCCAGCACTTCGGCGCCAGTCTTATCAACACGATTCTCGGAGTGTACTTCTCCTTGATTGGCACATATAGTGTAGGCAAGTTGTTGAGCGATACGTGGGGTACAGTGGCGGGCTTCTTCTTCTCGAACTACTATGGCAGTGGAGGCGTGATCTGGAAGGTGGTGGATGCTGAGCGGAAAGTTGTCGCTCTTGACCGCGGTTCCCAACATACTGCAGCCCGAAAGTCACCGCTTGGTGGCCCGTTCAGCACCATATGGCTACCGCCTCCGCTGCTCGATCTTGCGTGGAAGCTGCGAAGCTTCACCAGACAGAAGTTCCTCGCCAAAGTCTATCTTCAGAATACTCAGAACTTCCGCATTGTCTTCACTCGCCACAACATACTTGCATCTATCCTAGCCGTGGTAGCAATCGGCTATTCGCTCTTCGTCGACAAGCTGTGGTGGCTCACCAACTTACAGGGCTTTGCTGTCTGCTATGGTGCCTTTCAGCTCATGTCTCCCACCACCTTCTTTACTGGTACTTTGATCCTTGGAGGACTATTCTTCTACGACATTTGGGCCGTGTTTTACACCCCTCTGATGGTCTCTGTGGCTCAGAATCTTGATGTCCCAATCAAACTCATCTTCCCCAGACCGGATGATCCCAACTCTCCACAGAAGGAGGGAGCGAAGCCCAACTACAGCATGCTTGGTCTCGGAGACATTGTGCTGCCAGGATTGATAATCGCTCTCGCATTGAGGTTCGACCTGCACCTGTTCTACCTACGCAAGCAAAAGGCAGTCACGAATCCGAAATCTGGATCCGATGGTAAAGTCGAAACCAAGACTATCGAGAAGGCACCTTACGTCTCGGTGTCTGGTAATTGGGCCGAGTGGGCCTACACAAGGACTTCTCGCAGCAAGCAATCTCCTGCTCTACCAGCTCACTTGTCCGGCTCTTTCCCCAAGACCTACTTTTACGCTTCGCTGGTTGGCTACATCGTCGGAATGATGACGACACTTGTCTTCATGAGCATGTTTCAGCATGCGCAGCCTGCGCTCCTGTACCTTGTTCCCGGTGTGTTGACCAGCGTTTGGGGCACAGCATTGGTGCGAGGCGATTTGGAGGACATGTGGGCCTACACTGAAGCTATTGACGGCGAGCCCATTGAAGACGACGATGGCAAGGAAGTGGAGACTGAGCAACCGGAGGCGGAGCAAGCCAGATCGTACTTCCAGCAGTTCTGGCAATCCATCTTCGGAGACAGCGCCAAACAAAAGAAGCGTGATGAAGGCAAAGACAAGAAGCTCACGAATGTTGAAGACAAACCCGTCCGACCGGCCGATGTTGGAGAGAACGTCATGTTCTCATTCACCATCGCACATCACTCTCCGAAACCCGTCAAGGAGTCTAAGGAAGCTGCCAACGGTAGTGAGACCGAAAACCGACGGTCCCAACCCTCATCCGAGTCCATGGAGGAAGATGGTGTTGTCGTCGGACCTGGTGATCTCGAAGGTGACAAGAAACCCTCTTAGATTGGGCAGAATTACGTGAGGCAAGGCTCCAAACTTGTACGAGTTCGACAGCTGCGCTCCTCTGCAGACACCCGATTTTCATTTCGCGAATAATGTCACTCTCATTCGTTTCATGCATAGCGAGGCTGGCGTTCAGTAAGGGGAACATGGAAGGACGGAACACCATGGGTACGGGGAAATGGAATGCATGAAGTGAGATACAGAACACAGGACAAGCAATCGTTTATGGCGAGTTGATGGCTGCACAGCATGCATGTTAAGCACGATGGCTTCAATTAGGCAATTCTGGCATATCATACCCATCATGATCAGATTTTGCTTCAATGCCGTCTTGCGCCTTCCTCTGCGATTCAACTTCCTGTTTCCTCCTCAGTCCCTCCGCTCGCTTCCTCTCCCTTCGCACGTCAGCAGGCTCCCATTCCCCATTTGCACCCTCTTTGACTTTGACATCAAGACCAAGTAAAGCTCGTCGAAATCGCTCAGTCCGGTCTGCATTCACTACGAAGCGCTCATTGGCGATTTGCACAAGAGCACGAAGGTAGGTCTCGGATACCATAGGTCTGATCTCGCCGTTTGTCGTGGCGTAGGCGATGATGCTTGAGAATGCGAGACCCATTGTACGGACTGCTACAATAGGGTTTGGATCATTTCCGGCGATGCTGTGAATTCCGGATTCTCGGAAACCTGCGGACATGGCTGCTGTGTGGGCATGTTGGCCGTTTTGGAGGGACGAGGTTAGGATGTGGAGAATCTGGGGGAGAGGATATCAGTACTGCAACCCGGATGAGTCGATTGAAGGATGAGTTACCTCTGTTGATTGCAAGGATGTGGCAAATGTCGTTTTTGGGAGGGCGGAAGGAGGTGTATATGGAATGTAAAGGAGATATGATGGGACTGGCATGACTTACCATTGGCTCAAATCTGAAATGCACAAACCGTGGTCGAGCGTCTCTAGGAGGAACAGACACGTCCTCGTCCGCTTTCGTACCAAATAGAGCCAGGAGCTCTCCGTCCTTTTGAAGGCTGCTCACGTCGACGGGATCATGCGAAACGTACAGCCATTGTCCACCGCCTTTACCTCCTGAAGGTGCAGCGGATGAAGGCAGATCATCATCATCGGCAGCAGCAGCATTTTCTGACTTTTTGTTTGCACCGTCCAAGAAGACTGCTACTCGTCCAGCACAACTGCTTGTCGTCACGTATCCTTCAAGCAGATTGATCTCGTTGACAAATTCTCGTATGCCTGCATCCACCGATCCTTTGGGCGAGAGATCCGTGTATTCCTGATCCGGGACATCCAGCTGGGACAGAATCTTTCTTTTCCTCTCGGTGAATAATGCGTTGTACGGCATTGTTACAGCGAGTCATACATGCGGAATGTGTATTTGAGAAATAAGATATAAAAAAAAGTCTGAGATCTTGGTGCGAAGTAAATCATGTGTTCTCATTTGAAACCTGATCGATCTTTGAACATTCACTAGTTCGGCGAGAGCTGTAGCCTGTCGGGCGGATTCCTGCATCGACGATCTAGATTCAATGTGTTGATCCAAATCGGTTGGCTGTCAGCGGTCCCGATGAATCTTGTCAGCAGCACGTGGCTCACCGCAATGCTGGTGATTTGTGATTTTGAYCGCGAGTGTTGAAATGTGATGTCGGGTGCCCGCGATCAATAGTAGTAGGTACGCATTTCGATACCGGAAGTGGGGACTCTCATTACCGTAGTTTGACGAACCTAAAAACGACCTGTGCACGGCCACCGTAGCCCGATGCGTGCTGCATCGCGACACATCACATTACTTCCCTCGAACACCCTGCCGATGCTTCGCCGACTTGGACTCACCATTACAATCGCGATACTCGCTATATTTGTGCTTGTCATTGCTCTGTGGCTTCAAGAACCAGACAGCGCTCCCATGCGCCTTTTGAACTTGAAGAAAGCACAGCTCCACTTGCATACCCAAGCAAGAAGAGCATTCACACCATTCGCACCACAAATCCCAATCCTTGGTAGATCAGCTTCCAACATGGCCTCTAGCGATATCAACAAGGACGCTCCATCATCTGGTGTAGCGGAAGAGCGCATCGCAGCTGAGAGTCAAGATGGCACGCCATTGGGTCTCCCGGCACCACCGAGCGAAGGCGAAGCGATTCAACTCGACATGTCTAGCGGAGGAGACACTGTGAAGCTCGACTCTCTTGGACCGATGGTTGTCAACACAGACGGGACAATATCGAGGATCGGCAACTGGGATCAGATGACCGAGATGGAAAAGAAGAATACATTGCGGATCGTAGGGAAAAGGAACAAGCAACGAATGGACAAACTCAAGGCGGCTGAAGATGGCGTGGTGGATGACAAGTGACAATACTGTCTGCATTAAAGAGAAAATGTGAAATCAAGAGTGTTTCAATTCGAGATCTGTTCGACACATCAGACGATACATTCGGTCTATGGAAATCTGGTCCTTCGGCGCAAAAGACCGGCCTACGAACTCATCATCAAGTACTCCAAGAGGTAGTATAAAGGTATACTGCGACTGGAAAATCGGTCTCCTCCTCGCTGGTACTAACGACTTGACATCACTTTTCCGAAACCCAGCCGACTTCCAAAGCAATCCGCTCGCCCCACCTTGCGAAACTTGAAGTGCAGGATGTACAGGCAGAGCTCATGCGTTGGGAACAGCAACGTGCTTACAGAGCATGCTTACAAACATGAGGCAAATCAGCCGTTCGTACGCGTACAGACTAATGTCGTGGCCCGTATTTGTTAGCTGCCTGWTTTGTTGAACAACGAGGTACTTCGCGATGCATGCAATTGAACTTCCAGGAACTTCTCCAAGTCCATCAATGCAAAAACGTGCGCAGAGAGCAAGCTACGATACTACGGTTGTCAATACAGCATCTCGGTATACTGGAATGGCAAGTCATAGCTGCGACAAGCATAATGCATGACTCGGTTCGCAACAAACATCTCTATAATATGATGTGAGAAAGACCAGCAGCTCCCAGAACAACGAATGCCGCGTTTGTGGTGAGGTCAAGCAGACAACCGATTTCGAATCCAATGGCTACTCGGACTTCGCCAATGTTTACACCGCCTACCCTGGTTACACAGCAATCAGTACGGCGTTCCAGATGCGGTGCTCGGAATCTGGTATCCGGTATTCCACACGTCGCGAATAGTCTGTGTGCGGTGAGCTCAAAACATGGCTGACAAACTTTCCTCACGCTTGCTTGGCATATGGCGTCCGGTGTTAAGAGCGGCCTTATCTTATCCTAGCAACGGCCATGTCGTGACCTCCGCGGAGCCTGCTGATAATGCGACTTGGGAACATGCGGACAGTGTCCATCGCTGTTTGGCCATAATTCAAGGCATAATGATGTCTGTCGTATCGGCGGAAGAAAAGAGAAAGTCTTCTCGGCAACGACACGAGTGGAAACTGCGCTGCGCCATGGCGATATCCACAATCCCAAAATTGCGAGTGCCGTATTGTTAAGCGCGGTCGATCATCGTGCAAGGGTGGGTAAGAGTCAGGAGTCAGGTCCGCGAAGGTAGAATACGCTTCCTCTCGAGCAGGCAGAGCGTTGGTGGGAACAATGTGCACTGATTTTGTGTGTACAAGTCCGCCAGCAATAAAGTGCAACTGCACGCTCATATCAGAGAGGTACCTTATACTACACGGTGTGCATGTGGTTGAGATTTTTGCTAGCTGATCAATGACGTCAGCGTCAATCGATCTTGAGCGACAGGTACACACGRGAAGCTGAGTAATTAAAAAAACGCTGTTTGACTCTGCTTGATGCCAAGACGGAGATAACAAAGCGTCAATCTCCAGATGAATAACCTTTTGGGTAAACGGCACGCAAAAAGGTCGGTTTGAGTTCTCGTTATTAAGTGCCTCTTCCGTCATCACCTCTCTCTTTCTCCTCTGAACGCGTTGTTGTTCTGTTGTTACCTTCAATTCACACCCGATATCGTTGGAAGRAAACAACCATGTGGGGCTCCAGCGTTGATGAGCGAAAGCTCACACGCGAAAACACGAACCGACCTTACAATCAATGGCATCGCGGAGACCCTCAGGATGGCGCGGGAGAGCTCCACGAGCAACGGGAACCAGCCGAAGAGGCTGAGGGCACTTGGGGTGAGAGCGACGTTGGTGGATTCACCACAGAGCGGGCGATGCAAGACTATGAGGTATTTACTTCTATCATATTTCTGGGTTGGCAAGGTCTCATTATTTTCGTAGGATCTTAGAAAGAACCTCACAGAATTGTCCAAGGTTCGTTCTAGGGACAACAATTCTCTTAAGAGAACAACCACAGGAGCAAGCGCGAGAAGTGGAAAGACTACGAGGACTCGACGCAAGTCAAACGCGACGCGCCAGGACACGCACCGAACCGATGAGCAGGAGGAAGATATTGAAGCTGGCCCACAGGATGATAACGACGAGGACGAATTCGAACTTGATCAATTTATGCGCCAGGGTCACTTCGAGAAGCGCACCAACGGAAGCTCAGACAAGAAAGTCGGAGTAATCTACAAAGACCTCACTGTCAAGGGAGTGGGCTCAACTACGACATTCGTCAGGACTTTGCCCGATGCCATCCTTGGAACCTTTGGACCCGACTTGTTCAAGATCATTTGCCGCTTCGTGCCTGCTCTTGCTCGGCGGACAGGCGAGACACGCACTTTGATCAACGGCTTCACGGGTTGTGTTCGCGACGGCGAGATGATGCTTGTCCTTGGCAGGCCTGGAAGTGGATGCAGCACCTTTCTCAAGGCAATCACCAACAACCGCGATACCTTCGCCGAAGTAACAGGCGATGTCTCTTATGGAGGGATCTCTGCAGAAAAGCAGAAGAAAATGTACCGCGGTGAAGTTGTCTACAATCAGGAAGATGACATCCACTTTGCCTCGCTCAACGTATGGCAAACATTCGTCTTTGCGTTGATGAACAAAACGAAGAAAAAGGAGCAGGGAAATGTCCCTGTCATTGCCGAAGCACTCATGAAGATGTTCGGTATTTCACATACCAAATACACCTTAGTGAGTGATAATGGTTGAAGTTGCAACGATTGTAAGCTGATAAATTCTAGGTCGGTGATGAGTACACCCGTGGTGTGTCTGGTGGAGAGCGCAAGCGTGTCTCTATCGCAGAGACGCTCGCCTCGAAAAGTACCGTGGTCGCTTGGGACAACTCTACTCGCGGCCTGGACGCTTCCACTGCGTTGGACTACGCTCGCTCTTTGCGGGTCATGACTGATGTCAGCAACCGCACGACGATGGTGACGCTTTATCAGGCTGGTGAGGGCATTTATGAGGTCATGGACAAGGTCCTTGTTGTCGATCAGGGACGCGAGATCTTCCAAGGCCCGGCCAAGGAGGCGAGACAGTACTTCATTGATCTTGGGTTCGAGTGTCCAGAACGCCAGACGACTGCCGACTTCGTAACCGCCGTCACTGACCCAGTCGAGCGCAAGTTCCGTAGAGGCTACGAGGACAAGGCACCCAAGACGGCCGAGGAACTGGAACGTGCCTTCAGGGCGTCGCCAAACTACCAGAAAGTGCTCGATGATGTCAAAGACTACGAGCAGTACCTCAAGGAGTCTAACTACGAGGATGCTGCACAATTCGAGGGTGCCGTTCAAGACAGCAAATCCAAGCGTGTATCGGACAAGTCGAGCTACACCGTGTCTTTCCCTCGCCAGGTCATGGCTTGTGTGAAGAGAGAAGGATGGCTCCTCTTGGGAGATACGACTACCCTCTGGACCAAGCTATTTATCATCATCTCGAACGGACTCATCGTTGGGTCGCTCTTCTACGGCCAACCCGAGGACACTGCAGGTGCTTTCTCCCGCGGAGGTTCTTTGTTCTTCTCTATTCTCTTCCTCGGATGGCTCCAACTTACCGAGCTCATGAAGGCCGTCAGCGGTCGTGCAGTTGTCAAGCGCCATGAGGACTATGCATTCTACCGGCCTTCTGCTGTTACCATTGCCAGGGTTGTCCTCGATCTGCCTGTGATTCTGGTTCAAGTCATCATCTTCGGCATCATCATGTTCTTCATGACGAATTTGACAATCTCCGCCAGTCAGTTTTTCATCTACATGCTATTTGTGTACATCACAACTATCCTACTCACCGCACTCTACCGCATGTTCGCGTCGCTTTCGCCTGAAATCGACACGGCTGTTCGCTTCAGTGGAATAGCCCTCAATCTGCTGGTCATTTACACTGGATACGTCATTGCGAAGCCTCAACTATTACAACAGAAGATCTGGTTTGGCTGGATCTACTGGATCAATCCTCTTGGCTACTCCTTCGAGGCTGTATTGTCAAACGAGTTCTCAGGACGCACTATGGCTTGCGCTGACCAGCAGCTCGTTCCTCAGACGGTACCTGGAGGCCCCACCGTCGATCAGGCCTTCCAAGGCTGCGCAATTGCCGGTGCAGGCGTGAACGGCCGGACGGTCAGTGGTGCTGATTACATCGGAACACAATACAACTACTATCGGTCGAATCTGTGGCGCAACTTTGGTGTAGTCTTGGCCTTCACAGCCTTGTACATTCTTGTTACTGTCATTGCAACTCAACTGTTCTCATTCGACAACTCTGGTGGCGGAGCACTGGTCTTTAAGAAGTCCAAAAGGGCCAAGCAACTAGTGAAAGAAACTCCCTCCTCTGATGAAGAGAAGGGTGGTATCTCCGAGGACAGCAGCAGCTCCACCAAGAAGGAAACTGGCTTGGGAGACGCACCCACGGAAGAAGCCAAGGAAGATGAGGCGCTGGAGCAGATCACCAAGAGTGAAAGCATCTTCACCTGGAAGGACGTCGAGTACACTGTTCCCTACATGGGCGGTGAGCGCAAGCTTTTGAACAAGGTCAATGGATATGCCAAGCCAGGTGTCATGGTTGCGCTGGTTGGTGCTTCTGGAGCCGGCAAGACAACATTGTTAAACACACTCGCACAGCGTCAAACCATGGGTGTGGTCTCTGGAGAAATGTTTGTCGACGGACGCTCCTTGGGTCCCGAATTTCAGCGTAATACCGGATTCTGCTTGCAGGGCGATCTCCACGACGGTACTGCCACCATCAGAGAGGCTCTCGAATTCTCGGCCATTCTTCGACAGGACGCTAGTGTTCCTCGGTCAGAGAAGATTGACTATGTCAACACAATCATCGACCTTTTGGAGCTCGAAGACTTGCAGGATGCCATCATCTCATCGTTGGGTGTTGAGCAGCGCAAGCGACTAACAATCGGAGTAGAACTCGCTGCGAAGCCATCWCTCCTTCTGTTCCTGGACGAGCCGACTTCTGGTCTGGACTCGCAAAGCGCCTACTCCATCGTTCGGTTCCTCAAAAAGCTGGCCAGGGCTGGCCAGGCCATCGTTTGCACTATTCACCAGCCTTCGTCCGTCCTCATCCAACAATTCGACATGATTCTAGCCCTCAACCCCGGCGGCAACACTTTCTACTTCGGACCTGTTGGCGAGAATGGAAAGGATGTTACCAAATACTTCTCGGATCGCGGTGTTGAGTGTCCACCACACAAGAACGTCGCCGAATTCATTCTCGAGACGGCCGCCAAGCCACACAAGCGCAAGGATGGCAAGAAGATTGACTGGAACGACGAATGGGTCAACTCGCAACAAGCAAAGGACGTTATCGAGGAGATTGAGGGCCTAAAGCTGACCAGAAGCCAGACTCAGCCCGAGCACAAACGCAAAGAACAGGAGAAGGAGTTCGCCGCATCAACATGGCTGCAATGCACTGAGCTTCTCCGCCGCACCTTCAAACAATACTGGCGTGATCCATCCTACCTCTACGGAAAGCTTTTCGTTTCGGTCGTCGTCGGAATCTTCAATGGATTCACCTTCTGGCAGCTCGGCAACACCCAGGCTGACATGCAGAACCGCATGTTTACGTCATTCCTCATTCTCACGATTCCACCAACCGTTGTTAATGCTGTCGTGCCCAAGTTTTTCACCAACATGGCGCTTTGGCAGGCGAGAGAGTACCCATCTCGAATCTACGGCTGGGTTGCTTTCTGCACTGCAAATGTCGTGGCCGAGATCCCCGCTGCTATCGTAGGAGCTGTGGTCTACTGGGTTCTCTGGTATTGGCCCACTGGTCTTCCTACCGACAGCTCCACATCTGGATACGTCTTCCTCATGACATTGCTCTTCTTCCTATTCATGGCCAGCTGGGGTCAGTGGATATGCGCTTTGTAAGTCCGAGAGGCACAAGGGGTAGTTCGAAGACGTCTTTTGAGCTACCTAGGCCATTTCCACATTTGGATTTTTTGGAACATTCGCTGACTTCTACACTTCGCTTTTAGTGCACCATCCTTCACTGTCATCTCCAACGTCCTTCCCTTCTTCTTCGTCATGTTCACTCTCTTCAATGGAGTAGTGAGACCTTACATGCAGCTGCCCGTCTTCTGGAGATACTGGGTGAGCATTTTTGCTTAGCCGCCGCTTCTATCAAGTCCTTCCACTAACTTTTTCACAGATGTACTACGTCAACCCTGCCACATGGTGGATTGGTGGTGTCCTCGCCGCAACTCTCGATGGCATTCCAGTCGAATGCTCTGAACAGGAGACCGCAATGTTCGACACACCCAATGGCGAAACATGTCAAGCCTATGCTGGTGCATACGCGAACGTCGCAGGTGGCTACGTTATGAACCCAGATGCCACTTCCGGATGCATGTACTGTACCTACAGTACCGGCAACCAGTATCTCGCTTCACTTAACATCAACGCCTCGGACAAGTGGAGGGACTTTGGTATCTTCTTGGTGTTTGTTTGCACCAACTGGATGCTGGTCTACTTCTTCATCTGGTCAATCAGAGTGAAGGGTTGGTCATTTGGATTCGGCCCTCTCTTCAACTTTCTCGGCAAGGGCGTGGATGTTTTAAAGAAGCCTTTCAAGAAGAACAGCAAGAAGACTGAGGGAGAGTCTGATGCATAGAGTACATCTCGTCTTTTCTGCAACGGTATAGCGATGGCGTTCCAGCGTTGTCAAATAGAATAGAACTTTACAGGAATACAAAAGTGTCTACCCCAGATCTCCATCCCTTTTCATCATTTCGCCTCCATCCTCAACCTATCTCTCACCCTCTCCAAAGCCTTCCCAAGCTTATTCTCTCCCCACTCACTCTCCTTTCCCTCCGCCTCATCCGAATTAAATCCAATGCCCCAAAGTCTATCATTTGGACTCGTCTCAACCAAACCCCTCTCTCCCGTCGACAGTAAGACTTTCCCCAAATCCTTATTCTGTGAGAATTTGAGATAATTTCCTTGCTCGACGATTCGATCGCAATTTTCGTCCCAGACACTTTGCTGGAAATTCTTCACTTCTCTCCCCAACGCCTTGGTCTTGCCAGGGGTATCTGCTTCCAGGATTCTACCCGCGACTTCTTCGTCTTTCATTAGGAGGGCTTTGTCTGTGATAAGGCATGTTATTATGCATGCAATTCAGAATTTCCCATTCTGATTAGTGTGGATTGATCACTATCTTCTGAACATAAGAAAGGGGCCACACTCACGGTACATCATAAACTGCTCAGCAGTGTGAAACTGAACTCCATGCTCCACGAAGAACGAGGGGTACCATTGCTGTAGACAACATTCCTTCTCAGGACGATCATATCCAAARAAGAAGACGTATTTCTCAGTCACTCTGGGTGGCAAATCTTGTGCGTATTGCAATTCAGGAGGGATCCTGAATCCATCCCCTATCCATCGTGGTCCTTTGCCGTCGACGACCTCGAAAGACATTATCTGCTGTCACAGACACTTGGCATGGCAAAGGGGAAGAGAGACAAAGCATCGACTGATAGAATATTATTTTTTCATTCCTTATGAAGGAGTGGCGTCTTCCCCTCTCTCATTACTCCACGATCTCCTTTCGACCGGCCTTTTGACTCCGCAAAGTAAGTGAAATTTCCACGCCTCAGCAGGAAGATTGCAAATAACCGTAGCATAAATAGCACAACCACCAAACGCCCGCTCATACGCTCCACACGCAATTGGCCGTAGAACAATGCAATCACAGTCACTTACTCGTACACTGCACTTCGCTTCACTTCCCCTCCAGCTCTTTCCCTCTCCAGTATATCAGTCGCGTTGGTTCATAGTCCATCGCCTCTTAGGCGCATTGACAGGGTACTTCCTTGCGACTTTATCTCCAGAGATCTGCTTACCCCATAGACCCTTCTGGCTCAGACCACGGCTAAGCGATTGCGGCAGCTTTTCGCTGACGTTTGGAAGATCTCCAACATCGTCTGCTGCTTCCTCCACGCCGAAGTCATTCGAGATGCTCGTGTCGCTTTCAACTTTGCTATTGAGGCTGGGACTTGACTGCCTCCCGATGGACGCTGCAGATGTAGGTCTCGAGTCAGGTGGCGAGTACGCGTCCTGGCTTTGGCTCGCACGTCCTTCGACATCATTGAGCTCTGGAAGATTTATTTCCTTGTCCTCCTTCACTTGAGCGCTGAGCTGCGGAGTTCCGCGTGCAGTCGGTGGGGTCCACAGCCCTGTGGTAAAAGCGGGTGGTGGAGAAGCGAACCTGTCGTCGTTCTTGGCTATGTAGCTGGGAGAAGCTGTCCTTGCCGGCACGACAGGTACACCTGGTCTCCTCATCGAACCGAGAGAAGAATTGCCGGTGCCCCGTTTCGTTTCACCCAGATCCCAGTTCGAATCGATGCCCGCCCCAGCGGCGGCATGTGCGTTCGCGCCATTTAGCTTGTACTTTGGAAGCGCATCGTGTGCAGTCTTCATGTTGGGTGGAATTGAGGTCGATGGCCCTTTCGTAGGGTCAGCACCCTTCCGCAAATGCTCTGATGATGAGACAAGCTTTAGATCGTATATGGCACTTAGTCCAATGTCCAGACTGCTGCGCCGTTGCCCATCATTCATCATAGAGTAAGGGTCAGGAGATGCAATCCTTGTATTCAATGGACTTTCAGTATCAGGAGTGCTCGGTAGTGTCAGTGGCGGCGGATTGTCTTTCCGCACGGCCATTGTCAAGCTGGCCATGCCAACATCCAACAGCACAGGCTGATTGGTCAGGGCACCGATCAGGGCGTTACAGCCAGCACCATGCGTCACCAGGATGACGACCAACTCTTCCTGATCCTCCTGCTCGTCCACGTGGCTGTGGTTCTCCGCTTGCTCTATACCCAAGGCATCCTCGCCGCGATCGTCTGCATTGTGATGACTGTACCACTCGACAACGTTGTTGAGGCCTCTCCTGAAGCGTCTGTGCATGGAAGACCATTCCTCTCCAAACTCACCTCCGTCTCCCCAGCCTTGCGGGTGCCTACTGCTGTCCCAATGGTAGTCAACGTTGGCAGTGGCAGTTCGAGCATGAGCAAAGTAGCCGCGAGGGATGTAGTCTGAGTTTGAGATGGCGTATGACGGTCTTGGAGGTCGGTATATGGCCACTTCTGGCTTTGGTATCGTCGATGTGAAAGGCTGCAGGGCATGTCCATGCCGATAAGGAGACTTCGGGCGGTATGGTGGTCGACCGGAGCTATCGTTGCTACCCACGCTGCTTGCACTGTTGGACCGATCCCTAGACGGCACCGGAGCATGTAGTGCATTGGTGACATGGCTCCAGTCATCCAGAGGACTCTCCCTGCTGCTGCCAGCGGAGCGATTGCCGCCGCCACTCCACAGACTTCCACTCGAGGACTTGTGTGACACGCTTGGGGTGAAAATGTCCACATTTTGGTTCTGCATCAGCTCTGCCTTGGCACCTGCTACCATCATAGGGCTGGGAGGCGGGGGAGTGATGTGATCAAAGTACTGCGGATTCAGCCACTCGCCGAGGAAAGCGTCTACACGGATTTTTGACTTGCGATAACGCTTATGGTGGCCCAGAGCTCGCCGAGCCAGGTCATGTTGAAGATCGTGTCGAGGTTCCGCGATTGATGCCATTCCATGTGCAGATGCTGACAAGCTGTCCATTCCACGCAGTCGCGGCGACGCAGAGTGCAGCTGTGCGGGCGTGCGTGCTCTCGCTGCAGTGGGCCCGTCCTTGGGCTCTTCAAATTGCGCCATACCTGACGATATGGCCACGCTGGTTTGTAGACAGCGCAAAAAGGGCGAAGAGTGAATGACGACCTTGTGCTTCTTCCTCCTACGTCTTCCGCCATTGCCATTTTCGTGGTCCTCCTCCTCTGCCTTTTGCTCGCGTGCGTGGAGCAAACTGGCGATTCGCACGCCCAATGCCTGGCATTGGTTCCATCCGCCATACGTCAAGGGTGGATCATAAGGTGTCGGCGTCGATAGGTGCCAACGTTGATCGGCGGCGTCAAGGCGCATGCCATGTCTGATCCAAATGAATCAGCATTGAACAATCTACTCTGTTCACGCTCTCCCATGCTGTGTCACAACTCACCGTGCAATGATGACCACTGCAGGCGCCTGCGTCTGTGCTGCTGGCGCCATGATTCGGGATCAATCCTCGCTTCAGTTGGCCGCAAGGTCGCAGCAAGCGAATGAAGCTGTCTGACTTGCGATCGTGTGTTGGTGCGGCGTACAGATGTCCTCCGCCGATTAGATGAAAGTCTCCGCACACAAAGCACAAGGCAGATGACCAACTCTTTTTCCCGCTGCCGCGACGACCCTTGTACACCGAACCCGACCTCTTCCCACGTGCGCTCGTTCTGAAGCAAAGATCCCTGACGGTTTTAGATTTGGCGGGGCAGGGTCTCATGCACAATGACATATGGCGACGGAACTTTCTTGTGTCGCATTCACGCACAAGTGAAGTCGGTCAATCGCATAGGGCTTAATTGACGAGGATGTAAAAGCATGAGGTAGATACTTGATACATGTAACTACAAAGTGAGGTACAAACAGTACATTGGAACGAGATTCGCTATCCTATGCCCCGAGAATCTCTCTCCCGAGCCCCCCTTTTAGCGCCTGTTGTGTCAATTTTCAAATCCCGACGGAGTACACGTACAGTAGCAGCAGCGCTCGCCAAGTACAATCACGGCATGCCCAGATTACAGTCGAGGTAACAGTAGCTTCTTGATATACGGCTGAAATCGCCGATGAACGCGCTCCTGCGGCTTTGCAACGGACTTACGGTTACAAACCGCTCGGTTCTATAACTGTCCATACTGCAGATAGTTTACCCGGCCTGCAGAGGTACTGACCTGAATCAGAAGACGAATCTGAAGATTGTGAAGGTTGATCAAGACCAGGACTTGGCGACCCCCTACCCTAGGAGTTTTGAGCTGCTTCGGTCCACAAGAAATATCTTTGGGCCTTGTGGGTTCGCAGCCACGCATGTATGCTCTGGGGTGATGGAAATCCTCGGGTTGGCCGTACGTGCGAGAAGTTTAGCCGCAATATGACGGTACGWGTGTTTCTTCATGCTGTAAATCCGACCTTTCACATGGTAGACCAGGTCGCAGCACTGCGATATGAGCGGGGCTGTCGGAACAGGGCTGGCTTGAACTGGATGCCTCTTGTGGTCTTCTCTAGACGCTGAAACGGCGCTTTCGGTGCAGAGTTCAAAGACAGGAAACGGAAGATTGGTCCGAACAGTCTCCCATGTCCTGACGCGTTGGCGTACCCATGCATTTGGGTTTCCTGAAAGCTCCCACCGAACACCAGCAACACAAATGTCTCATTCGCTGTGTTGAGGCTCCACTTGGTAACCAGAGATGGAGCAGAATGATGGCCGTTTCCTCATCCTTGCATCTCGTTCGGCCTCAGCACAMGCATAATGACGTCCACAATCATCTGCTGCTCTTCAGCGGTAAATCTGTCCTCCACATTCTCCACTATCGGCTGCAGCATCTCCACACATGTCGGGGCGATGTTGTAAATCATGAGCAACTCGGGCTCCGTCAAATTCTTCATATCCTGCACCGGATGAAACTCCTTCTCAACCTGCTCCTGCCTCATTGTCTGCAGCCTCTCCGTCCACTCATCCAGCAGCTGTGCTTGCACGACATCGTCGACTTCTTGAACGAACCTTTGGAATTGCGTTCTGCGAGCGTTGCCGTCGTATGCGGTGGGATTGGTCACGTATGGGTATTTGTCGGAAGTGAGTTCACGCTCGGTGCGGTTCAGCGCCTTCATGAAGTTTTGGGGCCGCTCGGCGGGCTTGATGCCTTTGGTCTTGTCCTCTTCGTCTTCGGCCTCATGCTGCGCACGCTTACGCTTCAGCCAGTCCAGTACGTCTGCATTAGAAAGCGGCGCGTCGCCGGCATCGAGGATTTTCATGTTGTTTGGTGAAGCGCTCCCTGGTGCAGAAGGAAAGTGAAAGAGCGAGCGTCGGCTAAGGTTTTACCTTACGCACGTGCCGCCAAGCTCTTGATCGAGAATCCCGCGTTTGAGTTTCAAGTTTGTCCAGTCAAGCAAGGCACACCCACCGCGTCTTCCTCGACTATTGACTTTGACAAGATGAATTGGAATCGGTGAGACCAACGGTTCATCGTTTTCATGATGAACGCTATGCATGGCAGTATCAAAAACGAAAGCTAGCATCTCACGGCGCCGCGCACAGCAGCTGAAGGAGTAGCGCACAGCACACAGCACATACATGTTGAACAAGCAAATCCAAAGCAAACCGACCTAGGTGGCCGCTCCCGACGGCTTCCTCTGCGCCACGCTGCCGCTGGCTCTCTCGCACAAGGACCGCTCCAGCTCAAACCAAGCATTTTCCCAGGCAGTGCTCCGTCCACTTCCCAGGGACCCCTCTCGATGATTGCGTGCTTGCTCGAACACGGCGATGCGCCGGTTCTCGTAAAATTCTGATCTCGATTCTGCAAGCAAAGTGGCTTCGCGGCCACTTTCGTGCGGCATGTCACAAAACGCCGACACCTGTGTGGCAGAAGCTCGCGACATCACCGATGGCSTTTGCGTGGCCGGTGATCTCGGGTCCAAAATCGTAGGAGACAGTATTGATCTTTTGCATATCTTACAGGCGATAGATCCGTCCAGCGGGATCGGATAATAAATGCCGGACCTAGGACAAGCCGAACGATCAGGACGGCAGCTGGTGAAGAATTCGTTTCGCGTCGGTGGGAAGCACAGATTACACGTCCAGGGATAGTAGTATTGACACATTACTGACGCATGGAAGATCGATCAAGTGTCGGTACCTAAGATATACGAGTGCTGCAATGGCTGTAAGTGAAAGATTCATTTGTTTGACATATCCACAAGGTATGAGAAAGCTCCTTCAACAAAGAACAGCAGGCGAGACAGATAGAAAAGACTAGCATTCACCAAAACTCAGACAACAGCAAGCACTGGAATTTGAACAATATATCTCCTCGGATATGATGTCGATATTCGTCGAAGTCGGCCATAGACGGTCTCGCAACGACACACCCAACGAGATGCAACGATAGGCTCATCATGCATACTGACGACTGGCGGGGGAAGAGCTGTGAGGTCGGTTGCCTCGTATTACCTCCTGGCGGGAATTAATGAGACCTGATAAACCCATCATCGTACCAGCAAACTGTGTATCCTAACGGCTTACACCTCAAACGTTTCAACTACGGCAGCTATGAGATCCACATGTGGGACCGAACAAATTTGTGTCAAACTTGAACGACCAGGGCCCGGTCTGGAGTTGAAGGTTGCCGCCTCTCCCTTGTGTGAATCGACGACGACGCTCACCAATAGGTAGCTACAACTTACAAGCACGAAAAGCAGCATCCTTGCGGAGAGCCAAATACGGAGGATCGCATGTCTTATCAAACAACGTCTTCTTAATCGTGCTATCGTTGTTGCAGAAAATACAAGATTTTGGCCTGCTGCAGCTATTCTAGGGCGACAACACTCAATTTCAACGGGCCGTCCTCCGTAGACGTCTGTTGCGACGTCTTTTGACTCTCGGTCGTAATTCTAGTCGGAAGCTTTTCATGCATTCGAGCGTGCTAGATAACTTCAAAGAAACGCGCGGAATATCAACAAATGGACGTCTTCAAACATCTGCATGAATAGAGAAGCACCATCGCGTTACATTGAATGTGATTTTGAAGGGCGTACGTGTCACTGGGGTACCTTGGAGGTAGGGGTGATATTGCCAGAAAGCGATTACAGCTGCTTTATTAGCGTTGCAGGTATCAAAGCTACCAGGTGATATAGCAATTACTAAGCACATTTCGGGCCTCGTCCTGTCCGGTAGAGCCAATAAAAGCCCTTTCCGGGCTCCGTGATGCTTTAGTAATCAAGCCTGGGCACCTACTGCATTAGCTTTGAGAAAGCTAATACARCCAATTTCTGAACGTCTACGTCTATTACCAGCCTTACTTGGAAGGATGCAGGCTTCAGGCCCTTCTAGACCTCGCGGCGCGTGTCGTCCACTTTTTCCATGTCCCACCTCACACCAACTGTAGGTCCCCTTGGTTGCAAACAAGTCCGTGAGTTTTAGAAAGCGCTACACGCTATCTCGCCTCTGTCGGCTGCAGGAACGTTCACCAAGCTGATGGGACCTCCTCCTCCCGTCACCGACGTATTTTTCCATGATGCTTTCGACACACATTGTGCATTCACCACGCGCCCCCAGTACAAGGACGCTGTCCCTGCCGCCACACTACCAGATCTCGTGCAGAGTCTCCCTGTTCACACACCGCCTGCATACAACGAGCCCGCATGCCCCAGTATGAACACTCTTGTCGGTGGGGCTTTGGCCCCGGTACCCAGTTCTCCAACTCGCCGACTTTCCAAGATTGGTCCAGATCTGCGGCTGTAAGTCTGCAATGATGTGCTATTACCTGATTGTGCACTCATCTGATGGCCACGCAGGCCGYCCTTCAAAGCACTCGGCATCGCAGCGTCACACCCGGCGCGATTGAGTAGTTTGGGCGACAGTCCTCCACCCGTGGGTCTCGGACTAGGCCTTGACGGAACACTTGACCGCCAAACGAGGAGAGAGGCTGAATCCGACCTTCTCGCAGCATACAATACAAGCCATTTGACGTTTTCTGACACTGGCATTGGTATCAGGGAGTCGAGGGTGGTTCCTGGGTGTGCTGTCGCATCTTCTCTCGTGCACGATGTGGCAACACTTACGCCGCCAGCGGAGAATCTTCACATCGATTGGGAGCCCATCCCAGGACTTCACGAGGGAGCTGCGGATTCCCATTCTGTGGAGACCGGAATCCAAGGCAGGCCGCCCACTGAAGATGCCTCGACAGCCGGCGCGAGTCTGCCGTTGCAGCGGACTGAGGGTAGTTCGAGTGTCGAGGCGGTGCGATCCTGCATCGATGGTGCTTTGGACGTAATTCGTGAGTTGTTGCTGGTCAATTCAAACGTGTGGGAAATGCTTACAACCAACCTCCACAGTCGACGATCTGCGTCGGACGAACGTGCCGAATAATCCTTTGCGTGTGCTCTCACACGCTCTTCCCAGCCCTTCTCCCACCGGACACTTGTACTCAACCATCATTGATGCCATCCACAATACGACCCCTGCAAGTCCCACTATCTGGATYAACGTCTTTCACGCAATTCAAGGTCGATTTARTCTGGYCGATCTGCCCACCTCACCCCCTAGCACACCAGCGCCTCTAAACACACCAGGAACGGACGACTACTTTACCCAGAAAGTCTTTGACAGTGCCGTGCCGATCTCAGATTACCAGGAGGATCTCTCCTCGCTACCTCGGTCGCCGCGTCCGATCGTACCTCCTTGTTCAATCAACATTTCCGTAGTGGAGCGCTACATTCCTCCTACAAGTTCACACGAGTTTATGCACATGTTCAACCCGAATGGCCCCTCGGTTCTGGTCGATCGTCTCGTTGAACTGTCGCCCAATAACGGCACACTTCTATTCATATATCCTACCAAGACCGGTGCTCAGACATTCATGCGCGACTATCTCGGACCTATCTTGGATCCACTCTTGAGGTCCATTGTCGTGGTCAATGGTCTGTCCTCTGATCTGAGCATGACTCTTGGAAACATGGCAGCGGTCGGTCAGTTGCCGGACTATGAGCATTTGAAACGCCAGATGGTAGCGCTGTGTGCTAAGCTCGCGCCTCGTACCAATGTAACCAGGGCAAAGTACTCCTTGGTGCACGCTTCGAAAGAGGAGGTATTCCTCAGCCGTGAGGTATGGGCCAAAGACTGGTGGGCAAAGCAGGAGAAGCCCCGCATAAGAGAAGCGATGACTAGATTCGCGCAAGAGGCGCAGAAGAAGAGCAGCAATGAGCACGTTGAGAGATCGCCTACACCTACGGAACTGATCCAGCAACTGTTGGAGGGTGTATGCAAGAAGTCATATCCGCCAGGACTGGAGCCGGCGAACGGGATTGAGGTTAGTGTTTTTGTGATCAAGCGATCGGATTAGCGAGCGAGCGAGCATGCATGATTTCAACGACTGCAGTAATGATTGATGATGGATGACCGTCAGCGGCGGTTGGTTATTGAGCATGGATAATGCGATGGAAGTGGACGGGCAATATATTTAATCAAGCTTTACTATTACGTTGCATACAAGTTGCAGAACATCCTCTGCTTCGTCCACGAAGAGGAGTTGCTCGAAAGAACAAACTGTGATACTCGAACCGATGTCGCCCTTCGCCTTCGCCACACAAGCCCGAGACAAACCCGACCTGCGTGTCGACGCTGACATTTGCTTAGAAACGCGCTCCCAGCACGCAACTGACACACCTCCAGGAAATTCCCAGTGCCCACTTTGATTGGTGCGTACGATCGTAAGTACCTACCTGTTGTACAGGCTACGCGTTGCTTTTGGATCCCCTCTGCCCCGATTTGCCCACCCCGATGACGTGATCTCTTTGTGGTTGTTGACCGGCAAAGATGCTCGGTCAGTCGGTTTACAAATGCTCACATCTCCTCCGTCTACATGGACTATAAGACCTGTGAAGCTATCCTCCAAATTGACATCACAGAAATATCACAACATCAGCCTACAGCGTCCCACATTGACAATCACAATCCAAATCAAGTCGGCAATTCAATTCTACTCAAGACTCCATAACGATGACAACTACGACAAGCACTCAGAGCCAAACGCAAAAGGCGTTCGGCGTATCAAACGACGTCGAAATTCCTCGCGGAGAAACGAAATCATCCCTCGTCTTCTACAAAGACCCTGAGGATGGCTCACGTCCATTCAACTATGTCGAGCAGCCACCAGAGGGAATGCCACAACGCAACTATGGCGAAGACAATCAAGAAGTTGTCATTCACGACATTCGCGGACACGAGCACGAATATGACATGAATGTCAACGGATTTGGKGTTGTTCAGGGTATCGAGTCAGAGGAGAAGGACTTTACGGACGACGAGAAGATCAAGGCAAACTACTACCCTGAAGTTGAGAAGGTCCTCCTGGACAACGCTCGCGGAGCAAAGCGAGTCTTCATCTTCGATCACACTGTCCGACGAAGCGACCCCAACGCAAAGAGAGCGCCTGTCAACAGAGCACACATCGACCAAACAACAAAGTCTGCTATTCAGCGTGTGAACTACCACATGGGCGGTGAAGCTGAGGAACTGCTAAAGGGTCGATATCGCTTGATCAACGTCTGGAGGCCATTGAATGGACCGGTGGTTGCTTCGCCGTTGGCATACGCCGACTCGAGATCTGTTCCAGACGATGACATTGTACCCGTGGAACATCGATACCCTCACCGAACYGGTGAGACCGCTGGTGTCAAATACACGCCCAACGGCAAATGGCACTACTGGAGCGGAATGAAGAACGATGAGAGAATTCTGTTGCAGTGCTACGATTCGAAGGACAAGGCGAGAACCCCTCACTCTGCCTTTGTTGACCGACGTACTCAGCCGCATTTCCCTGGACGCGAGTCTATTGAGGTTCGTGCGCTTGTCTTCGGTTAGGTGGTGGTAGAACTAGATCTTCAGGTTGGAGTTGTTGCGGTAGTCCATTGGCACTATATAATGACATGATGTACGAATAATGAGTAGCCATTCCTGTCTTGCTCCCATGAATGTACTCCTTCAAAGTGCGTTTCTGCCAGGCAAAATCCATGAGATGGACCAATACGAACTCCGTGTGCTCTGCCAACACCAAATGCTTCCAGGTAAATCGACCGAGGGCGCAGTCAAAACATGCTGATTCTATGCACAATCGAGTGCCGTGGGTTCATATCAACACATTACAGCGACCTCATTGACTCTGTCTCTACTACCCCAACCCTAACCCTCACACGGCTCTATATTAAGCACATCCGGCGCACGCGACTTACCATCCCGGACGATCAAGATCGACGACCAGCATCTAAGCTCCACATGCACCCGCACCATCGCCGAAGCACAACAAAGGACGTCCTTCTCACTCCGAAACCCCACCCTGAAGCCATGTAGGGATCGTCTTCCTATGCTGTTCCTTTCTACAAAACTGTTCAATCATGGCCGCCACCGCCGTGGTCCCGTCCGTAATCGACCTCAAATCGTCACAAGGCACTCTGCCCATTCGCCTCGGCGCTAGCATCCTGGAAAGCAGTCCTCCGGGTACCTCGCGGTTCGTCAGTTTACGGTACAACCACAGACCGCAGCAGAAGCACCCAGATGCAGAGGCAATCAAAGCTACCATCCTCGACGGCGGCGAGGCTGGCCTTAGCAAGCTTTCACTCGAATGTGAGGATGGCAAGTACGCATATTCCGGCAGACATGGAAAGGAGGACAATAGCTACGTGCTGCTCTCTCGCGGACAAGGCAAAGACAAAGAGCTAGTATTGGAGAGGGTGTATAGCAGTCACGCATTTAACCTGATAAGCACACCATCTGAGAGTAATGCCACCACACTGGCAGCACGACATGCGCAACTTCCAGTTGATGCTGCCRAGGAGGATGATCTTTTTGGCGACGAAGACGAGGAAGAGCCCGTGGACGACTCCAATCCATTCGACTATCGCCATTTCCTCAAAGCCGAATTAGAGAAGCCTGAAAACACTAACCCATCACTGGATGCCACGCGTAGCACAGCTGGCACCCCCGTAACACAGCAACATCGCCCCAGCAGTCCGCCAGTTCGGAAGCCGGTAAAGCCAGCCGCTAAAGCCCAGCCACCGAAGAAGCGCAAACCAGCAGCAGCAGCGAAGCCAAATCCGAAACGAGTGAAGGCTGGGGAGGAGCCGACTGCAGAGACCGTGAAACCGAAACCAAAGGTCGAGGTTCCCAAGGTTCGCGTAGATCGTAAGGCTTCGTTGCGGCGAGCTTCAATCATGGAGGATTCTGGTGAGCTGATCCTTGAGAATGAAACTCCGGTGAACGAAAAGCCGCCGAAGCAGAATGCAATGTCCCTTGCACTTTCAGGCCAGCTTGCGGGGGGCCCAATCAGCCTGATGTCAGCTGCGAGTACCCCTGGAGAAGGGCCGTCTTCGAACACAAATGAGCCGGATGAGGTCATGGAGACATACGAGTTCGAGCTTGGTGACAGCAGTCCAGAGCATGGAGAAGAAGGAGATGATGATGGCCTGCTTGTGGTAGAAGAGGAAGAAGAGGCTGTCAATGCTGACCCAGACGAAGAGGATCACGACGAGGACGTAGATCCCATGGAGCTGCCATCGCCTGCGCAAGGTCGTAGTAGGCCGAGCGTGAGTGCGGCAGCTGGTATCGCTGGTGGTGACGAAGACGAAGATGACGACATGGAGAAACAGCTCGCGCTCGCCATGGCAGAGGATGGCGAAGGAAGTGAGGAGAGTGAGGAGGAGTGAGACGTGTAAGGAGGCTCGTTCGAGAGCCGCAATTTCGWAGAATGGCTGTTCAATTCTCGACATCTGAGACTTGCTGAAGACCATATCAGGATGTATGCCACCATATACTCTCAGAGTGCTGGATTTAGAGCATCGTGAGCACATCGATCAGGGACGGATTGCCCTGGGAAGAATGGCTACTGGAGCTCTGTCTTGCGAAGAGGAAATACTGTGATGGGAGCTATATTGAAGTCTAGCTGGGATTATAGCCCTTCGAGAGAGAGAGAGAGAGAGGGGAAGAGAGCCGAGCAGCTGAGCCACATGCACGGTATGCCAGTGCGATTCTAGGAGAATAACGATGCAAATCTTTGCAGGGCACCACCCGAACCCAAGAATCCAGTCATTGCATTTGATATTGCATCATGACAACGCAGCCCAAGAATGGCCGCTTCTCTCATTCGTTCTATTAGCGATTTGTCGAGATTGGAAGTAGGACCGCCACCTCAGGTCTCACCAGATTTGTAGTTGGAGCTAGACAGCCGAGGATCCAGATCACTGGTCGCCAGCTTCCAGGGGAGATGAAAGTGCTGGTAATTGTAGATGCATTTCACGTGGCATTGTCATGTCATTGAGATGCCTGAAATGGTACTTTGTGATCAGTCGCATTGAATCAGTGTCTATGCAAACCCTGGAACATGTATGATGTAGGCTTAAAACCTAACTCTGTTCATCCGTGCAATATTTATGCACCCTATTCACCTTGCGCCACGCTAGTGCCAATTATCCCACAAAGCTCTCGCTAGCTTGTTGAGCCGGAAAGATAACACGAAGACCCCTCACTACTAATGCTGCTTCGTATTCCTAGCAAGCCACAGACCAACGGATTCCTTTGCAAGTTCAGTGCCCCAAACGCCATCATTACCCCCACGGCGAAACTCCTCGCTAGTTGCGTCCTCGCCTCCACCGCGAGTCGCCTCGGCAAGAATCACTTCAAGATCTCTCTGCTGACTGCTGACCCAGCGCTTGATAAACGAAGTCGGGTCCTTGGCTAGGTTGTCGTAGAATTTGCGCTGTGCATTCGTTTGGTGAATTTTCTGAACCAATAGAGCCAGATCGTCGTCCGTCTTGACTATGGTTTGTAGATCGCCAATATGTGCTTTGGAAGTGTGGAAGCGAGTGAGCTGATGCACGAGTGGGTTTGGCATGGCTACGCGAATGTCGTAGACTGTGGGTCGACATGGCTTGAGTGCTTCTGTATTACCTTCCGCGGAGGGTGGCTCCGAATCTGGAGTGCCTTTGATGTACGCCTTGTCAACACGGATAGTATATTGGAGCTGAACGGGCGGCAGAGGCTTCAAGTGTGGGACCAGCAAGTCTGGAACATAGGGGAAGTAGACTTGTTCCTGTCGGAACAGCTGAGAAAGTGATGTTAGCACAGGGACATTGGGAATCGGTCTCAAAGCTTACCCTCCGCAATGGCTCGTCACATATGATCTTTCTCTTGTCGTCATCTTCTTGAAGACCCATTGCACGACAGTACTCCCAGATTCCCTGTACGGCACCAGCGCGATCCTCTTCTTCTGTGTCGAGGATCTCGGCGAGTTCCGGACTCAGCTTGAATCGCTCGTTCTTCTCCTCTCGTGTCAAATTGATCGTGATGTTGATGTTTTCGTCTGCTTTTCTCGTAAACTCCAGACTGTCAAAGGACGATTCGGAGCTGTTTGGGTCGTTGTTGGGATTCTGAGGTGTGGCCTGCGGTTTGCGCCATTCGATCTGGCTGTAACCATCTGGCTGTAGATTTGAGTCGCGGTCAAAATCGATGGTAATTGCCTTGAAGAAGTGGCTCAGCCGCGGCCGATGCGCATCAGATGGTTTGTCGGCCTCATCCTCCTCCGGATCTTCTAGCAGTCGGCCCTCGATCTTTACGCGGAATGTGGCCTGGTTCTCGCCCAGCTCAAACATGCCATCCTCATTCTCCGCACCCTCCTCCATCACTTGCCATGGCTGTCCCTCGGCCGTGTTGGAGATCCATATGCGCAGAATGCCCTCCCGGCGTGTGTACCTTCGCTGTAGATTGTCGCTAATGTCCAGACGTTTGCGCATCATGACAGCGTCCAGCCGCCGTTCCACGTCCCGCAACTTCTTATACCGCTCCACACCGTCTCCCACCACCGCCTCGTCTATCTCGTCTGGTATATCGCGGTCGGTGGGCTTCTTGGCTTGTCGTCGGGCAAGGTCTTGGCGGCGGATGCCCTCAAGGTGCTGTTGTTGAAGCTGTGCCTGCGTCACGGCAGGCTGACTGGCATGCGCCTGAGGAGGTGCGACCATGGGACCTGCAGCGCGAAAAGTTCGCTCAAGGTCAGCAAAGCTGATTTTACGGCGGTGCGCGCGAGCTTGCTCCATGGCTAGGGCGGCTTGTAGGTTGGGGAAATATGCGCAATCGCGCGCGCATGGAACAGGAGGCAATGCGCAGCAAATGATCGAACAAGTGGGAAACAATGGGTGGAAGATGTATCATACCAGGTCCTCGTCTGGCCGACGGCGGCGCATGTCGGTAGCTCGAGTGCTGCATATTTAGGTTCGTCCTCGCCGATCGACGCCAAGCCCTGCTTCTACCTCGTCGTTGATGGTAATCCTGGAAGGCGCGATGCTCAATAAACGTCGGGCGCGGTGCTGGTGGATGGGTGGTGTGGATTGATGATGTTGATGGCGCGACTGAGACGCACAGGCGCGTGCTGCATTGTAAACGTGCGGAGGAGCAGGCCCCTTGGACAGTTGGACTGCGGGGCTGAAGAACATCAACAAAATACCTTTCTACTCCAGTGCACGAGATTACCGGGTAAGACGAACGTCTTCTCTTCGATCCATCGATCAATTCACTTACCGTTCAGTCCGTAAGATTATCCAGGGCGGCCTGCTCGAACTAGCTTGGAAGGCGCCATTTGGAGCTTCAAATTCATCCTCACGGACGATTCGCAACACGGAACCAGAAGAGAGCGATCTAATATTCGTGGAAAAACTTGACTGTTCGGTACTCAATACTACCAAGCTGCTTCGTCTCTAATACTGCAACTGTTTGATGATTTCAGGCGAGTTCAGAAACGAGCATCGCTTCTGCAAATGCTGAGCCTCAATCGCTTGCCTTGCCGCATGCGATCCATTCGCTCCTGAGTATCCTGCTTCTGGACCGCCTATAACATAGACTCCATAGTTCTCATCCTGGAAATCGGCCTGTCTCCAGCCTTGGAGGGTATCGAGTCCGGCGACAGAAGGACGGCCGAGTGCGGCAAATGAGCTCCATGACCTGCTTTCCTTGTCTTGCAAAGCATAATCCGAGGCTGTCGGGTTGAAAGGAAGGCCATTGGTGTTGTACGAGCTCAGATTCCCAAACATATATGCGAACTCGCTCGTGTGGACAGCACCATAACCGTACAAGTTTCGCTTGTACTCCAGAATCTCAGTCAGTATTGTCTGGTTCTGATTGTAGAAATAGACGTCATTTCCAGCCCGGGCGAGAGCAGTTCCAAGAAAGATGGGTTGGCATGTGAGCAAGATATCTCGAAGAATTCTCCCCGCACGGTAGACTTGCGCCTCCAGCTTGACTGAACCGTTGGAGAAGCGGCTGGTCTGGAATTCCGAATCTGGATAGAGGTCGAGTAAATGGTCCAGGTTCGTCTGCGAGAATGCTGGCAGAAACTCTTCGAAGAAAGTTCGGGTGTCGTTGGCAGTCTTGACCGTGGTCGCATCGATGAAGTAAACGGCATCATTCTCACACCAACCGATCATCGCGGATACGTTGCTAAACCGTCCAGCGTCGATGAGAGAGCTTGGAGCGTCAGGGAGGAACTGGAAGCACATTAGCCAAGCCCCTGACGGAGTCTCAAGGCCAGCATACATCTCCATCAACGACAGGAAGCCATTCATCTCCAAGGTTGGCGCCAGAAGCAGTTTCAGAGAAAGCTTCATACAATACCTCCGTGGTCAAGTTGCGCAGACAGCTGACTGTGGCTGCAGAATCGAGACTAGTCGTGTTGCATCCAACGTAGTCGACTACTCTAGAGACAGAATTCCTGGTGGTGTTGCCAGTGATCTCTCCTTCCAGTGCTTGACTCTGACAAATTGCTCTGTGGAACGGGGCTGGCTTTTCGGCTCCATAGGCAAGGATTTGCATCCCCACAGCAAGGCCTTCACAAAGTCAGTCTATTTCGATTGGCAGTGCAGATTTGGCGTATAAGACTAACCACCAGATGACTGTCCGTGAATTGTGACCTATAGTGCACGCCGGAACGTTAGTCAGGTCCACTTTCACGCAGCAAAGAGTGGCGGCGCAGAGGGTGAGAGAACATAGGGTTACTCTTCGAAATTGCAGCCTTTCATGCAATCGGGATTGCACGATATCAGAGCATTTCACTCTCCCATGCAGATGGCATATAACGAATACATCCAGAGCTGTCGATATGAGGATCATTCATCGGGACAAGACATCCTCAGTCAGCTCCACATTGTCCCAAGGCCGCGCTCTCTGCAGGCTCTCGACGATTCTGGAATCCTTGCTACTAGCAGAGTGACCCATTAATCAATCGAGAGAGCAGTTCAGRGCGCTGCTCTTTTTGATGATCTCATGTCGACAGCTCCGGATATATCTGGGGATCCGATCAGAATGACTTACCTTGTTCGGGTCTCCACCAAAGAACTCGATGTTGTCCTGTACCCACTCCAGAGCGAGACGCTGATCACGAAGACCAGCATTCTCAGAGCCTTCCTTCTTCAAAGCTTCCGATTGCATGAAACCAAAGACTGGACGCAATCAGAATGTGCTCTGTCAAGTTGAGTGATTCGACCCACCTCCAAGACGATAATTCAGTTCCACGTTGATGACTGGGTGGCCATTGGCTACAGATTGAACGATCAATCCTCCAGGCTGCGTAGTTGGCTCGTCTTTTGAACCGGAAACGAAACCTCCACCTACATCCATGTCAACTAAGACGATCATCAATGAGACTGATGGTAGGTACCATGGATGTAGACCATCACCGGTAGTTTATCGCAAGCTTCTGTGCCATTGGGACGTGCTACGTTAAGTCGCAGACAATCCTCCGAAGCGCTGGGAATGCCTCCAACACTCAACACTCCTGTCGGCGGCCCTGTAGCCTGTGGGCAGGCTGGCCCAGGATCATTGGCGTGAACCGTCGTACCGGATACTGGCTCATATGCTCGTGGCGGCTTGAATCGATTGCTTCCACTGGTATCTTGGCCATAGCGGATCCCGAGCCATGATTCGACCTGGTCTTTGTAAAGGCCCTCGTAAGTTACGTCACCGACCGTGACGGTTGGGTCGGCGGCCACGATGGCGTAGAAGATGGGAAGAAGAGAGACCAAGCCTTTCATCTTGGCGTATGCTTGAAAAGCTTGGCGATTGGTGGAGGAATATCCATAAGTTGCGATGGAGGTCGCACGCAATTTATAAAGACCTTGCCTTATCTCTACGGAGATACAACGTTGTAGCTCTACAGCGTCGGTATATGACGGCTTGTGATCGGCCGTAGCGCGAGCCGCAAGGATCGGCGACAATGAAAAGTAGGAGGTAAGGCTGCCATCTTCCGGTGCAACTCGTGAGAACGTCGTAAGTAAACGCAATCAGGGGTATCCCTTGTTGGCCGCCAATCCTACAATTCAATGGCGTTTACTGCGTTATTGAATCGAAAACAAAAGGCGAACGATAGATCGTGACCGAAGGCATTTGTTTATCCCTCAACCAGGCTTATATTCATACAGCTAGTGATATTTCGGCGCTGCTTTCAAGAGAGGGCGATCGAGTCTTGAAATTGGTCGTCCGCTGCTAGAATGGTTTTTGTCCATCAACACAAGATCGAGCTATGCAACCGAACGCAGAGACGTAGAGTCATGCCCATCTCAGAGTCTTCCTTGGTGACGGGAAAGATTCGTCCGCGAAGCCTTCCTCGATGCTTACATGCTGTTCACTACTGAAGTGCCTATTAGCCGGCACTGCACCTAGTTTGGCAGGTAAATAGAGCTACGTTTTCAATCTCTTGCCTCCTTCTTCCGACCTACATCTGCGGCAGCGGGCCCATGCCGTTGAGGAAGCGCAGTGTGGCACTGCCGCTTCTCGCTTGGAGAAAGTTTCCGATTGCTGCAGCCATAATAAGTGAGTCGYCCCGATCATACCTCGTACAACGGAGCACATCGCGTTGATGATGAGGGGAAGGGCTCGCTTCGTGATCCCTGCCATGTGAAGACGGAGCTGCGGTCTTCCTTGGCGTACCTATCCATGACACTCCACGTGCTGCCCTGTCCACGAAGCTTTGGTATCGGCATCAACCATGGAGTGTTTGACTGCAAAAAAAAAAAAAAACGAAAACGAAATTGACATGTTCTGTCCTTCGCGCTGCTCTCCAAGCATCGCATGGCAAGCGCACGAGCACAATTCGACATCGGGCTGGCCACGAAAACCTCCTCGCATCTGTCGTAGGATCTTTCGTTCCACAGATGGGACAGATTGGGCAATCGTTTCCGCAGTTCCTTACAGCAATCTCAACGAAAGACACGGGAATACTACCTATAAAGGTGCGCCCCCGCCTTCATGATGAATGAGGTCATTTCCAAATCCTCTCGAAAGACCGATATCGCTCCTCAACTTTGCGCAAAGCCGAGCTTAATTGAAAGCCGTATCTTTTCTCCAACGCGGAGCCAGCCAGTAGCAAAAGGTTCCTCCATCATGTCTGCCCTACGATCGTTCGCCACTGCTGCCTCCCGCTCCGTCACACCCGCCTCCATTAATACCACCACTCGCACCTTTCCTCGACCGATCGCCGCCAAACTCATTCAACGGCGCAACATGGCTTCCAAGCAGATTCCCAAGATCAAGGTCAAGAATCCTGTCGTCGAGCTCGATGGCGATGAAATGACCAGAATTATCTGGAAGGACATCAAGGACAAATTCATCCACCCATATCTCGACATCGACCTCAAGTACTACGACCTCGGCTTGGAGAAGCGCGACGAGACCAACGATCAAATCACCATCGACGCCGCCGAGGCCATCAAGAAGTACAGCGTTGGTGTCAAGTGCGCTACCATCACTCCAGATGAGGCACGTGTGGAAGAATTCAAGCTGAAGAAGATGTGGCTGTCGCCCAACGGTACCATCAGAAATCAGCTTGGCGGAACAGTGTTCAGAGAACCGATTGTGATTCCCAGAATACCCAGGCTTGTACCAGGGTGGCAGAAGCCCATTGTGATCGGACGTCATGCGTTCGGTGATCAATACAGAGCGAAGGACCGTGTGATTGACGGCCCAGGAAAGCTCGAGATGGTGTTCACGCCAAAGGGTGGAGAACCAGAGAGAATCGAGGTTTTTGAGTTTACTGAGAAGACCCAGGGAGGCGTTGCGCAGACCATGTACAACACCACCGAGAGCATCACTGGTYTCGCACACGCCTCCTTCAAGCACGCACTGTCGCTCAACTACCCAATGTACATGACCACCAAGAACACCATCCTCAAGAAGTATGATGGACGCTTCAAGGACATCTTCCAGGAGATCTACGAGAAGGATTACCGCAAGGAGTTTGAGTCCAAGGGACTGTGGTATGAGCATCGTCTCATTGATGACATGGTCGCTCAGATGATCAAGAACGAGGGTGGCATGCTCATTGCTATGAAGAGTATGTTTCCAGAGTGATGAAATATCAAGTACATGACTAACTTGGCTAGACTACGATGGTGATGTCCAGTCCGACATTGTTGCCCAAGGATTCGGCTCCCTCGGCTTGATGACCTCCGTCCTCGTCACTCCAGACGGCAAGACATTCGAGGCTGAAGCAGCCCACGGTACCGTCACCCGTCACTACCGCGAACACCAAAAGGGCAACCCAACCTCGACAAACCCCATCGCTTCCATCTTTGCATGGACCCGAGGTCTCGCCAAGCGTGGTGAGCTTGATGGTAMCCCAGAGGTCACCAAGTTTGCCGAGAGCCTGGAGGAGGCATGCATCCACGTGGTCGACCAGCAAGGAATCATGACCAAGGATCTCGCAATCAGCTGTGGCAAGAAGAACGACTACGTCACCACCACCGAATACCTCGATGCCGTTGAGAAGCGCATGAGGGCTGTTCTGTCGAGCAAGCTATAGAACAGCACACAGCGCAGTTTCGAGAGTTTGATAATTGATGCGAACGTGACGGGTATGAGATTGGGATGCGTGGAATTGTGACCAACGAAGCTCAGTGACCAAGCCAAAGTCGGCGGCTACGACAGACCTGTGGATGGAGCGAACATGACATCAGAATGTGTAGATGACAGACTGTTCAGGATTTCGAGTGATGCCGGCATGGATACCGCAGGATATAGCCTTCTAAACCCATAGACGACCACAACGTTTCATACAGCCTCGCATTACACCAGAACGACCCCTTCGATGATCTTGCGCAAAGGTCTCTCGCGTCTGTCCTTATGTACAGATAAAGGATCGGTGTTTGTTCCAATCCAGAATCGATGTCGAACGGGAGCTGACATAGCTCAGGATTATAGGGGGTTTAGTCGGATGTGGTAAGGGGCTGTGCATCGCAACTTTCGCGTGCCTGACCAGGTAGGTATGCGTGTTCCTCGAAAGCTGGCCACGGCCACTCTCCTTCGTCTACGCCATCTGATCACCTAACTGTAGACGAGGCCGCCACCGTCTTGCATGTATTGCAGCCACTGCGTTTCGAACGAGAAGACACGTTCTGASGGTGAGAACAGCGGACCTCCTCACGCCACAACCTCCGAGAATGTCTCCGCATTGCGATGAAGGTCATATGACATGTCCCAATCAATGCTGACCTCATCTCACCCATGGCGTCCCTGCAGCTGCAGATCTGTGGCACGGATGAAGTCCATCTTCGGGAAGAAGAGAGCGTCACGCGCCGTGGATAAAAACGAGCAGCATAGAGCTTACCGAACCAAGCATTGAAAGTCTTCTGGTGGGATTGCATCTTCTTGCTCAATCAGGCAAGCAGTGCCATTTGAAAGTTCGAGGGAAACAGCGGTGTCAGCCACGTACCATCATCTCCTTGTTGGAGAGCAGCATGGACGAATACGCATCGCTGTTGATATACCGCATTCGATGCCCACGGACCATTAGCCCGAGGTCGTACGAGTAGGTAGTGTGTTGGTGTAAGGCATGGCTGGAACATCCGCGTCGGCCGCGAGACATGTTGGAGCACGCCGCAGATGAAGTAACAAAATAACGCAAACAGTGTCCCAGACGAGCGCAGACAAGAACAAGGCTGAGAGATCTCCAGTGTCTWCTGTATGTTGACGGGTGCCAGATACTCTGCACGGATAGGGGCATCTCATCCCGGCTACTGCAGAAGCGCCATCGGTAGTTGTGCACTGGTCTCCTCAGGCACAGATGCCGGTTTATTCTCTTTGCGCCACTTCATGGCGATGTCGAGGCGGACCGGATGTGGCTGAGCTGATAGGTACCAGGTGGAACCCCTAGAGAACGTTTCCCGGGCAGTCTAAGAGCTAACTTGTTCGAAAGCGATTGCTGTGTTACGCGAGGGCTCGACGACTGCTGATGACTTTCTGGATGGAGTAACATGGAGCTCCGTGATAGTGAGATATGTCGGCTGATGAGCATGCGTATGGCTGTGCGGGCCGCGAGAGCTACCCCCTGACGGCCGAGCTAGGTATCAGCCTGATGAATGCAGGGCAGAACGCTGTGTTCCACTCGTGCAACAATGAGTGACTATTGACTACGGGCTCTGGTATAGTCAGTGGGGTCATGATCAATTAGTTGYCAAGACCATATCGACAATCACGGTGCTGGATGTCGTCACATCCCAATGCGAGGAGAATGGTTACAGCTGCTGGGTCGAGGGGTGAAATGGCGAAGAATTCGGTCTACCTGCAACTGCATCACGAATTCAAACATCGGCGGCGGCTCCGAAACTGCGAACCCAGCCAAAAACGAGGCCTGGACCCTTCTAGGTACTCTCCTGACACACATGGGCGAGAGCGAAGCCGATAGATAAGAAGTGGAGCAGAGGCTGGGATGTGGCCCAGTCTGGTCGGCAGCGTGAACGTTATGGCGTGGCATCTGGTGACGAACTCCTGTCATCGAGTCTGACCCGGACGGGATAGCCGCGTCGTGGCTTGCAGCCCTGGAAGCTTGCACCTGCGAGGTTGAAGGGACCGTTTGCGCGAGAGATCGCGAGCAGCGACTGCTCATCGCAGAATCTTTCCAGCCGTGGGAACTGAGTCGGGCTGGTGGCTACTCACCTGTTCCGGTGGGATCGAATCTTTCAGAGAGATCGATGGATTCCGAAGCATTGGGTTCGGTATAGATTCCGGAGGAGTCAAAGAAGGGGGGCTCATATGTACCTTGTCGATTGGCTTGCCGTGTACTCAGCGGGCCCAGACTCGACTTGATGGACTGGGGAACGGTAATGCGATTGAACATGCTTCATGAGCCACAGCCAAAAACGAACCGGTGTGCGGCGAGCGTGGAGCTCAACTCATTCTTGCTTGTGATCTTTTCAAAACCGATGACGGCCACTTCTTCGAGGTTGCGCAGACTGACTTGCTCGAATGTCTTTCGTCTCTTCTGAAGTGGCCCGCGTGGAGCTATCAATACACCACAATGACCAAATCAAAGGTTGCCAGTTTGGACGRCATATCGCTGTTGGATCACTACCCTGAGATCTTACAAAAGGTACCTTCATCCCAAGGCGGTCTGAGGCACACTTTGACAGGGTACATAGCAAGATGAATCGTTGCTTGCTTCTGAGATGGCCCGGAGCATGCTGGAGTCAGTCGACCTGCAACCTTTCGGAGGCGACGCCGAGAAATCTGGCAAGGACGCCATCACTCTCGACGACGTTTGCAAGTCATATCAATCGTCCGAGCACGTGCTGATGACCCCAATGGAGAGATGGACCATGATGGCTGTGGATGACGAGTGTTTTCCGCTGCTGGCAAAGAGATCGATGCAAGATGCTGGACTGGACATTGCAACGCTGCAGTCGCCCTCGTCACCGCATGAGACAGCGCGTAGGTTCCCGTCCGGAGAGGAGGCCGCTATAGCGGGAGCCATTGGCGTCAGAAGGAATGTCATGGTAGAGTCAACTGTCGACGACGAGCTTGGGGAACTCATCCCAGGAGAGCGGAGAATACACCCAAGGCGTGCGACTGGCAGCCACGTCACTGGAAGGTCTCATATCAGCAAGCACTCCAGTGGGATATTACCAGGGCAGACGGCAAAGGATGTAGTGCAAAAGACGGCCCCTCGCAACAGACGCATTGTAGTGAACAGCAGGTCCAGTGCACTGCGTTGCTGATAGACTTACAGCATCCCGAATCAGCCAGGATTTGAACAACTGTGAAGTGAATTGCAGTGCTCAACAGTCGGGAATAGCAGGGGATCTGTATGCCGTTCATGTATCTTCAGATACGATAAGACGTTGTGATCGCCAAGAAATAAGCGATGTTCACGCCCTACAGAAAAGTTCCAGGCTCAAGGGAAGGATGAGATAGCAAACTTACACTCTCGCGTGTATTTCCTGTTCATCAGTCTATTCAAATCTTCATCATGGTCGAAAGCGTATCTCGTACTTCAAACCCAACTTCAAACTCGAACCCAATGCAACTCCACACCTGCAAAATGTCTCTCTGATTTCATGCTGCGCGCTCCGACGCGTTGTTGCGACTCTCGTATCGTGCCCAGAAGAATCCTCGGACGCCATTACTCAACCAGACAGTCTCTCCAGCTTGCAGGCTATCGATCGGGATCATTCCCTCGACGCACAACTTCTGCTCCAATGCCCAACGCCGAGTGGTACCTTGAAGACCTCCTGCAGATGATTCTGGCGTGACCCACTGGCCGTTGCGGAAGAGATATGGCGTACAGATTGAGCCATCCAGCACATATCTATCCGGAGTGAAGAGTAGTACCTCCTTGGGTTGGGCGAAACTCGTAATGCCTGCATCAATCCTCGAGCGTCCATACACAGATCGATCGTTTGTCTTAAACATTGTTGACTCTGCAGGTTGCGTGGGTTCCGAATCAAGTACAATCGTCCAATCAGCTTTGTGCTCTGGCGGGAATACCTTCAAACTGGGAGGGAAGAGCGAATCGATTGGAATACTCTTGAGTGGATAGTATGTTTCCGTTCTGAACTTCCCGCCAACGTACGCGCGGATCTTGATGCGGAGGGCCTCTGGATTTTCACCAGGATGTGCCTCATGCCATTGCTTCACGGCATTGAGGAGGCTTTGGAAGATGATCGATGGACCGCCTGAATTGGGTCTCGGTCTGTCATCTGCAAAGAAGAATGTGCTCCATTTGGCGATCTGAAGGCGAGTCCAATGATGTTCTAACATGTAGAACGGGCAAGGCTTGTTGCATGATGCTGCAGTGTTCTGTTCACACTTGAGCAAACGAACGTCATAGCGTATGCTGGTGTAGACGTAGGGCTCCCGCTCATCTTCTGGAGTTGCAGCACCGGGTGTGTGTTCGTTGAAGTGACCGCTCATTGTTGAAGATGCAGGTGTCCGAAGGGAGCACTCCGCACGAAGAAGGTACGTTTGCCTGCCTCAACAGCAGAACAAGCAGAGGAGCCTCGCGAATGCAGACAGAGCATTGAAATTAGCAAAATGTGTCATATGTTTGATGAAAATGGTAGCTCGAGTCTGACGGACGGGAGTGACTTGATCGGCGGGCGGCATACACATGGAAAAAAATGGTGGCACCTTCACTTTGATGACTGTGATTTCTGGCCCCCTGTTTCATCGCTGACGTGAATCTGGAAAGCTCATCATCATCCCGACAAATAAATCCTCCAACCTTCCTCAACGCGCCGCTTGCTATAAGTGGACTGCGCGACTGTCACAAACATGGCGACGCCGTCATTTATGGACCGCGCCTCGGCCTGGTATGCGGACAACAAGATCGCGGCCTGGACCATTGCCGGTGTCACGGTCATAGTTACAGGCGGCACTGTCTACTACCTCTCACAACCGCCTGCGCCATCAGAAGCAAGCCGTAAAGCCAAGAAGGAGCGCAAAAAGGCGAAAAAGGGAGGCGTAGAGGCCAGCGCGGAGGAGAAGAAAGCCGAGCCGGCGCCAGCAGCGCCTGCGGTACCCAAGGCTGCTGTTGTGGAAGAGCAGTCCGAGGATCTTCCTCATGTCACAGAAGAGTCTGTCGCGCAGCTCTCCGAACAGGAGCGCAAGGACTATGCGGCCAAGCTCAAAGCTGCTGGAAACAAGGCCTACGGCAGCAAGGACTACAACCGCGCCATCGATCTCTACACCCAAGCAATCCTCTGCAAAGCCGATCCCGTATTCTACTCCAACCGCGCAGCCTGCTGGAATGCCATGAGCAACTGGGCCAAGGTCATCGAAGACACCACCGCCGCCATCAATCTCGACGCCGAATACGTAAAGGCATTGAACCGCCGAGCGAATGCCTACGAACAGGAGGAYCGCTTCAGCGAAGCGCTTCTCGACTACACCGCCAGTTGCATCATCGATCAATTCCGCAATGAATCTTCCGCTCAATCAGTCGAAAGGCTATTGAAGAAGGTCGCCGAGTCCAAGGCCAAGAGCATCATGGCCAAGAAAGAGAAGAAACTGCCATCGCCGACATTCGTATCCAACTACCTCCAATCATTCCGTGCTAGGGATCTGCCCGCTGGTCTTGAAAAGACTGCGGACTTGGCAGAGGGAAGCGGCAAGTGGTATCTCCGTAAGGGTCTCCAGGCCATCCAGCAACGCACCGGCGAAGGATACGCGGAAGCTGCAGAAAGCTTCGACCAAGCCATTGAGAGGAACGACCTCGACAAGCACGAAGCACAAGCCTACAACATGCGTGGAACGTTCCGCTACCTCAGAGGCGAGAACGAGGCTGCACTAGAGGACTTGAACAAATCCATCGAATTGGACTCGACTTTGGTGCAGAGCTACGTCAAGCGTGCTAGCATGCATCTTGAAAACAGTGAGTTCCAGAAACAATTTGCAGGAAACGCCAGCCAGCTCGACAGTTCTAACACAACAGCAACAGGCGCACGCGACGCGGCCGCAAAGGACTTTGAAGACGCCGCTTCCCACAACCCAGACGACCCAGACATCTACTACCACCGCGCTCAGCTCCACTTCATCCTCTCCGAGTTCAGCGCCGCTGCTACCGACTACCAGAAATCCATCGACCTCGATGGCGACTTTATCTTCTCTCATATCCAGCTCGGCGTGACACAGTACAAGATGGGATCCATTGCTAGCAGCATGGCAACCTTCCGAAGGTGCATCAAGAACTTTGGAAACAAGAGCGATGTATACAACTACTACGGCGAGCTTCTCTTGGACCAACAGAAGTACCAGGAAGCTGTTGAGAAATTTGAGACTGCCGTTGAGATGGAGCGTAAGACTGTTGGGGAGCGTGGAGGTGGCATGAACGTCCTTCCTCTCATCAACAAGGCGCTGGCGCTTTTCCAATGGAAGCAGGACTTTGGTGCCGCCGAGGAGTTGTGCCAGAAGGCTCTCATCAGTAAGTTCCATGATGCTTTTTTATCACAAAAGTGCGACGAGCTAACCGTCAATCCCAGTCGATCCCGAATGCGATATTGCTGTTGCTACCATGGCACAGCTGCTTCTGCAGCAAGGCAAGGTCACCGATGCTCTTACATACTTTGAGCGCGCAGCCGAACTGTCAAGGACCGAGGGAGAGATTGTCAACGCACTTTCCTACGCAGAAGCGACGCGCACGCAACTTGAGGTGCAAGAAAAGTACCCACAGGTAAGAAATCGCATCCAATGATCTGCGTGTCAGCCTCACTACGGTTCATCCTTGCTAATGACCTCAACAGCTCGCCGCCAAACTCCAAGGTATGGGAGCTGGAGGAATGGGAGCCCCGATGAGATGAAGACAGAACCCAGTCGTGTGCGATTAGACGGAGTTGGATGTGCAAGGTGCACGTTCCTATGTATGATCTCGGTGGGCGGACCACATCACATACTGCTGCTTCTTGTACACTACCAATTCTACTTACTTGTGTGCAGCGCAAATATGTAATTCTGCTCCCCTCACGTGCACAATGTCTACATGTCAGCTGGCAAGGCCAATAGCTGAAATTTAGCTTTTCGTCTTCCCAGGTTCTCCTTTTCGATCACATCCACAATCTTATTAATCAGACCTCGACAGATTGCGCGCTGACGATCACTTCAGGTATCGCCTTTTTGAAGCTTTGGACGAAATCGGCCAGATGTTGGAGGGATTTCTTGTTTGCTTTATGACTGGAGAAGCGGTAGTTAAACATCCCATGTTTGGACACCGCATTGCAATTCTCGTCCACCACAGGATCGGAGGATCGTCTCAATGTGACTCAGTGAGCTAGATAGTCGGTTTGACCCACGCAACACTTATTCCTATTCCTGCCGTTCACCATTCTTCCATTCCAAGTCTGCCATAACCACATTTCCCATACTTTCGACCCTTTCTGTCCATCAGACACTACAGAATCTCGCGGTACTCTTGAAGATGAGCACTGATTGGGGAACCGCCGGAACTGGAACATTCACCTCAACTTCGCACTCGCAGCCCTACGATGCCATTGATCCAAGCAAAGTAACATTGCCTAACCCCTTTGTCGTTTGTGTTGTTGGTGCATCACGAGGTATGTTGTCCCATCCATCTAACATTAGAGATCTGTCAATGAGGACGCCTCACAAAAGACAACGAACCGTCCAGAAGGGCCTCGAATACTCTAACACCGTACTGACATTCGCATTTCTCTCCGCAGGCATCGGAGCCGGAGTAGCCTTCAACTTCGCCAAAGCAGGTGTCTCTGGGATCGTTCTCGCCTCTCGAAGGACATCCGGTAAATGAAAACAGCCTCATTTCAACACCTCATAGCTGATCCCCAACTCCAAGGTCTCGAAGCAACAGCAGCAGAATGCAAGAAAATCAACCCCAAAATCCAAACAGCCATTGTTAGTTGCGACATCACGTCCGCCGATTCAGTAGCAAACCTCGCATCAGAGACTCAGGCCAAATTCGGGAGATTGGATGTCGTAGTCATCAATTCTGGATTCTCAGGTCCTGTCAAGTTGAAAGTGACGGAGACGGACCCAGAAACTTTTCTCAATGCCTCGAATGTGTAAGCCACGWTACAATCTCATCCATGGAGTGCTCACTGATGATAGGTCTTGCCAGAAACTACGTCGGGACTTTCCTCGCAGCAAAGTATCTAATCCCACTTCTATTGGAGACTGAACATGGAGCGAAAACGCTCATAACAGTCTCCAGTCTCGCGTCTCTAATCGTTCGCGGACCTATTGCAAATGCGCAATACTGCGTCAGCAAAACCGCTCAATTGAAGCTGATGGAACACATTCATGAACAGTACTTGGATGAAGGCCTAGCGACGTACGCAATTCATCCTGGAGCCGTACTCTCAGAGATGGCAGATGAGACTACCCCTGATGCGTTTCGCCCATATCTCACTGATTCGCCGGAGCTATGTGGAGCTTTCTGCGTTTGGTTGGTCAAGGTGAGTGCTGTTCTTACATTGCCAGCGCATGTGGAGATGTCTGACATACTTTAGGACGACTCGAAGCGTTCGTGGCTGACGGGGAGACTGCTCTCCGCCAAATGGGATTGCATCGAGTTGGAGAAGCGGAAGGAAGATATCATAGTCAAAGATTTGCTAAAGTTAAAGTTGACCCTTTGATGCCGTTTCGACAGAAGGACCGCGAGCCAGATTGACTCACGAGCCTCTCTCAAATTCATCAGATACCCATCCAAGGATCGTTTGGCATCATCATCTGCTGCTTCTGATATTGAGCTTCTTTCGCCGCTAGTTCCTTTAACTCACGCTGCTTTTTGAGCTGTACCAAGTTGCCCTTCAAACCCCTCAGGTACCTCCTCGCCTCATTGACCAGATGCTCGGGTTCGTTCGAATACTTGAGCGCTTCGAGCATCGCGCGAACCTGTCGGTAGAGTTAGCAGTGAAGCATTGCTACAATGCATTCAAAAAAGGCATACCTGGGTCTCTGATTGAATGTGTGGACACACCCTGGCGTGACCATAATGGGCCATTCCACAAAGATTGCAGTACTCAACTCCTGCCATTTTGACGGGACAACTACCGACGACGTGATAGGTGCGACAGGCTTGACAGTTGACTCCTTTGCGTTCAGAAGTGTCATCTTCGGACTTGGGGGCAACTGGGGGTGGAACAACCACTCGGCGGAAAGGCGGCGGCTCTGTGACGTATGTAAGGATCAGTTTGGGGACGTTTCCTGTGAAGTGGGCTGTGCTGGTAGTATTGCTAGTGTCGTGGTTGGAGATGTAGGTGAAGGGGTAGGTGGAGATGTAGGTGCAGGTGCAGGTGCAGGTGGTGGTCTTGTGACGAGAGTAGCATCCTCTTCATCACTACTGATGATTATGGCGTTGCCATCGCCATCGCCACCAAAGAATGTGCCACCGCGGACTTTCTTGGTTCTCCTGGCAGGCTTGACAGGCTTTTTGGCCGTCGTGGTTGGCTTTCTTGTCTTGCTCTCCGCAGACTTGGAGACCACCGTCTGCAGAGCGTCAAAACTCCAAGGCCTRCTCACCGGAAGCTCCACGGCGGTCAAGCCGCCTGGTAGCTGCTCGAAGTTGGAAGGCATCCGCTTCCTAGCCCGCTTCTTGAGAGCTGAATGCATCGATGCTATTGGCTTTGGAGCAGAGGATGCATTCTTCTTGGCAATACCATTGAGCTCGCCCATGGACGGGGCAGTTTTTGGGGTGGGCTTTCTGCTCGTTGGTGCTGCTTTACTCTTGGGTGTTGCTTTGGCGCTTTTGGGGGCTTTCTTGGGTGTGTTCTTGGGTGTGATGAGATGTTGGGGCTGCWTACCAATTTTCTTCCGGGTATGACCATCGACGAGGTCCATATCACCGCGCTCAAGGCCCTCGGCAGGATCCGCATCGTCTTCACCCTCGCTGTCGTCGGCCTGGAAATCAGTGTCACTCTCACCATCATCACGACGCTTCTTGCGGCGCTTGATCGGTGTCAAACCGATGCCATCACCAGGAGCACCTTCTGGCTTCTCCTCCCCGGCATAATCGATAGCCGCGCGAGCCCGACGGCCACGGCCGAACGCTTCTGCTTTTGCAGCTGCTTCATCTGCGGCTAAACGCTCACGCTCCTTGAGAATGTTCWCCCAAACGCCAGTATCAGGCGCAGTCTCTTGAGCTTCGATAGGTGCTTCCTCCAAAGCACCTTGATCGTTGGCCCAGACACGAGCGAACGAGAACTGTGTCTCTGCGCTCTTATTCGCACCTGTGTTCTCAATGTGGCTCCGATCGAGAAGTCTCTCCACGCTGGCATTGTCGTAAACAACGTCATGAGCGTCGTTGTCACTGAATACTTTATTCGCTCCATGCTTCAGAACCGAGATGAGGTCATCCTGATCAGCTTCTTCCGCATCCATTCCCTGAATCAAGACGTGATCGAGGGCAAGCTTCTTCTTGCCAATCTGCATGATCTTCTCCTCGGCGCTGTCCCTCGTGACGAGCTGAAAGCACAAAACCTTCTTGTTCTGACCAATGCGATGCGCACGGGAAAGAGCTTGAATGTCCTGATGCGGGTTGAAATCCGGGTCGAGGATGATGACAGTGTCTGCGGTTGCAAGGTTGATACCGACACCGCCGGCTCGTGTAGAGAGAAGGAATGCGAACAAGGCAGAGTTGGGCGCGTTGAACTCATCGATGCGCTTCTGCTTGACCAATGAGCTGATCTGGCCGTCGAGTCGCTGATATCGCAGCTGCATGCCATCCAGGAAATCCTCCACCATGTCGAGCATGTCCAGAAATTGACTGAATATCAGCACGCGGTGACCGCGTTCCTGAAGCTTGGGGAGAAGAAGTTCGAGAAGCTTCAACTTGCTGCTAGCGTCCACCAGGTTCCGATGTGAAGAAGCGACGTCGACGTTCTTGTCTTCTATGCTCTTGTTGTACACGAATGGATGGCAGAGACACTTGCGGAGCTGCATGAGAATGTTGTTGAGACTACCMTTCTCCTTATCCTTGACGCCAGGGTCGTTGCTGAAAATTTGTCGCATGAGCTCGGGATTCTTAGCCATGATCGTTCGATAAAGCTTCTTCTGCACGATGGTCATGCTGACCGGGACGATAATCTGTGACATTGGAGGCAGGAAGGTGAGCACCTGTGCCTTGGTGCGTCGCAAGAAATAGGGTCGTATCATCTCGTGCAGCTGGCCGAGGTTGTTCTCGTTGAGATCCTGAAATTGCTCCTCCAATTGCGCCGCGTTCTTGCTATCGTCAAGAAAGTGCAACAAGTTGAAAAGCTCGCGCTGGTTGTTCTGCAAAGGAGTACCAGTGAGGAGGATCTTGAATGGCGTCTTGAGGGCACTCAGTGCCGAGTAAAGAAGGTTCTYGTCGTTCTTCAACCTCTGACCTTCGTCCACGATCAATCCTTGCCACGGCACGCCCTTGAAGAACTTGCGGCAGTTCTCATCGGCAGCAGCATCATAACTCGTGACAACAATGTGGCATCGAAGATCCTTGCTGCCCTCTGGGTAAAGCTCGTACCGTTGCGCAAGATCTCTGCTCTCGCGGGAGCCGTAGTACGCGACAACACGCAATCCTGGGGCCCAACGCTTGATTTCTCTCCTCCAGTTTGGACATGTCGAGTTTGGAACGACGACGAGAAAGGGGAAGCAACTGTGGTCCTGAATGAGAGTGGCCAGGAATCCGATGATTTGAATCGTCTTGCCGAGACCCATCTCATCTGCGAGTACAGCATTGCTTTGAGTGAACCACTTGTAGTATAGCCAGTTGAGACCCTGAACTTGATACTCCATCAAGGTGCCACCTTGAATGTTTTCTGGCTGCCCGGTCTTCTCCAGCTTGTTGAATTCCTCCTTGCGGAGCTTCTCCAGTCGAGACTTCAATGCGCCAGGCTTCGGAATTCGGACATAGCGGCCAGCGACCCAGTCATTGTATGCCATCACAAAGTCAGACCAACGCTCGCCGTCTTCGGGGGATGGAGGTGCCTCCCACACAGCGTCCTCGTAAGTCAAACCCTTGTATTTGATGAGTGCTTTGTCGACCTCACGAATCCGCGCCTTATCGACCTCCTCTGTGTGGATATCGACAATGCTGGTGAATTTGATATCAAGCACAATGTCAGTGCGCAGATAGTCTTCGGGAATGGCATCTTCTGTCCGCATCTTTGGATGCTGAGCATCCTCGCGTTTGAAGAATGCCTTGCGCATACTAGGCGCAGCAACACCAAAAACCCAAGGACCAGGCATCCACTGAGCACGGAAGTATGACATCCCGTCCCAGCGCACCAAGTAGGTCTTATGCTCCTCCTCGACGCTGTCGACACCGAGAGTAGAGTCATAATTGTCCTCGTCTACCGGCTTCCATGCGACAAGCCCAGATATCTTCGCAGGCATCTCCGCACACTCCTTGCACTTCCAATCTCGACTGTATTCACGGAAGCGCTGCTCAATATCGACCTCACCTCCAAGATCCATTGTTGGATAGTCCGCACGGGATGGAAGATGTTCGAAGTGAAAGCCACGAAAGCAGTTCGTGCAACGAAAGAGGACGTTATCCGCGTTGTTGATCCGATGCTCTTCGACTTCGTAGCTGGGATCAACACCGTCATTGTCTTCGCGATCCTTTTGCTCCTGGGCGGGTGTCTTGCGCGGGCGGAATGGTCTGCAGGCGGCACCGTGGTGTCGACAGTCTTGGCATTTGCCTTGGTCTGGCGCCATGGGGTCTTTCTTGTGGGCGACTCCCAAGCAACGACGGCACTGTAGCACGAAGTCGTCCTCGTCAATTTTGGTGACAAGGTGTTCTCTTCCGGTACGATGACCAAGGCAGGACTTGTGGTACACCAAAGAGCAGCCTTGGCAGTCGATGAGAGGTGCAAAGTTGGGTCCCTGGCCACAGGTCTCACAGAATGGATTGTGCCGCATGTGAAACTCATCGCCTCTAGGACGTGGCTTGAACACTTCGCGGACGCCCAGCTGCTTTGGCTTTGCAGGTGCACGTGGCTCGTCTGATTCGGATCGATAGATATCGTCCATTTCGACCTCTTGCATGGCACCCGTATGGCGTGTGCTGCGTCCAGATTGACGCATGCCTTCGCTTTGGACCTTGATCTTGCTGGTGCGTGATGACTTTGGCTGCTTGGTACGGCGACGCTTGGTGCCCGGCAGATCGGACTGCAAGAACGGAAGTCCGTCGCTGTCAACATCTTCATCGTCCTCGTCGTCGGTCAAGCCAGTGGACACGCGTTGTGTACGAGTGTTTCGGCCTGAGGTCTGTGGGTTACGGAGGCCAGTACGGGTCGGCTTCGCCAATTCATCCTCAGATGCTTCGGAATCCTGCTCGGCGAAGGTGTCATCTTGCTTGCGTTTACGACCACGAGTCCGGGTAGCCGCGACTGTGATGCTATCGGACATTTCTTCGTCGGAGCCGTCGATATTGGCGATGGTGCTCACCATGCCCTGCTCGTGGAACGCTCGCCGATTGGGGCGTGTGGTGGTCATCCTTGATGATCGACCACTTTGCTTGCGACTTTGTGGTTGGAAGCGCTCTTCTTCCTCTCCCGAGGGCGGATTGTTGGTGTAGTCTTCGAGGGCTTCTTGGCCGTTATCAAGCTCCAGCAAGTCTCCGAACGCGATCTGCAGTAAGTCAGACAATGCACAGTGTTCAATGCCGTTGCAGCAGTGGTTGTGCTTTGCTTGTTGTAGCAACCGTTTGAGAGTTGTGAAGGTGAAGGTGATGGTGATTGAAGGATGTTATAGGCGACGGTTATATAGGAAGGGGAGGCTCGTGCGTTGCATGTGAAAACGGGCTGTGCCGCGCGACAATGGCATATGAAAGCGGAAGCTAGTGATGAGTCGCAATATGGGAAAGGAAAAGGACGGAATCAAAGTCAGGTGGCCTTCCACATTGTGAAGCTCTCCGAAGTGGAGTGAAATGCAAGTTGGCATGGCCCCGAGTGAAGTCTGCAAAGGAGGAAGGAGGGGGTTGGAACTGTTACACAATGGGTTGCTTTTGCCTAGAATGGGACTGCCACCTGAAGAACTTGGGATTGGTGGGCAAGGGAGGTGATCCGAGGAACCATGCGAGAAGGAGATACGTACCGCTTCCTCGTGGAAATCGTCGAACTGGACCTGGTATGCGATCTCGCGATTTATCGGGCGAACTTCCCACTTCACGCGCCGCACTCTCTGAGATCCGGTCGTGAAGTCTTCATAATCATCTCGGTCATCGCCCTCCGTCCTTGAAATGCGAACCACCAGCTTCCGTGGAGCCGTTGACCCGTTGCTGTGCGGCTCTTGCTCTYGCTCGTCCAGAGCTTCTGCTGGCTCAACGGATGAGATGGACTGGATATCGAGATCTGGCTCCCCAGCTGAAGATTCCCGGTCGAAGTCATTGATGGGTTGGAACGTTGGCGGCGCGGGCGAAGCTGGAGCCTTGCCTTTGCTGCCAGTCTGGAAGTTGGAAAGACTCGGTGTTGCACTGCTATCCTCCTTCTGTTGCTGCGCCGAGCTTCCCATCATGGGCGCCACAGGAGCACGTCCACGTCCACCCACTGGCGAGACACGCTTTGCTCCCGCCTTCCAAGCCGACAAGTCCATGGCACCTTCATCGTCCGAGGAATCGGCCTGGGCATCGAAATGGAAAGCCATCGTAAGCGAAAATCGCGTTTCGGTCGGCGTTTTAAGGACAGTCCATTAGGTGTTGTTCGTCATTGCTTTGCCTCGCGATTGGGGGGACGCGTTGGTGTCGAAGTCCGGCAGTTTCGAGCTCGGCGCGTGTGAATTTTTGGGAAGGTTAGCCGATCCGCGTCTTCACCTCGTCGAAAAAATCTGGATGCCAAAATATACGTAGAGCACTCCACAATGCGATGATATTTCCCACGTTGAAACACCCATCAAACGTCTATCGTCTGCTGATCAGTCGTGTCAAGCTTGTATCGCCAACATGTCAGCCCATTTCTACACGGTCTGCCATCAACAAGGGCCTCAGGAGTGGAAGAGATGATTCTGAAATCAAAAGGGGCGGCCGAGACCGTACCCAAAGGCCTTCTCAGTTTGGGGACAGACCGCGCTCCAGCAGCTTTTCGCGGTCCGATGCTCCTGGTAGAGCAAGAGAATCTGGCTTTGCATCCGGTGGACGCGAAAGAGATCGACCTGGCTTTAAGCCACGAGACGATGCGAGAAGCTTTGACAGAGATCGTCCTGGACGTGACTCTAAGTCGTCATATCCCAGGCGTAACGAAGACTCCGATTCTGGTGGACGTGATCGAACCCGGTCTGCGTTCAAGCCGCGTGATGATGCCAGAAGTTCAACCCGGAACCGCCCTGCACGAGACTTTGGCTCCTACCCTTCACGTGGAATGAAAGATGAACCCAAACCAGGAAATCGTTTTGAAAGATCTCGTAAAAGAGAATCTGGCTTTGCAGGTCAGCCTGGATTTTCGTTCGAAAAGAAAGCTGGCAGCGACTTTGCCACTCACGGACGACGCGGCGACAGAGACAGCCTCAGCTCTTCGAGTCGCGGTTCACGGGACGAACATGCGCCTCGAGACCGAAGTGATCGCGATTCCACTTCTAGCCGTGGTTCTCGTTTCCCTGATCGTTCAGATGAAAACAGCTTCGCGTCTCGGAGCCGTGGTGATGGAGGCGCGAGGTACGGAGACAGCTCTTCCTCAGCAGCTCGGCGGCAATCAGATAGCTTCGGTTCGAAAGATCGTGATTATCAGCGTCGTGCTCCTGGAAGCACTGGAGTCAAGCCCAACTTTGCTGAGCGTCGTGAAAGGGATGAGACTCATGCGGCAGGGAAGTATGCGCCTACAGCAGAAAAGGAACCAAACGAGCCGGAATCGGAACAGGGCGACCGGCCTCGAAAAGGACTCCTCCGCGACATCAAGTCTGCGTGCAAGTTGATACAATCTATCCAAAAGGCAGAGGCGTCTGGAGAGGATACCAGCCAGATGATCAACATGACGAATGCCCTGCTCCGCAGCGTTAACGTTCATGTTGCATCTGGTAATTTTCAGGACGACCCCGCCGAGGCGGTGGCCTCCCTCTTCCATAAGAAAGCCGCGGAGGGGACTTTCTACGTCAATTCCGACACAGCTTCTGGAGGTCGAAGCATCCTTTTCCAAAGAGGCGACGGGAAAATTGAGTTTGSCGCAAAGAGTAATGATTTCGAGGATCATGTGGCGGAGGCCCGACCGAGTCGAACTGAACACAGCAGAGATAGATCTGAAAGATTGACGACGGCAAGAGATGGCAACAGATCAGGGCAAAACCCTTCTAGCAGAGAGACAAGAAACTTTGCATCCTCCGAAGCTGGCCCTGAAGATGACGGTATTCCAATCTCAGTCCCTTTCACCACCGCTGCGAGCGAGTTTCTCTATGGGTCCAATGCTGTCTTGGCAGCACTGCGAGGCAAGCGAAGGAAGCTCTATCACCTTTACGTGCACCCCAAGATCTTTGAGCGGGAATCTGGAATGGAGGCAGACAAAAAGTCAAGATACGCAAAGCCTGCACATGAGTTCGTCGCATTGGCCAAGGAAGCAAACGTCCCGTTCCGCAATGAGTTCAGGACACATTTGTTGGACAAAATGTCAGATGGGCGACCACACAACGGCGTTGTTCTGGAAGTCTCGAAGCTGCCCGCGCCGCCTGTCCTTGGTCTCGGCAAGCATGACGCACGGAGAGCAATCATCCCCGTTACTGTTGCTCCACAAAGTGCAGAAGATGTTGCTGTCAACGGAAACTCCGAAACCATTGCCGTCACTGCGAACAGCTGGCGTCACCCCTTCATTGTTATGCTAGATGGTATCATCGACCCCGGCAACGTAGGAAACATTCTCCGAACCTGCCACTTCTATGGAGTAGACGCCGTCGTAGTCGCCACAAATACCTGCGCGAATCTCTCCTCCGCCGTCTTGGCGAAAGCTTCCTCCGGTGCATGCGAAGCTGTTCGCATCCTAGCTCTCCCACAGCCTTCCAACTTTGTCCACGATTCCGCAAAGGCGGGCTGGAAGATCTACGCTGCTGTGGCGCCTGTTACGGGTAGACAGGGCAAGGATGCCAAACCACAGCTCACCACGGCTACCGTAGCTGCTGCGAGTCCATTGGTCGACCATCCCTGCATTCTCATGCTTGGTGCCGAAGGCGAAGGTCTGAGGGAGAATCTGAAGAACCGCGCGAATGCTTTCGTGTCTATCGCAAGAGGACAGCAGTTGAACGATTCGCCCGATGTTGGGGTTGACAGTATGAATGTCAGTGTTGCTGCTGGAGTTTTGCTCGAGTCTTTCTTGAGGAAGCCGGAGGGTGCTCCTGAAAAGAGGGATAGTACTGGGGAGTTGGGATTCTAGACTTTTTGTACATTAAGTTTTCTCTCTGCTGCTCTAGCGTTCGAGCGTTTGCATTGTATAATAGCTGCATTGTGTTGAGTAGATGGACATGGCGGACTTGGCATATCTGTTACGCTTTCTGTATACATAACTTCACCGCTCACTTTACCCCCCGTTCCTCTATCTCCTTCAGCAATCCTTGTCCACACCTCGTCACCTGCTCATAGGCAATCTCGAAACCGTCTCGCCCGCCATAGTATGGATCACCCACTTCTTCCCTCTTATCCTGCCCCCCAAACTCTCCAAAAAGCCTCACCTTGCGCTCCCAACCATCTGCATCCACTTTCTTGCTCCGTCTCCCAAAAGCCTTCAAGTCTGCCAGGTTGCTTGCATCCATGGCAATCACATAGTCAAAGTCCGCAAAGTCTTCCGGCTGTATCTTCCTCGCTTGGTGCTTGTACCCCTTCAGACCATTCTCAGCAAGCACAGACATCGTCCGAGGATCTGGACCATCGCCGCTATGATATGCACCCGTGCCACAGCTGTCGATGCGAGATATGAGGGGATGCTGTTCAGGGGTATTGAAGTTTGTGAGATTGCGGAAGACTCCTTCAGCCATTGGGGACCGGCATATGTTCCCGAGGCAAACGAACAGGACGGAGACTGGTTCTGCCATGGTGGGTGGGGATCTGCTGGTGGCGATGAGTAGAGGTGTTCCAAGCTAATCCACAGCACAGTGTTCACAGCTTATATCCACGTGTACATAGCTAATGTGAAATCTGAGATCTTAGATCCACGTTACTAAGCGCGTACTAGGCGTCGATAACCCTGTATACGCCTGGAACGGGCCCACTTATTAGCCGGAATCCGGCCAAACCTGGATAAGCGCGGTATCTTACATGATACTTGGCGTGCAGCACAAGAAGTGGGCCGTGTGGGTATCACAGTGTACACATGCTCGAATTCTTAATCCACCGTGCAGGTACACCTCTGGCGATGAGGACGAGGTTGTGGCTGAAGACGTTCGTGCTATTTTGRGCTCACTGCGTCGCGTTCACGGGGCCGCGGGTTGCTAGGTAGGTAGATATGCTAGTTCGCGCAGTCATCATCATCACAACCATCACCAGCTCTGAAACACCTCAGCTTTGCCCGCATTTCTCACGTCCAGTCTTCAAGCGCAGGCGCAATCTTGGATCGGTTTGCGCATCTCAAGATCCATTGCCTTATCATTTGCGCATTCCTATCGCGGCAAAAGGAGGGCCCGTCGCAACAGAACACGACCGCAACCTCGACCGCAACCTGTCCCACGATGAGCTACAACCCGCTCGGTAAGTCGTCCGAATGCCTGTCACTGCTTGACTCGCTTTGTTTGAAGAGCGTTTGAAGTTTGCGTTGTCACATTCCAGAAGGCCTTGTGCACGCAGCCTTATAGACCCTCTTTGGATCCGCCGTTTTGAAGACTGACCGCGATTTCACGATTCAGGCTACGGCCGCGACCCACGCGACGAACACGACAACCCGCACAATCCATTCATGGAGCACCGTCAGCCCTCGCCGGGTGGCTACCACAGTCCTTCGCCCAGCCCTGGTCCACACCAGGGGTACCAACTGCAAGATCGTCCGTTTAATCACCATCAGCCGCTAGAAATTCCAGTGGGACCCAATGCATACGCCGCACAATCCAGCGATCGACTCGCTGCGCAGCCCACGTATGAGGTCACAAACATGCCGGGCACCTATGGCCATGGCCAGGCTTACGACGATACGCACTCACACGGCTACACGCCCAACCCATACCAGCAGTCCGCACATCAAGGCAGAACAGAGTACAACCTCAGCCCACACCCGGCCATGAGCCCAGACGACGGCCACGAAGGCTACTTTCACGATCCAAACTACGATGCGCCACAACATCCATACTACCAAGACGAGGCAGATGATCGACCAATGCTGCAGCCCGGAGCATACGGACCAGATCCGCATAACATAGCACCTCAAGGCGTGCATCCTGATCTCGAAGCTGGATACGACGACCCGCCACCACCTCCTGTGAGTGCGCCGATCAGGCGGTGGAAGACGGTGAAGGAAGTGCAGCTGTTCAATGGAAATTTGGTGCTGGATTGCCCGATCCCCCCGAGACTGCTCAATCAGGTTCAGCATGCGCAGCCGCCGGAGAGAGACGAATTCACACACATGCGGTACTCTGCGGCAACATGTGATCCTAGCGAGTTTTCCCGAAAGCGCTTCACTCTGCGACAGAGGCTATTCGCAAAGCCTCGTCAGACGGAGCTATTCATTGTAATCACCATGTACAACGAGGAGGACGAACTGCTTGCACGGACATTGATCGGCGTGATCAAGAATGTCGAATACATGAACTCAAGAACATCTTCAAAGACGTGGGGCAAAGAGGCTTGGAAGAAGATTGTGGTTTGCATTGTCTCCGATGGGCGTGCCAAGATCAACCCGAGGACACGATCTGTGCTCGCTGCCATGGGTATCTACCAGGACGGCATTGCGAAGCAGCAAGTGAATGGAGAAGATGTCACGGCTCACATCTACGAATACACCACGCAGATGACCTTGGAAATCAAGAAGGGCATTGTGCAGGTCAAGAAGGGAAATACTCCAGTTCAGATCTTGTTCTGTCTCAAGGAGAAGAACCAGAAGAAGATCAACTCTCACAGATGGTTCTTCCAGGCGTTCGGTGAAGTTCTACAGCCGAACATCTGCGTGCTCATCGACGCCGGAACTCGCCCTGGACGGAGCAGTGTTTATGATCTGTGGAAGGCTTTTGACAGAGAGCCCATGTGCGGTGGCGCGTGTGGTGAAATCAAGGCCATGTTGGAGCACGGCAAGAACCTCATCAACCCGTTGGTCGCGGCGCAAAATTTCGAATACAAGATGAGCAACATTCTTGATAAGCCTCTAGAGAGCGCTTTCGGTTTCATCACCGTGCTGCCTGGAGCCTTCTCAGCATATCGCTTTGTGGCATTGCAGAACGACAAGACCGGCCAGGGACCTCTGGAGAAGTACTTCGCCGGTGAGAAGATGCATGGTGCCAATGCAGGAATCTTCACCGCAAACATGTACCTCGCCGAAGACAGAATTCTATGCTGGGAGCTCGTCAGCAAGCGCAACTGTTCGTGGATCCTGCAGTATGTCAAGTCTGCAACAGGCGAGACGGATGTCCCGACCGAAATGTCAGATTTCATCCTGCAGAGACGAAGATGGCTGAACGGCTCCTTCTTCGCTGCTGTTTATTCACTCGCACACTTCTATCAGATTTGGAGAAGTCACCACTCATTCCTCCGCAAGACATTCTTCTTCGTCGAATTCTTCTACCAAGCAGTCAACATGGTCTTCGCTTGGTTCGCTATTGTAAGTTGAGTTCAGTTCGATATGCGGACTTCCAGCTAATACAAGTTCAGGGCAACTTCTTCCTCGTTTTCCGAATCCTCACAACAGCTCTGGCCGCCAAAGATCTCTTGGGAACTGCAGGTCTGATCCTCTCCGTGGTGTGCGAATGGTCATACCTCGCCATTCTCGTCACATGCTTCGTTCTTGCTCTCGGCAATCGTCCACAAGGCAACAATCGCTACTACTTGGCGCAAGTGTATTTCTGGGCAATCATCATGGCTTACCTCCTGTTCGCCTCGGTCTTCATCACAGTCAAGAGTGTGCAGAAGCAGATCAGCGAAAACAACGGCACATTCAGTGTTTCGCTACTCTTCAACAACCGGCTCTTCTTCACCCTCATCATCTCCATGGCGAGTACGTGGGCATTGTACCTCGTTGCGAGCATCTTATTCTTGGATCCCTGGCACATGTTTACCTCATTTGTGCAGTACCTCCTTCTAACACCAACATACCTCAACATCCTTAACGTTTATGCCTTCTGCAACACCCACGACATTACATGGGGAACCAAAGGAGACGACAAGCCTGAAAAGCTTCCGGCCGCAAACCTCAAGCCTGGCGGGAAAGTTGACGTTGCCATTCCCACCGATGACGCGGATCTCAACACACAATACGAGACTGAGCTTCGCGTCTTCAGCACCAAATATGCTGTACCTGCAAAGAGTGTCAGTCCCGAGCAAAAACATGAGGACTACTACAAAGGTTTCCGATCCGCGGTCGTCTTGGCTTGGATGTTCTGCAATCTTGCTCTGGCAGCCATCGTGCTCAATGCAGGTGGGACATCAAACCTGGATGGTAAGGCGGCTGATAGCAACGAACAAGCTGAGGAGGATCTCAAAAGAAGTACCATATACATGGCTGTTGTGCTGTACAGTGTTGCTGGGTTGGCGGCGGTCAGGTTCATCGGTTGTGTGTACTTTCTGATCACTCGCATGTTCCGAGGAGTCTAGAGAAGGTGGGCCTGATGCTCATGAGGCGTTTGGTGTGATTTCATGGGAGGTGCTTGAGCGGTGGGCGTTCTTCGGAGCTTTTATGACTTGAATGCCTGATCTTGAGGTTCTGGGATATGTTTCATGGKTCTGCACGATACCCTCGTTGCTTTGCTCTGCTGCTTCTAGTTGAAACGCATGATGATGAAGTCCTTGACATGGCAGTCACGAAATATGGATTCACTTGAGTCTTGGCATAAACTTTCGTTCCTTCCTTCTTTACAAGTGTTTGGTGAATACAGTCTTTATCGAATGTGACTCTTCGCGCAGCACTCCTAGGAGCTTGGTATTAGTCGTTCGCTAGGGTGCGGCATATGGCGTGCATAGACGAGATCTCGTATGGTGCTCTGCTGCTTTTGGTTCGATCAAATGGCGTACAAGTGTTGGAGATAAGACTCCTTCGCTCTGGACGCGTCTGGCCCTCTTGACGCGACTCCTTTACGAGAAGCTGTAGTCAGTTTTGGCAGCGTTATGAGTTCTGCTGCTTAACTATAAGGTACTGCCTGCTAGTCTCCCTTGGGCAGCAGAGTTTATCAAGAGACAATACCACTGCTGGAGGGGCAAAGCTTACAAGCAGCGGCAAGAAGTAAAAAGGAAACGCGTACTTGATATAGCACACACTGGCCCGGTTTTGAATTAMGCGAACTTCCTCTCACAGAACTCCGAAGGCTTGAGCCGCTTGTTGCTCCCCGGGGCCCGGAGTCTAGGGACTTCTTCACAGAGCCCATTGCTTGTGGTTTGATAGTCAGGGGCGGAGCGCAAGCATTGATGGAGTTTCGACGCGTACTTGCTGGTATCTGCATGTGCTTACCTACATTCTTTCGTGCTCCTCTGAACTCAATCCTTGCCGCGTTTCCCACGCGCTAGTCTGCAGACTGCTGAATTGTAGAAGATGGCTCGTGGAGAACAGTGTAGCCAGGACGCGTTGCCATAAAAGGGGAGGTAGACGTGAATAGCTCGGTGAGGTAGAATGTCTGGACCATTGCTGGATTGACCAATTGTGTGAAGAACTTGCCGACAGGAGGTATCTTCCAGATGCAGTTGCTCGCTTCATCGTGAGATCTCGTCTTGTTGCCGCCTTAAGGCGCTTCTGATATACCCCGTGACATTCTTCGCGTCATCTGGTCGAGGCTAGAGGCTACTGCCACGGCCCACCTTAGCTGTGGCTCAGCGCTCACTTCGCGTACCTGATGGCGAGAACGAGCACGCGGCTTTCGAGACCATTAACAGAGCTGTCGATATGAGAAATCATGAACAAGAGCAGCGCCCTGAACTGATCTCTCGATTGAATGACGGCCACTCTGCAACCTCTGCTAGTAGCAGAGATTCTAATAGGCTTCAAATTATCGAGCCTGTAGAGAGCGAGGCCTCAGGACATTGTGGAAATGACTGAGGATACCTTGTCCTGATCCTCATATCGACAGCTCTGACCATTAAAGCGGACGCGTTGAGGAGTCGTGTCGAAAGCTGCTCCTGCCCTCCCCCGCTGCCCTGCTGCTTACCGTATCAATAAAGCGATAGCTGTCGCCCGCTCTCTGCCTCCAGATCACACTGAGGCGAATGGCATCTTCTATAGCCCTGGTATTCTGCTGCTCTATGAGCACCGTCGGCACATCGACGACCGCTTGATGCTCGCCTCAGTGGTGGTCTTCCGCTCGTTCATATGCCAACGGTGGCCCCCCCACAAGCTCAAGCGCGCCCCTCTGCCGAAAACCGCTCTGAGCATTGACACAAACATTGGAACGAACCCCCATATTTAAACTCTCTCCTTCTCCACCATCTTTCTTCCATCAACAACTTCTGACTTCGCATCGTCAATCTCCCATCCCGCATCAAGCTTCCAACAGCTCRAAGCTCACCTTGACGCATGTTCGTATTGCCATCAGCTGCTGCTCTCCACCGTCACTAACTGTGTGCGATAGCTACCGCGTCGTTTTCCACACAGGCAAACAACCACGTGAGCCTCATCAAAACATCACGCGTCCACACCTTCTGACCTTCTCACAGCAACACAAACCTTCGTCATCATGACTGCGTCTACCTGGGACGATGGCGCCGGTCGGTCGCTCCTTCCATCACTCCTTTTGACACCGCTGACCTTCGCAACAGACAACTCGGGCTTCCGCCCCGAGAATGTCAGCAAGCACGATGAGGGTACTGCTGGCTTCGGTGACGACTCCAATGGCGGCCCCGCTGGCGTTGGCGACGATGATGACAGCTGCCGCATCTGCCACGAGACCGGCCACTACGCCCGCGAATGCCCCGACAAGCCTGAGGGCAGTGGTCAGTGCTTCCGCTGCGGCGAAGAGGGCAAGTGGTCCGCGATCTAGTCCACTCCTTCACATAGCTGACCATACGAGCAGGTCACATCAAGGCAGACTGCCCAGTGGCGGCCACCGTCACATGCAAGATTTGCAAGGAGGAGGGACATTCCGTCGAGGAATGTGAGATGAACCGTATTCACAAGATGTTCATCGATGCGGGCGTCAAGATCATGACTGCTGATGACGCTTGGCGCGAGATTGAGGCGGCTGACAAGGACCGTGATATCGAAGACTTCAAGGTGGCTTTCAATGCCTACTCTCTGGCGTGCCCGGACATCACCCTTGAGGAGATGGAAGCCGCTCTCCGCGCGTTCGGCGGCAACACTCACCTCATCGCCAAGCAGCAGGATGTCGCCGACACACAGACCATCGTCAACCTTCAGGGTGTCCCCGGTCAGGAGTTTGTGGTCTCCTTCCAGCTATCCAGCAAGCCACGCCGCRAGCACTTCGCCGAGGGCTGGCCATCAAGCTCCGAGGAGAACGACGAGCGCCTTGCCAAGGCTGGCTTCGTCATGGACGGCTTCGTCCAGAAGTGTCGCAACTGCGACCAGATTGGTGAGTGACCCGCCGCCGCTTAAAGCCACTTTCCGAACTGTACTGACAATTTCCAGGTCACCTCAGCAATGCTTGCGAGGAGGAGAAGAAGGAGAGCCGTGGCAAGGTCGTCGTCAACTGCAGCAACTGCGAGGAGCCTGGTCACATCGCGCGTGACTGCACTGCTCCACGCAAGATCAACCGCAACGGCTGCAAGAACTGTGGCTCCTTTGAGCACTATCCCAAGGACTGCACCGAGGAGCGCTCAGCTGAAGGCGTTGAGTGCAAGAATTGCAATGAGATGGGTCATTTCTCGAAGGATTGCCCGAGCCGTGTGGAGCAAGTCTGCTTCAATTGCCAGCAGCCTGGCCACCGCAAGCCTGACTGCACGAACGAGCGCGTGGTCAAGTGCAAGAACTGCGACGAGATCGGCCACATCAGCCGAGAGTGCAAGAAGAAGACCGACTGGACCCGCGTGGAGTGCACCAATTGCAAGGAGAAGTAAGTTACCCTGCTCCTACCAAGACATTGTTGATCATGCTAACCACGCATCACGCTTAGGGGTCATAGCTACAGACGCTGTCCCAACCCAGCCAAGACTGAGGAGGATGCTGGCGACTTTGGCGATGGCGGTAGCGGCGGATTCGACGATCCCGCYCCTGCTGCTGGTGGCGGCGGTGGTGGAGGCTGGGAGGACAGCGGCGATGCGGCTTCTGCTGCTCCTGTTGGCGATGCCGGTGGTTGGGGTGCTCCTGCCGAGGCCCCAGCTGCTCCCGGCTGGTAGATCACCACTTCGGTATCCCGCGTGAGAGGCTGTTGCATGCTCGCAAGTTACAACCCGGTGGAAGCAGAGTCTTGGCTCTACATCTGATGGCGTTGAAGGCTGTACCGAGTGGCACAAATGAGCCCTAGGTGTTCAGAAAATTCCAAGAATGAGAAAATCATGTTTTCCTGTGCTTCCTGACATGGTATCATTCTGTAACGACATAGACCGAAGTGGTCCATCGTAGACTCCCAACTGCTTGAGGTCCGTTTGGTCTAACGTCCTTATGTCCAGTCAACACGCGGAAGCATGCTCTCAATCACCGTCACAGCAGGCCGACCATATCCTCGGAATAGCAGACAGATCAAATGAATCCAGGACTCCTGTGTTTGTGCTCATCTCGCCAGCAAAAGACCAAAGTCAATGCGTTCCAATTCTTGCTGCCAGTCATGCCTTCATACGCCATGCTGCGGAGCCCGCCGGGAAGCAGGATATTCCAAGATTGATCTTCCGTTGACAAGTCCCGACTGCAAAGAATCATAGCGTCAAGCTCCACTATGTTAATAATCTTGCAAAGACGATGCTAATCATGCGACTGTGCCGAGGGCCTCTGGGATTTGTTCGAGGTCTCGAGCTTATTAAAGACGACTGTACAGAGGATATCCTCGGGAGTATTTAGGAGCATGGCAGCGGCAGAAAGGCGGCATATCCTGAGGAGTGATGTGCTTGTCGAGTCGTCGAGCTCTTCAGCTCGGAAGGGTTTTGTACGGGAGGCTGGGAGTTGGGAGGTTGACTGAAAATAGCGGAGTCGGACCAACCTTTGTCCGAAGCCGAGCTTCTTCCACCAACACTCGAGTTCTTGAAGATCAAACCACAGCACAGCAAGGTTCATCTGCAACACATAGCCCATGTGTATTGCAGGTGGAGCTACAGCGTGGTCGCCACGTTCGATCGGGCGTCCAGCGTAGCATCAACAGATCGGGAGATGCGTGCCTTGGCTCCTTCGAATACCCGCTGGTGTGGTCTGCCGCTGCGACATGACGAAACTCTACGGTTCCCACGGCTTTCCGCTTCTGGTTAACCCGGCGCAACATGAAAAACTTACCCCCCATATGACTTCTCATTTGCTCGGTTACTCCACGCTTCGGCCTTTGATCGCGTGGTCGAACCCGCACAGCACAGCTGGGGCTCCATGGGCATGTTCCTGAGTGGAGTAAAATGGAGCCCTCCGCTTGGCTCGCGTCTCCCATATTGATCAAGAGGATAGCGGCATTTCGTTGGCGCCAAACCTACCCAAACCTTGCTCCCGTTTCGAGAGAGGCTTGTACACTTCAAGAAGCCTTTGAATCCGCTTCTGTTCTTCTGAGTCTTGTTGTTGCACCTTTGACAACATTTCTAACGAGCAGTGACTGCTGCTTGCAAGAGTTAAGATGGTGGGATCCAAGTTCTATGGCCTTCGCGGCTCGAAGCTCAACTTTGCGATCACGTTTATCGCTGGCATGGACTTTCTGCTGTGAGTGAAACCTGGAGAGCTGTCGGCGTTGTTCACAGATACTGACATTACGCAGCTTTGGATATGATCAAGGTACGGTTCACGAGGAAATGGTCGAACGGAGACCGTGCCGTTGGATTCAAGGCCGCTCCAGCGTTCAGAACAATGCATTGGCTAACATCTCGTCTTTGTTYAGGTGTTATGGGAGGCCTCTTGACTTTGCCATCTTTTGTGAGAGTGTTTCCGGAGATCGATACCACCAAAGGAACTGCGGGAGACAGTCCAACTGCTACGAAGCAAGGTATTGCCATTGCCTCTTACAACCTGGGATGTTTCGCTGGAGCAGTGATTTGCATTTGGTTGGGTGAATACCTTGGACGCAAAAAGACGATTTTCCTTGGTTCGGCCATCATGGTAAATCTAATTAGCACGAACACTCATGACCACTACTTATACTCATTGATATAGGTCGTCGGCGCGGCGATTCAAACCTCTGCTTTCAGTCTGGGCCAACTGATTGGTGGTCGTATCATCACCGGTATTGGCAATGGACTAAACACTTCAACTGTTCCAACATGGCAAAGTGAGACAACGAAGTCTCACAAGAGAGGGCAGATGGTCATGATAGAGGGAGCTCTTATCACTGGCGGGTAAGTGACTTCCAAGTGAAGATGCTCTTGGCATGGCTCATTTCGCTTTCACGTCTTCCCCCCTATTATTTATACTTACCATTACTTCAGAATCATGCTTTCATACTGGATCGATTACGGCTGTTCGTTCCTGGAGCCCAGCACGATCTCCTGGCGACTCCCAATCGGTCTGCAGATTGTGTTCGCGTTGATAATTTTGGCTTTCATCCTAGGCTTGCCGGAATCCCCTCGATGGTTGATCCTCAAGGGCCGCGAGGAAGAAGCGCTGACCGTGCTGGCCTCCCTGGGCGATCTCGAAGAAGACGATGAGTACATTCAGAACGAGTTTGCCGCTATCAAGGACACCGTGCTGGAAATGTCTAAAGCTGGATTCGCAGATGTCTTCACCATGGGCAAGGATCGCAACTTCCACAGAGCACTGCTTGGATATGTCAACCAGATGTTCCAACAGATCTCAGGGATCAATCTCATCACTTATTACGCCGCTACCATCTACGAGTCCATTGGGTTGGATGGCAACCTTTCCCGTCTTCTTGCTGCAGCCAATGGAACAGAGTACTTCTTGGCATCCTGGATCGCCGTATTCCTGATTGAAAAGGCCGGAAGAAGAGTTCTGATGTTGTTCGGTGCCGTCGGAATGTCGCTATCCATGGTGGTCCTCGCTATTGTCACTTCCTTCACCGTGGGAGATACGCAAAAGGTCGAAACTGGACCAGGCTACGTGGCAGTCGTCTTCCTGTTCATCTTCAACACGTTCTTTGCGGTTGGGTGGCTGGGTATGACATGGCTCTATCCCTCGGAGATTGTGCCACTGCGCATTCGCGCACCTTCAAGCGCTCTGTCCACCTCCGCAAACTGGATCTTCAACTTCATGGTCGTTATGGTCACACCTGTCGCTTTTGCAACAATTGGCTACCAGACCTATATCATCTTTGCGGTGATCAACGCATTCATCGTCCCTTGTGTGTACTTCTTCTACCCCGAGACGGCATACCGATCCCTCGAAGAGATGGACGAGATCTTCCACAAGTCGACCGGCTATTTGGACGTCGTCCAGGTCGCCAAACCAAGGAACACACCGAATCGTAAGCATCCACCTTTTCCCCTGCCATGTAACATGCTAATCATTCTCTTCTCAGGCTACGACAAATACGGCAACTTGCTTCACTCATACCTGGACACCGAAGTCCACAGACGCCACAGCAGCGTTGCGGCAGCGGCAGGAAGACCTCAACCCAAGGCGCAGTCCTCTCACAACGAGGGCTTGCATGTCGAGAAAGGTTTTGCCAGTGGAAGTGGTAGCGACAACGAGAAGAATGTTTGATTTGCTGCGGGCATGTAGATTTATTTGAGATTTACACCCAAAACCTTGTGATACCCATGAGCAAAGTGATCCATCCCAATTTCCTGCCTCAATCTACCCTCTCCATCCACTTCTTACAAGCGTCGTAGTGCTCCAGAAACCCGTCATCAAACTGCATAATACGTCCATGCAAATCACCATCGTTATCAAGCAGTTCCGTAAAACGCCACCATCCCGCAAGAATAAAGTCCGCAAAGCTAGGCTTGTTGCCCAGCACATACGGACCACCGCTATTCTCATGTAAAATCGTCTTGATTTCCTCAAGAATCGGTTGGGCTCCAGGCCAGGCATTCTCGGCCTTGTCACTCTTTGCGAATTCAGCAAGAGACATGCCAAAGCGCTTGGTTCGCGTCTCCTGGAAGTACTGTGCGCTGCAAGGGTTGAGGAGCATGTCAGGAATACGATGCATAGCGATAGGTGCCAGCTGGCCCCAGAGCTTTAAGATGGCTTCTTGAGTACGGCCGACATATTCGCTGTTGAGGTGCAGAGATGGCTCTGGTTGGAGATCCTCGAGTGTGTGGGCAATGCTTAATGAGTCCATGATGTATTGTCCGTTGATCTGTGCTGCTGGAATGGAATACTCTGCATTGGGGTTGAGCTCTGGGGAGTTCGCAGGGATGCCGTAGCTTTTGAAAGTTGGAGCAACGTCGGGGTACTCGATCCATTGTGTTTTGTATGGGAGATTCTTGTAATTGAGTACAAGGCGAGCTATTGTATATGTTGATCAGCCTGTTGTTGGTTGTATTTGGTGGGGGAAGGGTGAGATACCCTTCCATGGATTCAAACTCCAACAGGCTGATTTGCCCTTGGAAGGCAGATCGAAGAAAGTGATATCATGAGACATCTTTGCCAATGTTGTTCTATAGAGTATCATATGTGAAAAGATACGACGCACGGAGGAAGTTGCAACAAGCAATGAGCTCCACGCCACTTTCATAGTCTTGGCACTGAGCTGTCCAGCTCCCCCTTCTTGACCCACACACCTTGCTCCGCTAGTGAACGATAACCTCGTAGAGTGCCGTCTAGTGGCTTCAAAGCAACGAGAACGTTCGTTATGGTGTTCTGCAAGAGCATACGAATATTTTCCAGGCTCGAATCAGCTCAATCTTGTCACCCCTCGACGCTGCCACCGAGTTTGACGTGCAGGTCAGCTTGTCAATATATACAGGCGCTGGTACTGAACGAGCTCAAAACTTCATAGGTTCTGTGCAATGATGATTGGCGAAATTCTTTATCGTAAAGAGACAGGTAAATGGCGTTCTTCGACGATAAAGACGCGCTTGAGACCTGCAAGGCTGAGAAGCCGGTTGCATAAGCATGTCCTCATTCCGGACCGCAATAGAAGCGGTAGACGTGAAGATCGCAGCGCTGTGGGGTTTCCATGGATGGCAACATGTACTCCGCCCTCGAAACGAGGACTTCGACCCGGCATGGGAGGCTGGTTTGGCAAAGAAGACTGGCCTATGGAAGGGCGAATCTGGTGTCTTGGCAGAGAGATGGAGGCTTTGGGCTGACGAGCTGAGCAGCAATCCCCAGTTTGATGGCCAGGAAGCCGAAACTCGACCGCAGCGCAAGTCATTCGTTAGCATCAAGTCAGGAGAGCTCCTACGGGAGAGACGACCAGACGACATTCCGATTCGAATGAAAGTGTGTCTTCATGACCAAGCCTGAGGTTGTTTCGTCGAGGGACCGACTGTGCTTCGTGAGTGAGTTTCGTTCTCATACTCTTCGCGGACTCGAATCTCCCGGCGCAGGAACGCACGGCGTGAGAGAAAGCAGTCCAGACTCAAGTAGGGTGGCCATCGTGCTTGGAATGAATCTCCAGCAGAGTGAACATGTTCGGATCCGCTTTGAAACAACTCTTCTGTGACTCTCCAAAGTAAGCGACACAGTTTGCCAAAGCGGAAGAGTTCTTGTCCAGCCAGAATATGAAGCCGCCAACGAATGGTGATTGTCGGCTGACCTCTGCGATACCACCCCGGAGCCTGACCATCTGTTGAAGGCCGGACATGTGGACGTGGTATGCTTCGAGATTGCCATATTTGACCTCGTAGATTGCAAACATACCCACAGCAGCAAGCATAGGGTCTGAAGTAGAGCGATGTGGATCATTCAGCGCAGCGTTCACGCAGTTGACAAGGTATCCGCGCATCACTTTCTCCAGGTACAGATCTCTGGAACTTGGGGCTGATCCCTTCATCAATACTAGATGCCTTACTGCGACCAGTATTGCTATCGTTAGAGGGATGGAATCTCGCAGTACGACATCCAGAAAGCTGCTGAAGGCGGCCGCATGCTCGACCTTGAATTGTTCTGCAAAGTCCTTGGATTGGAAGTCGACAATGACGTGATAAAAATGCTAACCAGCTGGCAATCAGCTCTACATAGCTGTGTTAGAACGTTCTTGTTGACGCAACGACTTACCAGTACTGACGACACGTCCAGTTGGAGACGGCTCAAACTCGACCCAATGATGTTGCTGGGGTCGTCAAGACAGAAGGTTCTGAACGCCATTGATCCACGCGAGAAGGACTGCTCAAGAACGCCTGTGGGAGGTTGCAAGGCTGCTCCGGAACTATTCGTTCTCTGCCTCTTTGAGGAAGCCGCCGCATATCCAGGCTTATCCTTACACTCGGCCAGTCCGCGTCCCTGTCCTGCCCTTGATATGCATAACGAACTTGGCCCGCTCCCTTCTCTTTTTCCTTCATCACTGCCTTCATTTTGACGACCAAGCGAGCTTTTCAGCCATCCCGAGATCTTCGCCGCCCTTTGTTGTCGGCCACGCTTGTGCTGCAAAAGTGTCAAGTGACTCTTCATCTGCTTGCGCACTCCAGCGCTCAGTCGCGGCCTCTCGTTGCCATTCTGTGGCTCGACGGTGAGGAATGTGAAGCTAGTATCGGCAGTTGGACTAGGATCCCACTGCTCCGGGCCCAGCTCCATCGCGTCGTCGGCGTTTTGGAATTCGTCTCGCGCGGCAGGGATGTTGCGCGTTGCGCTGACTTCGTACGGGGCCCTGGCCTGGAGCTTGTGGTGCCGCGGCGCACTCTCACCGTCTCACGCACTCAGTTAGTTATGAAAAGTGTGTCGGCGCGATGCGTGCCTTGTGGAAGACAAGTGTGCACCGGAGAAGGCTGCCTTTTACATCCTGCTTTCGTGTTGCGGGGAAGCAGAACTGTCTCAAGGATAGGTAGAGGCTTCTCCACAATTGAACTCTCCACACTCTTGGGACGAGGGGAGCGGTATGCATGGACAAGATCCAAATAGGAATTGCAATATGTTGACAGTAAGGTACCTTAGGTATCATAGAGGTGAGGTTGATTGAAGATTCGTGCCTGCCTCAATTGTAAGGAAGGCACGCTATCTCTTTTGTTTCTTTCTCCCTCTCTCCCTCTCTCCCTTTCTCTCCTTACGGCACTTGCACACACCCGCCTCGCACGCGTGGTGTCTGATTCTTGATCAAGCAAGTGTTCGTCTTGCGGGCACGCCTTCGGGTGTGCACGTAATYTGGCCTATCAGTTAGTCACTTCGGTGCACCTCTTCGTCAGTCACTTCGGTGCGCCTTTTACTTCCCCTTACCGGAGCCTGAGCTACTTCAGCTTTTGCTGTCGTAGTCTCATCGCAAAGGTAAGTAAGGAAGTACTAGGGAACGTTTGGTCCATTAGGGCTGAACATCTTTTTCAAAACCATGTCTTATAAACAGGCAAAATCCCATGATATCCCCACAAGGCGCCGCAGGGACCTCCGGAATGGACACGGTCCTGGTCCTCAGAACATGGCAGAGTCTGATTTCCTCCGCCGCTTTCGAGAGCAACCATCGGCCCAGCAGCTGTCTGCCAGTCGACCAGTGGGAGATTCGGCGAGAGATTCTGGGAGAGGCCGCTTTCGAGAGCAACCATCGGCCCAGCAGCTGTTTGCCAGTCGACCGGTGGGAGATTCGGCGAGAAACTCTGGGAGAGACTCAGCGAGAAACTCTGGGAGAGACTCTGGGAGAGACTCGGCGAGAGACTCTGCGAGAGATCGAGTGGCAGTCTCGACGAGAGATTCTGCGAGAGATTCTGCGAGAGATCCCGGGAGAGACTCCAGGAGAGATCGATACCCGACACGATCACGCAGCGACTCTCGCGATCATCGTCGACGTGAGAGGAGACCGAGCCCACGGAGCGTCTCTCGGGATCACAGACGATCTCGTCCTCGCGGAGATCGATACACAACACGATCACGTAGCGACTCTCGCGATCATCGTCGACGTGAGAGGAGACCAAGCCCACGGAGCGTCTCTCGGGATCACAGACGATCTCGTCCTCGCGGAGATCGATACACAACACGATCACGCAGCGACTCTCGCGATCATCGTCGACGTGAGAGGAGACCAAGCCCACGGAGCGTCTCTCGGGATCGCAGACGATCTCCTTCTCGCGGAGATCGATACACAACACGCGGCGACTTGCGCAGCCGTCGCCAATCGCCCGACAGAAGCGAAGAGCATCGGTATCGGTCTTTGAGATCTCCTCGCCGCAGAAGCCCATCTCCATTGCCTGGAGCCTTGGCAATGGACTCGTACCGTCCCGCCGCCGGTCGTCGTCGATCACCTTCTCGGGAGCGTGTATCGGCCGGTCGTCGTCGATCACCTTCTCGGGAGCGTGTATTCGAGCAATCACGCAAGAGAGATCGCAGCCCTTCTCTTCCGCGCAAGCCTGTTGTACAGGGTCCTCCGGCGCAGGGCATCAAACCCACGATGAAAAAGATCTGTTTGGACCAGAAAGTAGAGGCTGCGCCACCTGCGATGCCCACGCCTGCCCCTAACCCCATTGCTAAGCCGAACGAGAGCATATCGCTGACAATTGACAGTTCTTCTTTGCTGGCTGCTCCGTCGGCCTGTCAAGCCAGCAACCAGTCGGTACCATCGACTGTGTCCGAGGATGCCTTGGGGAAAGAGTTCTTGAAACTCTTCGAATGACACATCTCAACTCCATGTACCGAAGGTCTTTTTCAGTTATACTCGGTGCCTCAGTCTTCGACAGCATCCAGAGCTACGAATTTTCGATAAGGATGTTTCGTTGGACGTTGCATCTACGGCGGCGGATTCGGACGCTTCCAGAGCTGTCGATATGAGAGATCATCAACAAAACAACGCCTAAACTGCCCTCTCCATTGTATGACGGACCACTCTGCTGGTCGTGAAGGTTCTAGCAGCTCCAAAGTTGTCTATGCTGCAGAGAGCAAGGCCTCAAGACGTCGTAAAGACGACTGAAGGTTCTTTGCCCCGATGAAGAATTCTCATTTCGACAGCTCTGGGTGCTTCGACGGACATTCAGACCGTAGCCCAAAAAGGCGGATGACTATTCAATCGCACGCATCCGGCTTTCGAGGAGCGAATGCGGTGTATCCCTGGATGTCACGATGCTTCAAGCTACCAAAGTCGGGCAAGGGGTTAACCGACTGCCAATCCACGTTGACTTTTCAACCGATTCTGCAGAGAACCTACTCGGCCACTGCACCGCCTTTTGAAAGGGCAGACCTATGCGCAGAGGGATCCGCAAGCGCACTGAATCCCAGCYCTCAGGCGGACCATGCGAGCGTAAGTACGGATTGCTGACTTTCATAGACTAAATTAGGCTGTCGTGCCACGGAGGGCATAAAACACTTGGTTGTTGCTCACGGTGCGGCGCGGGGAGGGGCGTCGCACAGAAAAGGTCATCCGACCGGGACCAGCAATGAAACTTGACTCAACGCTACTCATTGCGAGCGACTCCGCCGAGCGGCATCATCAGACACGGCACCCAGGCCGGATTCGACGCAAGAAACGACCCACAAAATACGAGCATTGGCTGAGATAGCACCTTGGAACTGTTCGCACCACGAATGAGTAGTGCCATCTGAAACATGGAGGGCGCCAACTCAAAGAGGACAACAACTTCATCGACGGAGCACACGATGGTACTGACGTTTTCGGCGTTTTCCAAGGAGTCAACCACAAGCATGCCAAAGAGCCGCTCAGTGCCGCATCGACAGTCCCATTCATTGCAAGACAAGCTGGACCAGGCACCAGGCGCTTGACCTTGTCACCACCAGGACTCAGTCACTTCTTCTATTCAGATACACATCTACCACGGCCATGAAATACTGGAAATGCATCATGCGGTCCACCCGAGGCAAATTCCATGGCAAGTTGCAATGGACGGCCAACATGCACGGGATAGCAGAGATTTGGATAATAATCACCCAAGGCCACCCTCTTCCCCTCTCTCCGCGCATAACAACAGCATTGGCACCGATCACCCAAGCCCAACGTGTCCATCGGGATCAGACACGACGCCTTGCAGATCTAGCGAGTCGGTAAAAACGATCGAGCTCCACTGAGCACGCTCCAGTGGCACCGGAAGATGGACCGCTGATCATATTACATCTCGCCACAAGGGTCCTGCGGGCTTTGGCGACGATCGGACGTCGTTTTCTCAATGTATCTGCCACAGCCACTGAGTGGTAGACAACCCGAGTGACTACACGCCTCAATACCAAGCCACGATCTGGTCGAGGGAAGCTGCTGTCGGAGAGCCACGAATCTTGCATAAACTGCAACCCAACACCGTCTGTTCTTGGTTGAAAATTCGACCTCAAGTCGATTCTTGTCTGGTCTGGCTAGACAGTCTCTTGAGCTACTCCTCGAGATTGCGTGTGACATGTTGAAACGGAGCAGCGAGGAAATGGCTGTCAAGACGAAGGAGCATATGGATGGAGGGTTTCATCCGCGAAGGTGATAAGAATGACCTGCAATTCATGGTTCAAGCAGGACGGGGACGGGTGATGGGAGATAATGACTAGGTGCTTGGATACCTTGAGCTCATTACGTGTAAGTCAAACCATGATTCATTTCGCACTACCGGATCACTGACGTTCTCCAGCATTGAGACTCACAACCATCTCCGCTGGTCGGGCAGAGTCGTTGGTCAGGATGGGACCTTGCCAAAAAATGGTCAAGGAAGTGGTTTGGCCGATCACTAATGGCAATTGACAGACGCCGAAGTTTCTGAGAACGACTGGACAAGTGTATGTATAGTTGCGCGAGTGACTTGTGTGATTCACTTGAAGATGAGACTGTATGGACAAGTGCATCTCGTGCTTTGGCCCGGTTAAGAAATGTGGCAGGAAATGAAACTGCTGGTGCCTCACCCCAGTGCACATTTCCAGTCCCCGTCTCGCACTCTGTACGCCTATTGCGCTCGCCATCTTCCATACAATGAGCTTTTGTTGTGTTCTTCCACCACCAGCCGGCCTTCACCTCTCATAACCCACAATATCCACTAGTGATGATAGCCCCACATTATTGACTTTCCCGCGGCTTCACTTGCCTCACCCGGACATCCGGACGCTAAGATTCTAAGAGGCATAAGCTCCCTTATCACAGCACTACGTACTCGACATCATAACCACAACTACACTCAGAGACACCTGTCAAGAGTCTCACACGACAAATTGACAATGTCAGCATTCAGCAAATTCGCAGGTACACAAACCATTATCAATACTCCCACCTTCTTCAAATCTAACTTGACCGCAGATAAGATCCTCACATCGAAATACAACAAGCCTTTCCCAGTCACGTTGCTTCCATCAGCCATTGGGTATTATCTTGGCATGAAACAAGGAGAACGACAAGCTCAGCTGCTCGCTGAGATCCAGGCTTTGGATATACATGATCATGAGAAAGTCAAGCAGATTTCAAATCATCCGAAGTGAATCATCATGATGTGCGGTGCTGGATCTTTGACACACAAAAGGTCGACTGTGTTCTGTCGTGGAAGTAAGTTCTAATGGATGCAATTGGCGTGCAGTATTTTGACACTGCACAGCAGATCTTGAGAGAAAGAGAGTCTGTCACATTCCAACCAAGGCTCATTTGGAAGGCATTGATGTAGATGTACATAACTACACCTATCATAGCCGCTTGCAAACCCGCGAAAGTCTTGGCCGATAGACATGTTGTATTGTGCATGGCCACCAGCGAATCTCCCTCGTAATCCGAGCCCCGAACCATACAGCCCCTCTCAAGACGCCGAGCATCGCGTTCAAGATTTCTTGCTCCACCCGTGCTCAAAAACCTGCCTTCCCTCTCTCACATTCCCCCAACGGCCCTTTCAATCAGCTCCACTCTGCTCTGCACATCATACTTTCCACTCGCAATCACCTCCACTCTGCTCTGCACATCATATTTTCCGCTCGCAACCACCGACTCCGGTGGTGTCCTCTGCGGCCTGCACACACGAGTACCAACCGGCTTCGTTGGAGTTCCCATCGATCCCGCGGCCGAAGCCCGCCGAGCACATAACCTAGCCTCTCTGATCAAAACCCCAGACTTGGAAACTTCCACAGGAATCTCCCGTAAAAAACGCCGTAGCATCTCCGGGGTGACAGGTTCGCTAGCAGTACGCTTGCGTGAATACGGCGTTGTCAGAACTGGCTCCACTGTCTTCTTCCTCGGAGTTTGTTTCTTGGTACACTTCTTGATGTGTTTCTTGCCCACCACCCGTCTGCGTCTCTTCCACACACTCCACGAAGCCAGACAAGATCGTGTGAGGAGTAGCGTTTGTGTCTGAATCGGATGTGACCAGCGACCCAACTGAATCTGATTGTCAATTAAATCGATGGCGAGTAGCGACAACAAGTGTGCAAAGACAGTCATTGCAGCCATGAACCACACGGGGATTGGGAAGTCCAGATTGGGGATAATGTAGATGTCGAGCATGATGGTCTTGGAGGAGAAGAAGTCCCATCCCACAACGAGGCCAGCACCCAAAGTGATGAGTTGGAGAAACTCTGTGGCAAAGGCCTGCGAAATATCAAGTCAGTTCTTGACTTTCTTCAACTCCGATGGGTGCGACTCACGTGGTATTTTGGGAGCGTGCGACGGACGCTCCAAGTGAGTTTGCGGCTGTAGCAGTGCTTGTAAGTTGCACTCAAAGCTGTCGCGACAACGACCATAGCCAGTGGGAAGTACACCATTTTGGTTGGTAATGTGACAGATGGTAACGGCAGGAGCGAGGAGAAAGGTTGATCGTGATATAGTATACACCTGAATTCTTGCCCTTTTCACTGCTGTTTGCCCATGTCTCTGATATCCGCTCATATCCTGAGACATGCCTAAACGCGGCATGCACCATCATCTTCCCGCCGGGAGTCGCTTTCGCCACTCGACATGCTTTGACAGACTTCTGCCACCACGGGAATGAAGTACATATGAAGTAGAGAGGAATGACTGATGCTTTCGAGACACATTTTGGGCAAAGTCAACGTATTCGCAGTTCGCAGAGGTCGGTTCAGATTGCAAGTTTAGCTCCGATCCTAGATGCAGCCACCCGCTCGTGATGTTTCGCAGCAAGACTTGCGCCTCGGGAAAGCATACTTCATCTTCAGCCTCGCCAATTGACTGGCCCAAAGAGACGGATGAGGCTCGTGCCAATCCAAGAGAATTCTCGTTGGTAACGAACCTCGTTCCTCCGCTCTCCAAGTGCATGCAGTCATCGTCGGCGGCATAACCCGAAATAAAATCAAAACGATCTGGAACATCATCATATCATGCCGTCGCCATTGCTATTAGTCTTGAACAGACCATCCTTCTCCTTCTCCTTCTTCTTTCGCAAAGTGGGAATCAACTTGGTTGACTTCTTCTTCTCCTTGTCTTTTTCTTTGGTCCGAGCAGCTTCAACCTGTTTCTGAATCTGGAATCGTGCCTGCTCTCGTCGCTCCCGATGCCGAACCTCCCGCTCGTAGTTCGGCAGCGCTGTGGTTGTATGTTCTGTATCGCTGCTGACGGTACTTGAGACGTTGCTGACGCTCGTGCTGGCAGATTGGCCCGGTGAGCCGTACATGCTTTGAGAGTAGTTGCGGCCTGCGCTTCCATGGAAGCTGTTACCAGGTGTAGCCGATCCTGGACGGCCCCAGTTGTTAGACCTTGGYGTGCTATCGACCAGCGATGGCTCAGTCCGGTTCATCGCCTGGTCGCTATACACACCGTTTATCGGAGCTTCGTCATCTGTTTCCTCGTCTTGGCCGCGCAACTGGCGCAGCGTTGCTTCTATTGCGGGGTTGGATTCCATTCCGTCGACAAGGGTGACTGAATCTCCATCCCCGGCGGACGCGTTCTTGAGTTGTGCCTTCTGTAATTGGTTGATGACATCTTCCCATTGGAAGCTATGTGGACTGTCCGGTCTCTCGGCTCTTTCTGCGCGGTTTAGACACTCCTGCGTCCTAGTGTTTAGTTCCTCGCACAACTGGTGAAAGTCCTTCAACTCTCCTTCGGTTGAAGAGATGGCGTGTAATATGTCGGCGTGCGATTTGCCTGGCAGTGTTGCAGCATCGCCAGGATTGGAGAGAGCGGCAATCGCGTCCAGCCATAGGTGAATCAAGTCTGCAAAAGATCTGGCTTGATCAATCAAGTATGGAAGGCTCGGGAAGCCTTCGCGACTGCTGGGTGGTAGCCGGTGCATAATTGTCATAGGGGTGGTGTAGCTGAGGTGCTGCTCGGCGGTGACGACTCCTGGAGGGTATGTGGGTGAGGTTGATGAGTTTTGGTTGGAAGAGTTTGAGATCGGCTCGGGAACGTGACACATGTCATCGATGAACGTCTTGAAGCCTTCCCGGTGCTGAACGAGGAAGTGGTTCATCGGCTCCATCCACGGCTCCTTGGTTCCAAAGGACGCCATGTTGGCCATCGTTTGAAGCGACTTGGCGATGAGCGTAAAGGTGCGTCGAGATCGTGGTTTGATGTCGTCTACAGAATGGTCAGACATCCGAGGCTTCGTTGCGCCCGAGGTATTCTTACCTTGAAGTAGACCGAACAGTTTGGGGTTGAGGACCGCAGGGCAAAAGAATCGCAGGAACAAAAATCCAGAGACACTGCTGTAGCTCACACTGCGGAGGAAATCGCCATATCGATCTTCGGCACAAGCACGAACGTGTCGGAAGATGATTCTCAATTCAATTGGACAACGAGATTTGCTGGCCACGATACCCTGCCAAACTTCTTGTGTGAATTTGGACAATCTTTTCCAGTTGCGATCCACATCGGATGCCGATTGGACGCGGTTTGGATCAACCTCGCAGTCCAGATCCTGATCGTTGATGTCCTGCAAAGTGGCCGCGAGTGATTCTTCCAGGTATTCCTTGCCCACCCGTCGCATGTGCGTATCCAAACTCTTCGTCAGCAAAGTGTTGCCACGGAAGAGCAGATTGGCTTCCAGAGTTGCGTTCTTGTTCAAATCACGCACTATCATTTCCCTGTCGGTGGGACCGCCGCCGCCATTCGCCCCCGCATCGTTATTGTTCTCCATCGACCCGGCACGCCTAGTGTATCTCAGACGAGTGATTGGACTGTCCTTGTGGGAACCGTCGATTTCCTCCTCCACAAGGGCCATGATCCAGTCTCCGGCTGTTCCAGAAACCTGAAATATGTTCAGAAGACTGTCGCTGAGACGTTTGAGCTCGCTCGGTATCATTTGAGCAATGTGCAATGTCAAGGCGTTGGAGAAGCGATGGAGCATGACGCTCAATCGCTCATAGTCACGAGCCATGAGGATGATGCCTTCGTCGGCGCGCACCTTGATCAGTATCTCCCCAACTCGCTGGCCATGCACGTTCAGCACAGGCCACCATTTTTCAACGTCCTTCTCAGRCTCAAGCTCTTCCATCTGTATTTCCACCTTGCCGCAGACGACATCAAAGGCGAGATTGGTGAATCCGCCTTGTTGTTCGCCGAATGCGTCGCGTATGCTCTTCGATTCATGATGGTCCTTGTTTGAGTTCTGCTCTGGTGGTCGGCGCTTTACAACGATGCTCGCATTGTTCAAGACTGGTGGCAAGTCCTGAAATTCGAAGCTTTCGCCCCATAAAGGATTCAGTCCATCGTACTTGGCCACAGTCTTCCCTCGAGTTTCATTGTCCAACAGGATCTCCGCGTAGTAGCCATATTTCTCCGGCGGAGTGTTGGCTTGATGTCGACTGAAGCCACCACTGAATCCCCCGTCGGTATCTTTGGCACTCACAGACTGCATCTTGGCTTCGGAAATCTTGACATTCAGACTACGCTCCATGCGGAACGTGTACGTGGTGCTTGTGGCGATCATGCTCTCCAAGTCTTGATTTGCATTATCCTCGCCCATCTCAGCTTCACTGGGGTCCACTCGAGGACCGTAGATTGAAGGCATCGTAAAGGCCCTGAGCAACACGAACCAGACTTCGTACAGTACGCGGCTTTCCAGACTCAAGAATATCGGGCGGATGAATCCAGRCTGGGTGTTGGTAAAGGTCGAGGTGTATTGCGGGTATATTGCGATGCAAAAGTCACTTTCGAGCACACTTGGATCTAGACGTTGAATGGCACATCGACTGAGCTGGCTGAGCTGCACGACCGATATCAAAGAGTTGTCAGCGTCCGAGTGGAGTTTCAATTCGCCATTCTCCCGCAATTGTCCACTGATACGTCGCCATCGGCGTGAACTCACGCTCTGCATTCTACTAGTGCTAGGTCGGCGTGTTGTTGGCTGGCCGAGGGCTGCGTTGTTGTTGCTGTAGCCGACGTTCGTGTCCCAGTATATCATCTTGCCAATCTTGATCACTGGATTGTCCTTGGTTACACCTGAGATTATTGAAGTCCGGCGACCATTCATCACGCTCTTGTTACTGCCAGCACGCTCTCGAGGGCTGACTGGGTTGTTTATAGAAGCTCTCCGCTGGTGGGATGTATCAGCGGAGGAGGCCCGGGTTGATCCCATCTGGGAGTCGGAGCGTGGTTCATTGCTTGCTTCCGAGTTTGTATCGCGTGGTGTCCAGTGTAGGAGTGCAGCAAACCAGGCGTCAAAGTCGGATTGTGTCTGCAGCTTGATGTGCACCTCGTCGGAACTCTGTGGCAAGCTGAGTTCCAGGTATGGAAGATCCCCGTCCAAGTTGGATCTTACGCTTGATCCTCGCAGGTCTTGTACCAGAACCTTGTGTGCACCTTCACTTCCCCTGGACTCATACATCAAGCTGCCATTCTCTTCGTGAATGTAACAATAGCTCTGCGACCAGGGGTTGCCAAATCCACGGCGGAATATCACGCTACCGCTCATTCTTCCATTGAGCGTCCTCATCAAATGTAGAATACGTCGCGCATTCGCACTAGGAAGGGCAGACGTGATGGAATCCGCCGTGCCGGACGACATGGGCGATATGGAGCGGGGTCCCGGCTGCGGCGACGGTGACCGCACTGGCGAGCCCAACGAGGATATCGAGGGGCGGGACGGGACTTCGGTGGACATTGGTACAGAGGCTAGAAATTCAGCACCCGATGACGGTGTATCCCTGTGTCGACTCCTGCTCTTGCTGCGCACTGCCGAGGGGGACTGCTCTCGCTGGTCATCACTCAGAGTGGCCGTTCGCGGCCGTGACTGTGATTCCCGATCCATCATGCCGTCCGATTCATTGCGCTTCTTCTTATTCTTCCTCGAGGCACTGCGGCCGAAGAAAGGGACGCTGATGCTGCCACTTCTACTGCGCGGAGGATCCTTGACGCGGTCACGGTCTGCGTGCCGCCGACTGCGGTGCGAATTGCTCGGACTGTCCGCTCCGCCACCAGCGGTAGTGGTCGTCGTCGTCGTGTGGGGTGTAAAAGAGCCCGTGCTGCTTTCGGCGTCTGCTCTCGCATCGGAAGCCGTTGTGGAACGCAGGGAGCTTGGCATAGACGGCCTGCGCGAGATGGTTTTGGAGATTGAGCGGGACGGCGTAGCAGCCGAAGCGCGGTGTGACCTCTTCTTCTCCTTTTCACGCCGTTGTTCGTCTTCTTTGTTGCTGTCGTCTGCGGCGCTCTGCTTGTTCGACGATGTCCATCGGTGGGTCTTGACGACCGGTTGATCTGACAGAAAAACCCCGGAACGACGGCGCTCCTGCTTGGAGCTCATCTTGGGCAATGCATGTTATCAAATGTGCTGTCGTAAATGTGGTTGGTCGATTGTGTTGTGTTTGGAGTGGGGTGGGGACCGCAGTGGAGCGAGCGAGCATGGAAGCGAACGGAGACTTGACTCGACGGCCTCAAAAACCGCTACTGAACGAACACTACATCACGCTATCCTGCCGGCTCTTGTCCCAATCAATAACAATACCATCATAAGGCGATCGTCAGGATCCCAAAAAGCCCAGGCGACGCCGAGAACTGTCCGCCCCCATGGCAGGGCAATGGAGATTACCCTCCGWAGGCAGCATTCGCCTAACCAAGACACGGAAAACAATGTCCGCTACCTTGGGTACTACCTAACTGACTATACACCTGAGAAGGAGACATGCCGCTGCGCAGTGCGCACGTTCTGCAATGTGCGAGCGAGGTGCCAAACGGTGGAGGCAGCGGCTCCATCTCCCCACCCTGCATGACGGATACGCATGTATGCCCAACATAGAAAGCCACGCTTGTCTTCTCTCAGCCTCCTATCTTCTCCATTTCACACCCAACTACGTCCATCACCACCACGCTATGGATTGGAAGTGATCAGGAGACACAATCGACGAATCCCTCCTCCTAATAACACCAATCTATAAGTCACGCAGACATATACTTTTGCACCGAAGCGCGTTCCGCTGGCTGGAGCCGAAGCTCTACGTGTGCGGCCCGCCGACGCCGTTTCAGCTGGGAGCTCCCAATGGACTCTGGTAGAGTGAGGTCACCAGGTACTTTGCACCATCTTTTGGTCATCCATTGCTTGCTAGGTCATCATCAACCACGGACCCCCACGAGATTCAATACAACAGCGCAACTCCTGCGATCATCACGAGGCCGTATGATGGCCCGACTGCAATCGAACACAGAAGAAAAAGAAAGCCCTTCAAACTTGGCGATGGAAGCGCATGAATCGCGGCCTCAATAATATCAGGTTTCAGCTTCTAACGGCAAACGTAGATCTTGCGCATGGCCTGGACCAGCATCCGTGCAGTGTTCTGGTCTTTTCGGCACCGCGCGTTATAATAAGAAGCGCGGTCAGCGCTGCTAGCCAAGTAACAAGCGCATGGTCGAGAAAGTTCTCTTGTTCAAATCTCGGGACCACGCGCACAGATGCATCGCGTCAACGAAGCGTGACGCAGTATACCACCGAACAATGGTAGGTACCTTACGCAGACAGCGTCTCCCGACCACTGGGCGACACGTACCCCTGTGCAATTCACTATCCGTGATGGAAAAAGGCAAAAGATGGTATCTTCAATTTCGAAACTTGGCCACTCACATTGAGTGCTTCATAACCCATGGCCATCACGCATGTGATAAAAAAACTCTCCTCTCAGTGATGAATCCTTCCCCTCTATGCCCTGCCCGCGGACGGATGAAACGGACCACAGTCCATCCCACGGCTTCGCTACCTCCGACACGCACAGACTTGCGCATCACCCCTTTTGCTGCCTCACAAGTTGGTCTGTGGGACATCACCCAAGCGACGTAGCATCGCTCGCAGGCGACATCGTAGCAGCGCTTCTCCCACCACTCAGATCCCCGCTGGCGGTTTTCCGCAGCGCTTGTCTCATAGTCTCGATATTCAAATCACCGTGCTGTTGCCCGCTCGGACTCCCCAATTTGATACTCTGAGTCGGTGATGATGATTGCTCGGCGGTGCCGGGAATGGAATTGATATTGACGGCTCCGCTGACAGCGGGAGGTGTGGTCAGCCCGTTGATGCTTCGATCGTAGGTTGTTGTAGGTGAGCGTGGGACTCGGACGGGCGAAGCGGTTCCGTCGTGGTGGAGGTGGAGGCTGTCTCTACTTCCCACATCCCCCAAAGCTGAAGCTGCCATTTGGTGTTGTTCGCTTTGCACAATGTCGCTGAAGGAGATGAAGCTTAATCGTCGCACGTCGTTGGGGTCTAATTGGCCGTAACTGCTTGCGCTCTCGTCCTCGATTCCGGGAAATGTTCCGGAATGCTGTAGGAATGAGTGCGCGGTCTCCTCTGATTTGTTACGATGTGTCAGAAGCGGTGATTCTAATGGTGTCAGATCACTGTGGCTTGTGGAACCCTCGATACCAGAAGCTGCTGGCTGATGGGATGAGGACGTAACAATCTCCACTTCATCCGGATCCAGGCTTGAGGATGTTATGGTCAGCGCTGAAGCTTCCAACGCCGGCGGGATTGAGTCTTCGGTTATGACATGTGCGGGAATGTGTGCTGGGTTCAATTCGCCGTGTAAGTTACTGATCGATATCGGTTCTTGGACGTTGCGCTCAAAGATTTCAGAATTTCCAGGGTTATGTAGTCTAGGTGAGTTGGATCGTAGGCGGGAGGGTGAGCTGGCAACACTCGGCTGGTATGCCAGTCGCGAAGGCGACAAGGGAGCAGGTGGTGGGTGTCTCCTGGAGCCTGACTGCTGTCGCTCCTGTGAGGTTGGTTGTATGGAAATATTCTGAGCTGCAGCTCGTGACAGCTTGCTCGTCTCCGATTGACCGTCCATCGTGTGGTGATCTTCCTTCTTGCCAATGTCGAATAGATGTGGCGCCGCGAGCTTCCGGACTTTCTCGTTGGTGGCTGTCGATGTTTCCGCTTGCTGTAAAATTTGTTGTTGTTGAGCGGAGGCTTTCACGGCAGCTCGAGGATTGTGAGGCGAAGTCGAGGAGTTTGAAGTCAATGGCATATGAGACGGCCCAACAGGTTGAAGTGAGGCATCAAGTCCCGAAGTTTCGCATGTAATAATCAAATGCCGTTCGTGTTTTAGCCAGTAAGCACCGAAAAGTGCAAGGTTGCGAGTCGCACAAATCTGTTCTCAGCAAGCGGGGATTGTTTCCATCTTCGACTTGCACCGTTGAGAAGCAGAACGGCGGCACAAGAACAGATGTGAGAGTCGAATGGACAGAATACGAAGAATTGGCCTCAAAGTACGAATGATGCAGTGAGACCTAATCCCTGCGCGACGCGTGACCGATCGGGTGACGTCGTTTCGCCAGGGGTTATGGGCCTTGTCAGCTTCTCGCTCTAGCTTATCAAGATGCTGTGTCCTGCTGGCTTGCTACCTCCATGCGCAAGTGGGCGGAGCTTGGCCTGGGGTGAAGAGCTCACAAGAGGGCATCAGTGGACTTGGGACGACACCGATCGCCCGCACAAATTTGGTGGGAGATCCAGACTTCTTCATCAATGCTATCGGATGGAGCTCCGATGTGAGAGGCTGAGGTGTTTCAGCTTTGGTTGCTTCAAGGCTCGTACAGGAGGTTGAAGTTGAAGAATGACTGCACTTCCGGATTGGCGTCAAGGAATGCAAACGGGCACACATGATGTGATTGACAAGGAAGTAAACGGAGGAATAGAGGAAATGGGTGACTTGGAAGCAACTTTGAGTGAGAGCGACTTGTGGAAAGATTTCCTGGCATCGAATTTTATATCTTTGGTCCCATCGGGGAATTGGGAAGACACTTGCTCAGCTCTTGACCGTAGCAGCTTTGCTGGCTCAACGGCGACTTCAGCCTCGCCTTGCATCGTACAAGCCCATGTCCGCCAGACCCGAGAACGAGCAGAATGTTGAGGATTGAGATCGCGGAAGGACTGGCGCCAATGCCCTTTTCGGAATCCGAAGTGGTTGCTGCCGCCCCTGGTGCCTGGCCGATCGGCTGATGATGAACTCGTCGTCTATGCGATAAGACGATGCATTACCTGTACCACGACGGAGCCTCTGTCCAGCCGACAAAGACAAACAATCCCCCCGGCATCCAAGCTGTACAATATTGAATGGCGTGTCAAAACTCGTATTCGTTCATACATTGCATGTTTCGTGTTCGCCTTGTGTCATAGTTGATATCAACATATCCATCCATGAAACGCCTCGCTCTAAATACAACGCTGTCCCATATTCGCAATTGCATGTACTATGCTATTTATTTTCCAACACGGCTCACCAGGGGTATCATCAGAAAGGGTGGAGCAGTTGCTTCGCCAACGTCGTCGCATGCTTTTCGCACTGTCATAATCATCGTCCAAAACCTGGGAAGATCTTTCGGATTCCTCTCCTCCAGGCGGGTGTTTGTTGCGACTCTTCCAGGTCGGGGTCCCCAGATTCGTTCCGACCTAGCATATTGAGAGCCCGCTGCCTTGCCCATTCCCGCTGCCCAAGCGCGGCGCGCGTCTGATCTGGAGGACCAGACGAAATGCCGGGGACCAATACAGGAGCAGGAGCAGTGGTCGAGGCGGCGCGCATATCGAGTTCTTCCATGCGCTGACTTTCTGTAATAGGTGGTGCATTGCTAGTTCTGCTGCCCAAGCCAGGAAGCGCGCGCAGTCGTTGAACAAAGCCTGTCGTCGTGTGGCCTCCATCCACTCGCCCCATCTCAGGGGAGGACAAGTCGATGTTGGCTCGGATTCGGCGGACATTGCGTTCTCGCCGCACCATGGCGTTCGTCACAGTCTTGGGACAGTATCCTTTCGGCAGAGCGCTCTTCTTGCACATAGGGCATAGGCTGCTGTTCAGGCGTAGAAAGGAGTCTACACACTCGGGGTGAAAGATGTGGCGACATGGCAGTTCCCGGACGGTACTGCCTTCATGTTCTGCGCTAGCCTCGTCGAAGTCGTCCAAGCAGATCGGGCACGTGGGCTGTGACAGTGGAGATGCGTGAAAGGTGTGAGCCGCAGGCATGTCGCCAGCAAGCWTCTCTTCTGCGAGGGAGCGGCTGCCCGGTCCTGTTCCATACACATACTTAGGCATCTTGTCGAGTAGAGGCTGAGGAAGTGTGAGGCGCTTGATCCCCAGAGCTTCGAGATCGACTTCGCCGCTCGCAATGCGTCTTCTCAAGGACCTCCTCCTTCGCCGCTGTATGAGATGCATCGAGAGTGACGTCAAAGCAATGACAGCGAGCAAAACCGCCAGGACGATTAATAGAAATACCCACAAACTCGGGAGGGAAGTCATGGATCCTATGGCGACGTTTAGACAACGCTCTCAGCATGGGATGGATTCCCACTCACCTGTGTTTATATCCGCAAACAGACGAACGTAGTCTGTAGGCGACACGCCCCCCTCCGTCAATTCATGACCCCTGGGCACTTCGGTGACATTCTYGCTGTAMTTCGCMCTCTGTGCCATGATGTCGAGTCCGTAGCGACCGGGAATAGCGTATACGGGATAGCCATTCTCGCGCTTCCAGCTGCCCTCGATATTCCATTGCGGGTCATTTGAAGCCGGTGGCGTTGCAGACGAGTTGGTGGGAAGAAAGAAGATGAAACCTCGGTTGTTGGGATTGAGTCTTGCGGCGAGCATGTATTTCAGCGCACATTCTTTACTCGTCCATGGCGCAATGGCCATCACTCGATATTCCGAGACCGCGTTCGGTAGATTCGCTATTCGAGTCGCATTTTGGACGTATGGATCGCTATCGGCTATACAAGAGTCCCCAGTTGCAAGATCTGGCGTGTATAGCAGGCCAGTCTGATCACCACCATCGGCATGGTGGGAGGAGAGGGTGCGAATGTCGAAGTTGAGAACGATCTGGTAGCTGAGCTCGGCGGGGATCTGTTGAGGCTGTGCGTCGCTTTTGGTGTAGTCTACGTTGGGCAGGTTCCAGGTGGTGACCTGTAGCGATGTAGCGGCTGTGGGTCAACAGTCAGTATGGTGATGATGATGACGACGAACATTCCATGCGCTCAACGTACTCATGACCGCGGAGGATTATGCTGTCTATCGGCGATTAATATACATGTTATGAGGGGGCGCAAAGGGAAGGTGAAGAACAGATGCGTGTCGTCTGGACTCTGGTGGCGTGACAAGTTACAACAGGCAGGATACTAGTAAAGAGAAGGCGGAGGCGGAGGGGATAGGCTGGGGGAAAGCGGCAACGAATCGAGACTATCCCTGCCATGACGCCACAAAAGATAAAAGCAGGTGTTCCGTTGTAGAGGACTTTCCATGTCAACAAGTGCCGTTTGGATGAAAACGTTTCGACTGGCAAGAAATGCACTTTGCCATGTGCCGCAAGGTCGCAAGGGAGTTGCCATTGTAAAGCCACACATGATTAGCTCTCGTTCATTCCATTGTTCGTCCATGGTAAGACGAATGCACATCTGGAGCGGGCACAAGCACAAGCCTTCGGTTCGCCTTGGCATTCCTTGGTCGCCGTCGATCTCTCCAGACTCGCGATCGCATGTGTCGCTGGCACGTCTGCCGGCATCAAACGTGAGCGTTCTTGCTGTGCTGTCGACATTTCACCGCATAGGAAGCTGCCCTGGAGTTGCAAAAGGTCACGACCATCATACCCACATACAGCACGCTGGTATCTGGTACATTGTGTCAATGCACAGCCCGGCCCCTCCATTCATATAGTCCTCGCAAAACATTCTCCCTCACTTGCTTCGCAATGGCTCCAACGGTATCTAAAAAGGCGACACAGCCGAAAGCAAGATCTGTCTCTCGAACCTCAACTCCCCTCACCGAGAAGTCGCCTACGCCCGGGGTGGCCACGCCCGTATCCATCTCTGCACCCAGCAGTGCCTTGCCCAAGGAGACGCTCTACTTGAAGACACCCACCGCAGCTTTGATATCGACTGAGCCCAGCATTGAGATGCTCATTGAGAAGAGTAGTATTTCTTTGGCGAAACAGGGCGATCCTCCCGCCGGGCGAGATCTCCGCGTGCTGCACGACACCATCCGCGATACCATTAATCGCTTCATGGGCAAGCGCAATGACATTTGCGATCGCAGCATGCGACAGCTCGCACAGCGACGAAAGGAGCGAGCAGAAGCGGAGGAGGAGCAGGAAGCCAGCCRGGCCGAAGATGAGCGCGTGCGAGTGAAGCGTGAGGAGGACGATCGGCGGAAGGAGAAGAAGACACTGAGCAAGAAGCGCAGTCACGATGAGATGGATGTCGATGGCGAGTCGGAGGATAGAAGAGRGCAACGCGAGAGCCTGCCGAGCGTCGGTGCGCATGGCCTGGCGCGACAGGACGGCGTGGGTGTACACCAAGGTGAGTTTGTTGTTGATGGCGATGTGGATGGTCTTGCGTGCCTGCCGCCATTGGTGCCATCGCCATCTCGATCTCCATATCTGCGCTTCACTTCACTTCATCTCCTACCCCACAGTCTCACATCTCATTTCCATTCGCATTGCTCACCTCGACATCAAAACATCGGCGTCACACGAGAGCATCGGACTGACCACGCGCAATCATGCGTATAGGCGCTCCGGCTCCGCCGTCACCACCGGTTCAGCCTGGTACCATCGTGCCAGAAGTCCTGGACGCGGCCGCCTCACCAGCTGACTCGGATGCTTCGCGACATGATCTCCCTCCCACAGCGCCGCTGTACGAGCGCATATTCGGCAAGGATCCAACCGCCGCAGAGGACAATGTGATCTACGACATCCGGCCGCTGACCGACGACCTGACTGATGAGGAGAAAATGGCCATCCTCAGTGTAGTACACTGGCCATCAAGCGATCTCCACGACAAAACTGCGGGTGACCCTCCGGACATGGACTTTAGCAATGCGAAGCCTGCAAACCAGGTCAACTTTTCCACCTTTCAGACCTACATTGAGCCATTCATTCGGCCCTTCACCGAAGAAGACGTGGCATTTCTCAAGGAGCGGGGTGATCGTGCGGTTCCATACATAATACCACCGCGAGGCGCAAAAGGTTACAAGGAAATTTGGGCCGCCGAGGATGGAACGACAGGGATCGAGCCGCCTCAAAAACACATCAACAACCCGAATGAAGCGAGAGGGAGTATGGAAGACTTGGACGATGATCTCGCCGATCAAGACACCGTGAGCATGGGACCAGTATCAAATCGCTTGATCACGATAGTTCGCCCGGCACCAAATGGGGCCAAAAAGGACAAGGAGGAAAATGAAGACGCGAACGGGGATGTCTCGATGGCGAACGGAGATGATGCGCCCGAACAGCTTTCGAATGGCAACACCGAAGACTTCAAACCCACAACATATCTTTCCGCCGACGCACCTCGGCCTACCAATCTCCAACAACTTGACTATGAGAGTTTTGAACAGCGTGCTTTGCAAGAGCTTAGACACATTGGCATCATCGGCCCGAACGAGACTCCCAATTACGATGCGCATAACGATGACGAGGTAGCAGCTCGATTACGAACTCTACAGCACGAACTACGTCGTATTAGCAAGTTGAACAACGTYCGCAAAGCTCGCGTCTTGGAGCTGACAGAAGAGAGGATGGCGATGCAAGAATATTCCAACATTGCAGATGATCTGGACAACCAAGTCAACGCGGCATACCTCAAGCGTAACCGATCTCTGGCGAAACCAAATCAAAAGAAGGGCTCACAGGCGAAGCCGGGACAGAAAGGCGTTGCATCTGGCGTGGCTGGCCGAGGAGTGAGCGACGGTGTGCGGGCATTGATGGTCAAGCGTAAGGACTGGATTGAATACGTGGGACCGGTGGTGCAGCATGGCAGACCTCCCATCCCGGGCGACGATGAGACCATATTTGACGACGCTTCTTTGAAGAGGTTGGAAAAGGCTGAGCGAGAGGCTGAGTTGGGCGAAGTAGATGGCGAATGAGGACGTATGAGACTGAGGACAGTATGGATGAAACAGAGGAAGCACAGCAGCTGTCAAGAACAGTGGGTTGAGGGATTACGTGTGCGGGCATGACGATGGTGCACGCAGTGCACGGAGCGAATAAGAGCAAGCAGTGTCTTAAATGCGACATCCTCGTAACGAAATCGATCTTCAAACGAAGGATTTGATTGGCAATTGGAGGGTCACCCCGCTCAACTTTTGTCGGAAGTCGTTCTGATGATCCCTGATTCATTGACTTGCAAGACGAGCGCCAGGGTGCTGTGGAAGACTCCATGGGTCTGAAATGCCCATGGTGCAAAGAAACGCTGTAAGAGTGCCCTTGCAGTTATCAGTTATGAGTAGCTGTCTTCGTTTGGAAAAGTCCGTCTGTGCTGGGCGATGGAGATATGCTTCTCAACCTAAAGCATGCTCTCGAAGATCATGACGAGGACGATGCTGCCGAAGAAGACCGTATCTCTCCTGTTCCTATTTGCAACAACGAATGAAGCAGAAATGTCGGACCATGGCATTGTGTAGATAGGAGATGGTTCAGGGACGAGTAATCCTGCCATCAGAAAGGAGATGGACGTCAGAGCTGTCGATATGAGAGAATCTAAAAAAAAAAACCCGCGCCCTTAACGGACCACTCTGCTAGTACTAAAGGTTCTAGCAGCTCTAGAATCGTCGTTTCTGCGGAGAGCAAGGCCTAAAGACGTCATAAAGACGACTGGAAGTGTCTGTCTTGTCTCGGTGGAAAATCCTCATATCGACAGCTCTGGCTCAGATCGTCACTCAATAAGTATAGGAAGAACAGCTGCAAGAATCTTGAAATGAACCGTCTTTTAGCTGAGCACATACGTAGACGAAGGTTAAGAATTCGCTCACTTAAGTCGCAAATCATTTCCAAACTCGTTGTTTGTCCATACCCGGCCTGCCTTGGGAACGACTTCGCAGCAAAGACCAAAGAGTTGGTCGACCGGCCCCTGATGCTCCTGTACTGACCGAAGAAGAAGAATCGCTCCGCTGGGACATGGCCAGCTAAGAACAACAAGTCGGTTCCGGCATCTTTGGTACCTCAGGTATCCAGCAATATCGTACTCTATTCCTCGGGGAATCTCTAGCTCATCACAATTGGATTGCTATACAGATAAATCGACGAGGATGCAGGTCAATGTTATTTTAGAATATCTTTCGGCCTCTAGAAGGATATAGCATTGTAGTACGCTATAGAGCTATCGATATGAGGATTCTTTATCGAGGCAAAACACCCTTAGTCGTCTTTATAATATCTTAAGGCGTTGCTCTCTATAGAGTAGATAACTCTGGAGCTACTAGAACCTTTGCTACTAGTAGAGTGGTCCGTTATATAATAGAGAGGGCATTTAAGGGCGCTATTATGTTAATGATTTTCTTATATCGACAGCTCTAGTACGCTAGTGTGGCGACGACAATGCACCCGGCAATAGACGGTCAATGAGAAACTGTGTGATGGCATGATGTGAAAATCGCAGTGGCGACGACTGTGACTGCAGTGATATCGAATACCTTAGATAGCCGGAGCAAGCAGTCTCGCGAATGCTACGATATATTCATCATAACTAACCGGATCTTTCCCTCGGGAATTTCAATAGCATCGATCGTTCTCACAACCGATTAGCACAAGATAAGCAGTGCAGCGAGAAGCAGCTCCGTCTCATCCGATCGGAATCTAACGCCTAGATAGATAGCAGTGCGTCGAGTATCTAAATCACCGATTCGACATAACTCCGGATAGCTTGCTCTCCGAGAGCCGTACGTCGTGTAACAGTGGGTGGTGGAGTCCCTCCCCCCACTCGCTAGCAGACCTGTTGGAAGAGAGGGATTCACAGTGGATCACTCGCCTTTCGAAACTTGATTTTCTTGCAGAACTCCAAAAGCTCGATTCATGATTCTTTGCGGTGCTCGATTTTCCCTCTCCTCCTTCTCCTTCTTGTACACCAACGCGTGCTGCAAACTCGACCGCTCATGTTGTGTCCAGCAGTACTACAGTGTTGACAGCGGCTCACGACTCATTGTGGCATGACATGTAATACATTCATAAATGGTTGAGTCCGTCGTTACACGGCATTCTTTCCTCTTTTCTTTCTTGACAGCTGCAAGTATCCCTGCGCGACAGCTAGGTCGTACATACATCCGAAGTAGGACAGGTAACTCTTTGACTTTGCGGTGAGTCCCGCTTGCCTGCATGACAAAAGTGCCGCGAGAGCTATGCTGGTTGGCTTCGGACCGCGATTCCGCATTCGAGAACGTTCATCATGTTGGTGTATGGATGAATATCCTCAGACAAGGAAAGTCAAGAAAGATGGATAGACCAGCTCGTCTTCGAAAACGCGGCGGACTTGTTCGAGTATGAAGTCTTTGACCACATTTTTCCCGTTGAGCACGGACTTTCCGCTGCTGTTGTMAGTCTCGCCCATCTCGCTTTCGATTTTGATGTCCTCGAGTAGCATGCCTACTTTGCTCGAGACGATCTTGGGATGCGCGTTATCCTCGGTCTTTTCGTCCAAGTCATTCAGGGTAGGTTCGCTGCCAACCAGAGCTTCTGCATCCTCTGGATTCAAGAAGGATAGATGAGCCCGCTTCTTGATGTAGGCCATGATACCAATGCCGTTGAATGTGAAACCGGTGATTCTCAACTTCAGCGGTATTCCCACAAAGCTTGGCATTGGATAGTCTAGGAAGACCTCCGCGGTCAATGATAATTTGACATCGCCGGCGTATGTGGCATGAAACACAACCTGAAGGTCCTCTGGGTTTTTCTCCCGATGTTCTTGACTCAGCGGTTGTAATGGAACATCAAGGTCATCGGCGGCAGCAGATCCTGGAGGTTGGTCGAAGAATGGGTGGTCCAGTGACGATGCTGGCGTTGCCGTCGAATTGGGAGAAACTGAGGCGAATGATTCGGCATGGCGGTGCTGATTTTGTGCTTGTGGAATCCCACTTGAATAGTGCGCTCCAGCGACCGCAGCCAACGGAGTATGTGTTCCAGGAAGACCTGCAGACAATGGAAGATGGAAGTAACCCAGATTCGATGTGGTTCCCAAAACGCCAGGTGTGGTGCCGAGTGTCAATGACGAGGCTCCAGATCTGTCCAGTATGTCGAATTCAGACTGACGACGGGAGCCGCTTACACCTCTTAGCTCCCGTGTCGAAGGATGCCGGATTTCTGGCCGCTGTGCTCTTTTGGCCTCGCCACTGTCGTCGCTATCCACCGTCACGCCATCCTCGTCTACATCGTAAAAGTCCGGCAGTGGATCACCGATATCTTTGAGCACGATTTCGGGGGAGATCTGGCCAAACTCGAAATCGTGCACGGTGATGGACCGTATCAGCTTCGGGAGCGGGAGGGTCTGGAATCGTCGATGAATGAAATCCCTGATGGTTTCAGCCAATGCCTCGCCGTCAGGACCTCCGGTGAGCGTTTCCCAATTAATGTCGACGGACATCCGTACGAATCGCCTTGGAATTCCGGGCTTCGATTGGTCGGTGAAAAGTTTGAGGTTTGTCAAGTTGAGGATGGCAAATGTGAAAGGGCAGAGGTGAAGTCGTTACTTGAGATCGGCCAACGCTAGCTGAAACCTTGCCAGTTCCTTCCTTGTTGGGTACATGTAGAGAAATGAATTGACAGACAAAATTCTCCACGATTCGCATGACTAAGTGATGCCAGTGCTACTACTGGGATAGTGACGCGAAGGAGCTACCTCACCATCCAACGCACATGTTAAGACAAGGTCTGCAGGGCWGGTGTGGTGGAGATCAATCTAAGAATTTCATGCATGCATCGGTGTGGAAGACAACCCAGTCTTGCACCAAGGTTCTCATCTCACATGAATGCGGAGTCTCGGCTGAAGTGTGATGAGATCTGAATATACTCGGGTAGCAGACCGCATCGCAACCCGCATCTTCTGAAGGTTGGCGGCCAGCTCGTCTACCTTGGCACAGCTCAGCTCCCTCGAGACGACACGTCCATGACCCTGCAGGACTTCGGTGGTGGAAAGTCGACACTTGTTGCTGCATCGCTGTTGCCATTGGACCAGCCATAGCTTCAGCATGTTCAGCTTGTCATTATTAAATTCGTTCAGTCGTGATAGAATACAAAGCCGCCAATATCGCTGGAATAATCCGCCGGGTCCGTCCATGTCGTGAGACGCCGCCTTTTCCATCCGTTTCGCCAACCCGCTATAAGACCAAGGTGCAAAGAAGATAAATGTTCCAACAGAAAAAGCGAGGATCGCCACCTCAGCGTGGTCCGAGTACTTGCACACTGCGATGCTGCAAGGCTGCTGTCCGGATATGTTAGCAGTGATGGCGAATGATGTAATGGAGTTGTCATCTTACCTCTCACCCTCCTCCACACTTGAAGCATTTGGAGTGATGTATCACCGTTCTTGGGTTGAGGACGCCGCATGCATTCCGTCTTGATACAGCGCAAGGCACCTTTTCCACAATCTTGTGTTTGCAGGCGGTATATTCGTGTATGACCTGTGTGCACATGTTTGCTGTGGGTTCGACGTGGAGTTGCGTCAACGCTCTGTATGCGTGAATGCATGGTCAGTGGTCTGGAGATGGAGAAGGATGCGGCAGCGATGCAACTCACCAGAATGGTTCTCGCAGTGGCAATGGCAAAGACAGCGTAGTGGTTGCAAAGCACTTTCCGTGAGACTTGGGACAGGGAGGAGAAGCAAGGGCCGGCCGCTGCAGCACGAGGATTTCTTATAAAAGGTTGGAGACGCAAACAAAATTCCATCAGGACAGCATTGTACGACGGGTATTCTGCTGGGTGGACAAGACCAAGCAGCTCATCTCAGATAACCGCCGCTGTCCGCTGGTATGCTGGTGAAGCAAGGAGCAAGGAGCAAGTGTCAAGATGCCACGCGAGTAACAGGCATGCGAAGGCCGCTGGCCGTCAGAAGTGGGCACTGTGCACCACCTGCGCTGCATACGCTGGCGCCAAATTGGCCGTCGGAAGAGACATCCCCGTGCGCTATAGCAGTATCACGATGCAAGCTAATGCCGGCTCCGATGTGCCAGCACAGGGCCCATCCTTGCTGGCGCGGTCGAAACTCGCGACCCCGCGGCCTACCGCTTGCGAATCGTTCGTTATTCCATGCATGGCCAGCGTTGGGGCTTCAGATTGAGGTGTTGAGCTCACGCGGCAGCCTCGGGCGTCTTCCGACACTCTTGACATGCTATAGCTTGACTCGATGCGGGAAGATTGGTCCATTCATCTACAGCGCTGCGATCGCAGGTTGATTGAATGCGTCAGGTGTCAGTTTGTTGATTTTCGGATCGACTCGGCAAGTTGCAGCATCGACCCGCTCTTTCCTCAGGTGTACGGCCAAGACACGGCAAGGTTCAGCAATGAGATGCGTTCGATGCCTTCGTTTATTATCATCATTCTCCTGCGTCCTTCCTGCAACGATTATCCCTTCCACAGTACAAGCCTCTCGTTCCTCAAATACTAATCACCTGCGCGCCTTGTTGGTTGCAAGCAATTTTCAAAACACATGTCGACCATGCCGATCTCTTCCGCCGACCTCCGCCCAGCCAAGGACTTCGCACCGCAGCATTGCACCTGTACTTCGGACGCGTCGCCGGGTCGGCAAGACTCGTTGACAGCTTGGTTTCACCACATCAAGCATAATGTGCCACAGGCTCTGATGACATGCCGCACAAGCTAGCGCATCAATGTGCAATAATACGGCAGAGCCACCGCCGAACGCGCCTATCCGTCGTGCCAGCGCAGGTTCCCGGCCTCTTTTCGCCCATCCGCATCATTTGTTGCTCTGGACAACGCCAGGTCGCAGCTATGCGAATGCTGTGACGCGGCGGTCAATCAAGTGGTGAAAACCACCGCTCGTCGTTTGCTTCCGGAGCTGGATCTGAGAAATCGTCGACCAAGACTCCCCCGCCAGCGACAAAAGGCCATCGAAGGGCACTGAAATTTGCCAGCACTCCCTCAAACCCAATGGCATGTGATATCATGTGGCGTGGTGACACAAGCGTCCATTCTCATGTATCATCACTCCCGATGCGATACATCCCAACGTCTTTGGTAAAGCGACTGGTCTTTGAAAGGAGTCGCACGCAGAGACGCCGAGTATTCCTGTCGATTGGGACTGTTTGCTGTAGTAAGCTTTGCTGACTTTCTCTGACGACTGCATGCTGCATGGAGCTCTCAAATGAAGGTAGCTTTGACTTTTGCGATCGGAGAACTTTGCTACCATACAACAGTTTGCACGACCTGCAAAGGGCAGCGACCGACGAGAGCGAAGTTTGCAGGCGCTCGTGGTTGTCGTACTCTGACGAGATCGCGTCTCTTCGCATGCGAGGAGAAGTCCTACCTATTTGGGCAGTGTCTTCCCCACAAAATGTTGCAACCTTTGACCTCACCTCGGCCTAAGTTGTAACATGTCTTGTTAGACCGAGCACAGCATGCGATGCGATCGCCATGTATCTTATTTCCGGGCCTTGCCATTCCCTCCCGAAGATGCAATAACCTCCGAACCGTTCTCGCAACGTGGTTCGCCTGGACAGAAGGATGGCTTGCACGATACATCACGCGCTCTGTTTGACTGGGTGCAAGGTTCAGCAATTGCTAGGCCATGACATCTCGCCCCGGATACACCCTATTTCTGAGCTGTACGATAGATGGCGTATAAATGCACGTGTCCGAGCCATTTCCTTTCCCCGTCCATTCCAATTCCTTCAAAGCACATTTGTTCCATTCAAAGCAAGACATATTCCAAGGCCATTCACCAACATCTCAATCTATCACACGACATGGAGGCCACACAACAGACTCAACGACGCGAGTCGACATTCCTTACTCTTGTACCACACTCCGAGGCAAAGACCGTTGCCTCTGCATCATCACCCATTGACGATGCCAACCCTCTTTCTTCCCCCTCTGAGGTCGTTCCAACAATCAAGACACAACGGAGCACCAGCGATTCAAGCACGAGCAGCGATTCAACGAACCGCTTTCTCCGCCTAGGCCACGCTGATGAGTAGTTTCTGGCTCCACGGCTTTGGTTCGGCTCAAGGGGATAACATTGCGAGTGGGGGTGGAATTGTCACGGCCGCGGGAAAGGGGAACAAGAATGAATCTGACGATTTTGGCATTGCATTACATTGCGGCATGATATCGGAATGTTTGATGAATTGATGTGGAAGCTACTTCTGTGTACGACTAATGTCAAGAGATGTTGTATTKACGAATTCATGATTTCCAAACTTGGAACATTGGCATCCAAGTGAATGAGCGGTCTGTCATGTTGTGACCCGAGCTGCATCGAAGGAAGGAGCTACCCATGACGCGTGAGCGCGTAGTGGTAAGTGCAGCGCGGGAGAAAATTCGCATTTCCCCTTGGAGTCGAGGTGATGGAGACGGGAGCTTTGTTGTAGATCGACAGTGACCACGCATGACGCCATTTGTACTGTTCGAACTGCCCGGCCCAGCGAATATGCACTTCGTTCGACTCGTGTCATGCGTGTGGGGGGTTCATTATATTGCTCGTTTGAGGCGGTCAACGACAATGCACTTTCGCCATTGGATGATGTTGRGCTTGTGTTGATTGGCTGGTGGTCGGGACATCGAGATCAGTGGGAGACTTTATATTGTAGTTCACTTTCGCACGAGGGATCTTTGGAAGTTGATGGATGATTGTTTCTTTAAGGAAGGCTTCGAGGCTTTGAATTGCAACGACCACGTCGAAAGAGATCGTTGTCTCGAGTTTGATGACGGCTTTGGCTGTGAAGACTACTTGGGCTTGGTCCATACTCGTGGCTCTGATGATAATATGGGGGAAGATCAGATATTGTTGTATGTAACCATGTCTAGCGCGCTCGTGGGCCATTTGTACCTTGTGTCTAGCCCTATTTTACATGTTTTCAGGTGTTCCGATGATCATCCTGCTCATGTGTTGCAAGATTGTTTATGCTATGAGCGGCCTGGTGGTCAGAGAGACTTCCACCTCGCCAGCTCGGTGATGTCTCTTCATAATGCAACTCGCTCTCCTGATGATGTTGATCGTAGCACTATCCACTCATCACAGCTTCACAGGACATTCCCCATCCGCTCCATCGTACGTATTCCACCACTCCACGAACTTTCCAGGCGTCATCTCGCCGAAGAACTTGACTTGCCTCTCATCGTCTAAGAGGTGCTCTGCTCCCGCAATCTTGAGTGTGTCCGATACAAATCTCCACATTAGTAGAACGATTTTAGTCTGTAGCGCCTGGCCATCGGCACGTGCAATCAAGATGTCGGGCCGTGGAGTACCTGTAACTTCTGAGAACACCATGAGTCCGTCTGGTTGCTGCTCTAGTGAGAGCATGTGCAAGATCRCATTGTTGGGTGCCTCGACAATGTGTGTGTCTGAGCCGGTGTATTGGATGCGACGGTCTGGTTTGACAGAGCTGAAGTGGAGTGGAAGACCGATACGTGCTGATAGGTCCAGGAGGATGCAGGGCTGGGGCTCTGAGTAGTCGGAAAGTTCGACCGGGCGGACGAGAGGAACACCGTCGATGGTGTAACAAGAGGCTAAAACAGCGTCTCCTTTGGGAGCCATCGCAAACCCGATGACAGTGTATGTGTGGATGTAGCAAGGGACCGGGCAGTAGGACCTACTTATGTTGACGAAATCGATCGTCTGAAGAAAGAGACACTTGGAGCGTGTTTCAGCTGCTTCTCAGACCTTTACCTGCTTTTAAAGACTTATTGGAGACGTTTGTATGCGTGAATGAACAGGAAGGCCTGCTACCTTGTTTATGGCGTTGGTGGCCTCTTGCCTGCCAAGAAGAGTCACATGTAAAGGTCCTCCTGCAAGGTGTCTCAACCACTTGAAGAGAGAGACATCGCGAGGGAGGAAGCCTCCCACGGGCTCAGAACGAGGGTACCCTCCGGAGAGTGCCCCTTTCTACCTTCCTCGTGTTTCTCTGGCTTAATTCCGAATCTCAGCTGTAGCTTGCGCGACTTGTGGTTTGGTTGCTTCTGGCTTCTCCGTTGCATCTGGAGCAGGTCGAAACCAGGACCCTTACTTGTGTCTCACAGCCTGCCCTTCTCGCTTTCGCTGCCATACCATGCAGGCCTCTCTGGTGGCCTCTCGGGCTTTCGATATTACCTCCGCGTCTGCAGGTACAAGACATCGGCATGCTTTCGTTCACCTCGAGATAATCTCTGGATGGCCATATAACATGCATCTGTTCATATGCTGATATACTCGCCTTTGTGTCGGGTCCGGGGTTCTCAAGACACAACTGACGTATCGAGAGTGTGTCTCTCGGACGGTTCGCATTGCATAGCCTTGCATATCCATGGTCCATTTTGCTCCACGCTCTTCATACAATTGCTTTCGAACCCTCCGGTATCGCGAGAGGCGCCCCATCTGCTCCTATGCCARGCAGACATTGCCGGACGTGGTAGTCGAGTGCGAGCGTGAGATCGTTATAAGATAAGACGCTCCACGTGTCTTTGGCATCTGGTGTGGCTCCATAGCCATGCCGACGAGATGATCTGCGCATTTCTCGCGCATAGGCATCGTCCTACCACTCACGCACCACTGTCCATGTGTATACGCTATGCATGCACGTTGGCATGAGTCTGAAATCCGAGGATCCTCTTGGCCGTCATTCGTGTGTGCTGCTTCTGAGTGTCCGCGACTCCAGAGAGAAGTGTCAGCAGGATCCTAATACCTCTCACGCGTTTGTCTGCGATTGCGGCAGTGTGATTTGTGGCACGATGGGTGGTCTTTGGCCGTCGTTTCAATCAGAATCATGGGACGGGAATATCGGGGATAGGGATGCACAGTGATACAGAAAGTTCGGGACTTTGCCCGGCTAAAAGGGTAATCAACCTTTGCCAAAATTCCAACGTCACGTCACGTTTCGACCGAGAGAGTATGCAGCGAGCCTGGATACGATAACGAACAAGAGGCATGGAAACACAGTCACGAGGAAGGCAATTAAAACACACACAAGACATGTCTGCATTCAGACGTTCGACTCGCGGACTCTCCTCCCTCCATTTCTGGTATACCTCCCCTCGTCGATACCTGTTCGTCTTCCTGGCATACCCCCTCCAATCAACAGTCCGAATAATCGACAGCCCCGCGATCTCATCTACCTCCTCAACATTCGATATACTTGCACTCGCACACCACAAAGTTGCCAAACGGCCCATCCAGCCTCTCCCTCTCATCGACCGAATTCACTTCCACGTTCTTCCCTTGAGCCTCGCGAATTGCGTTTCCTGAAGGTCAAACCCTCCCTTTGGTCTTGCAAATCAGCACTGAAGCTGTGCCGGTAAGTCCTTCGTCACTGTACACTCAGCACTGACGATGCCTTGATGACATGCAGATGATGACTTCTGCAGGCGCCTCACAGTTTGACTCTTGAGTTATGCGCCGTGGAGCCCGGAAGCCTGTCGGGGGTAATGGTGTAGCGCAGTGTTTGAGTCTGAATATTAGTGTGCAGCCAACACGTTGTCGCGGCTGATCACGCATTATGATCGGCGCTGATGATTGTTGTCGTCCGTCATATGTCCATTTAATTGACGTCTCGGCGCGCTACTTCTTTGAGTGGGTCGTGAAGTCCCATTGGAAGACCTTTCGGAGCCTTTGCTMTCTGTCTGCGAAAGAGAAGCTAAAGCTGGCAGTGCACGATGGCTTTTCCTTGGCGACCTTCGGGGTCGCCCAACATGACAGCTTTCGCCATCATGTCTCATGATCTGGTCGCTGATTTGGTTGAATTGAGTTTTCAGTGGTGCTGCCGGAACCGATCAAAGATCCAGTGCTCGAGTCGATGGCTGGCTGCTGGCGACGAGGGTATTGAAGGACTGAAAGCCCTTTGGAGTCCGTGTTCCACAAGACGTTTGATACCTTGGGTGCGGAGCTCAATGACTGCAGTCATTGAAGCGCCAGGAAGTACTGGTATTCGCTGGAGCGCTCGCAGCTGTTGTCGCTCTTGTCACATCCGCTGGAAGCCGAGTCAGTACGAGACCTGCAAACATAACGATCCGGAAATACTCACATCCAGTATGGTCGATTTCGAATCCTTCTCAGGTCGCCCCATCACTCGCAGACCTATCGTGACCACCATCCGTTTGGTGTTGTGGCCTCCGTTTGCCCTCCCCACCCATCCATCCAGCCTCAGCTTAGGATGGCGCCTTATCGTCAAGATGCTGACCTAGAAGGAGAAGAAAAAAGGCAGAAGCCAGTCAATGTTACAACAAGAATGGGCAATGGAAACTCACCGAGCTGATCAAGGTGCTCTAGCCTTGCCCTTGCTCTCCTTGCCCTTGCCCGTGTCCAGAGGCTTGCCACGACCCTGGTGAGTGAGGCCTCGTCGCTGCGTTCCAGAGAGCCCAAATCCGCGGGTCTTCATCTCGGTGTCCTCGTTGAGTGGTGCCGGCTCATTCGACGGCTTGGCCTTCTTGGCAGGTGGCTTTGCAGCGTTGGCAGCCTTCTTCTGTGCTCTCACGCTGTAGCGACCCTTGGTGGTGAGCTTTTAGATCTCGCTGTCGCTGTTCACACTGGCACTGGCGGTAGCAAGTCGGGACTGGAAGCAAGCCGACTCAATGTCCGGCGCGGGACCGATTCCTTCGTGCGGGAAGCACGCACATTTTGCCATGAAGGCGCGAACCGGAGTCTTGTTGCCATCGGCATCCTTGGACATTAAGCCACTCCATTTCGTGACTAGCCATCTCGGGACGGGCACCTGTGCGAATGGGTACTGTGGATCGGAGATCGACATGTAATCCGTCTCGGTTGTGACCTCGCCCTCAAGTCTCGCCGCTTTCTGGTACCACCAGCAGTTACCGAGGTGAGCGTTGGCGTAATGGACGACGCGGAAGTAGTCGATGAACTTGTGAAGGGCTCGGTGACCCTCCTTGGTAGCATGGAGGTAATCTTTTTGCAGTATCGTGAACTCATTCTGCTGAGGCAGCAGCACGATCAAGAGCTACTCGTCATACAGGCCATGGACTGTTGTGCCTGATGGGTCCGTCCGGTTCTTCCAGTTGTTGTACATCTTACATCACTCGTCGATCTTCTCTCGCGAAACACCGATGAAGTGTGGTCGGCCGGAAGCTCCCTGGTTGACGTCCACGCCCGGTGCGTACTGGTCCAGATCGACCCGCATGAGTTGCTTGTTGTCACGGAGATCCTTGATGATTGTCGCGTCTGGAAGTGTCGCCTGGCAGCGCACGGGGTCGTCGTTGGCACAGATGTCGATGCCGATGGTCTTGGCGCTGCGCTGTAGACTGTTTGCGTAGATGCAACAGTCAATCCAGGCGCCGTCAGGCTGCTGCACCTCGATCTGGACGCAAGGAGTCCTGGTATCGCAGAGAGACTTGACTCTGACGGTCCGAGGGTTGAAACCCACGTCCAGCTGGTCGTCCTTGTCGTCCACCTGCATGCTCTCTGATTCGGTACGCTTCGAGTCCTCAGGATCAACATCCATATTAGTGTCAGTGTTTCCGGCGACGATGGCAGCTGCTTTCTTCGCTGCGAGTTCATCTTCCTTGACTTTCTGCGCGGCAGCCCGCTCCTCCTGCTTCTTGGTCTGGGCCGCCAGATCAGCCTCGTACTTCTGAAACTCAGTAGCCGCCAGTTGAGGATAGCCAAACATCTTTTGCGAGATGTTAAGGCCGGCATCGCGGATCTGGATGGCTGCGAATGATCGCTGGTTGGCCCTGAATTCCTTGGATTTGCTCTTGCCCTGACCTGGTAGATCCACCACGAACCGTGGGCAGTCGACTTTCCGTATGCGGTGGAACCTCCAAAGATGGGCTCGAGCGAGAACAGCTTGTCCTCGTCGATCCAGAGGTGTTTCTCATACAGCTGTGCCAAATTGAGTCCGCTTTCTTCTCCAAGGCGCTCCTCCTGGAAGCGGACTCCACTGGCAAGTCGTCCATCAGCTCCCATTCCTCATCGACTGCCTTCTCAGGCTCGACCTCTTCCACCCTGCGCTTCAACGGGCAGCTCTTCCCCGTGTCCATCATGAACTTCATGGCGAATGCGTGTGGCGAGTCCGCTGGCAGATCAAGTTTCATGCCATGCCGGGCGAGCTCTGTAACCTACAGAGCTGTCGATATGAGGATTCTTCATCGACGCAAAAAACCCGCAGTCGTCTTCATGACGTCTTAAGACCTTGCTCTTTCTCTGCACAATATACAGCTCTGGGGCTGCTAGAACTATTGCTGCTAGCAGAGTAGTCCCGTTATACAACGGAGAGGGCAATTGAGGGCGCTGTTTTGTGAAAGATTCTCTCATATCGACAGCTCTGCCGCCTCGACCTTCTCGGCCATCGTCTTCTCCTCCCGGTCTTGCGTGGCTTGCCGACGCGCAATCTCGGCCTGGCCACTGGTAGATCTCGGCAGCGCCCACGTGGGGGGAAGGGTGTTTGACGCATATTGCGACATTTTTTGTTGAAAAAGTGTTCAGCCCTAATGGACCCAACGAGGTTCCTTCGCACTCCTTGCTCATCTTTGCGATGAGACTACAGCAGCAAAAGCTGAAGTAGCTCAGGCTCGGATGAGGGAGGGAGAAAGAATGCACCGCAGTGACTGACGGCTGACGCATATTGCGACAGTTTTTTTGTTTGAAAAGTGTCCGGTCTCCAGGAGACAAGACGTTCCCTAGCACTTCCTTACTTATCTCCGCGACGAGACTACAACAGCGATTGCTGATGTAGCTCGGGCTCGGATAAGGGCAGGGAATGGAAGGTGCACCGCAGTGACTGACGGCTGACGCATATTGCGACAGTTTTTTTGTTTGAAAAGTGTCCGGTCTCCAGGAGACAAGACGTTCCCTGGTACTTCCTTACTTATCTCCGCGACGAATTGCTGATGTAGCTCGCGCTCGGATAAGGGGAGGGAAGGGAAGGTGCACCGAAGTGACTGACGAAGGCTCAACGCGCGCAGGTGAATGCGCACGGGAGTGCGAGCCAGTTCGGGGAAGAAGGAGGTGTACTCGATCTGTGTGGAAAACTGAAGGGCCTGTGCCATGGGCCAACTCGCAACTGGGGAGAGAAGAAGAGGACGCGAAGCGGCGTCAGAAATTCTGTAGTGGCCCGGCGGAGGCGCTAAGTCGGGATCGCCCGTCACAACAACTTGCAGCTTGCCCCTCTACGATGACGCAGGGCCGTCGACATCGGCCGAAGACGACGGGAGGGACCGGAGTGGTCAGAGCTGTGAATATGAGGATCATTCATTTGGACACATTCATCCCCCTGCCGATATGAGGATTATTCATCGGGACACACTCATCCCCACAATGGCCTCGCTCTCTGTAGAGTTGACGACTCTAGGCCTGCTAGAATCCTTGCCACTAGCAGAGTGGCCCGTTGATCAATCGAGAGAGCAGTTCGTCAGAGCTGTCGAAACAAGGATTATTGGTTGGGACACATTCATCCCCACGATGTCCCAAGACCTCGCTCTCTGTAGAGTCGACGACTCTAGGCCTGCTAGAATCCTTGCCACTAGCAGAGTGGCCCGTTGATCAATCRAGAGAGCAGTTCGTCAGAGCTGTCGAAATAAGGATTACTGGTTGGGACACATTCATCCCCACGATGTCCCAAGGCCTCGCTCTCTGTAGGCTCGACGATCCCAGGTCTGCTAGAATCCTCGTCACCAGTAGAGTGGCCTGTCAATCAATCGAGAGAGCAGTTAGTTAGAGCTGTTGATATGAGGACTATTCGTTAGGACACATTCATCCCCACGATGTCCCAAGGCCTCGCTCTCTGGAGGCTCAACGATTCGAGGCCTGCTAGAATCCTTGTCGTTAGCAGAGTGGCATGTTAATCAGTCGAGAGAGCAGCTCAGGTCGCTACTCTTGTCGATGATTCCTCATATCGACAGCTCTGGAAATGGTCGTCTCGCCAACATGAATGACCATTTCGCCGTCTATTATGCATTTTTATGTGACTCTCGCCATCGTTCCACGGACTCTGTGCTATTGTTGAGCTGACTCTTTCCATAAAAGCTCGTGTTCTTGTTGGAGGAAAAATGGAGAAATGGACGTGGAGAAAGACAGGTGAATCCCAAATTTACAGAGCCGGCGATATGAGGATTATTCATTGGGACAAGACATCCTCATACATCCCCACAAAACGAGTCTTTGATTGCCTTCTCCTTCCTTTACTTAGGCTTACGGTCTAGCAATGTGGGTGGCCGTTTAATGGTTCGTATGTTGTGATGTTTCCCACTGCCGCATCTCAAATGCCTATGCTTCGGCACACTGCATACGGGAATCCAACGACATGGTCGTTTGTGTATACAGCCCACGATGTAAATGGGTTGATTATTCAAGTTGATTCCACTTTATCGCTGTTGTTTTGGTAATCGCGAATGTGGACATGGACGTGAAGTCGGAGATATGCCCAAAACGGCAAACGCCAAACGCCCCATGTGGCATTTTAGCTTCGGATTTTGGATACCCTCTTCCCGGGCTGCATGCTGTTATCTCACGGACGACTCACGACCACTTTCGGGAGCAGATCTTACAGTGCGTGTGAAGTCTTCGCATATTCCCGCGCGCTCGCTCTCGCTAATTTTCTCTGCATAGGTGCACTTCCGCACGAGGCTCTCAAGCCGCTGATTATCAAGTACCAGGACGCCCACAAGGACAAAGAGAAGAACGACCTGACCACCGAGCTCGAGGAAGCCATGAAACATGTCAGCAAAGTCGACCACCTGTCCACACAGGAGCGCACTGCCCCGTCGGCTCGCAACCTTGATTCGCATGGACTTCGTCGCTCGTGTCGTACTCAAGGCAGTCGCGGCGTACGGCACGGTGAAGGGTACTCCCAAGTGTGGTTCTACTCGAATGGCGGCATTTCCTCTGCATCCTCCTCCGCCTCGTTGGAAGGCAGAACTTTCCTCCGGGTGCCACCGTTCTGCGCCTGCTCGTAGAGAGGGACTTGGCCCCAATTGAATCGCAGCTCGGGCTTCTTCTTGTAAGCATCAACAGTCACGGCCGCGAACTCATGAAGCCATCCTTGAATTGTGTAGCCCAAGCCTTGGAGCCACTCGATCGCTGCTTGTTGTCCCAAATGGTAGTGATGTGGGCATTCCCCATGCGCATCATGCTTCGAGCGTTCATACGTGGACCAACGATCTTGGAGAATCCTTCCAGCAAGTGGCGGAATAGCATGTACTTGATCTGCGTTTTGCCTTGACCGTTGATGATGCTGTGCAGGTTGGCGAAAGGTGCGAGAGCGGAGGGCCACTTGTACGCAAGGTCTYTGAACTCTTCGAGCTTCTCGTTCCGTGTCAAGAATTGCCACGGGATCTGCTCCTCCTCCACTTGGCTGATGTCGTCGTAAGTCTCCGCGGCCGCAAATTTGCGTGCCCGCTCGCTTGTTACCCGTGCCCGCAGTTTGGAGAGGTGCGCAATGGCATCCGTCTTGTAGCCTTGAACTAAGGTCAGAGGCACCTCGTCGCGCTCTCCTTTCAACTGGGTTCTGCTGGCAGTGCTGATGTCTTGGATGTTTCCATCGATCAGCTCGATGAATTGGAGTCCATTGTCAAACGCCTATGCTTCGGCACGCTATAGACGGGAATCCGACGACAGGACCGTTCGTGTATATAACCCACAATGCGAACGAGTCGAACATCTTAAGTTAATTCCACTTTATTGCTGCTCCTCTGGTAATGGTAATCGCGAGTATGGACATGGACGTGAAGTCGGAGAGATCCATGGATATGCCCAAAACGACAGGCGCGACTCGGGCTAAAATTACCACGCGCGACGTCAGATTGATACTCGTCGACGTCTTCGAGCTTTACTTCACACTGCTTGTAAGGCAATGGGATGAGCTGCTCCTTAGCTCGATTGCCTCGTGATGCACCGATGATGAAGTCTAAGTCGAAGTCAAGACCGGGCTCGGGAGGAGGACGTGGGGGGTGCTTCGCACTAGCGAAGGAGCCGGCTCCGTCGCCCTCTCATTGGCTTTCCTCATAACTGGCTCATCTTGTCGTTCAAGCCGGACTATCACAGGCCAGTCACTGAAATCGTCTATTGATGGGCAGAACCTGAATCCGATACAAGAGGCTGTCGCGCGTCTCTGTAAGAATTCCTTCGTCACAACACGAACATCACAAATGGGACTCAGAATGGACGACATCCACGCTCCCACGGTCGGCTCCGGTCCAACGACAGCGACCTACTCCACTGGCATACAAGCAAAACAAACACTGCCACAACTCATTGCGGAGAAGGAGACATTGGAGGCCGAACTGTCCGCGCTCAGCTCCGTGCTCGACTCGCATGGGGTGGACATGAAGACGGCACTCACCACGTTCGATGGCTTTCCACGCTCAGACATTGACGTGCCTCAAATACGCACCACAAGAGCACGGATCATACACTTGAAGAATGACCACAAAGCCCTCATGGCGAAGTTGGAAGATGCGGTTCATGCACAATTTGCTGCAGGCAAAGCAGCAGAGGGCATGGCCGAGAGCAGCTCGCGGGCCTCCACCAATGGAGTCACGGCTTTCACACCCAGTGCGCCTGCAGTTGAGCCGCCGTTCGCCAAGGTCAACTCGGTCGTTGCTGGTAGCCCCGCTGAGGAGTCTGGACTCCAAGCTGGAGACAAGATCGTAAGATTCGGCACTGTAAACTGGCAAAATCATGAACGGCTCAGTAAAGTCGCTCAAGCGGTGCAGCAGAATGAGAATGTAAGTTGCCTCAACGATCGACGCTCCAAATATGGCTAAATATCGCACAGCGCGTTATAACAGTGAAAGTCGTGCGTGCATCTGCCACACCTACAACGACAACGCACGAGCTCCGACTGACGCCGCGGCAAAACTGGGGAGGCCGTGGCATGTTGGGCTGCCATCTGTTGCCCATCTGATGCTCATGCTGGCCGCTGACACACATTCTGCCCTGTACTATTAAGTCCTGCGAATGAGACAAAATCTCGTGCGAAGAAAGTGGCATTCTCACAGGAACGGCTTCAGCAGACTCTCAAGGCACCCACAAAAGAAGTGACCCGATTGACAAATCTATCAACCGTGGCAATCCTCTGTCTACCAGCATTTTCACCAATCATATCGTCCTTCCATGACCGGCAAGCGAACCACGCGGCCACAAGAAGGACTAGGGCAGCAGAAATCACCTTATGCTCCACGCTGCGGAAATGCCAATTTGCATCGGGTTTATGCGTCGTTGACGTACAATCAGCTGTCCGTCATGGTCCAGAAACGAATCATTACTTGCCAGCGTATGGATGAAGAGCTCGAAGTCAAACGGGATCGTTTCCGTCTACGCAGCGTATGCGCTCATAGATTAAGTGAAACCATTAATGGCAGTAGTCACTAAACGTGGCCGTCCTTCCGCCCGAAACGCATTGCCAGATTGCCAACGAGCATTTTCTTGCGCGTCTTCTCACGCTGAGATGGAACATGTTTGCTTCAAACGCACCTTCGAAGTCAAAAAGCTCTACCTTCTTGGCGGATATCGGCGTGTCCCGACTTGGGTCAGAATCCATGCGAACGGTGACTAGTATGGGCTGTCGGTCGGTGATATTCTTGTTACTCAGTATACTGCAGACAAATTGACGATCCTAGAGGTCGATTTCGCTACGGTTACGAAGTAGCCTCCCCTTCCGAATCACCGCCGGTCTATGGTCATGCATACATTATGGTCGGTGGTGGGATCGAGACTGGCGCTGTTTGAGGTGAAGGTCTGCACATCCACTTCTGAAATGCCTATTTGATATTACATTGGAGTATCGAGAAGGAGGATATCGCTCAGAATGCCACCTTCCATCAATTGCGAGTTCCTCGTTGTACCGCAGGAGGTACCTATAAATCTCAAGTTCCTCTTGCACGACGACATCTGGCAAGCTCTTTCACTGAGTCAGACCGCTCACTATACGGCTCCGCAACAACCGCCGATGTTTTGTCCGGTCGATCGACAACGATAGTCAGAGTCGAATTCACAAGCTATGGATGGGATAGTCTTTGGCCCGCGCGATGAAGCCAAACTCCGGTATCTGCATTACCTCGTATTTCAACAAACAACAACAAGACGCGCTTCTACACGTCAATAGACGCGATGGCTATTGTTTGCGGGGCTCAAATCTGGCAATTTCATTGGACCAGCTTTTCTCATGCAGCAGCTTGCAGCTCTAGCTCAAAACAACGCATTCCGATTGGACCAACGATGATCTTGAAACCGGCCCTTCATGCGGCCCAGCCTCTCTGCCGACCTTCCTCCACACATCATGTCTACAACGTTCTACTCTCGCGACATGGTCGTGTGTCTTGTCTTTCGACGCTTCCCTAGCCTCTCGCCCTGCAGCATCTTTTGCAGCAACATGCACCACTCAAGCTCGACTTGTGACTCACTCTTGCGGCAATGCACATGTGGGTTCGTCCATTGTTGGTGGGGCGAGCATGTAGGTCCCAAGAGCAGAAGTTTGGTAAAAAGCTCCGGTTCGCGCGATGCCTGAGACCTTCYGTTCAAACACACCCTTCACATGTTCGCGCCTTGCTACTATCGGAATCGCGATCCAAATCGCATCTTCTTACTCGGCATCGGCTGAATATATGATCTTGATACCTTACTATGAACAACAACAAACAAGGCGTTGCCTTGGCTAGCAAACCGTCATCATCGTTCTCCACAACATCTTCCGCCGCCTCCGCCACATCAGCAGCCAGTTCGCGGAGTGGATGCAGCAGACTGCTTTTCGGAGAAATCGATCTGACAAGCGAGCGGTGTACGCAATCCCAAGGCCATTCATCGGCGAGACACGACTGACATCTCAACAGCCTCCGAGAGCTTCGCGTCTGTCTGCAACCTTGTACTATGTGAGAGCAGCACATTGCTCAAATTCTGGCTCGATGACACCTGTCGCGAGGCATTCCTTTCTTTTGTACCCAAAAGTGATTTGGTCAATCTGCGACTGGCCTGTCATGATTTCAGTGTCCGGGCTGCGCCCGCGCTGTTCTCAGATCTCAGCATTACCTTCAGAGCAAACACCTTTACCAGGCCATCGAAGCTGGCCGCACTCGAAAGGCTGGGGTTCTACGTGAAGACTGTGCGCTTCACGTTGCCTCACACAGCCGACATGTTCTTGCCACCACTAGTTGAGCCGGAGACCGGAGCCGAGATGTCATTCACGTACGAGCCTCAGACGCATGAGCATTCGCCCAGACGTCCCAAGTACGGCGATGCTGGCACCACGGCGATACTCACACGCCAATATCCGCCCATCTTTCATGCCGCGACCAACATCCCAGCYTTCGTGCGAGCATTCTCTGCCTTTATGAACCTAAAGCATCTGGTGGTTAGCTGCCCCGGTTACGACGCCACCCAGAGACACCGGCGTAGTGTCGTGGACTACGCGCTCATATCTCTTCGCATTGCGGTGGAGAAGAACTGTCTGAATGCGYTCGACACTTTGACTCTTTCACCAATCCACCCAGGTGGACTGATCTGTATGTCTCCATTTGGCCTCGGTGCATCGCCTAGGTCGGCAAGCCGGTGGTCACGCATCAAGCATTTGACGGCACACGTGGTCCATCTACCTTGTGGAGGAAGGGGAACTGAGCCGGAGCAATGCAAGCTCCTGCGAAGCTACCTGCGAGGCTTCCAGAATCTTGCAACATTCAGATTTAGATGGATGGGCGAGCGAGGTCCGTTACCATTGCGTTATCATTCCTCGCTTGRAACATCCTCTGAACCTCCCTCTACCCGACGGCCGGACTTTCCCAGGATCAAGTGCATCGAGATTGAGAACGCAACGGCGTCGGCCAGGGAAGTCGAGCTGCTCGTTGCCTCACATAGGAAGACAATCGAAGAGCTGGACTTGCATGACATTGAGCTTGTGGATGGGACCTGGGACGATGCTTTGGCGCCTCTACTCAAACGTTCTYGCCATCGCGCTGCCAAAGAGGAGACAGCGGACATTCCAATCATGCTGTCCCTAGATCCTTGCGCGATGCCATTTCATGCGCCCGTGGCGCGCAAAGTAGTCCCTCATTACGAGACAGTCGGTGGTAGGAAGAGCTTGCGCATGTCGAATTGGTTGTCGTCGAAGAAGCCCAGCACAGCGCAAAAGGTCAAAGACGGTCTGCTGGGTTGTGAAGAGCAGCTGAGAAAGGTACTTCGAGGGAACGTCTTCCCCTGGAAATGAGCACGTGTCGTACTGGATATGGTCGGGCTCGCAACGAAGCAACGAATGACGGACTAACGATAGGTATGATGTATGTCACTACGGCCAAGATTACAATCGCTTGTAGTGTAGAGAGAACAAACAACGATTGCAACACCGCCTTTCTGTTCATTTCCAGACGAGATGAAGTCCCACAATCGTGTTGTGCTAACGAGCATGGATGCTTGCCAATCCGGAGTCGACGCTGGTACTTCGGCACAACCGAAAGCTCGACGGGGGTCCTGGTCACAGGCACTTCGCACGGTGCACACTCCGCACGCGGCACGAGCAGCCCTCCGGAAAGCACTATTGAGAACGACGATCCTGATTGAGGCCAAATGCCTCAAAGAATGACGACGACCGATTTTCTCCGATTGCCACACCGAAACGACCTGGATATGGCCGAAGACCCGTCTATGCAGCACCTGCATTCACTGCTCGACGTTGTGTCTRGAGATGGCTGCTGCTGTCTGTGTGTCTACTGTACTCTGGTCTAAGAGAGCCCGAAATTATGCTTATTATACTATTGGCAACACACGTCGTGGAGCGCAGACGATTTGAACAAGGCGTGTGCTTCGGTCGAGCTTCCTCGTCACGATGCCCGATCGCTACTGACATCATCCACGGCTCGATCAGCCGGCCGAAATTAACACTGAGCCTCAAGCAGTCAATGCGATTCAGGTTGAGTTATCGAACTCATGTCGTTGGTCTGCTCCAGGCAGGTCAACTCGTTCTCGAAATCTTACGAATGATTTCGAGATGTCTGGATCTCTTACAGAAGCAAGGGATTCCCCAATAGCCACATGGCTCATGACAAGCAAATCAGCCCCCAGATGGCACGGAGACGGAGCACCTGCCGTGCTGTTACCTGTATCGTCGTTTTCGTCACTGCGTGTCCGAACTTTTGCCATGCTAGTCCAGGTCCTAGCTCATTCACTTCACAGCGCTACTCCGGCACGAGACTCTTGGCTGACACTAGCAACCTATCATAGCCTTCCAAATCAAAAACAAGATCTTCGGCTCTCTTTGCCAGACCTACTCAGTGGCAGATCATGAGCCCTGTCAACACTCACAAGGAGTCGCCATCCTCGGAGGCAAGATCGCCATTTCTACAGATCATCGTCACTTGCGAGTCTCGTGGTGAAACTGGACCCCACACTGCCCAGAGATATCAGGGGTTGCAGCCAATCCAGCTGCGTAGCAGCCGCGATACCAGCGGGCCGCCTAGGGATAATTTGACTACACACTGGCGAGTGTTGCGTCCGGCAGAGCCATTCCGGCTTAATACTGAGAAAATGGACGTGATTCCGGGAGGTTTAGGCGCACAGCCAACCAGAGACTGTGATACCGCACGATTCACCAGTAGTAGGCTCAACCACTACCAACTCCCCCCTGGTCAGGTTCATTCCGATGTCGAAGAGGAAAGGAGGAGGAGGGATTTCCATACATATAAGCCATCCCACACCATCTCTTCTGCGCCTCTCTTCTCTCACCAACGCACTCACACTCTTTCATCTTTGCAGTTTCACTCTTTACAGGCATCACTATTGCCCTCACGTTCTTTAACACAAACCCAAACCACCCACCAGCAAGATGAAGTTCTCCTCCGCTTTGGCTCTGCCAGCCCTTTTCCTCGGTGCCTTGGCCGCCCCAGTTGCGAAGCGCCAGCAGACCGTCGATGTCACCCAGGTCACCGAGATCGTCACTAGCTTGTTGACCAACGTCACTACCATCACCGGCGCTATCAGTATGTCTCATCACATACATCCCTTGAGAGCTGGTGAATTAGTTTGCTGACTTGTCCCACCAATTCAGACGCCACCTCATTGACTGCTCCCAACGCCACTGCCATCATTGGCTTCCAGGTCGCCAGCCTCACCAAGGTTGTTTCCGAGATTGTTGTCGAGGTCACCGATGTTCTCGGRGACGCCCTTGAGATCACCACCAGCACCGCTGGCGTCGCCACCGACATCACCGGCACCGTCACTGGCACCGTCACTTCTACCGTCTCTGGCACCGTCGGCTCCGTGCTCAAGTCCCGCCAGATCATCGACGTCGGCAACCTTGTCGACCTCAACGAGGCCCTCTCCCTTGTCTTCACTGAGATCAGCGCTACCCTTGAGTCTGTCGAGACCGTCATCACCATCCGTAAGAATAGCCAAAACTTCCCGCATCAAGTTCTTCTTATATACTAACAATACATCCAGCTACCACCGTCCTTGTCACCCTTGGCGCCACCATCAACTCTTTGACCTCTATCCTCAGCATCGTCACCGATGTCACCAGCATCGTGAACAACGTCGTTCCCACCAACGTTCTTGGACTCCTTGGACTGGCTTTGTAGATGATTTCGCGCAACATGCAGGAAACGAATGAACGTGGTTCAGTCAGGACAAGCGTTGTAATGCAGTAGTAGTAACGGGAATCTACTCGCCGACGACAGGCATCTTTAATTCAGCAATACCAACCACATCTACAAACAACACACATCCCCAATCATGCGAGGTCTGCTATACATGATCGATGCACTTWGCACAGTGACTGCGGGGCTTGGATTGGTAGATCGTCAAAGTCAGCCTCAGTTGGCTTTGTGCATTTGCTTATTCTCGTATTCCACTTCTATCAACCCTGCCCAACACTCCGTTGCAGGAAGAAGGCTATCAGCGTTTCACAACCTCATGTCTCCCCTTAAGGACTCATTTGACCATCGGCTCCTCGGCGACGTAGTGCAAGTACGCGCCCAGAAGTTTGATACCCTCAATGTAGTTGCGGCGGTCAAGTTTCTCATTGATGGAGTGAGCGGCATCAGTTGAGCTACCCATAGGTAGGRGTAGCACGTTCTTGCCAGTTGCCTGTTCAAAGGTCAATGTGACGGGAATGCTGCCGCCCTCGCGAGTAAGATCGGGCTTGACCTTCCAAACACTCTCAACAGCCTTCGCGGCGGCAGTGAAGTTCCAGTGGTTTGGTGAAGCGACCCACCACTTTCCGGCGTGCTGCAGGGTGGTCTTCATGGTGTTCTTTGAGCCGAGCTTCTTGAATGCCTCATCGCAGTGGGCGTATACCAGCTTGTCGACATCGGCTGGCTCCATATCGGGGACTGTGCGAATGCTGAACTTGCCAATGACCTTGGCGGGGATGACGGTCTTTGCACCTGGGGCAGAGAAGGCACCCTCAACGCCGTGGAGCGACAGGGAAGGGTATCGCCACCGGCCCATGAGCGTCCGCTCCTTATCAGGGAAGATGGTAGTCTTGCTACCAAGCGACTCGTGAATGTTGTCCATTGTGAACGCAATGTCCTTGTACAGGCTCTCCTCCTCCTTGGTCAGCGGGGCAACCAACTCTTTGATTCCCTTGATCTGAATGGTGCCATCGGTGTCGACCAAGCTGCCCATGACGCGAACAAGGTCGGTCATTGGCTCCTGAGCGGTGCCACCAAAGACACCCGAGTGCAAGTCCTGGCCAGGACCGCTGATCTCAATAGAATAGTAGCTGCAGCCACGGAGACCGTATGTGAGGCATGGCTTCTCAGTACCCAGCCAGTAGTTGTCGCTGATGCAAACCGCATCGGCATCCTCGAAGAACTTGCCCTTCTTGCACTCTGCGATGATAAAGTCGTCCAAACCCTCGCTACCGTACTCCTCCATTCCCTCKAAGCACATGAGCAGGTTGACTGGGAAGTCGACGCCAGCCTTCTGGTGCGCCTCGATGACATTCAACCATCCGAGCACAGGACCCTTGTCGTCGGTGCTGCCTCTACCATACATACGGCCCTTGTCATCTTCGGTCAGCTTGAAGGGCTCAGTGGCCCAACCATCAGACAAGTTGGCTGGCTGCACATCGTAGTGTCCGTAGACGAGAATCGTGCGCTTGCTTGTGTCCTTTTGCGCTGGGTAGCGGCCAATGACAGCGGGTGGTAGTGTCAGGTACTCTTTGCCGGGCTGTGGTCCAAGCTCGCGTGCCTCCATGTGTGCTCCCAGACCCTCCAACTGTGCCTTGAGCCAGTGGCCCATCTTGATCACATCTTCGCGGCGCTCATCCTCTGCTGAGATGGATGGAATGGCGACTGCCTCACGCAGACGCTCGACGAATGGGCCGGCAAGCGAATCTACCTGCTTGTAGAAGGAATCGAGCTGTGGCGCCATGGTGGTGGACTGTTCCTGGCGGTAGATGTATGGCCAGGCGGGCGAAGAGGTGGACGAAGAGGTGTTTCGTGCGCGTGAATATCCTTTTGAAAGAGGCTGTACTCTTCTCTGGACAGTGCGTAGGGGAGCGGCTGATGTGAGTGGAAGAAAACGCTGCAAGAAACAGCGCGATGTCATATGTGGACGAGAAATGTTTCCGAGCAGTAAGTTAGCAGCAGCCAGCAAAGAAAGTGCCCCACTAAGGTGTACCGACCGGTATAGCCACCAGTCCAAATCGGGAAGGTGGGACGACGCCACGGAAGAGCCGGCGCCAACCGAAACACGTGCCCGACTTCACCCTTTCGCCTCCTTGCACCCTAGCTCCATGCCGTTCTCACAATGCACATTACGTCGGTCAACATGATGGCACTGAGTGTGCGCTGATGGCCCTCTTCTCGCCGTTCTTCCGCCTACCCGGACGCTGGACACGGCGCAGAGCGCGGCGGACACGAATGGCTGTTCAAACCACAGCCTTGGCTATCATTCTTCTGGTTGTGATTCCGGTCTACCTGGTGTACAAGCCACCCAAATTTACTATTGGATACTTCCAGAGCCGCTTCCCGGACGTTCTTTTCCAGGTAGATACGCAGCGCAAGATTGTCGCGCTCACCATTGACGACGCGCCGAGTCCATATACAGGACAGATTCTTGATATCCTGAGGAAGAATGATGCCACTGCAACGTTCTTTGTTATAGGGAACCAGGTTCCGCATCGTGAAGAGCTTCTGGTTGATATAGTAGCCGCCGGCAATGAGCTTGGCAATCATGCAATGCACGATGAGCCAAGTATTTCGTTGACAAGCGAAGTCCTGGCGGAGCAGATCAACAAAGTTGATGTCTATATCGACCGTGCCTATAAGGATGCCCACAAGGAGCGCCATTCTCATCTATTCAGGCCTGGATCTGGTATATTCAGTCAGCGAATTCTGGATGTCACAACCAAGGCTGGCTACAAGACGATTCTGGGAAGCATCTATCCTCATGATCCATTCATCAGCGTCTGGAGGCTGAATGCATGGCATGTCTTGAGTATGTTGAGGCCTGGTGCTGTCATCATCTGCCATGATCGACGGTCATGGACGGTACCCATGCTGGAGAAGACCGTTCCCGAGATGAAGAGAAGAGGTTACGAGGTCGTGTCTGTCTCGGAATTCCTGCAAATGACAAGCCCTTGAAGCTCTCAACGAGACTTCTTCTTTTCTACGCAACAGGCCATACTTGCTTGGCGAGTTACGACAGCTCAATCCACCCAAATACGCAAGAAGCCGAAGCGGGAGTGTTCGCGTCGAGGGCAAAGATAGCAGAAACTTGAGGGCCCAATAAATACTTCAACCGGGGATGCTGGCAGTATACCTGGACCAGCACCCGGACTACCCACCTCGGATGTGAGCTGGAAAGCCCGCAGGTACTCAAATTGAACCTAGCCACATGCCCACCTTCGTGGATGGCCGGGCGACAAACACCAGCGTCGCTGGAGAGGGGATGTGAATGTGTTGCACCTGTCCAACGCTGGTCGAGAGGGCTTGTGTTCTGATGAATGCAGCTTCTGCAGGAGCTTTACCTCGGCCCATGTACAACAGACTCATATGTACAACATAATGAAAGCATGGAGATGCACAGCAGCAGAAATTGAAAGGAGGGGGGCCGGCAAATGGGCGAGGCTTACACCCATTTTCGCCTTCTCCTGGCGTTTGCGGAATGCAGCTCTCGTAATAGCAACTTCGATTTTGAAATGCAGCTAGGGCGGTAGAGGTCAGCACTCAGCAGAGCCCCGTTACATGTAGTTAGAAATATCTCAATCTATCAACGTAAATCGATAGCACCTAACGCCAGCGTGAGGCGCCGATCGCGGTCGGGTAGAGCGGTAAATATCCCCGCCATTGCAGCATTCACCATCGATCGCACAAAGTAACGACTTCATCCCACCACTTTGAATCACCTCCACGAAAAGGAACAACTCAAATATCATAATATCTGCAATGGCAATCTTCGATTACACGAACAAAGTTGTTCTTCTAACCGGCATCGGAGCCGTGGGAGAAGGCTACGGAAATGGATCTGCCATGGCAGCAGCCATGGCTCGTCAAGGAGCTACGGTCTATGGCTGTGACATCAATCTAGCAGCAGCGAATACGGCGGCCGAACAGATCATGAAAGAAGAAGAAGTCAAATCGAGAGGGAACCAGGTGGAGGTTTTTCAACAACCGACTGTAAGTTGAAATTGATCATGATAAGCCTACCTTTTACTCTGCTTTCGTCAAAACCCAGGAAGAATGATTAATTGTTGTATAGGACGTCACAAAGAAAGATGCCTGCAAAGCTTTCGTCGAGGCATGCCTGGCGAAACATGGCAGGATTGACGTTCTTGTCAACAATGTTGGGAAAAGTGAGCCAGGTGGTCCTGCTGAGATGACAGAGGAAGTGTGGGATGCACAAATGGACGTGAACTTGAAGAGTGTCTATTTGATGTGCAACCTAGTTCTTCCCATCATGGAGAAACAGAGCACCGGCGGCTGTGTTCTCAATGTTGCCTCAATCGCCGGGTTGAGATATATTGGCAAACCTCAGGTGGCCTATGCAGCCACCAAGGCTGCAGTCATCCATTTCACCAAGACGACTGCAGTCATCTACGCACAACGGACAGGAGGCAAGGTCCGGTTGAACACCATCGTCCCTGGGTTGATCAACTCGCCGCTTGTTTCTGTTTTGGCAAACAAGTACGCTGGCGGCGATCAGGAGGGATATCGAAAGGTCCGCGACAAGCAATCGCCAACGGGAAAGATGGGCTCCGTATGGGACGTGGCTCACGGCGCGTTGTATTTATGCTCATCGGAGGCTTCCTATGTGACCGGCCAGGAGCTAGTTATCGACGGCGGGGTAGTAGACAGCACTGGTCATCCATAAGACCTGTTCTCATGGGCGAGCTGCAGCCATACCAGCCTTGCGCACATTGTCAAGCGACAAGGAGATTAAGGACTCTCAACACTCTCAACCAGATTCGAGAAGTTCAAGCGCTCCAAGTGTGCGGTGCGCCTGATCAGCCCATTCAGAAGCTCTCGAGACACGGTGGTGAATGCTCGCAAATAGTCGAGCAACGTCCTTTCCATCCCCGTCGTCGTTTTGCCAGTCACTCATTCGATGGCTGTAGAGTTCAAGTAGGACCGATACGACATCGAATAGTATCGCAATGTGCTGCGGATGTGTAATGTACTTGTTCACCACATTTAGCGTGGGCAGAAGCCGGTACTCTGTACGTCCTGCCAAAGCCGTGCGTAATGCGCTTCGATGGCGCAGCGCGGTCAGTAGCGTGAGAAAGTCATCTCTGCTGAATTGGAACCAATTCTCCGGTGGGAGCACTTCATCAAGGGCTTCACCATACTCGCCCTTTCTGAGTCGGCTCTGCCAAGGTCGCAGTCTTGTGTGTCTTTGACGTTCATTGCCGGTGATGACAATATCAGCTCCTTCTCCACGGAAGTCTTTTCCTCTATCTTTGGCCTTTATCCCTTGCCGCATATCCTTCTTCTTCTGCTTCCTCTCGTACTCATCGGCCTCGCCTGCAACCAAGGCCTGCATCTTCTTTTCTCTTTCGCGAGCTTTGACTTTTTCGGCACCTGCCAGGCGGGTTCGAATGGAGAGCAGACCACTTTGTAGACCAACTGCTAAATGGCGATCGTCCTTGTCAGCCTCGTTGCCAGCCGGTGATGGTACAACCGCGAGACTGAGGATGGGGGAAGTGTATTTGAAGCCGGCTACGACCTCCCAACTGGCTGTGTTGTGCACCTTGACATGGGCGTCCAGACCGCCGGTAAGAATCCTCGTTCCATGCTGGGCACTTGCCAGAGCAGTGACCGTCTTTTGGTGCGAGCGAATGACATGCTCTGGCTTTCCAGCGATCAGATTGAGGATCGACACTTCATTCCCGGCTGCAGCTGCCAAGCTTGAACTGTTGAGGGTCAAGATGTCCTCGATCGGAGCGGAGAATTTGAATGTCAACGCAGCTCTGTTGTTCTGCTGTCGAGTATCCCATAGGCGAACCGTCTGGTCGTAGCTTCCACTAAACACCATGTTTCCGCCCTGGCCGGGAAGATATCCACCACTTCGCACGTAATCCTCATGTCCGATACCCGTCCACTTGGCCGCATCCGCTGTGAGATCCCAAACTCGTACAGTGCGGTCGTCGCTACAACTCATGAGATCCGTGAGCACACTGGGGCTCCACCGAACGACTCGCACGGGCTGTTTATGCGCGCTTTCGCCTCTCCATTGCTTTAAAATTGCTCTTGAGCCCGTGTCGAAAGCTTGCACAATCCCACTGTCGCCTCCGGCAAGCAAGATTCGGCCATCTCGCCTCAGTGTGCCCGAGTGTGCCGTGTCGTCCAGTCCAAATCGAGCAATCGTCTTGACCAGTTTGCGAGTCTTGGTGTTGTATATTTGGACTCTGCTACCGCTTGTGACGGCAAAAGTATCGGCTTGAGGACCGGTGGGGTTGAAGTCGGGGATGGTGATGGAGGTAACGGCAACATTGTGAGGCAGCGGCAGCAAGAGCTGATCCTTGAAGGTTTTCCAGTACGTCTGATCGGCGGTTTGGGGAGCTGGTCCAGGCGGCGCGCGCACTCGCGTCACGGGCGCAACTTCAGCAGCCATTTCTGCTCGAGGTGAACTGCTCGCAAGAGAGATCAATCATTGCCGCGTGCTGGAGAAAATAATTCAATGGTCCAAGCTCTCGGAAGCGGGCCGAGAGACGCTAAAACGCGAGTCCTGAATTCGACATCACCTCAACTTCCATCCCTTGCTCCACGCTGCACCAGCATAGAATGCTCCATTCAACACCTCGATTTCATGGGCTTCACATCACAGCAACACATGCATGAGGCCTACACTACAAGTACGGCATCTCTATGCCGTGAGTGCGAGAGTGTGAACAACAGCCGGGTTGATCTAGTCCGCAAGTTCCTCCAAGCTGGATTGGCTGAATGCCTTACTGGAGCCTCAGGGCCTCGCATTCCACTTCGATGCATCGAGACGATCTACAAATGCCATTTTGGGAACCCTGCAACTTTGACAAATGCTTGTGAAAATATCACCAGCATCAATGAATACTGTAGTTGCCTATTACAGCCATCTCTCGGCTTGAACGTGCCGAGTGCTTCTGGAATGCCGTCCGCCGTGGAATGCCAGACCGCACAGCCACATGCATACGAGTAGGACTTGGCAACACTTACAACCATCAGCTTTTCCATACGGATCTTCGCTCTCAACAGCCGTTGGTAAGGGCTGTGAGTAGCAATCACATTTCTCTGCCAGACTTTGCCACAACCAGGCTCGCTTCCAGAATCATCGCTGAAAGTGTTATGATTGATGTTGCACGATCGAATCGAGCTTTCGTTGCATTCCGAATCCTCAGGTCCGCCACTTCTTACCATGGCAACGAGACTGTTTGCGTAAGTCCGATCGATCGGCCTCTGTTTTACGGCCCGAAAACGGTTCATCATGGTCAGTAAAACACCACATCCTCACAACAGCGACATTTCTTTCCCTCTTTCCTCGTTTCTCATCATTAGCTACCATAATCGTGATGATGCTAATCCAGGAGCTGGCGTCCCTTCCAGCCGCACTTCGAACAGCGCTCATAGGGCTGGTGCTCTTCTGTCCAATATTGTCTACGGCCCAAGATGCTTGCCAGCTCACACAGCGATATTTAACTCCACAAATCGTACATGAACAACCCATTTCCATCAATACCGACGTATTGACCAATACTACATTCTACGCCATACCACAAGTCGCCATTACTGTCACCAATGCACCCACCAGCTTCGATGCAATGACCACCATACGATGGACCGAACCGCGAATACCGATATCTAGCACAGCCTCACATCAGCTGGCCACATCAGCGTCGCTAGCTTACACTTCAGCTACACCCACAGGAGGATTCGAAGATTCAACATTTGTTCTGGTGGTCTCCTCTTATGCAAAAGACATTGAGAAACGCCAGCTGGGCTCTGTCTACATTTCTGGCAACGGAACTATTTCCAACGATTGCACGACGTCGCCCATCTACGCAATCACCGCTGGCGTTCTGACGGCGATTGTGAACAGCGTCTCATACACTTACTCAACCACACCTGGTGTAGCATTCGCACCATTCAATCCTTCCACGATTCCCGGACCGATAACGACCACCTTCACATTGGCCGCAGGCGGTGCTCTGACTTGGTTCAACCCTCTCTTCTTCAACGGACAGGCACAGTTTTGTGCGCTTCCAAATGGTACTGTATATGCCGTGTTTCAACAGAATGCACAACCCGAAGGATGTCTATACATTAGCTTGAGTCTATTCTCAGCTTCGAGCTGTCAGGGTCTTTCGCTGTCATCGATCAGAGGACCAACTGGAGTATGTGTTCAAATGCCACTTATTGATGTTCTTGAATGCTAACTCGAATGAAGCCGACGGGACCCACTGGTATTGCAGGAGCCACTGGACCGCAGGGCATACAAGSAATTCAAGGTGTTCAAGGGGCGACGGGTCCTACGGGAATAACAGGAGCAACAGGACCGCAGGGTGTTCAAGGCATTCAAGGCGTTGAAGGACCGACGGGTCCTACGGGTGTCGCAGGAGCTACAGGACCGCAAGGCATTCAAGGCATTCAAGGTGTGCAAGGAATTMAAGGAATCCAAGGCATTCAAGGACCAACGGGTCCTACAGGATCGCAAGGTATTCAAGGTTCGACGGGTCCTACAGGCGTTGCAGGAGCTACAGGATCACAGGGCATTCAAGGCATTCAAGGAATTCAAGGTGTCCAAGGTGTCCAAGGAATTCAAGGTTCGACGGGTGCAACCGGTGTGGCAGGACCGACAGGGACGCAAGGTATTCAAGGCATTCAAGGTGTACAAGGAAGCGTTGGTGCGAGCGGTGCACCAGGTATTCAGGGTAGTCAAGGCGCCACGGGATCACCAGGTATTCAAGGCATTCAAGGTGTGCAAGGAAGTGTTGGAGCTACCGGTCCACCAGGTATTGCTGGACCTTCTGGACCGACAGGTATTCCCGTGAGTTGAAGGTTGTCATTTGGCGAAAATCTGGGCTAATTTTGATTAAGGGTGCCACTGTACGTCAGATTGATGTATTTCTGGGCGAGCTTTTCCGATATTGACCATTTACACAGGGCCCCACTGGGATAGCTGGCGGAACAGGCACAATTGGACCAACAGGGTAATGATATCGACTGTGTAGCTTTTTCGGAGGAAAGAGGCTGACATGTTAATAGTCCATCAGGACCTCCCGGTTCAATCGGTCCTGTTGGGCCTCAAGGATCGACCGGTGCTACCGGTACACAGGGCCCGAGCGGACCAACAGGGTGAGTAAAGCCACAATCATCGGCCGTCTTACGATATCTAACTCCAGCAGACCATCSGGTCCAACGGGAACGCCGGGCATCACATTCGGTTTCCACGGTTGCTACGTTCACACGGGAAATCGAGGGTCGACGACTGGACTGGCATTGTCGTCATTCCAAGCAACATATACAACCACCGTCGCCGAGTTGTGTAGAGCTAGATGCGCTCAAGGAGGATTCAATTTCATGGGAGTAGTGAACGTTGCAGCAACGGCAGATTGTTGGTGTGGTAATGCCATTGCAATCGTCACGAGGTAATCGCATCACCATGTGTGTGCTTCTGTACTGTCACTGACCATAATATAGTTCAGCCGGAGTTCTGGGTTTGGGGGCCGTTTCTGGTGCTGGAGCAGGCGATAATAACTGCTATCCTTGTGTTGGTGGTGCGCTCGCAGGTGCTACGAGTGGGCAGTGTGGAAACCAGACATTGACAACAATGGCGATCTATGCCAGAGGGTTCTGATCACTTGGAATGTCGCAAGTGGGCGACGCGGCCGGAATATCGATGTGGTATCTCCGATTATATTGTAGATGTTTGCAGCACATAATTTCACATCATCACGAAGGTGTTGGACCAAAATTGATGCCTCTTCTTGGCAATGTTTCCCAATGATGTTACTCTAGAATGAAATGCAATAGCTTTCGCGGACACCAACATGCTGCCACTCAAGCGATGCAGAACGTTGACTCAGTGCACAGGAAACAGTGTACACATCGAAGAAGCCATCCCATCGCCCTGGAGAGCCGTGTCATCGTYGTAGCACTTGATGCCACTACCCCAACCCTAACCCTAATACACTCTTTTGTAAAGTGGATAGTCCTACTATGGAGTCCGCGGGGATCTACACCTTTTTTAAAACGGCGTCGTATAATAATTCATGTATAACTAGTTCATGAACTTACTACCTCTTTAGAGACAAAAGCAAGATGGAATGTCACATTTCAGAGATGAAGCCTGAAAAGTGGTATCTAGTCGTTGTTCTGACAACTATACTAGAAACAATCACGTCTCTCGTCGCTCTATTTTTTTCGACCTTGGTAAGGCGATGTTCTATTACTACATAATTCGTGCTATCCAAGTCACTCTGCCCCTAATTGAGCTACGAGGCCGCCCGCTGCGAAAGCTCCCATGGCTGCTGCGTTAGCAACCGCAGCCATGTGAGTAGCGCAGTCGCCCACTGCAAACACACCAGGAGCGGTAGTTTCGTATACCATATTAACGGTCTTGATTGAACCCATCTCGTTCAATTCCAGTCCGAGTTGCTCGACGAACGTTCCGTTGACCCGTGTCTTTGGCTGGTTAACCTGTGTAGAGGTTAGAATTTCTGCCGGAGGAATGTGTTGTTTACCATGAGTCCGGGGACGTTCCACTCACTATGAACCCGTGTGAAACTCGACTTCCATCATCAAGGTGAACAATGACTTCCGAAGAGTCCTCGGCAACCTTCTCTAGTCGCGTGACAACACGATGGTCCACCTGGAAGACAGCATCCTTGCTCAACGCAGTCTGGATCTGGTTTCCGAGCTCAGAAGAACCATTGGTGTAGATGACCACATTACTGGTAAGTCGCTTTGCCATGCGAGAAACGTGAAGGGCAGGCGGAACGTTTGCAGTGTTGCCAATGGCCAACACAGCAGCTGAAGACACGCCACGATCTTCGTATCCGTGACAGAACAGGCAAGCATATCTGCGGGTGGGTCAGCAGTGGGTGTAGATTTCAAGGTAAACCAGGTAAGACGTACACTCCTCTTCCCCAAACGTCGTCGTACCCCGGAATATCAGGGTAGATGACCTTGGCACCAACCGCCAGCACGACCTTTCTGCCTGTCCAAGTCATGCCCTTGCTATCTACGGCTTCGAAGCGACCGGAATCATTGCGTCGAATGGACTCGATTTGCACGTCTTGGAACTGTATCGTCTCATAGCGGGCCAGGAGGTCAGCTCTGGCTTTGGCTCGAAATTCGACCGGGCTCCGGTGGTCCCAGGTTAGAACATTATGCATGTGATTCGTTCGGGCGTTGCTGTAAACACCAGAATCGAACACTACAGCCGTATACAATTGTCGAGCCAAGCCAGTAGCGACAGAAAGACCGCCTGGGCCTCCGCCGATAATGAGCACGTCTACTGATCCCATTGTGTTTGGTTGGAGGGAAAAGGAAAGTAATTTTGGAGGGTTTCGATCCTAAGTTCGATGTAAAGTCATCAAAAGTGAGGTATTTAGACGGGTCAAAATTAATCCGGCCCGCTTAGCATTTCTACGGAACCCCGGCCCGCACGATATGTCTCCGAGAACACGGACCCCGTACAGAATGTGTCCGGGACAGGGGTAGGGGGTGGGCATGGGGGAGGCTTTCAGGGGATTCGGATTGAATCAACGACCTATCAATTCCGTGTTGGCAGGTGACATGCAATAGACTCGTAAACATCCATCCACTGCCATAAACACTATACGCCACCCCAGCCGTACCGTCTGGCCATCTTTCACTTGAACCGCTCACTACGAACGACTCAAATGAGCTGAAGTTACGTGAGACTTCGTCACAGGACAGCACTTCAACCCACTCTTCCTACACGAGCAGCGATCTGAGCCTGGCTGCGCATGAAGTCAGGGCTGCCGACAATGACGATGCCTCCAAGACCTCTCCTACCCCACAAGCGTTCGTCATGGATACTTTCGAGTTTCCTGGTCCGCGGGTCTTGTTTGTCACCATGGTGAGCTTGATGCTCCAGGATAGTTTGCTGCCAATTTAGACTCGACGATCCTTGCAACGGCCGTCCCGTACATCACGGCCGAATTTTCAAGACAATTCGTGACGTGGGTTGGTACTCGGCATCCCTGTTGCTTGTCGCCGCTGCATTTCAGTCTACCTGGGGCAAGATTTACAAATACCTCAACATCAAATGGACCTTTATCGTATCGCTCACCATTTTCGAGCTGGGGAGTCTAGTATGTGCTCTGGCTTTCAATAGCACGACGTTGATTGTTGGCCGCGCCATCGAGGGACTAGGCACAGGCGGCGTAACAGCAGGTGCATTCACCATCGTTGCCTTTTCCGTTCCACCGAAGCAGGTTCCCATTTAAATGGGCTTGGGGGGCAGCTACCTACGCAGTAGCCTCACTCGCTGGGCCTCTCATAGGAGGTGTAGTTACACAGTCGGTGACCTGGAGGCGTGCTTACACAGTCGGTAACCTGGAGGTGGTGCTTCTGGATCAATGTAGGATTCATCCAGGTGCTGCTACTGCAAACCCAGGCGATGCTGATTGAGATGATAGCTTCCCATTGGCGGAATCACAACAATCATCATGTGCGTGCTCTACCGGACACCCAGAGCGGCCAAGCCCCAAGCAGTGTCCATGAGAGAGAAGATGCTACAAATGGACCTTGTCGGATGATCATGGCAGCCGTGGTCTGCTTTATCCTTGCCTTCCAGTGGGGAGGAATTACCAAGCCGTGGTCCGACGGCTCCGTGGTGGGAACCATTGTTGGATTTGTTGTGATTGCAACGGCTTTCGTTGGAAACGAGATTTACATGAAGGAGCGGGCGGTCATTGATCCCCATTTCATGAAAGTCCGACGCCTTTGGGCCAACTGTGCGTATGTATTCTTCATATCGGGAGGCTTCATTGTGCTCATCTACTACATATCGATCTACTTCCAGTCGGTCAAGGGACTATCTCCGATCCAGTCTGGAGTCCGAAGTCTACCACTCAGCATCGGATGCTTCCTTACGATCGTGGCTGGATTCCTTGTCACCACCCATGGCCGCATCTGGGCACCTTTGATGGCTTTTGGATCCGCCGTTGCAACTGTCGGCGGTGGCCTCATCTACACCCTGGACGTTGACACTTCGGGAGCCAAGTATATTGGCTATCAAGTGATTGTTAGCGCTGGATTTGGCCTCGCAATCCAAATCCCCCTCATGRCCAATCAGGCCTTTGTGGCGCCAAGAGATGTCTCCACTGTCTCTGCCATTACCATGTTCTTCCAGATCATCGGAGGTTCCTTCTCCGTGGCCTGCGCTCAAGCAGCAGCTTTTGTCACGACTTTGGTGCGTAGGATAGCTGTTCTCGCCCCTGAAGTGGATCCCGAGATGCTCTTGAATCTAGGCGCTGCGCAGTTGCATGACAAGTTTACGGGATCCGACTACGACGCTGTGCTTCGGGCATATATGGACGGTCTCCAGATCGCGTTTGCTGTTGCCAGCGCTCTGTTGGAAATCGGATTCCTCCTGGCACTCATTCCCAAGTGGGACTCTTTGCGGCCCAGGGAGGGAACGAGTGCTCTCAATCACGAAGGGAAGAGTGCCACTGATTAGGTACATCCACTGAGATCTCTCTACGGCCTGTGATAGAAGGAGAGTGCGATAGTGCGATATCGTTCACTCGTCGACGCCAGAGCAAGCTGTCAAGGATTCTCGAGTCTACATATTCTCGGACCAACGTCCCCACAACTTTCAAGCCAGACGCTTCCCCTGAGCGCAGAAAACCTGATGTTCTCCTTCGCCTGGAACATGGAATTTTCTCGGACGCAGTTCCCAAGTAGAATTCCGACAAGCCAGCGGCCGTGAACATATCTCGCAGCTCCTCCTTGCCGAATCCGTGACGGGCAATGGTGTGGGAGGCATGGTGAGCAGACTGTTCAGGGGGAGGACTATGGGTCGTACTGTCAATGACCAGCAACGACCCGCCAGACTTGAGCCGGTCAGCTAGCTTGTGAATCAGGTTTCCTGGATGCTCGACGTACGTGATGCAGCGCCACCGAAACGACGACGATATCGAACTCGAAAAGATCGGGGTACTGCAACGCCTCGCTTTCCCCGAGCAGATCACCTCGAACAGCTCGCATCTGCGACGATGACAAGCCTATTCGCTTGGCCGCCAAGTTGTACTGATCCACCATGCTTTCCGAGATATCGATGCCGCGAATGATTGATGCGAAAGGCGCAAGGGTCTTGGATTGTCGTCAACACACACAAACAACACATACGCCTGAGTGGTATGCCATTCTACTTAGGTGCCGTGGAGATGATTCCATTTCCGCAAGCATAATCGAGCATCTTCAACCCCTCTTGCGGCGATGCGATCTTGTTGATATTCTGCTTTAGAAAGTCTCTTATCTGCTCATGGAGATCGCGAATCCAACCCTCGTTGGATACAAATCCCGCGTACTTGCTGGAGGGCTTTTAATTGAAGTCACTTTGATCGGAATGCGGCCTATGGTGAGCACACTTACTCAAAGAATTCGCGGTTGATTGTGCCGATGGTCTTGAGGTCAGTGCTGGAGGTCGCCATTTCTTGACGATGGTCTGGTAGCATGAGATAAAGTATACAAAGGATAGGTAAGTCCCAGCAGATCGGGTAGCACGTCACCAAGAGTAGATACAACATGCACGGAAGGAATATACAAGAGCATCTGAGGAGGCAGTTCCAATCTACTTGGTATCAACTGGTACTCAGTTTTCTCATTCCGCTCGTTCCTTCGCTCCATCGGTCCGCTAGTTCGTTGAAGAAGTGTGAAGTAGGTCCACGTCGGTAGCACGCTACGCGTATTCAAACGCCAAGTGCAAGGTAGGTGCGGGAGATCAAAGCTGCTCCAAGACAGGGGCTTGAGGAGACGCTACGCCAACTCCCATGTTGGCATCCCACTTTGCTAGCGAGCCGAAAGAACGAGGTGATGGGGCAGAGAGGATGGGAGTGAGAAATGTACACAAGTTAGTAGTAGGCGGCCCGCCAATGGAGGGAGGGCAACAGAAGATTACTCGCCGGGGAACCGACTGCCGTTCCGAAACAAGACCCCGGACAGGCCTATACTATTCCTACCGAATCACAAGACCGGAACCCTCCCTAGTATATATTTCTAGGTAAGCTCGGCCGGTACGATAATTATTACCCTTTTTGGTGATTTCTCGGTCGCCGTAAAAAGCTGCCATTACATCCTACTATAGACACATTCGAAGTTGGATAACATCACCAACGCGCAAAGACTCACCACCCATTCAAAGCACCTCTCGTCATACCGACAATAATGGCACTCGAGACTAACATTCAAAAGTTGTTCAATGTCCAGGGACTGGTTGCTGTCATTACCGGGGGCGGGACTGGGCTTGGGCTATATGCGGCCAAGATTCTAGACGCCAATGGTGCAAAGGCTGTATACATAGTCGGGCGTCGAGAAGAAGTTTTGCGGAAAGCAGCAGACAGTGCCGAGAATGGAACGATAATTCCACTGGTTGGAGACGTTACCAACATCGATTCCCTCCGTGGCATCGTCGCGACCATCGAGAAGGAACAAGGCTATGTCAACGTGGTATTTGCCAATGCTGGTACGACGGGCGTTTGCCACGACCCGAGCGACGACGTTCGTATGGGCAAGATTCCCACGCTGGCGGAATTCCAACAGAAGATGCTGCGGCCGGAGCTCCTCGACGAATTCACGCAGGTGTTGCACATCAACACAACCGCTGTCCACTACACGGCCATGGCTTTCCTGGATCTACTCGACAAGGGCAATCAGAAGAAGAATGTTGCACAAGAGTCGCAAATCATCGTGACCACATCGGCTGCCGCATACGAGCGTAGCTTGCTCCCATCGCTCGCGGCATACTGTTCGGCCAAAGCGGCCACCTCCACTCTTGCTGGAGTCCTGGCCACCAAGTTCGCGGAGCGTCGTCTGCATATTCGCGTCAATAGTATTGCACCGGGCCACTTTCCCTCCGACTTGACCAGTGGATACCTTTCCATGTTTCCCGCATACACCCAAGATGGTCAAAATGGACAAGATGCGGCTTTTGCTGGCGCACGATGCCTACCACGAGAAATGTGCCCAGCTGAGAGGAGTGGGAGCCCCGAAGAGTTTGCTGGCGTGTTTCTTTTCTTGGCAAGTCGAGCTGCGGCTTACTGCAATGGAGCAACGCTTTTGATCGTACGTATTTTTTTCATCGCTCCCCCCATCACTGGGCAAGGAGACCTTTTTAGCTGACTCTGGGCCGGCATGCAGGATGGCGGCTTGCTCTGTAAATGAGTCGGAAGAGTAATCCCACCACGTATGGAGAGTCAAGACAGCGGTAGCAATATCTCTTTGGGACTTTCAATCGAACTTGCGAGGCTTGAGTTTGGGGGTATGTGTCTGCTGATGTAGGTAGGTACGACGGTAAAGAAAGAAAGAAAGCGGATGTCTTTCCATCGACATGCAATGTGTTCTCAAGGTCATTCGAGACGATCTCAGTCAACGTGAGGAGTATAGATTTGAGGTAGGCAAGCACGGAGAAGGAGAAGATTCGTCACTGGTACGATCTACGCAGGCCTGAGCAGACAGACAGAAAACGGTTGTGTCCACTACAGCCGTGCGGGAATCCTGCGCGTCACAAAGGTGCCATGTACTGAGAATTCTCTAATAGTAATCCACCATCCAAATGTACTATACTAACAGATATTCTCTAGTCTTGTGTTCGCAATCAAACTTGGTCCCTATGCCGAGCGTTGTAGCCATCCCACCAGACTCCACGGAACAATATAAAATGGAAGTGACTTCGCAGGATCCCTATTCATGCCCGGATAGTTGTAGATCGGCGTCACGATGGTCAGCCACAGAAATACCCAAAGGTAACCCACGCTTTTTTCCAACCAGGCGCGCGTAGTAGGGGCAAGTCCTCTCGAGATGGCGGTGCGTTTCCAAGTCCACTGGAACAAGTCCTCGAGCACGATTCCGAGCCCGACCGCAAGGAAGCATGTGAGCCCACCAGATTTGTGCCAGGGGATTCCCGTGTGCACGTCCATCATAGTGTGGTATAAGCCGGATATGGCAAATACCACAAAGATGGTGGCATATCTTTGCAATATACCTGACGGGAGGCCAAACACATCTCGCGCAAAAAACACTCCCAAGCCTTGTAGGTGCATGCGGTTGCACTGGTGCCAGAACTTGCTGTGCCAAATGTTCAGCTTGACGAGCTTTTCATAACCTGTCTGCATTCGATCGTCGCCAAGGACATGAACTTACTTGAAATATCGCCGTATTGTGAAACATTCCGAATAAGCGCCCCAGACGGGCGGCCACTGTCTGACCTCGGAGATACCCAAACCAACGAAAACCACGGAGAAGACGCGATACCAGATTTCCATCAACACTCGACCGAACAGGAACCAATTCATGAATGTGCCCTGCACACGCCCAAGCAGATCGGCCTTTGTCACTGGATAGGGGTTCCAAGGTAACCACAGCCATTGCTTGCCATCAGCCCATGTAGCAGCGGTCTCTGGAGATGGTTTCTGTGAGGTCAATACGTCGAGGAAGCAGTATGCAAGGAGAATGATGGTCATCTGCCGCGTTATGAAAGCTGTACGGCTTGGAATTTGACCTTTTGGAAACGTTGGGAGAGATCGAAGCTCCCATGCAGTTCCGATTCCACGGAGACTCCAAAGGGCTGCGGTGGTGAAATAGATCTTGTACGCGTACGACTCGCTGTCCCGGTCCTGCTGGCTTGGCTTTTTGTCTGTTGGATCGGGAAGCGGGTCCGAGGTGGAGCTTTCGTTTCTCCATTTCGCCATCTCTTTGCGAATATCGTCACCGTCCAGGGGCGATAAGCAGAGGAGATTGAAACAGTGCAGACCATACATGTAACCACCGATTGTGAAATTCATCCACAGGCCAACCTGCAGGGTGAATTTCGACCCGGTGTTCACGCAGGTCTCGGCAAGATACAATAGCAACGGGAGAGCTGCCCATCTTATGACGGATCTTTTCGGCGTAGACCAGATCAGTACGGCTGTCAAAAGTGACTGGAGGGCAACGCATAGTGGAGCCCGTATGTCGGAGGTGAAGAGTGCTCGCGGGGGGTCCATTATTCGGAGGGAATGTGTTGGTCGAGGAGGAGTGAGCGAAGGAGGCTTGACAAAAAACCGGCAGTTATCAACATTGTGTGTTGGAGATTAGACGTGCCCCGGGTTATCGGAATGCGCTACCTGTGCTTGATTTTCGGGATCCGAATCGTAGACGAGACTGCCAATACGGTACTTGAGGTACCGAAGGATATCGTTATAGACTCTCATCTAGCGGACCGCTATAGTCTGCTGCCATATAAAGTCGACCGAAGACAAGGCGTTCTAGCACGGTCCGCTTATATAGTTAGTTCTAACTGCCGGTTGTGTTTGCCTTCGGCCCGGACTGACTAACTGACTACGTTTCCATTTATGCTAGACCTAGTACAGCCACTACAAGGCGGACGAAGGGGGCATTGAGCAGTCGAGCTCATTCTTACGAACAGGACGGACCTGTGTCCCCCTTTCCTACAGCTGCTCGACATTGGCGTTTCGGAGCACAGTCGCAACAATGAGCGATGGCAGGATCGCGATTGTAGGCATGGCCTGCCGCTTCGCCGGTGATGCTACGAGCCCAACGAAACTATGGGAGATGCTGCAGAGTTCACAGACAGCATGGAGCGGCGTGCCAACATCGCGTTTCAATGCAGCAGCGTTTCAGCACCCGAACCGGGAGAGGGGCGATTCCGTGTGTATGCTCCTTTCTCCATTGACGATGTGTATGATTGCTGACTCGATTGAAAAGACCAATGTGAGCAGCGGGCATTTCCTGAAGCAGGACGTTGCGCACTTTGACAAGAACTTCTTCGGCTTGTCCACCGAAGTTGCCAAGGTGAGTGAGCAGGAGACATGAAAGCGTTCCAGCTGACCTGATCACCCCATGTGACAGAGTATGGACCCTCAACAGCGCATGACTCTCGAGGTCGTATACGAGGCCGCGGAGAGTGGTATGTCTCATTCATTTTAGGGCCAAGTCATGGTGCTCGGATCGATGCTGATACAATCCGCAGCGGGAATCACACTAGATCAGCTTGCTGGGTCCAATACTTCTGTCTTCGCCGGACTCATGCAACGAGATTACCACGATGGCCTCCTGCGCGACCCCGATCGCCTGCYTTCAACATTCAACGCCACCAATGCGGCTGCAATGGCGTCAAATCGCGTGTCACATTTCTATGACCTCCGTGGACCTAGCATGACTGTTGATACAGCTTGCTCAACGACCTTGACAGCCGTGCATCTGGCCTGCGCAAGCCTACGGAGTGGCGAGTCTGATGCTTCGATTGTGACCGGGACCAACTTGATGCTCAATCCGGAGTTTTTTGTCACCATGTCGAATGTCGGGTACGATTATTGATTCTTGGCAGCGTCCGTCCCGAAGAATTCAAGTACATCACTGATTGCCCGCTCCCTTCTAGCTTCCTCTCCCCGGATGGCAAGTCTTATGCCTTTGATGAGCGTGCCAATGGCTATGGTCGCGGGGAAGGCATCGCGGCCATTATGTTGAAGCCTCTAGCAGATGCCATCGCTGCTAATGATCCCATCCAAGCCGTCATCTGCGCAACCGCCCTCAATCAAGACGGGAAAACAGCAACAATCACCCGTCCGAGCTCTGAAGCACAGCAAGCGCTGATCGAAACCTGCTATCGGCGGGCCAATCTGGACATGAAAGACACGGGATACGTGGAAGCTCACGGTACCGGAACTCCCACAGGGGACCCCCTCGAACTCAAGGCCATTGCCAACACAATTGGCGCGGCAAGAAGCTCCGCCTCCTTGCCGCTCTGGCTGGGATCCATCAAGTCGCATATTGGACACTGCGAGGCTGCCAGTGGACTTGCGAGCATAATAAAAGTCGCACTGTCCTTGAAAGCGGGCATCATTCCCCGAACGGCCGAGTTTGCTGACATGAGCAGAGCGTGTAGTAATGTCGCAGGACATGCCTTGGTATGTTCTGGCATGATTTCCCCATTCATCCCGTGAAGGCCTTTCAATCAAGCCATTCAGTTCCAATACTGACTGCGACAGGTTCCCCGGGAAAGCGTCAAGTGGCCCGAACAAGATTGCATACGTCGAGCATCGATTAATAATTTCGGATTTGGGGGCGCCAATGCTCATGTGATTATGGAGGAACCACCTGATTTGGGTGATGATCAGACGACGTTAAGCTCGCCGCCGCGACGGCAGGTGTTTGTGCTGAGCGGCTTTGACGATGACGCTCTACGCCGCACAGCAGTCCAACTGAGTCGGTATCTCGCCCAGCATCAGAGCAAGCATGGCCGGCACTTGGACCTTCTTCTCCACGATCTCGCGTACACCCTCCACCAACGCCGCTCGAGGTTTTCGTGCATTGATGCCGTCAGTGCAGTCACTGTAACGGAGTTGATTCAGTCCCTAGAGCAAGTCGGAGGCTCGCCCTCCACAACAAGCAAGACAGCCTTGCGGATTGGGTTTGTTTTCAATGGACAAGGGGCATCATGGYAGGGCATGGGCAAGGAGCTTTTCGCTACATATCCAGTTTTTCGCGCCAGCATCCAAAACATGGCTGGATACATGAGGGAAATGGGGACGCATTGGTGTCTTGAAGGCGAGTCGCATGGGCAGTGACAGCGTTGGTATGATGTGTCTGTTGCTAACATCGCACCAGAGGAACTCATGCGAGACTCAAAATCGAGCCTTTTGGACGAGACGGAATATAGTCTTCCGCTCTCCATTGCCGTCCAGGTGGCATTGACCGACTTGTTACGTTCATGGAATGTGAATCCGGCCGTTGTGACGGGACATTCAAGTGGAGAAGTCGCTGCTGCTTATGCTGCGCGAGCCATTGATGCCCGTTCCGCCATCGCTCTAGGCTTCATACGTGGAGCGCTGTCCCCCAGGAACGAGACCAACGTGAGGCGAGGGGCCATGCTTGCTGTGGGACTCTCCGAAGAGGAGACACTCTTTTATATCACTGCGGTGGATCGAGAGAACGTCGGTCAAGTGTGGGTCGCATGCGTCAACAGTCACCGAAGTGTGACGGCATCAGGGGACGCGGATGCCATTGCCCTATTACAGAGCCTTCTTGACAACGATGGGGTCTTCTGCCGTCGACTTCGGGTGCAAACGGCCTTTCATACAGAGCACATGGCCCCTATCTCCTCCGAATTCGTGGCTCAAGTACGACCGTGGCTTGTAGCATTACCCACGGTCATGGATGGTGCAGAGACAGACGCGCCACCCATCGCCTTTTATTCTTCCGTCACCGGCCAGAAATTCCCAGAACCCAAGGAGCTAGCTACTCCGGAATATTGGGACCTAAACATGCTCTCCCAGGTAAAGTTCGACCAGGCTCTCCGCAGCATGTGCTTCGACCGCGAGCAACATTCGAATCTCGATTTTCTCGTGGAAATTGGTCCACACAGCGCTTTAAAAGGCCCTGTTATGGACGGGTTGAAACAAGCGAAGCTGCAGGGAGCTGAAGGTGATATTGGCTATGGTAGTTGTTTAATACGCAACGAGGATTCCGTACAGAGCATCCAAGGACTGATCTGTGAGCTCATTCGAAGAGGGCACGAGGGGATCGATCTCGACGCTGTCAATACTCCCTTCCCTTCTCGATCACCGCGACCTCTAACAGACCTTCCATCTTACCCTTGGTCTCACGAAACGCCCTTCTGGATCGAAGAAAGTCGCAATAAATCGTACCGCCATCGCAGGGAAGCACCTCGGGATCTTCTGGGAGTGCGTGATGACTCTGCCGAGCCGGCAACGAAGATTTGGCGGAACTTCCTGAAGCTCTCGGACGTGCCATGGCTACGAGACCACGTGGTCGACGGCAAGGTTGTATTTCCCGCCGCTGGCTATGTCTGTATGGCCATCGACGCCATCAGTCAGGCAACAATGCAAAGAGGTGACGATGGCGAGTTCCACATCCGAGACGTTTCATTCTCCCGGGGCCTCATCGTACCTGACGACGACGGAGATTGTCAAATACAGCTTCATTTGCAAGCCTGCCCAACGAAGGACTTGAAATCAAGCGGATGGTTTGAATTCCAGATCCAATCTTGCGAGTCCAAACCGGATGGTATTGATGTCTGGCGAGTCCATTGCAGTGGGCAGATACGAACGAATGACCGAGATGACGGACAACCAGTCATCCGTCGCCGGGGAAGCATTCCTTCTGGTGAAAATCTCATGGAACCCGAGGATCTCTGGCTGATGCTACAGCGTGTCGGAATTCAGTACGGTCCCTCGTTCCGCGGTATACATGGTATCGCCCAACAAGACTGCACTTCCGCTGGTGAAACAAATGTAGCCCTCCGGATCAACGACACGGCAGCGACGATGCCGGCTGGACACGAGTCAGAGTACGTGATGCATCCGACTACGCTCGATGCCACATTGCAGGCTGCCTATGCCGCTCTATCCACAATCTGCCCGGCCAACATCAAGCAGGCATATCTTCCTTATTCCATTRCCTCTATGCGGCTGTGGTCGGGAACCCCTAGGGATGTGGGACATCAACTGTCGGCCGTTGTTTCCTCTGGACGACTGGAACGGAATGCCTTCTGCGTAGACGTAGCGGTATACGACGATCCGTGCAGTCCCGATACGCGGCCAGTGTTGGAATTGAGTGGACTCGAATTCCATAGCCTAGCTACTACGCTCGATTCAAATGATGCGGATGCGACGGATAAGAAAAATGGCACCCAGCTATTGACACAAGTCTCCTGGAAGCCCGATGTTCAATTCGGCATACCAGAGAGTATACTTTCAGGCCTAAAACACCTTACTGATCCAGGTGAAAAGCAGACGGCGAAAGCGCTGCGCTCCGTCGCATTGCACTACATGTCAAAAGCATTGGAAGTGGTCCCTCCCCATGGCGTTTGCGGCCAGTTGCCGCACCTCACGAAATATCGTCAGTGGATGGCCGACGAGCTCCAACTTACTCCTCCACCAACCCTCATTCCTGGCGAGTTTGAGGGCATGCTGCGTCAGGTCGCCTCGTCTGGTGTAGAGGGGGAGATGACGGTACGTTTGGGACCGAATATTCCTGCGATCCTACAAGGCCACATATCCGCTCTGGATCTCATGATGCAAGACCGGCTGCTATACCGATACTACGAGAATGGGCCGCGCTGGCAGCGTTCCACAGCGCAGCTGGCATCACTCCTACGCATGATGGCCGAAGTGAATCCAGACTGTCGCATACTTGAAGTTGGTGCGGGTACAGGAACCGCTACCAAAGCTGCCCTCGATGCCTTGTCCTTGGGTAGCAGCGACTCACCACAGGAGGCCGGAAGTCCCGATGAGACCTTGCTGTTTGGCACATATTACTTCACCGACATCTCCCCCGGATTCTTCGCCTCTGCCAAGCAACACTTTGGGTCAAGAGCAGAACGCATGACCTTCAAGACACTAGACATCGGGCGAGACCCGTCTGATCAGGGGTTCGAAGCTGGAACCTACGACGTGGTCATTGCCTGCCAGGTTCTCCACGCCACCGCGGACATGAACCAGACAATGACCAACGTGCGTCGTTTGCTGAAGCCTGGAGGTAAACTACTGCTGATGGAGACGACCCGAGACCCCTTGGATCTGTTCCTCGCCTTTGGCCTGCTTCCAGGCTGGTGGTTAAGTAAGTCACCCCCGCATTCATCTCATTTGGTTTTCACTGACGACCTACAGGCACGGAGCCCCAGCGGACAGCGTCGCCTTCGCTCAGCGTCGAGTTGTGGGACTTGGTGCTCCGTGATAGCGGCTTCTCTGGCATTGACCACCATCTACGCGATTGCGAGGAACAGGACAACTACCATTTCAGTGTCATCATGTCCACGGTTCGATGCGAGTCAAGTGCTCCACTTAACGGCACGCACATCAATCCGTTGCGGGTCGTTGTGCGAGATCTAGCCTCTGTTCCGCAAGCCTGGATAGGAGACCTGGAGCACGCCTTGACCTCCGCTATTGGTGAGCCTCCAACCTTTTGTGACCTGGATTCATCACTCGAATGGAAGGAGGCGCCATCCGTCATCTACATCGAAGCGCCAGGGACGACGCTTCTTCATTGTCCTACGAATGCTTACTACGGCAAGCTACAAGAGCTACTGACGACAAGCCAGCATGTTTTATGGATCACACACGGCGCCGCCATGGACGTCGTAGATCCCCACGCCTCCCTCATCCAGGGCATATTTCGAAGTCTACGGTGCGAGTACTCCGCCAACACGTACATCACTTGTGATCTAGACCCTCACCGACCCATGTGGACATCAGATTCTGCTCATACCATCGCGCAGGTCTACTCATCCACATGTGCAAGCCTGGGAGAAGGCCGCGAGGGTGTGGTGCGAGACTTTGAATTCTGTGAGCGACAAGGCGTCATCCACGTTCCGCGGTTTGATCCTTTGGTGTACAGCATACCTGGCCCACAAGCGACTGCACCGGCAACGACACAAGCATTCACAGACGCTGAACATCCGTGCCGATTCGATGTAAGGGTACCAGGTCTACTTGACACACTCGAGTTTACACCAGACGAGAGCCGCGAGCGCATCTCCCTTCCTCCCGAAATGGTGGAGATTGTGCCCCGAGCATTTGGCTTGAATTCCCGGCACTTGTCGTTCGCGATGGGCGACCTGCCGTGCGAGCACCTCCCTGCCCTCGAATGCTCAGGGATTGTGGTTCGTCTCGGTGCTACTGCAGCGCTCCAAGGCCTGCATATCGGAGATCGCGTGTGCGCCATCACTGCCGATGGTTGGCGCTCAAAGATCTGGACGCCCTGGACCAATGTCGCCAAAATCCCTGATTTCATGAGCTGGGAAGCGGCTGCAAGCATCCCAGTAGCATTCACGACGGCATACATCGCTTTGATCAAGATGRCGCGCGTGAAGAGTGGACAAACAGTGTTGATACATGCAGCAGCAGGAGGTCTTGGCCAAGCCGCCATATCGACTTGCCAATACCTCGGAGCAGTCGTATATGTCACTGTCGGAAGTAAGTCGAAAATGCTCAACCCCGTTCCCAACTCAGACTATTCTAACACACGCGCTTTGAAGCCGAGCAAAAGCGGCAAGCCATCACCGAACGATTCGGAATCCCGCCCGAACACATCTTCAACAGTCGCAAGCCGGATTTTGCCCATGGGGTCTTGCAAGCCACGAATGGGAGAGGAGTCGATGTGGTACTCAATTCTTTGACTGGTCCGCTCCTCCAGAGTGGCCTTGACTGCCTTGCCAGATTTGGGACGTTCGTCGAACTCGGACGCCGCGACATCGAAAATCACCATCGTATCGACTTGACCCCTTTCAGCAGGGGCATTTCAGTCTCTGCACTAGACCTGGCCCTCATGGCCGAGCATCGACCCCATGAAATCAAGGAGGGACTTGATTTCTGTGTGCGACTGGTGAGCGAGAAAATCTTACCTGGCATCCTGCCAGTCCTTGTCTTCCCGATGGCAAGTGCCGAGCAAGGATTCCGTCAACTCCAGACGGGTCAGCATATTGGCAAGATTGTCCTGAGCGTTGAGGAAGCGAATGGTATGATTCCGGTAAGTAATGGCTCAAGTATTGGCTATTCTCGGCTTCACATTCTCACAAACGGTGCTAGATCCGGCGACCACTACTACCCGTGAGACTATCTCCGGATGCCTCGTACCTTGTTGTTGGTGGTACAGGGGGTATCGGCAAAAAAGTCTGCGAATGGCTCCTTCAGCGGGGCGCCGTGTCACTGATTGTGCTGTCTCGCAATCCCGTGAAAGATGCTCAATTCTGGGCACCATTCTTACAAGAGAAGTGCAATATCCGAACGATCGCCTGTGACGTCTCCAACAAGCGTGAGTTGAAGGCTGCCATCGCAACTTGTACAGACTTGCCACCCATTCGAGGCGTCGTCCACTCTGGCATGGTTCTCCGCGTAAGTCCCAGTCCTCAAAGGAGAAGAGAATGACATCCACCCTCCCTTTACTGACAATCTATACAAAGGATTCCGCGTTTGAGAATATGAGCAAGGAAGACTACATGGCTGCAATCCTTCCCAAAGTTGCCGGAACCTGGAACTTGCACGAATTATTCCCCGTCGTCGACTTCTTCATCATGCTTTCATCGGTGTTGGGAGTCCTGGGATCACCAGGTCAAGTCAGCTATACAGCCGGCTGCGCCTTTCAAGACTCCATCGCTCGATCGCGAAGGTCTCGCGGGATGAATGGAGTATCCATCGACCTCGCTTCGGTCGAGTCGGTTGGGTATGTGGCGGAGCACAACGCTTCTGACCGATTGAAGAAGCGTGGAGTCTTACCACAGACCGTCGACACCGTTCTCCATCTGTTGGAAATCGCCATATTGCAGGAACCCAAGGCTTTCCACCAGATCACTTCCGGCATCGATGCCTCTCCTGGTGCGCATTGGGAAGGAGATGTACTAAGCTTTGACAAGCGTTTCTCGATCATTCAGAGACATGGATTGTCCTTGTCGACACAGTCAGATCCGGAAGGGCTGCGGCGCTCTATGCTGACTACTGCACAAAAGACGAGCAGCACGCTGTCCACAAGAATCGATGCAAGTATGACTAGAGACCACGCGACCCAGGTGGTTCTGGAGGAGATTAGTGTCAAACTGGAGGAGATGTTTGGCAAATCTCGCATCGATCACTCGCGGGACTTCTCCGCCAGTGGAGTCGACTCACTTGTAGCGATTGAACTCCGGAACTGGCTGGGAAGACAGACGGGTCTTGCTGTGACGGTTATGGACTTGATGCAGGCATCTTCCATCCATGACTTTGCCTCGGAGATGGCTGTTCGGCTGGGTTGCGCTTTTTCTTCTCCTGACTCCGCATGATGCCTGCATGAAGAATACGAAGGTGGGGATTTGAAGAGTAGTTCTTTGTATCATTGAATGTCGCTGTTACCAAGTACTATTATATCTGCCGCCWCTCTTAGGGTGGTAGTGAGTGCCGATGTAGGTCCCCGTGAGCATCCGACAGGCTTTTGGTATGTGTATGTCAAGCTCCGCGTGTTCTGTATCTATCTGCATAGCTCGTACTAGTTGTCAGATATACTTTCCTACAGTCCATTTCCCGACAGATTAGATCTTCAGCATTGAACATCTTGCCAATCACTCCATACTATATATCAGAAAGAGGAGAGAAAAGCGGTAACAACTCGATTTAAGGATGAAGTTTACCGAGGCCTAAAGACTACACTCAATACTATGATACTCGTACCGCATCTATAGTCTACTCCCATCGAATATTGATCTCGGGCGTCCGCTGTCGAAACTCAATCGATCTCTCTCCATCAGGCAGCGTTGCCAGTCCGTAATGAACCTGCCCAGGTTTCTGTTCGCCCGGCACGACTCGAAGGTCGTAATTCATCAAACAGTACGCCATGACGACACGAATCTCCGCCGCAGCAAAGAAGCGACCCGGACAGGCCCAGATTCCATGCCCAAAGTTGATATTGTCCACCCCTGTGGAACTGTGCTGGTATTTTTGCGCATTTTCCGGTAGCTGACGAAGCTTCTCGAAGCGTAAGCCGTCGAATTTGGAGGGATCTTTCCAGAGTTTGGGGTCTTGGTTGATGGGATGGGCTCGGATGGTTGTCGTGTTACCTTTGGGGATGATGTGACCGGAGGCGGTGCGAAGACCCTTTGGATTTGTGACGACCCTGGGAATGTTCACTTTGAAATTGTCAGTCAAGGTACCTAGGTCWTGGATGTCCTCAAACCCTCGAGGGAAGGGACTCACCGAGCGAAGGAGGATTCATGCGCTGAGACTCTCGCGCGAAAGAGTCCAGCTTGCGAAGCTTGGGCAATGTCGCCTTGTCGATCCTACCACCCTCACCCACCACATCGATGACCTCCTGTCGGAGCTCTGCGATGAAGTCAGGATATCCGGCCAGATCGTAGATGATGTACGAGAGAGCGTTGGATAGGTTGTAAATCGAGGCAAACGTCGCTAGGAGTTGATCGCGGCCAAGCTCTTGTGGCGTTGGATGATTGTTCTCATATTCTTGCATAAACCATTCAATCATATCGCCACCTGGAACGGTCTTGTCTTTGCCAAGTCCAGCTCGCTTTTGCTCAATTAGAGGCGCAAGACGCTCCTCATTCACCGCTCGCTGACGCAGGAGATTGCGTACTTCCTTGAGGAACGGAGCGATGATGGGCCGGAGTGGCCACGGGAGCATTATGAGTTTCATCCAAGCCCTCGAGACATCTTGTGTATAGTTGACGGTGGCTTCCACCCAGATGGGGTCACGAGAGAGTGGGAGGCCGACGAATGCACGACCTGACATCAGAGAAGCGACCCGCGACATTGCGCCACGGACCTTGACTGGCTTCCACGAGTCGGGACTCACTTCTCCAATGCATTGCTTCATGGCATACTCAACCTCTGCTGTGAAGGAAGCCAGAACGACGGGGGTATTCCGAGTCAAAGTGTGCCGCATCGTGGCGTCGAACTCGTCGGCTTTGGTGCCCATGTAGCTGTATTCCCCGAGGAATACATTGTAGTGATGATGCCTTGCTTGCTGTCAGCCAGGGGTCGATGAATCGGCTTGGGACAAGTCACGCACTTGATRGAGACGTCTGTTTCTGGCAGCGTTCGAATGGTCTCTATATCGGCCACGGGGAGTACGACGACGGACATTCCGGCCATGGAGAATAGAAATGGTTCATCGGGACACTAGAATACATAGGATTGGTCAGCGATGGTGGGAAGCTTGGGGAATAGATCCCTCAACCTCTCTGTACGCTTCTTCGAGCTTTCCGACGACATTACCATCTGTCACTTCAAAGACCCGGAGATTGGGCTTTTCAACGCGCTTGGTCAAGAGATATATCCATATCGCTGTCGCGAGCAGTAGTGCGGTCCCTGTGGCGACGATCACCGGCAAGGAGAATGGTAGATCCATGGCCATTACACCCAAACTGAAAGCAAAAATCCGTCTTCAATCCAAGGTAGGTATCTAGAATCATGCTGAATCGTAATAATTCCCCCAAACCGTTGGTTGACAATGTCCAACATCCCAGCAGGTCGCCCAATCTCGGCATCTTTACATTTCGGGCGCCGTAACAAACAACTGGTCTTGACGCCGAAGCAACAGCACAATTTCCTGTGACATGCCTGTGAATAGATCGACCCAGAGTGAGTACTGCTTGGTAAGAGACTTCTTTGAACGCATACTTTGTGCCGGATACCCATCCCATCTCCCCCAATACATGTCCCTGTCAACATGAGCTCCGCAATCTGGTACTTCGGGTACGGCTCCAACATGAAGTCATCAGTCATGACCAGTCGTGGGATTCACCCGCTGGACACCAGAATTGCAAGAATCTCCCATTTTGTTCTCACCTTTGATGTTTTCGGCTTGCCATACAGCGAGCCGTCCATGGCGAGCATCGCGCCCTATGTCAAAACAGATGCGAACTCACAGATACCAGAGGTCTGCGGAGTGGCTTATCTCCTCTCAACTGCAGATTTCAAGCGTTTGGTTGCTTYTGAGGGAGGTGGCGTTGCCTACGACGAGATCGAAATTGAAGCCGAATGCTGGCATGCGGGATCCAGGGAGCAAATTGAGCACATTCGATTACGCACGCTTGTGGCCAAATTTCCTCGGAGACCCAATCCCTGCCCAAGCAAAAGATACCTAGTAAGTCTCTCGACTGGGTTTTGAAAAGTGCCATGGCTTTGCTAATCAATCGACGTGCACAAAGACGTTGTTGAGAGAAGGCGCACAAGAAAATGGGCTTCCGGAGACATATGTCTTTTATCTGAATCAGCTCAGTTTCTTTGAGCCAGCCAAGGGAGCCTGGTATAGATTGGGATCTTCCATCTTCTTGTGGTTCGGGCGAAAGACTGTCCGTCAGCTCGCGAAGAGCGTCAAGGGCTCTTTGAACGATAAAGGCCAATGCTCGCCGTATTGGTCAAAGGTGATTGTGGTTGTATATACCACAATGTGGTCGTGGCATCGATGGATACACGCACCACTTTTTGGCCGTGGTGATGGAGGTGGGATTGAATATCGTGGGATCAGACTCCTTTGAGAACTGTGCTGTGGATTGTGTGCCATGTGGTGATGGATGTCGGTTGTTGAGATACAATCTTCGTATCTTCAGATGTCACGCCGGTACGGCTGCCGAAAGCTGAGATACGGCAGTGATAAAACAGGCATGATTTTTTCCATGAAGCTCGTTCATCGACTCCACCGCATACGCATACAGCTAGGAAGATACCATCATGGAGGCCGCATCTGAGCCCAGGCGAAATTTCGCAGAAGAATCATATGCACTGTTGAAGAGCTGCCCATTGATAGGTACGAACCCATGGGACCGTCGAGGAGGAAAGCCTGCTGACTGAAAAAAGTAGACGGTCACAACGACTTCCCGTACATTATTAGAGGATGGCTCCAAAACAATATAAAAGCCGGAGTTGACAAGCTACCCATCGGTCAGACAGATCTGCATCGCCTAAGAAGTTCAGGTCTCGGGGCCCAGTTCTGGAGCGCTTTCGTACCTTGGCATGCTTCCTCACTTCCTGCGACACAAGAGGAAGACCGCTGACAAAAGCTCCTCAGTGCGAAAGAAACGTCCGAAGTGGCCAGATTGACTGTTCTAGAGCATACTCTACAGCAAATCGATACCGTACACCAGATGGTAGCTGCTTTCCCGGAACAGCTTGGCTCGGCTCGAAGTTCAGCAGATGTCTGGGCCCTGTTCAATGCCGGAAAGCTGGCGTCCTTGATTGGAGTTGAGGGTCTCCACCAAATCGCTGGCAGCGCAAGCTGTTTGCGACTCTTCCATCGTCTAGACGTGAGGTATATCACGCTTTGTCATGATCAAAATAATGAGTACGTGGACTCGGCGGTATGTAGCGACATGAAAGTTCCCGTCTGTGCTCGCAGCTGATTTATGTAGACTGCCCCTGGCCCGGTTCATGGAGGAGTCTCCAACGCCGGAGAAGCGATTCTGCGTGAAATGAATCGCGTTGGGATGTAAGCTCCAAATCTTCGTTTCTCTTGAATGACTATTTGAGTTGACCATGACAGGATAATTGATCTATCACATACAAGCCACGATGCTCAGCGACGAGTATTACAGCTCTCCCGCGCTCCCGTGATCTTCTCTCACTCGTGTGCCTTCACCCTGAGMCACAATCCAAGGAACGTACCCGACGATGTTCTCGATGCGCTTCAAACCAACGGTGGAGTGTGTATGATATGCTTCTTGCCTAATCTCTGCTCCTCGGAGAGACGCAGCGAAGAAGGTCCATCGATTGCGAGCATCGTTGACCACATCATCTACGTCGGCACTCGAATTGGTTTCGAGCATGTAGGCATCGGGTCAGACTTTGATGGCATGTTAGAAGGGCCACCTGGTTTAGACGACGTACGTGGATACCCGGGCCTGGTAGAGGAGATGCTTCGTAGAGGAATTCCTCCCGAGAACGTCAAACTTGTAATGGGACTGAACATCCTCAGAATACTTGATGATGTGGAGAAAGTGGCATTACAAATCCAGAGCGATGGTATCACAGAAGTGTTGGTCGACTCAATCGCTGCTCCATGGAGCAATGAGCAAAAGGAAATGTTACGGCAACAGGGACGCAAGCGGGGACTGGCCTGACAAAAGGACTGCTTGTGCACTATTTCTAGTAGCATCATCATCTACGTGCCATCATGTGTGAGAGCTGTGCGATACAGTACCAACACTCCAAGTCGCTTCGTCTAGTAAAGTCGGCATGTCCCATTCTAGACAGGCCTCATATCGATCGCAGCAACCCAGGCGTTTCTCAAAGGATGAATGCCTACAATCTTGAAACCCGTCAGCTCTGCGAGCTCGTACCATTCTGCTTCTGTCCTCTCGCGACCTTTGGCGGTTATCATCATGTTGATGTCACCGTATCGCGAAAGTCTCCCAGAGCTGGTGTCCGAGAGGATGCTCTCAAGAACCACCAGTCGACTTTCGGGACCTTTTTGAATCGCTCGTCGGATGTTCTTCAAGATCTTGATCGCATCCTCGTCTAGCCAGTCGTGGAGGACCCATTTCATGACATAGACATTGTTGGGGGGGATCTCTTTGAAGAAGTCGCCAGCCTGGAGGCAACTCGGATCGACACGACTTCCTATGTCGCCATATTCGCCGTTTGGGGCGAAGAACGGGCGGATATGGTCAATTACACTTGGCAAGTCGTAGACACCGCCTTTCATCGATGGATTGCCGCGAAGGAGGGAAGCAATTAGAGCGCCACCTCCACCGCCGATATCAATGACCGTTTCATTTCCCACTTCCGCCCAGGGATAGTCAGTCAAGATCCCTGGAGATTGTGCCAATGCACCGGCGCCCAGAGTTTTGTGTAGTTGTGGAAGCCAGCCCTGGAAAAATAGTTAGCCGGAGGATAGACGCATTGATATATATATCCATGTGTCAGTCAACACACCTGCTTCTCAAAATATGTGAACATGTCCAGCTCGGTGTCAAAGGCATATTGTGCAGCCCCACGGGTAGCATCCTTCTTGATCGAATCTGGAATGCCTTTGGCCATTTCATAGAACTGCGAAGTGTAGAGTTCCACCCAATTGCTCCAGCCAGTCCAGTGGTCCGATCGCAGCAGTTCGGATCGATGATTGTTGGAATACTCATCCGAAGCTCGGTCGTAGGAGAAGATGCCTTTGCAATGCACGACCCGCATGATCTGCCTGAAACGATCTTCCCTGGCATCAGCTGCCAAGGCGAGATCATGCACCTTCATTGGGCCAGAAGACAGAATGTCGGGGACTTTCTGGCGGACAGTGGCAAGGAGGCATTGTGAATCAGCGTACCCTACATGTCACATCCGTTAGATAATTGCATGTGAATACAACACTCTGCTTACCAAGGAAATGATCGGCTAGAACTAGATTCCCCGGCTGTAACAAACGATCCGTTGCATAAAGGACGTCGACAATCTTTGAACTTATGGCAAAGACTTCCTTATGCGGGAGTGCTTCCGTGTCGTGAAGGCTTGCTTCGAGTTGCCTCTTGACGTGCGAAAGCGTTAGACGGGCATGGATCTTTTGCAGGTCGTGTAAGCTGTCGGTGAGTGTCTCAAGTAGACTTGTATATTCTGGGCTGTTTCCGTCGTTGCTTGCCATCCTGAGCAAAGAATCGGGAAGATGAAGCACGTTGGTTTCCTGTACGTGGATCGGCAAAAAAGGGTCGAGCCGCGGACTGTTTTGCGTAGCAAGCAAGTTTCTTGCTCATGCCCTGCCTACGCATATTCTACCATGTCTCGGTCTGTAAACCAAAATCGCCGTTTGAGCGGGCCGTAAGTTTGACGCTTCCCGAGAGTGAAGCGCTCGGCTTCCGATGGATGCGATTGGCGCTTCGCATTTCCTAAAGCGGTAAATAGGGCGAGGGTGTAAAACAGAAAGGTTATTGGAACAGACGTCGCTTGTCTCTGCTCTTCGTACTCATCATGACTTCAGCACGACACATAGAGGACGTCCGCAGATGGGCCAGCACAGAGCAACCCGTTGTACCTACTGATCCACAAGCAGCGCCGGATCAACTCCTAGCGACCTCCGTGGAGCCTGGAAATGGCACCGTACACATTGGAGATGTTGTGCCTAACGATGATGGCCGGATAGTGCTCTATGTGTTGGTCGCTGACCAGACAAACTACATCAACTTCATCAAGCCCTTGATTCTCGTGGAGGAATTGAAGATTCCTCACCTGCTCTCTGTCATTGACACGAAGACTCAATGGGCAAGGACAATTCACCCCGAGCGCATGGTTCCGGCTCTTTGCGACCGCGATCCAGAGACTGGCCAACTTGTTCGTGTGTTCGAGGGGACTGCTTGTCTCCAGTATCTCGCCGATCGATTCGACACCGTCGGACTGTGGACAGGCAGGACAGCAAAGGAGAGGGGTGATGTTCTCAGCTGGACCGCGTATCAAACTGCAGGTCTGGGGTATGAAGATCATTTGGTCAGATGTTGTTTTTGTTTGTCCCTCGACTAATCAAGTTACAACAGAGCCACGGCCAAATACTGGCTCTATTTCTCGCGCGGGTACCCAACTCGAGCAAATCCCATTCAGCTTCCACGCACCATTKAAAAGCTTCACGCAAACACAGTTGTGCAATGGGACATTTTAGAGAAGCGTCTTTCGCTTCCGGAGCAGCAATACATCGCCCTGCCGGATCGGCCTACTCTGGCTGACCTCTCATACTTTCCCTTCGCCATGCCTTGGATGTTCAGGCTGTTTCAGGTAGATATCGAGGGCTACCCGCAGATTCAGAAATGGGGCCAAAAGATGATGGAGCGGCCCGCGGTGAAGAAGGTCATGGAATATGCGCCAAGGATTGGCGGATCATGAGAGTACTCGGCGATGTCTTGGTGCCCATCTCACTCGTTTTGAGATCATCTCTTTTCCAGACGGTAGAGATTTCCAGGCCGACATCGAAAGACATTGCTGTATCATAGCTCGAGATGACAAAGACATCACTCTGTATCTACTGTTTTGCCAAATCTATCAAGCAGATCGTAGGTGGTGCTTATAAACTACCGGAAGTCACGGGAAGAGCTTCAATACTTTGCTTAGTATTCTCCTTATCTTTTACTCGCGTCGTGATGGATCTGCCTAGTATTCGTTGAGCGTGTAAAACTGATTACGCAAAAGTCAAAGTTAACCTAGCTGTAAAGTGCTGCCTCCTTTTTATGCCCTCCTCGGTGGTCTAGGGTTAGGGTTTGGGTAGTACCCTCTTTTTACGTCTGTCGTAATATAGAATTCAGAAAGTTACGTCTTATTTATGTATGTATAAAGAAAATTCTAGCTTAGTTATAGAGAGGTATATGCAGTTTTAGGGTTATATCCAAATGTTTAGGAATTCTGATCGCTAACATAGGGAACAACGTGGACAAAATTCAAAGGGGTCAAGTATAACTGACTTTAGCGGTCGAGAAGGAGACAGGTAAAGTGGGCTGCATCCCATAGCGATGAAGGTGGGCCTCTAGTACATCCTGATGTTGGAAGTCTTCATGGAAGATTCACGGTCCTTCGTAAACTCGCCCGGCCTCACGCTCAACACGGAACTTCTCTAGTCTACCCTGACGCTTCCACTCTCTGATCGTTTCTATCCCATCTCGACAGGCTTTCAACGCAAGCGCGCTGTAGTCGCGGGTGATTTGGTTGGCCTGATCACTACCAGGCGTAACATCCGACATCTTCAGTTCATAAACCGCATTGAGGACGATGTCGGTGTCTTCATTCGAGCCAGGGGAGCCATCTCGGGAAACGAACCACGTCGTTTTAGCTCCAGATGCGGTAGTGATTGCTTCCACCTAGATCTTGTTGTTAATATATCGTCGCATGGTTCACCTGGTCACGACCACTTACATGCAAACCCTCTGCAATCACCACATCCTGATCAAGAAAGGAACCGCTAGCGGTATGTACCGCACCATCGGCCAGTGTCAGTCTTCGGCTGAATCGATTTCCAGAGCCCGAAAGTATCTGGCAGTCCGAGACGTATGGGGCGAATTCATGGGGATGGGAAGAGCCACGTCTGATTCCCTCCCACATTTCCGCAAACGACAGGACATCGGAGTGATCAATAGAGAGCCCTTTGTTAACGAGGACGCTGTAAGCGACGTTGCACTCGAAAGTGGATGTAGACATGGCTGTGAAAATAGCTGCGAATGAATGTAGTGAGGAATTGGAGAAATATGACCTTGAGCTGGTCTATTCTTCGCACACATTTTGAACAGTGTTGGCTACTCCACTTTGAAGACTACGCCAAGTAGAGAATGGATTGATATTCGGAGCAATGTTTAGGTGCCATGAATTGTGGTGTTGGAAGCCAGCCGAGTTTTTTGGCGGCCCGCTTAACTATCGGCGTCCTTGTGCCCTCCTTACCAAACCACCCCATGACTTGGAAGCTGAATCTCCATGCTAACATAGCCTTTGGGCTGTAGCGATAGGCCTCAATCGGGTCGAATCACCAAAACATTGGACTCGATCATGGAGGATGCTACTTGCGTCGCTCACAGGTAATCTGAAAATCTGGATGAGTGATCCATGATTCCTTATCCTGTACCCACTCGTCCTGTGATCCGATCATAGAAAGCGTGTAGTTTTGCATCAGATGAGCCAAAGTGGCCCGAATAATTAGGTCGGCGGCATGCTTGCCCATACATCTACCGAGTGTTGTTGTTGTCAGCGGCGCTTTGATCTTGCTTTGACCCATGCAACTCACTGTCGCGGACCAAATCCGAACCTCCAAAACAGGTATCTCAACTCTGTGTTATTTCTCTGAAGAAATCGCTCCGGCCGATACGTATGATTGTCTGGTCCCCAGTAATCATTATTCATGTTGAGCGAATAGGAATCCACGACGAAGTTTGTGTGGGCAGGAATCACATAGCCCTCCACCACTCGGTCAGTTGGAGCAGACTGAGGGACCGAAAATGCCGCCAGTGGCTYCAAGCGACTTGATTCCAGGATGCAAGCTTGTAGCAATGTTGTTGAATTTTGCAGGTACTCTGTCAGTTTGTTCGATGAAACGGCATCCTCAACCTCAGCTCGAAGCTTCATCTGCACCTCTGGATAAGCGGCCAGATAGACCAGATTCCAAGACAAACCTCCTGTTGTTACGTCCAGATTGGCGAACAAAGCCTCATCCAGAGTCTGTAGCAATTGGTCTTCCGTCATAACCCCTTGACGCACGCTCTCCCACATCGCGAGGATAGGCGAGTCCTGGCTATGTGTCTCGCAAAAGGAGGCAATGTCCAGGTTGAGTTGCTTCCACTTGACTTTGAAGTCATTCAACTCCCGATTGGCTTTTGTCGGCAGCCATTGCGAAAAGGAGAACCTGGAAAAGCCGCCACGGATGACATACTTCATCAGCTGCTCTCGAGGTGAGGCGAGATCACCAATTCTTGTCTTCATCTCCTCTGGGAGAGAGCCATAGAACATATCACAGACCACCCAGAAAGGCAGCATCTTCAGGTCTTGTGCGGGATGGATCAAGCCACGACTGAGGTCCGACTTCTCATAGAGCATTGCAAAGTGATCTTCGACGAGATGCTGTATGGAATGAACGCGAGACATGACGGAGCCGTGAGAGAAAGGCGTCTCGGTGGCCGCCCTAACCCTGTTCCAAGAAGGTGGACTGATCAGACCAACACACTTGCCCAACAGCTGGCTCATCAAGTATCCAGAGTCGTTGTTGAGAGCCTTGGAGTGTTTGTCCGAGTCAGCAAACACCGCCCTCAGCTGTTCAGGCCGTGTCAAAACGCTGCAAGACGTCAGAGAGGTCACTCAACAGTGCTTGGAAAGTCAACTAACACCTCGGGAGACATTCCTGCCCAGATTCGATATACAGGGCCATGTGATTTCTCCCATATTGCAGAATTCTCAGCTCCTTCGAGGAATTTTGYGACGTCCCCTTGTCCATTCGGYCATACATAGGCGCACGTTGGTATTTCGGCACCGTGTTCATTCCTGGTGGGATATCGACGGCAGAGGTAGAGCTATTGTACTGAGAATTAGTTCTACGGGTGCGATGACCAGGCATGCAAGAATCCTTACATCGATGACATGGGAGAGAATATCTTGGAAGTATCTTGGCAGCAATCCTGGGCAAAAGATCTCCGCACATGCAGCACATAGCAGCGTGAAAGCTACCACAGACGCAACGATCAAGAGAGCGCCAGACGAGGTCAATATGTCAGCAAGCATGTTGTTAAATCAGTTCATTGGACTTCTATGCTCTCCAATGAATGACCATTAGATCTACACTTCGGACGGATATCCTAATGACATGACGATCAAAAGCTTCGGGGCCGGTATACCCCTTTTCGGTGTTTGCAACCTTCGGGCCAAGACTGACTCTAGCTAGTCGGCTCTCTCCCCGCAATCCAAAATGTCTGTATTGGGGTGCATATTTTTCTGTGCACCTGATTTGAGAATGTGCCCTGCCGAAAGGCGCCCTGGAAACTGGTTTGTCGTGCCAGTTGTACTCTTCTTCGCGGCGACGGACCATCATAAGGCCGTTGAGATCACATGCCTTGTCTCATGGGCGACCATTTCGCATTTCATCACTACAGCAAATTTACATATCTCATCGTCTCTTGGCCGTACCAGAATGGAAACCTGTATGAGTTGGACTACAACTAGATGCTATCGACCACTGCCACAGTGAATCAGTTTCTCCATATCCTCTTCAGCGGGATTTATTCGACGCAACGTTGGCTTGATCTGATAGCCATCTTGACCACTACAGGTCCGAAATCGACTAGATCGGCTCTCTAGGCCCATATTCGGGATGGCCATGTCAACATGTGGTTGTGGTTTGGCTTCATGGGTAGCTATTGTGACAGAGTTTCGAAGCTTGTTTCTTGTCAGCTCATGTCTAGTATATGGTAGCAATCGATACATCAAAGTGCCTCGAGACGCCTAGGACTCTTGGTTTAACAGAGATGGAGAGCGAAGCCATCGTCTCGTCACGATCTACCGGAGATTGCAGGCTCGATTCATTCGGGCAGTAAATTCCTAGCCGCCGTCTTTCACGATGTAGCACTTTCAATACGAGATAACGCTCTGCATAACTTCCGATTTATTTTCTCTGCAGATACGCATGTTCAACTTCTCTCTTCGCTTCGTTGGGGCTCAGGCTACTTCCCATATCTTTTAGGAACTTGGCAGAATCCACTTTTGTTCTTCCTTCGATGTCTGTCAATGTTTGGAACGATGTGGCTCACGCCCTCTCTAGATCGCCGGCAGAGATCGACCCCAGGAAAAGCTTCGTTGAAAATGGGGGGCACTCACTTGCTGCGATATCCTTATCGCAATCACTAAAGAAGAGGGGGATGGTCATCACTGTCGAAACTCTGCTGATATGTGATCGCCTCTTAGATCTCCTTGGAGAGATTCCCTCACTACCTTCCGAACAATGTCAAATTGGGGAACTGTCTCCTCCATCGACGGATACTCAAAGCCAGGAGTCCGATAGGGGGGATCGTACTGGACTCAGCAGATCTACGACCGATCATTCGCTCCTCAGACCTCGGGGCCGCTTGCTTCGAACACGCTCTTTCACACCGTCCCGGAGCTCATCTCTTAGCAGTCGCAGTGGTGGACGGCGTCCACTTCTGGCTTCCCCCAACCGACTTGCTTCTTCTCGCAGAGGATCTAGAGGACGACAAAATCATGCATCTTGGAACAGCTCCCCTCCGTCGATCAATTTCAGTGATATCCGCAGCGTCTCCCAAGCAAAAAGCGCGGAGCAGTCCGAAGGGATAAAACATGGTGTTGATTTTCCCATGTTCACAGAGATGCAATTATCTCTCCTACATGGCAGCCTCAAAGCTCCTGGGTCAGATATCATCCACTACTCTGAGACATATGTCTCGGATGCTGTACCCCTAATTCGACTGGCATGGAGACAGATCATGGCAGTCGAACCGATCTTCAAGACGCAATTCCCCGAGGAGCTTATTGGTAAAGACCAAGTCACATTCGAGTGGATCGAAAAAGTCACTCGATCACCCGAACATTATGAGGCATTGGTCCGGGAGGCGTTCGACGATACGCGGATAGGGTCTCACTTTTGCGTAGTGACTCTGGCGGAACCTGGCCAACAAAGCATTTCCAACATCATCTGGATCGTACATCACGCACTCATAGATGGGTACTCTGCATCGCTGCTGTTTGAGAAGATCCGGAAGTACACCACTGGTGTGGCCATCACAGCGGGACCTTCGTTCGCCAAGCTTGCCGCGGAGTTGCACCAATACCAGGCAGATCACGGCGAGGAGGGCAAACGGTTTTGGATGTCACAGAATGATCAATTGGCCCTCGCGAGAGGCGACTTGATGCTTCCGACGGCTATTCAAGACACAGATGGAAATACGAGTAGCGTTGAAAGCGAGGCCATCGAAATCGTCCTGGACCAGAACGAACTAGAAGATGTTTTAGCCGGATCCCAATCCAAGAACGTTACAATGGCMACGATTCTACAAGCAGCTTGGGCCTTGGTACTCTCTCACTACACATCATCTGATCTTGTGGTGTTCGGAACCGTCTTGGCAAGTCGTAACCTGCCTCTTCCGGGTATTCTCGACACAATTGGGCCAATGGTCAACACTCTGCCTCTTTGTGTTGCCGTCGACGCCAAGCTGTCTATTCAAGAATATCTCCGTGCAGTCTTCAAACAGATGGTAAGGCTCAGCGAGTTTTCCTGGACCACTCCCAACGAGCATGACTACTCTCGTCAATTTGAGTCTGCCGTCGCTATGCAGTTTGACACAACCGCAGATGCCCATACCTATCAGCCGTTCCTCCCAATCGAGAATCCGAAAAGCAAACAGACGACAAGCATTCCCTTTAGTGTCGCGATGAATCCGGACGGGACGATACATCTCCAAGCTCACAAGCGTCGAGTCACCCGCACGCAAGCTCAGGACATTGCACAGATGTTGCGTGATGCCATTATTGTACTAGTTCGATCAAACGGAACCATTGGCGATTGCAAGAAATCGCTGCTATCCGTGGACATGCTTGCTACCTTGCGGGAAAGAGGAAACGCCAATTCGGGCCTTACTACAATACCATCAGTCACCGAGGACCTGGTCACTTTGTTCGAACAGTCGGCTCGGAATGTTCCAAATGATGTGGCTGTTGAGCGTGGGTCCGAGAGAGTGTCGTATGCTTCGCTCGATGAGCAGTCCAGCGTCCTTGCATCATATCTGCTCAAGTTTATTCGATCCGGCGAGGTCGTCTGTGCTCATGCCGATCGATCAACCTCCTGGATCGTCGCGATATGGGGCATACTCAAAGCTGGTGCTGTATACTGTGCGTTGGATCCGTCTCTGCCGGCAGAACTGAAGGACTCAATGTACAAAGCAGCCAATGCAAAAGCATTCGTGGCTCCTTCCGCTGCCGTTCGGGAGGCCTGTCCCCTATCTTGCGGTGAATTCGTTGATATCGAGACTGTCCTCCGTTTCCCAGATACAGAAGATGCACAACACAACATGCTCAGTGGCCGAGATCTCGCTCGGCCTGCCGACGCTGCATATCTTTGCTTCACTTCCGGCTCGACCGGGGTACCCAAGGGAGTAATTTGCACGCACCGAGGTCTCGTCGCTTTCCAGAGTGATCTGGAGGTGAGGCTATTTGCCAGGCCTGGAGAGCGCATCGCACAGATCATGTCCCCAGGATTCGACGGCGCCATTCATGAAATWTTTTCCGCACTTTGCTACGGAGCGACGCTGGTCTTACCACAAGAAGGATCCCAGATGTTTGACCACCTGCACAAGGCAACTTCCTGCATCTTGACGCCTTCCATCGCACGGATTCTGAACCCAGAAGACTATCCAGGCCTGCAGACCGTCTATTTTGTTGGTGAACCGGTCCCGCCTGCTGTTTCGGACATTTGGTCCTCACACGTGGCGTTATACAATATGTAAGCTCCACCAGAAAGTCCCAATCGCTCCACCTGAGGTCTCGGGGCGAGGCATCAGCCATACCCCAGACAACTGAGCCTCACTCGATCATTGCGGACGAAGCTCTCGTGAAAAACTTGCAACGACCCTCCCTATGTTCACTCTACGCTTTGAGGTGATTGCTGACACTTGATGTTCGTCTTGTTAGGTACGGACCGACAGAGGGTACGTGTGGTGCTACGATCAAGAGACTTCTCCCCGGACAGCAGATCACCATTGGAAAGCCCAATCCGGCGACGCGCATATACATAATGAGAGACAATCACACGCTCGTGCCTCCTGGAGTCATTGGCGAAATCTTCCTCGCGGGAGTGCAGGTCGCCAAAGGGTACATTGGGCTTCCAGAAGTCACAGCGGACCGCTTCAGGCCTGATCCCATTTGTCCGATCGGAGAGTACATGTACAAGACTGGAGACCGCGGATACTGGAATGACGAAGGCGATCTAGTATGTCTCGGCCGCAACGACCGAGAGATCAAGCTGAGGGGCTTCCGCCTGGACATGAATGACCTTGAGATTCGTATCGCCCGAGCAGATTCATCCCTTCAGGCTGTGGCAGTCGTGGTACACAACGAGCAACTGGTATCGATCGTCCAGCCGGCAGATGTAGACGTTGCAATGCTTCATGCCACCATTTCTCGATCAATGGCYCGACATCAGAGACCGGCACGCATATTAGCCATTGACACCATGCCTACAACACGAGCAGGAAAGACGGATTATCTGGCGTTGATGAAGCTTTTGTCGAAGCCAGAGGCCATTCCTCGGGAGCATAAGCAGGGTCCGGCAAGTCCAACTCTTCGGAAGGTCATCGCTGTAGTCCGCTCCATCCTTCAACTCGAACAGGGCTTGCTCATTCGGAATGACGCCAGCTTCGACGAGTTGGGCGGAACTTCTCTCAAGCAGGTGGCGCTCTGTTCCCGTCTCAGCAAAGAGTTCGGGATTCAGGTCCCATTACGTTTGATCATTGAGCGTCCTCGCCTGTCGGCCGTCGCTGATGCCGTCGATGTCATGCTGTCTTCATCTCAGCATCTTCGCATCTCACCCTGCCAGACAATCGATCGGCAGAGAGCATCGCCTGGAGAGCTTGAATGGTTTGAGAAGTACCTGCTGGACGTTGGGCTCTCGGCGTTCAATGTCTTCTACGCCGCCACCTTTTCACCCGCCAGGATAAGTCGAAAACGCCTGACGGAAGCGTGGAACATCGTCTTATTGCGTCACGCCATCCTACGAAGTCGCTATGCCAAACAACGAGGGAACCGAGGCGTCCGTCTTCTCTCAGACTGTGCACCACGAGTGCAAGCTGTCTCTGAAATATCCTTCTGGACTGAAGTGAATCGTCCCTTTTACGTCGGGACCAATGATCCGATCCGCGTCCTCATCGGGGAAGACAAAATGATGGTAGTCATCAGTCACATCATTGCTGACTTCACGGCGCTGGCAGTCCTACTGGAAGAAGTCAATTTGATTTATCATGGCCGACAACTACCACCATTGGTCAAGACATACGACGAGGCGGATGTGTGGTTCAAAGATACACCGGTATGCTACAAGAAGTGGTGGTTGGAGTATCTGAGTTCACTGCCAAAGGAGCCCATCATACTCAAGCCCGAGAAAGAGCGAAAATCCTACTACGGCACATCCATTGTCAGCAAGATGCCAAAGTCACTCTGTCATAACATGCGGGAGACAGTGAGTAAGGTGGGCGTCTCGATGCAGCAGCTTCTACTGGGAGCCATTGCACTGGTTCTTTCTTGCGAGGATGACCCCAACGACACTGAAGTAGTGGATGTTCTTCTTGGAAGTCCATACATGAATAGACCAACGGATGACGACCTTTCAGTAGTTGGACTCTACCTCGAGCCGCTACCTGTCCGCATAACATATCCATTCGACGATACCAGACTTGGCAAGGGATGTGATGCGGAGGAGGCCGGGGATCAAGATTCGGGTACGAGCGGGATTGATACTCCCAGCACCATCATCCAGGACGACAGTGTCAGGTCATACTTGGAAATTGTGCGACGATCGTGTCAAATGGCGCTGGCTCATGCCATGCCCTGGCATCAGCTCTTGGAGCTTATGGGATGTGATGTCGCGTATCCGGCTCACCCCCTTTTCGACATCATGGTCTCGTTCCATGAGGTATCCCAAACACAAAAGATTGGAAACGTCATTCCAGGTGTCGAGCCGTGCTTCGCCTGGTCAGAAGGAAGCAAGTTCAAGCTGATGGTGGAGTGCGCCGCCTACAGCAATGATGTACTGATGTTGAGGCTGGAGCATGACACGGAAGTATTCACGAAAAGGGAGATCTATCGAATTGAGACCATGGTTCCGCAAGTCTTGGATATGTTGACCAGAGACAGTCAAGGCATGACAATCAGTGCAATTCGGGAAGCTTTGAAGGCCGTTGAGGGAGAAGTCAGGCCCACCACGGCGTTGGAGCCCGGCAAGGTGTTTGGGAAAGCGATCTCTGAGCTTTGAATTGATCAATCAGTACAGAGCAGTTTTKGTTGTTACATAGATCTAGGGCGGCTCGGAAATAATGTGGATTCCCAAATGCGGCTATATCAAAACGAACCGAAGTGTTGACATGGAGCTGCACATTCATTGCTGATCGAGCTTTTTACTTTGAGTCCTGTACTCCTCGGGGTAAAACTTCACTACGAGATTGGGATGTGTCACTATGCTGCTTGAGGAGGCCACATTGATATGTTAGGGTGAATAGGCGGACCGAGACCACGCATACGGCGCCCGAAATTGATACACAGATATGGATCGTTTTTGGAGTCACAATGGGTCCGAACGATGATATCTTGTTTCCCCGTTGACCGGAGTGAGGATACACTCAATGGGCAGAAAACAGTCACACGAATCAATAGATTCGAATTCACAAATACACTGATGATCTCGGGACTGATGACAGTTATACTCAGAGTGCTGTGCTCAACCTTCTAGCACAGACCGCGTACTATGACCGTCCAATCACTCCAAGGCTCTTGCGCGCTACGCTTGGAACGATTGTATCAATTACCGCGCAGCGAGAAATCTTCAAATCTCATTGCTTTTGAGAGGGGTTTTGGGCATACATGGGTTTGATTGTGGTTGGTAATGCTAGTATCTTCCTTCCATTATCCAGTCATGCGGCCGCCTCCTTTTCATGCCCTCCTCCGTGGTCTAGGGTTAGGGTTTGGGTAGCACCGCCTTTTCACATTTGTCGCAATATGGAGTTTAGAAGTTCAGGGCTTATTCATGTATATACAAAGAACATTAGGGTCTAGTTTTAGAGAGAAATATGCAGTTTTAGGGTTGTGTCCAGATGTTCCAGACTCTTAATACTCCGGAGGCGGGAACAGTGTAGAAAGCTATCGAAAAGTCACCGAAATGATCGTAGTTGGGACAGAAATTATTGCATATCTCCTGAAATCATGCCTTCTAGACCAATAACCATTCTCTTCAGACCTTCTTCAAGCTGTGAGATAGCAAATGTGATGCGAATCCATCCAAACTGGCAGTTACCCCAGCCATAGTTCGTCCCAGGGCTGACCGTTACACCGGCTGAGGCAAATATCTGTACCGCTCGCTGCTCATCCAACAAGGTCTCCGTTGCTCCCGGAAGTTTGGCGAATACGAATGGACCGGCAGTAGCGGGTACGTAGAGAAAGCCATTGGCTTCTAGAAATGCAGTGACTTTCTCATATGCTGCCTTTAGCCTTTGTCTGTTCAGTACTATCAACCGGTCGAGCTCCGGAGACGTCAAAAGTCCAGTTGTCGCGACTGCAGCCAACGAAGACACTTGAATGTTGGAAGCCAGAGCGAGACTCGCACGAAGTCTTTCATTCGCTTGTGATATGATAGCGCCCACCCGTACGCCACTCGAACCGAAATCTTTGCTGGTGCTCCATATTATGTGAACACGATCTGGATCTACGCTGAGGGCTTGCAGGTCAAGCTGGAGAGCAGATGGAAAAGACGATGGCTGGGCATCTAATTCGTCGCCTCCAAAGACACTAAGGGCATATACCTCGTCTGAAATGAAGTGCAAATTGTGCTTTTGACACAATTGCGCACACAAGGCCACCATCTCGTGCGCATAGCAGCGACCAAAAGGATTGTGAGGATTTGTGAGAACCAGCGCGCGAACTGGAGCTTTCGATGCAGCGATAGCGGCCTCAAAAGAAGTAACAAAACGGCTGGGAGAGGAAAGAGTGTCTTCGACACTCCCACCGCCACCAAATGGTCTAGACGGGAAGCATGGAAATCAGCATGCGGCTCATCTCAGCGCCTCGAGACCTGCGGAATGAATCTGACATACATTATCCGTACCTGTGGACGTATTGAAAAGGTCACATTGAACCCATCTAAAATTGTATGATCAGTTCAAAAATCGATGTGGAAAGTGGTGGGCGGGAATTGATACTCCAATATGGTGCGGGGACCAAGACTCCATCTCCAGGATCACAAATACAATGCAACAGAGCCTCCAGGCAAGTCGTAGCTCCTGGTGCCACCACAATTTGAGATGAGGAAACTTCATTGCGTGGCTGGAAGTATCGGTTGAAGAACTTTGCCAGGGACTCGACGAGATCTGGAGCACCGCCAAAGCCGTCCGGGTATGGCAAGTACTTGTGATCTCTTAGGCCTTCTTCCAGGGATTGTAGATAGATCGCAGTGATTTCAGAATGTAGCAAAGCGTTCTCGGCCGTTCCCATGTCAATTTTCTTCAGTTCATCTGGCTGTGAKGACGCGGTTATGCGATCCTCAATCATAGATCGAATCTTTGGTAGAATAGAGTCTACAGCTCCGCTCATTCGCTTGGATAGCCTTGCTGTACTTCCTTCATCCGGGCCAGCCATGGCAACGAACGACCTTTGGTAGGCAACGAACGACCTTTGGTAGGCAACGAACGACCTTTGGTAGGCAACAGGGGTTCGATCGAAGAAAGAAATGGTCAATTGAGTTGACTACTCCGATCGATTTCGGACTGATCTGACCCTCTTTGGATGGAGCAGAGCTACCTGACTTGCCTGACTGTTCGGACCGATGATGCAAATTATGCATTCTCTTCATTGCATTGCATTTACGACGATATTGGTTTAGCTGCGTCCATACTGACCACATTCGGCATGCTTGGGAGCTCTCCAGCCAATCAAGATCAGTCCGTGACGCAACCCGATCAAGGCTCCGACCGCGAAGTCTCCTATGTCTCCGAGCGGATAACATGGCACATGTGTAAGTCGATCGGCCCGTATATTGACATGTTCGACATGTTCCACGGCCAGATTTTTGGAAATGCTACAATACTAATGGCTAGTTTGCTGTTTCTGCGGTCCAGAGCAAGCTACGCAACAATCACCGCTCCATTCTCGCAGGCAGTCTCCTCAATCATGTCGGGAAATCAATCGGCTGGGGTTTCCGACGTTTTGGTCATTGGCGGTGGACCCGGTGGCCTTTCCGTTGCGACCGGCCTTGCTCGCCAGCTGTACACTACAATCGTCTTCGACAATGGAGTCTATCGCAATGCACGCTCCCAACACATGCACAACGTCGCGGGCTGGGACCACCAATCTCCCGCCGCATTTCGGGAAAAGTCTCGACAGGATCTGCTCGATCGCTACGACACCATCCGATTTGAAGATGTTGCCATTGAGGCTGTCCGCAAGAACGCTGCGGGCTTGTTTGAGGCCGACGATGCAACGGGACGCACATGGACTGGCCGTAAGCTAATGCTTGCTACCGGAGTTCGCGATGTCTACCCTGATATTCCAGGATACGATGAGGTCTGGGGATATCGTGTCTATCACTGCCTCTTCTGTCATGGTTTCGAACAGCGCAACGCTAAGTCTGTCGGAGTGCTGGCCATCGGAGACTTGTCAAACCCCAAGGTCGCCCTGCACATGGCATATCAGGCGCAACGCTTGGCACAGAACGTTGTCGTATACACCGATGGCGCGAGCGACGTTGCTGAGCAAGTTGAGCTGGGAGTTCAACCCGGGTTCAAGATCACGGTTGAACAAAGGAGCATCGAGCGTCTTTCCATGGGACCTAACAACTCAGAAGTAGTTGTCCAGCTCAGCGGAGGAGAGGAGCAAGTGCAGGGATTCCTCGTCCATAGGCCAAAGGCAGAGGTCAATGGACCATTCGCGAGACAGCTGGCATTGGAGCTGACCGAAGCGGGCGATATCAAAACCTCACAGCCATTCCACGAGACCAGTGTATCTGGATGTTTCGCCGTGGGCGATTGTGCCACATATATGAAGGCTGTGACCTCGGCCATTTCAATGGGTGCTTTGGGCGCGGGAGGACTGGCATCTCAGCTGCAAATGCTACCACCTGTCGCTCCCGGAAAGATCTAGACTGGTGAAGGTGAAGACAGCGAGTTTGCTTGATAGGGAATCGGATCATAGAAAGCAGTGCACATTATTACAATGCTATTCACACAAGTCTGCAGAGATCGAACGAGCCAGTGGTTGTTCAAATAGACAAAAGTCATCTTTCTGATCCCCCTCCCATATGAGAGCGTCTCTTGAGTGAATGTTAATTCATCGCTAGGTTCGGGCTGTCGTCTCTACGAGAGTTTTATGCGGTTCCCGAATGGCCTTGATCCGAGTTTTACGGACTTCTGTAAGGAGAACCGATGCTCTCAAGGTGGATAGCAATAATGTTAAGCGGACCGAGCGAAGTATAGTCGCCGGCCGAAAGCATTTGAACCTTTACTAACCCTCACTCACAGCGGAGTAATCTTCTACATCGAAAACGTCGAAAAACAACGCATTTGAGATCAACCCCTATACAAGACACCAAAAAATTGCTGAAAAAGACGACTGCAGACAGTACACTCACCATGACATTATTTCTCCCCGCAATCGAGGGAGGATAGTCTCTCTTATCTCTCTCAGATGAATCTCAAAGGACACTGCCGACCAACGAGTACCGACAGGGATCTGCCACTCGTTAGCATATCGCTGGACCGTTCCAACTCCGGTCCGACAAATATACGGCACCAAGCTTTGGAACCTTCCCACCAAAGCTTGCAGACAACATCGAACATGAAATTTCAAATCTATCTTGTGCGGCCGTTTGGATGTAAGAGGCGGCGGATTGAAGAAAAGCTTCTAGCGACAGAGGCTCCAACAGGTCGTGATGGATATCATGGGCCAAGAAAATGCTCGTCATTCCTTCTTGTCAGATGACCGTACAGCAAGGWGAATCAAAAGACTGGGTTCCCCGCAACCGCTTCGATGGTGCTGGTCGAATCTCAGGAATTACGAGGCTGGATGGATGGTGTCCTCACAAGGACCAAGTCCAACGGACATTTGCTGCCGCGGTCACTCGGTGTCCGAACAACGTCTTTGCGAACATCAATAAGTTCTATGCCGTAAGTCACCGAATCGGCTTTATCTGGCACAAGGACTCAGAGTGGTATCTCAAGCACCGACTACACTGCATTTCATTTTGAGTGTGTCTTGAACGAAGAGGATGATTCACGCGGAGGTATTCGGACGGCACACTGCATATATACAGATTGGACCCACAGGAGGAGCCGGTAGAATGGTATCACAGATAGCCGCAATTGTGACATCCGTCCAACCCTCGCGACGGCGCTTGCTGATCTACGGAGAGCGACCCACTGATACACGATGAATTCAACCTTCGGACCTATCCAAGGCACATCAAGCCTTTCAGTTTCTGGATCCAACAGGCCGTTGCGAAAGCGCGCCGCCTGTAATAGTTGTCATGCCAGTAAGGTTAGTGCAGCCCGTATTTCATTGGCAAGTGCTTGTAATGCTTTGCCCGCAGTGGTACCTGGCATATTCCCGATCAAATTCTGGTACATCATCGTCTTCGTTGTCGTCCTTGCTGATTTCTCGACGTAGGTGAAATGTAGCGGCGAGCGTCATGGCTGTACGCGCTGCCAAGAGCACGGCCTTCAGTGTGAATATGAGGTCTCTATGGTTGGTCGCACGTCGACCAAGCGAGGCAAGCGAAAGAGGCAAGACAGCTCAACATCAAAAGCCCAATTTCAACGACAGCAAGGTTCGGAGCCCACGATTCAAAGACGTGTGCAGGTACAGCCGACGACATTGGAAGCGCCGACACGTCAAAATCAATCGCATCCCGAGCATCTTCAAACCACACATGGTGGTTCTGCCCAGCAAACCACGATCAATCCTGGCACCGATGACGAAGTTTTCGGACACGAAAACATGAGCTCTCATCCTTCACTTTCCGACGAGAACGTGTCTCTTATGGGTGCGAGTGAGGGTCTCATGGAAGAGTTCCTCATGTTCGATTATCCGAATGACCCACTGGCACTGGATGAGAGCTTTCAATACGAAGCGAGCAGCACAACTCATTCGGCGATGGACTTGATTCAAACCCAGCCGCTTTCTATCTCGAAAGATCTTCACCGATACGAACGTAGCGCACGGCAGCCAACCCCGACCCCAAGTGTGTCGACGCATCAAGGGACAATTGCTGCTGATCGTCAAATCTCCACAAGCCTGGACGCAACTTATGCCAGCCATGTTGAGATCAAGCACCCTCAGCAGACTGCCCTCTCCTCCCTGATGGAGATCATCAGCGATCTCGAGGGTTGTGTCAGGGGGGATAGACTGCTCCGTATCGATAACCGCTTGAGTACAAGTAGAGCAGCAATATGTGGGCTTCGGATGGTCATTGCGAAGAACTMCTTCCAATCTTCTGGAATTTGTTTAGTGTTGATTGCTTCTGCGCTTGATCTAATCTTGGAGAACTATAGCTGTGTTGTGGGTGCAATCAACGGCGATTATGAAGATGTGGATCATGATGTACATGCATCGGAGGCGCGACGCATGGACGGTGTCGTAGAGATGGACTCGCCATCTCTTATGACTCCCAGCACAATGACACCATCTTCGGAGCAGAGCAGGCAACCTACGCGTACTTCCTCGCTAGGTGCATGCTCGAGTGGATCCTCCATACCACTTCGCATGGGCTGTTACGAGCTGGACGAGGAAGACCAGGTTCTGCTACGCAACCACATTATTCGCAAAGAGCTTCGGCGTTGCATTGAAGTCGCACGAAGCTGCGTGAAGTTGTCGCAGCCAAGCGGTGGGGGTTTTTCGTCGAACTACAATCGAGTGCGATGTTCACTACAAGCGGATACGGAAGCTTCAGTGTATCGTCTATTAGCAGCGCTGGATATCCGGGCGAGAGAAGAATGTTGAGAAGAATTTCCTCGGCAGAATCACTTCCTGCAAAGAGTCAGTCATGAAGGGGAAAGTGAAATCTTGGCTTGACTTCCGACACCATAGGACGTCTTCAAACTTTCAAAGAAAGCATTTGAATGGAATTTATCTCTCAATTGAACCTCTCTCTTTCTAACAATCTTGGTGATCATATTCTCGCAGTGATTTGGATCGAGGCTTGGTGAAATWGAAGGTTGCCACCCTACCTCAACAACAACAAGATTCATAAGGAAATGTCCGACGCAGCATGTGACTCTCCGTAATCCCGCTTTTGAGGTGTTTATAGCTACCTGTTCGCGAGCATTGTCATCGATTTGCACCATGCCACCGGGCCTGGACCGCTTTTCAAACTGCTCTTCTCACAGCAAAGTCTCCGAGATTTCTGGAAATGTCTCCGGCGGGTGGACGCAAGCCAAAGTCTCCGCGGAGAGGCGGCAGACTGATATATAAAGTGTACGTCTGTACTCTGATAAAGTCCTTGTCATTTCCCCTCGCTCAAAGGACTTTGATCTGTATCTTGTTGACGCAACTCCCGAAACAACACACTACCTCCACTATCCCAACATCATGTCGACAAGGTCCAACGGAACCGAAACGTTGGCTCAAACCAACCGCAAATACTGGGAGTAAGTCGATGATGCATACAACTCGTGTTGATCCCACAACTGACAGACTACCAAGTGCTGCGTCTGAAGACACGCAACAAGCCGCGTGGGTCAATGATCTCTATGCCCAGATTGGCACTTTCCTGATGGATCCGGAATCGTCTTCATGGCTCGGACTTCCACCCCCGGGGGAACCTCAACAAAAGATGCTTGACTACGCCTGCGGTATTGGACTTCCATCCCGTTGCCTCAAACCTCACTTCAAGTTATGCGTCGGCATGGACGTATCTGCTGGCATGCTTGCCAAGTACAAGAACACTGCATCTAGTCTTGGTCTAGGCACAGATGAAATGCTTGCAGTGCGAGGTGATCTCACAGCAGAGCCTGTGGAAACAACAGACCCTCCACTTCCGGAGGAGAAGTTGCGGAACTTCGATCTGATTGCTATATGTAAGCAGTCCCAACTTCCATCCACCATTAATCGGCGARGATGCCGGTGCCGTTCTGTACTGACTGTGTGTAGGCATGGCACTCCACCACATGGAAGACATTCAGCGAACCATCACAAAGCTGGTAGAGAGACTACGTCCAGGCGGAACGATGCTCGTGATCGATTGGGCTCAGATCAACGGGGCCACTCCCGCCCAGAAGAAGCTCATCAAAGATGTCGAAAGCGGGAGAGTTTCTATCCAGGATACTAAACACAACGGACATGGACATCAGCACCAGCATCATTCCAAACAAGGCGATCATCAATTCATGGACCCAAATGACCCGTCGAAGCCACATCCTGCAAGCCACACGATCAGCCATGAAAACTTCTCCGAGGAACAGATTCTGGAATTATTCGAGAAGGCTGGCTGCACGGAAGGTCGTTTCAAACTGGCGGAAGAGCTGTTGGAAATTCCTGGTTCAAGAGTCGGCAAGATGCAACTTTTCTGGGCGCGAGCAACAAAGATATAGAGGTTGGAGGGATGATGCCATTGCTTGGTGAATGTGAATGTAGAAATGATCACTGCCGACGACAGTGTCGATTTCAATAAATGCAATAAAATGACTTTTGATTTTTTCTTCACAGTGTTCGCAGATGTATTGGAAAGCAAACCCGGTAAACCGTGGCCATGAAGCATATGGCACACCGAAGACATGTGGCAAATGGGCACTACCTACCGGAGACTTTCGAGTTGGTGACGACATTCCATAATCGACATGGACTTCATCTCCGCTCTGCCTCTAGATTACAAGATACTGCGAAAATCCTAAATATCTTCAAAAGATCCGTCTCTCAGCTCGTAATAAGTTTCCAGGATGTCGGAGAGTTGTCGATGTAGAGATCAGCCGAGGAATTCCAGAAAAGAGGAGGGAAATTCATGACCTCGGATGACGAAGTCCTTCACCACCTGGGCACCATATCTCCTCCATCATCATCATGATTAAAGGATCAAAGCACTCCGACACACCATACCCAAAGAATCACAATGCCGGAAAGTGAACCTCAATCTCCCTCTCAGAAAGCCCAAGCACGTCTCGCAGCCATCCAAGAATCCCTCTCGCACAAGCCCCAGCAAATCTCCTTTCCTCTCTTCGATGATCTCCCTCCAGTTCCCGGCCAACCCCAAGGTTCTCTCTGGAATTTCTTCTCCCACGCTTCGGGCGTAAAAGATGAGCTCGGGACTCTCAATCTTCTGACGCACCAAGTCGTCCTGCAAGCCTCCCAAGAGATCCRCACAGGACAACATGTCCAACTAGACTGGTCTCTGTCGGAGAACATACAATTCCCTGGATTCGGAAGGAAACCTTTTCAGCAGAAAATTCTGGATTCGAAAGCTGCGACGAAAGGTGCTCATATTGGGCTAGATGATCAGTTGAATTTCAACACGCAAGGTGGAAGTCAATGGGACTCGCTTAAGCATTTTGCTCATCAGAAATCGGGGCTGTGAGTCCATCAGTCTATCGCGGGTTTCGAGGAAGTCATTGCTGATGGATATAGGTACTACAACGGCGCCACACATGAGGAAGCCCTGAAAACTCCAGTCAACGGCATTCACAACTGGTGCGAGCGAGGCGGTATCGTAGGGCGCGGAGTACTGGTAGACTGGTTGACTTGGTATGAGAATAAGCACGGGAAAGCTTCCTCTCCCATCAGTCGACATGAGATTCCCGTCTCGGAGCTGGATGAATGTCTCAAGTCACAAGGCACAATCACACATCCTGGAGACATTCTCATTATCCGCAGCGGCTTCACCAGATGGCATAACAACGCCAACGCCGAGGAGAGAAAGCGAGGCACTCGAGAAAACTCAACCACAATCGGATTGCAGAGCAATGAGACGACAGTACGGTGGCTTTACGATCATCACTTCGCAGCGGTGGCGGGTGATACAGTCGGATTCGAGGCGTGGCCGCCACCAATGGAGACGGGATGGTGTTTGCATGAGTGGCTACTGGTGCAATGGGGCACGCCTATCGGAGAGCTCTGGGATCTGGAACAACTGAGCAAGATCTGCGAGAAGGAACAGAGGTACTCATTCTTCTTGACATCTGCGCCACTCCATGTCAAAGGTGGCGTCGGCAGTCCGCCCGGTGCCATTGCCATATTCTAGCACTCTACAGACCATGTCAGTACTACCCRGACGGCGGAAAGTCGGGCTTGACAGGCTTACCATGTGCTTATCACTTCTTCCTCTCCGCTGGGTTCGATCCATTTCCAGCTCATTCTTGAACATTTGCAGGACCGCAGTGATCACTACGTTGTAGAATCCCCTCACGCATACACATTGCACAGCATACACCGAAGAAATACCAACCTACTGGGTGAAGCCAACATCGGAGCACTCCATCATGTCCGCGTYGTTGCCCAGGTCAACACCGCCCTCATGGTCATCCTGCGCGGCCACCAAGTCTTCCTCATCSAATGGAGCGAAAACGCCTTCCAACTCCTTGCTCTGGCCAGTTGTGTTCATGTGCTCGGTCGCCATCTTCCAGTACGCCTGCCACATTCCCGGAGTGATGGTTTCGGCGATTGCTTGAGCGGTGATGCCGTGGCCATGGGCGTGATCTTGGCTCTGCTCCGTGAGGCTTTCGTACACGGCGGTGATGAAGCTCTTGAGTATCTCAATGTGCATCGGGTGGAGTGGAGCCATGTCCTGGCGCGCGATGAGCACACTGCCGACCTTGTCCATCCACTTGGCCGGTGGACAGAGGAGGGGCGCACTGGTGCTGGGAGAGCAAACAAGCATCAGCCGAGCTGCGGTGTAATTGGGGAAGTAGTTGGCATTGTCCTTGGAGCCGTAATTGGCGTAGGCGGTCCAATCCTTATCGTCCTCTGGCAACAGCAAGTCATGACGAGGTGGTAGGCGGCCTCGACGATCGCTGCTGTTGACATTGCGGGGCTTGCCAGTGCGAGGGCGGTAGACGGTGAGCAGCGACGGACGCAGCGGCATCATCACCAACGGCATGCCAATCAGACGTGACACCTCGCTCACCTCGCCGCGCTCGAAGATCTCGTGACCAGGCTGCAAGTTGTAGACCTTGAACACCGGAATCTCGAATTCCCTCTTTGCCTCGCCGTCGCACGCATATTTGACCGCTGCAATGGTTCGAGTCATGATGGTGTATAGTGCAAGCAAGCGGGGATGTGATGGATGAATGCGTGCAGTGTGTTGAGATGAAGGTTGTGGGGAGCGCGCTTCTTCCACCGCGCCCTGTTGTTTGTTGTCACCGCYACCTCGCCCTCTCCCGCCATCCCGCCGCCGATCCGTGCCTGACCACCGTGAGGCAGGTGCGATGTCCCTTCTGAAATGTTCTCACATCGCCAAGATATTCACTTCTCACTCACCTTCAACACCAACACCAACACCAACACATATGGCGACCATGCAGCTGGCTAATGATGCAGTATCGCCACGTCCTGCACTGCCACCATCCCCATGCCTGAACATCAATCACCTTGCAATGACGAGCCTCCAGCTTCGCGCRCATCTCGAGGACCTCCCGCAAGAACTCTACAATGAAATCTACGACCTCACCTTCACTTCGCCGGTCAATACCATCATCTGTGTCGAGGAACTCCAAGGAGGCGCAGCAAGTCAAGCTCCATGCCCATGGAATCTCATGCAAGTCTCCAGCGGTACTAGAACTATGGTCGCCGCTTCATACTATTCGGAAAACGTCTTCATCGTGCGCAATGTCGACCTGCTTTTCACGTGGCTCGATGGTATGCCTTCGGTCATGAGACATCTACTCAAGGATGTTCGATGTCGGAAACAAATCAACGACTCCATACTGGGACCAGGGGGACCATGGACACTTCTTTTCTCCCATCGATATATCAGGGACTGGGTGGAGCGAAAGTGGCCCGATATGATGGACAACAGTCTCACTCTTGGCTATGTCGTAAGTCAATGAGCCAATCTGGGAAGCGCGTCGTTTGCGCTCCATGCTAATATGCGATAGGAGCCAATCAAGGACAAGACTCTCCCCTCAACGGAGCAAGCCAGAGTCGAGAAGTGATTCGTGTTGCAACCACAACTCWCAATGCTTGCAATCGGCTGATGGTGCAGGCGACGTTCTGTGCTTTGGTGCTAAGCGGAGGACTCACTGTCCGAATGGGAGGAGGGGCAAGTTATGCGTGCTGAAGTGAATCGGGGTGATGGAGTGTTCCATATCGTCCAATGGCGAAAAGAGGCTCACTCAATCGAGATCAACAAGCTCTGTCGGGTCCTCAAATGTCTGATGGAGTCAGAGGACCAATCGGTGCATGTCAGTTGGTGGAAACAATCAAGTATTACTCTCGAGCCTTGATTGGTATAATACCCAACTATCGAACAATTCTGCAGTATACCAGCGAACAGTTACTGCACATAAGCCTTCTCATCGAGCCTGTCACCAGCATCGAAGACTCCGTGTCACTCCATCAGAGTACACATCTGGTGGCCTCCCCAGTGATATACATATTCGCTATCATGTCGTGTCGTGTATTCGATGCATCAGATAGGCTTCATCTTGACCACGAGCAGCCAGATGTAAACGAACGCTTCGGAGTGCATCCAGCCGTAGATAAGAGATTGTTCTCGCCTGTAGAGCCGGCAGTGCAGAAGCGCTAGACCATCTCGACTGGTCCCGCTATCTTGGATAATGGGCACAGCCGTTTACATTTTTGCTGGCTTTGGGGAGGGCACTTCGAAACCGGCCTTGATCTTAACTGCGGCCTTGTCGTGCTCGCAGGTACTGATGAGCTTGCCATCATCTTGACGCTTCATTGATCCTCTCAAAAAGGCAAGAGACTTTCCGGAATGCACGACCTCAACATCGCATTCGACCATGATTCCTTCCGGCGCCGGCCTCAGATATCTACGTCCAGAGTCGATTAGCATACCATGAAGAAGCGCAGTCAAACAAAGAGAGTGAAATGACACTCAGACTTGACTTACGTGACACTCAGACTTCTGGAAACCCCAGCGTTGCCCCAAGAGCCAGGAGCATCAATAGCCTGCAGAAGGATACTCGTCAAAACGTCGTAGAAGGTGGCGGCAGCCCCTCCATGCAAGTTTCCGCTGAAGTTGCAGTAGAATCTCTCGACTCGAAAAGCAAAAACAGCAGACGATGTTGTCGGGGAGAGCTGCTTGTACGACACCAGCTTGACATCTTCCGTCAGGAATTGCGATAAGAGGCGAACATCGTCCGGACTTGACATGCCGAGGAGAGCATTGATCTTGTCTTCCGGAGAGCCGTTGATAAACTTGGGGTCATTTGTGAGTCTYGCGAATAGCGTTTGCTGGCTGTTGGTAGATGACATTATGGTGATTGGATGGGCCCGTGGCCGTGGTCGGGGAAGCGTAATCGGATGGGCGTATGATCAGTATTGTTTGTTGTTTGTTGAAGTGATGAAGTCGAGTCTGGCAGCTTCTTCTCCTCTGGATAGTGAGGTACAAGCAGCCCGTTCGTGACTGGCAAGATTACCTTAGGTTGTTCCCAACTTGTTGATTCCCGGCTATCGTTGCTTCCTCCCTTCCACGAGGCAACATCGCCGAGGTAAAAGTCTAATCTCCATKCCAAGACCCAGAAACCCCGTGGGGTAGAACAAAGTTGGTAGAAGATTGGAAGACTTCTCAACGACATCGTCTCGAAGCCATCGCGTCGTGTTGTGCCTCCGGAGTCCGCCAGTCGTGGTGATGATCGGTGAGCAAGATGCGGGAGAAAACTCATCAAAGCGGGTCAGATCGTGGCGATGCTCGCTCGTGCGCCCAGCTCATGTGCCACACGCCACAGTACAGCACAGATTAAGGTAAAGGTAAGGTAAGGTAACCATGATGTGCCGTCCGATGGCGGGGATGTGTGTGGGTCACTCGTGCTGAAGCGAAGACGGCGATGGATCATGGAGCTCTGCGGGAGTAAAATATTCTCTCGTCTGTAATAATTGTCTCAGTAGGTACTTTCGTCATCATTTCGATCTTGACCTTCTCACGAAGAAGTGCCTGCAGATTTCCTGCAGTCGGAGCCTGCTGTACAACTTACCACCTAGCATCCTCAAGATCTGATACCACTTCCATTTTCATGGACAGGGCGGCGATAGATGGATAAATAGCTCGACATGACCACCCCTCCAAAAGCCGAAGATGGGAAAGCCACCACACAGGAAAGACCAACGTCTAGTATCATCGCCTCCCCCAAGATGGAAGGGCAGTACAAGTCGCCTCCCGCGAATTGTGGATTCCTCTCTGCACAGCTCGCAGGGCCGCGTAGACCACTTTCCCCAGATACCCTCTCGATCATTTCGACAGAGGGCTACGACCAGATACATCATGTACAACAACCACCCTGTCATATCAATCATTCGTCTCCTTCCGACGACGAGTCACAACCCGGATGGCGATACAAACTCCGCCGCTCTTGGACCAGGAACTACGGACTTTTTCTCATGCTCTTGGCACAATTCTTTGGAACATGCATGAATGTGACGTAAGTGCATGCATCTAGGGAAATCATTCTTCAGATTGTGACACTTCGAGGCGAAACGTCCCACAAATATTCGCCCATGTCATCCATCCCAGACAATGCTGACCTTGGCCATCTACTCCTAGTGTCAGACTTCTCGAAGTTGAAGGGAACGAGGGCAAAGGCATGCATCCCTTCCAAATTCTCTTCGCACGCATGGCAATCACTGTTATCCTCGCAAGTCTGTACATGTATTACAGAAAGACGCCCCACTTTCCTTTTGGACACCCCGATGTGAGGACTCTTTTAGTAGCGAGAGGAACCACTGGATTTTTTGGAGTGTTCGGAATGTACTATTCCCTCCTCTATCTACCACTTTCCGACGCAACCGTCATTACTTTCCTTGCTCCCGGACTTGCATGCTGGGCCTGTTCGTACCTCATCAAGGAGCCTTTCACCAGAGTGGAGAAAATTGGRACCTTGATATCACTGGTAGGAGTACTGTTCATTGCTCGTCCGACGACGTTTTTCCATGCCTTTGGAGGTACATCACCCGCAGCGGGAGTGGGCGATATGGCGCCTTTCGGGCAGGACCCAGGTGACTACGACAACGTGACCCCTATTCAGCGCTTGATTGGCGTAGGCGTCGCACTTGTCGGAGTTGCCGGTACCGCCGGCGCAATTACCACCATCAGATGGATTGGGAAGAGAGCCCACCCGCTAATCAGCGTCAACTACTTCGCCATATGGTGTACTTTGGTCAGCTTCGTCATGCAACTCGCTATCCCTAGTGTGGGCTTCTTGCTACCGGCGAACTTGAAGGAATGGGGATATCTCATATTCTTGGGAATCTGCGGCTTTGTTATGGTATGTTGACCTTGGCTTTGGAAGTTCAGTGATTGCTAATACAACGCAGCAATTCCTTCTAGCAGCCAGTCTATCCTACGAAAAGTCCTCCCGAGCGACCAACATTGTCTACTGTCAGATGATCTTCGCTCTTGGGTTCGACGAGCTGATCTTTGGGCATCTGCCGAATGTTTTGAGCATTATAGGATCGAGCCTCATTCTGGGTGCTGCAATCTTTGTGGCTCTGCAGAAAAAGGATCCCGCGACTAGTACAGCTACAACAGAACGCGAGCCATTGCTCAGAGACGAAGAGGCTGGACTAGAGGCGGGTCGTCTTCGAGCGAACGAACACGGTAGACCTCCCGTGTAGGCCTTACAGATGAGAACCTTAGAAGAGCGAAACCCATAGATAGAGGAGCAGACAGCACATGCGCATTACGACTGACGATTGGCAGCAAATGATAAACAGAATGAGCAAGATCCTAAGGCTGACCGCCCGATGTTGAGTAAAGGCATCGCATGATTATTCAAGTGGCGTGATATGGCCGCCCGACGGCGCCCGACGGATACACATAGCAACAAATCGGGTGGGTTGCATCCTTGGGATATAATGCTAGGCGTTCGGCACTTTGATCGTTTGCCAAAGCTGCCGATGTGAAAAAGAAATCAACAAAGCAGCGTCTTCCACTGCCCTCTCCGTTGGGATACGGGCCACGCTACTAKTATTACCGTCAATCCTGCAGAGAGCACGGCCTGGAGACAGTACGAACACGACCAAGGTGTCTTCTCTCGACGAGAAACCCTCATATCGATAGCCCTGACCGTTGGCAGATGTTCGAGAAACGAGACTCAAGATATGGAAGAAGCCATTCGTTGCAGTGAACACGGAGCTGTGAGTAAAGATGCACGCTACAACGGACTAATTGTAAGTCGAGAGTCACTGTAAGCCTCYCTTACACAGAGAAAATTCGAGATCATCGACACGGAGGGCAAAATTCATTTCCCCAGACTTCGTCAACATACACGTTCACGGATGGCAAGTAGCATATCGCAGCATCATTTCATGTGCCACTCTGGTTCAATACTTTGTCTGGATCAGTCCGGTATCTCATCCTCCGGAAAAGGCCTCCGCTCCAGACGACAGTTACGTCTCTTCGCTAGAATGATCTTGGAGGGCTTGTTACCTACCGGTAGTCCGGAGGTGGTGACATCTATCAGCAAGTGAACGACTTTCAGGCTATTTCTTATTCAAGGTCAAGGTCAGAAAGTCATATCATAGAGGTCTTGGACGGCAGTACTGAGAGACATTGATAAGATGGAAGCGAGTCATATTGAAGTAACTCATGTTGCAGCAATGCCACCATCCTGATTCCCCTCAGCATTCACACCGGCGCAGAAATCTATCATCATCATCAACCCGCAGCTTGGACATCCGAACGACCAAGCACCATCAAGCATTTGGATCAGGACATCCCTCTGGAACGGGATCAACATATTGACCCGAGATGGTGCACACAGTGTAATCCTGAATCACAGCATCAGCCTCGATCCTCTTGAAGAATCCCCCAAATCGAACGAAATTCACACTCAAGCTCACCTCAGTCTCACAAAAGGTTTCGCAACCCTTGGTACATGTATTCTCCACATCCCCTCCCAAATCCGTGCAGCTGCCATAGAATCCAGTCCCGCCATTACATACGGCGATGCAATCCGGAGCACAGTCGATACAGCCCTCAGCGGTACCACAGCAGGCCAAGAGGGCTCCGCCCGCTGGGTTTCGAATCGAGACACATTCGTCTGGACAGGTTCCCAGACCGGGGAGTTTGATGGGACCGGGTTTTTGGGCGAGAGCTGGGATGCTGCAGAATGCCGTTGCTAGAGCGAGGGTGGAGAGGAGAGTTTGCTTCATTTTGGGAGGAGTTCTGATGGGCGTTGTGGGCTGAGGTGGAATGTTGGCGTGTGCTATGAGGGAAAAGAATTGACTTTTGACAGTCGCACTGCACTTTATATGTCTTGCCATCGAGTACTTCAACGCATAATGTGATCCGTAGATGGCATGTCTTGGCAAAATTCCATCGGTTCGTCATCTCGCATCCTTCATAGCGTAGGCGAGGTGGAGGAATTCGACGAAGGAGCTAGTGTGAATAGAATCCTAGAGAGCCCGTTTAGTTACAACATATACGAGTCGGCACAGCCGCATTAGTGGAGAGGTGGACTGAGGTACTCATCAAGATCCTACGAAGCTCCCGTTCCTCGATTGTGACGAGATTGTTCGACAGACTCGGTGCTGCAGGCTAGATCGACACATAAGACGTGCGAATGAATCATGGGTATACTGATGTAGAGTTGAAGTACGATTGGGAAAAGATTCCTCGGGTTTCGATGAATACACCTTACAATACAGCTCTTGCTCTCCGTAGCATCATGCGATAGATCGTACCGCTTCATTCCCAGCCACCTCCATCTTCYCCACAGGGCCATCAGAGCGGACGTCCGGTGAATACCAGCATATTACTGGGCTCGAACCAGATGAACTGTTGCCATCTGCGTCGCCTGAGTCCAGATACCGCAGCGTCACGGCGCTATTCGGTCCGATGCCATAATCAACCAACACGTTTGCGGCTGAAGTCATTTGCATGACATGTTCGATGCCTGCTGATGACGGTGACTCCAAATCAGTCAACGCGGAGCGAGGCCTATTTGGTGCATGTTTGCTGATCCCAACTCCCTTGTCGTTCTCAGTATCTGAGAGGTCATGATCGCAACTCCCTTGTCGTTCTCAAGGTCTGAATGGTGATGATCGCTCATTCGGGATCAATCTCAGTGATCAACACAGCCGCCTCATCCTTGAGAGCTACGAGTAGGCTGTCGGCGGAAGCGGGCCTTGCAGTTTCGTAGGCTTCAGTACGTAATCGCTCGCTGGAGTTTCGCAACATCTCCTCCATCCAAGCTTCTTCTTCCCTTTGGAGCTTCATCTGTCGACGAGCCATCTTACTCCGCTTGATTTTCATACCAGGTGTACCACCACAAGGACCAAGAGCAGGACTGACAGAGGCCGGGGATGTTGGAGCTGATCCATCCGGAGTTGTTGGTTGCGACAGAGCGATGTCGAGATCCAAACATTGCTGGATAAGTTCGTCCACGCCATCTCGCGTGGCCCATGCTTTTGGTTGCATTCTGTCGAAGAAGTCTTCTCCAAAAACTTCATCCTCGGAGATTGCACGAGCCAGGGAGTCTAGGAAGAAGGTGAAGCTTGGTAGCGTTGGCCCTTCCATGGTGAAGGGATAGTGCACATCACTCAGTAGACAAGCGGCATAGATGAGGCGGATTGAGAACTCTGAACTGAGGGTATGCTCCACAACGCACGCGGGACATCCTCTAGTAAAGCACCAATCTCGTTCCTTTTCGGAGGAGAGGAAGCACTGTAGCCAGACAAACGCTCCGCGCGAAGAACCGGTAAAGGCATATTCGAGGTCTTCCAGCTTGGTGGCGTTGGTGGCTGCAGCGGCCACCCCGCACGCCTTGTCGAACAGTTCCACCACGGGTACCAAAAGTGCGTGCAGAATATCTCGAACGATGGTCCAATGTTGGACATCTTCCGGACATGCCGAGGAGTGAGAGTCGCACGCCCTGGAATGAATCAGTGCGTGCTGTTATGCACCGTCGGACATGACTTACTCGTAGGAATAATATGCAGCGAGATGTGCTCTCAAGATGGTGAATCCATCCGATTGTGACAACACCTCTAGATCGTCCTCTCTCAGCAGGAAAGGTGAAGCGATGGGCACTGTCGTTGGCAACATGGCAGAAGGCATCTCGCTGGTGAATAATAGACTGGCGGTGGCCATTTCAATTTGTTGGCAATTCGATCTTATTGTAGTCGTGGTAAAACAGGTTAGTAGCTCATATCGGTCCGTCCGGAAGGCGAAGAGTCACGGCGTCGTCGATGGCGATAGTTTCAAGCAACCGGCGGTATTGTGGAGCGGAACTTGCGGCTCTTGCGATCCAAGTAGGTGTGATGGAAGGCAAAAGGGAGGATTTTCGTGTGAGATACTGTGCACTTTTAACGAAGAACGAGAGGTGCGTGCGATGCAAGCTTGTATCTCCTCGCAGATGATGAGGCAGCAATCGTGGCGGCCGGCCGTCCGTCCTCACAGCACGGATACCTACCTTACCTAGCTAGCATCGATGGCCGCAATTCCCAATGAAATTTGCATGTGATAGTCGACACGCGGACTGGGTAACTTTTACCCAGCGCGGCGGCTTCCGTTTGGTCAGAGGACGAATGAAATGCACGAATGAGACGCACGGGCTGTGAAAATGACTGCCCGGCCCGTTCCTGGTGCGGTTTGACTTCGGCGGCTAGAAAAGTCTAGAAAAGCCTGTGGGGCGGCGATGTGGCTACAAATAATAAATAATATCGGTCGGCCTTGGAACGCCAGATCTTCATCGGCGATAGAACTAGTTGCTGCAGAGAGGGTGTTTGTCCCGTCTTGCTGGTACCGTCTCAGACATGTTGTCAGGATACATCCATCATACATGTGCCGACAAACATGCTGTTTGCTGGTCAGTCTGGACGTTGGAAGTTGGACGGCCTCGACCAGCGGGTCTCACAGACTGGGACCCTTGGATCTCCGGTCTTCAATCTTCACCTTCTTCCCAAGTAAGGTAGCTTTTGATCGGCTTTTGAGGAAATTTCGCTGCCTTCCCTATCGCGTTGCTACACGCACCAGAACGGTAGGTGGTATCGGCCAATGCTCGCGATCCCCTCCGCTCGCTCGCTATAGATTGTCTGGTGACATTCGGAGAATTCCCGACATGATGATTCATACCTTGGTAGCGCCAACAACTCACCGACAGACTGTTGGAAGCAATCCCGGACACACGCACGGTCCGAGAATATGCTAGGCTGTCAAAGAGTAAAGAGWACCACGTCCATCTCAGGTACCAGGTACCAGGTGTAGATCTGGGGAATGCACCACCCCAAGCGGCCACGCCCCTCTTCACAACGCCAATATCGCCTTGGATTCGAATCAAAGTGCGCGAGCCCTCGTTACTACTGCATTCATTCATGCCGGCACATCACAAATGTGGAACAAGCGTGCCTCGGCATCACGTAAGACGCTTGAGACATTGAACCACTGTTCACTACTTCCCAAACATCACCAGACCGTTTGCTAGACTACATCTCCACAGCAGCCAGCATCGGCAGTAACGTCGAAAGTTCAGCCATGTGCGGAGAGCCGGAGCATCTGACATCCCCCGCCGCAGGAGATACCCACAAACAAATACAAGCCAGTCCTGGAGGGGAATGACTATCCACATCATGTGTGGGCGAGATTCGATGAAACGCTCGCCCTGTGCTGTATTGCTTGCTTGCAGTCAATGAGAAATGGCCACATTCCCAGCTGAAACTTTGAGCTACGATCAGGCCCCAACATGAGGAACGGACGACTGTGCGACACCTCTTCAAGAGGGAACTGCCACTTCCGGAGCGTCCCAATAGGAGTTCTATTGCTGATACAATACCCGTTGGAGTCAACCATTGCTGTGACTCAAATGGGTTGAACAGAATCTCAGCAGGCACGGTCATTCGAAGGGATGATTCGGATCCTGAGACGCGTCCTTCCACCCCAGTAAAATGTATTTGTTGTTCACGCAAAGCAGATTCAGAGAGCGGAAGGGTCTTGCAGGTCGCAACGTGATGCTCGGCGAGAGGATCTGAACATTATTCGCATCAGGGAATATCAATACATTCCAACATTTGGCCCGAGAACTTACAAAAGGAGCTGCACACCATGCCTCGAGGCATCAAACTACTATCCAGGCTGCCGGGGAGAGGAAGGACGTGTCGGCCGTCTGAACCTTTTCGGCGCAGAAAATCGCCGCAAGATACATTTACAGTCCCTGCTATTCACCAAACGGTGCCAAACACCGTTTCACTACCAACGCCTCTGCATATCATGCTTCACCTCTGGAAGATCCGGAACATTGACACTACTTCCTTTTGGCCTTGTCAACACGCCCATTGATACAGATCACATTCAGTCTTTCATGATCTTGTAAGACACGAACGTCCCAAACGAACGCAATCAGATCTTGCTGATATGTGTAAAAGTGATGTTYACTTACTTCAGTGGGCTGCCGCRCATCAGCAGAGGAGATACATCTCGCGTCGTAGCGATGATGGCTGCGTGCGGTATGAAGGCGAGAAGCTTCACAAAATGCTCCAAGTCCCGGGCGTATGCTTTACGAGATGCCGCTGTAGACGATCAAAGAAGCCCTTGACCTCCCTTCCAGGACAATGCCACTGAAGCCATAATCGCCTCTGGGTAGGACAGCACTCCAAGATGTTAGCCTGGTCCGGTACTGCACGACACGCACAGGTATTCGCAAGACTCACATGCCACGCCTGTTCATCTCTCCACGTTGGTGATTGTGGCATCTAGCTCTTTCTGACACCCAACTTCTTCGGCTTTTCTGTTCGGCTTTTCAAGCCCCTCAGACTCGTGATCAGCCAGTTCAGGCCAGGCGCAACGGTGTGCTWCGTTTTACGCTCTTCGAGAAGACCCATACCTTCCAGAGTCAGCGATGACATCTCGAACGATGACTATTTTCGGAACGCTCACCTTCTTCATCGATATAGGAGGCATGGTAAATCACATCGACGCAGTGCTTCACGCACATCTTCGCCGAGTCTCTTGCTCACGCATGAGCGCAAAGTCTCTTTCCCAGCTTACAGCCCTCGTCTACACAGGCAACAGTCTCTTCACCCGTGTACCTCTGTGATCTACGAAATGTCAGAATCGGAGAGCATGATTCATTCAACTCCTCGGACTTATACTTCTTCGCCCGACCTGCTGAGCTTCAAGTTCATCAACGCCAACTCCATTTACACGTTCGCGAATCCCCTGCCGGACCTCATCTTGGGCCGTCAGTGGATACCATTATACCTCCAACAAGCTCCTCATCTCGACGAGCAACCTCCTGCGCGCTTGCGAGGTATCGAGGTCTAGCTATGTATCTCCCGAATTGATGGCGATGGCATCGTGGATGACAACTTCGAGCCAGTTCCCAGTCCCTGCAGCTCCAAAACGCCTTTTCTTGATTACCTCAAAGATCAAAACTACTCACTTGCACACAGTCAGGCTCAATCGTCACCTCCCATGTGGAATGGATGTGAGTATCTTCAAGTCCTGATATACAACTTTTGGAAATCGTCTTCGGAGCTCCCACGTTTGGAACGTCGTCCACGGTTGGTATCCCTCTGCCTTCGACCAACACATCTCTGTGGTATGCTTCCCTTCCTGTTGAATTCAGGATGTTGATATTCGAGAACAGATGTCCTAAAATCGGCATGCAATTCAAAGATGGTATGTTCATAGGGTTGCAGATTCGCTTAGGGTTATTAGCATCGATCGAATGGATGTTTCGCGGCGATTTACTTGAACGTACTCGATGCTTTGTTCGCCTCGGTTGACCACGACACCGGCGGTTCGATGCGTAATGGAGACATGTATGTGAAAGAGGAAAATTGATGTTGGAGAAAAATTGTCTCTACTAGCACCAAAAGCATCAAAGGCACCTTGACAACGCAATGATCAGTAAGACGGGCGGGATTTGAAAATGAGATCAGCATGACCTGGGCAAATTTCATGTCGTGTATGTTCATACAWAGTGCGGAGTCGACACACCACGAGGATTGTCTGGAAGGAAAGGGGAGTAATTCTCTTGTACGAGATGGATAATAGTCATCTCTGTTTGGAGGGCTCACTGTATCTACAAGAAAGGAAAATAAGGCAATGACGGCCCACCTATACCAACCCCCTCCAAACAGGTCGTCTTTTTGAGGATTCCACGATTTGCGGATGCAAGGCCATCYTGGTTCCCTTGCATGGTGTGTATCATCATCATACCATTCCTACTCCTTTTTGTCACCGCCCTCATCCTTGCCTTCCGACTTGGCCTCCATCTTCTTCGCCTTCCCCTTACTCCTCTTCTCCGCCACATATTTGACCGATCGGACAATTCCACTGGTGAAGACGCCTTTAACCGTCTGCATGGTACTCGGCCAGGAGACGGTATTCCTCACACAATTACTCATGATTTCCCCCAAATCATCCTGTTGGGCGATTCGCCTCTCAAACTCCCCTCCCTCGCGTCGTTTAAAGGAGCCCGTGGGATCCTCATCCCGCATATCCTCGAGGATGTTTCCAAAAGCACTCCCCGGAATGCCAAACTTCTTCTTGTAGGCGTAGTAGAGCTTTTCGCGGAACGCACGGGGAAGGCGTCGGACCATGTTCCCTCTCATAACGGGATCGAGGTCTTGCTCCATCATCAAGCCATCCTCCCCGCCGAGGACATCAGCCTCCAGACGTGAGAGGGTTCCCGTATGTCGGATGGCATCTTCCTTTTCCCAGCCTTCCAGATGCGGTGTTCGGGGGTCGGTAAAGGCGACGTTTGGTAGATTGTCGATAAGTGGAACGTACAATTGGCGGAAACCGGGAAGTTGTGCGCCGACAATGTTGGACACTTTGTTTGGACTTTCCGACGCCAGCATGGAATGCATTCGAGGATCGCCCAGGTATGATAATCCGGCRATCCTCTCGTACAGCATCTTTTCGCTAAACTTTTCCGGCAACATCAACAAGGCGGTCCTCAGTGCCGAGATGAGGTTCACTTGGTTTGCGAGACGTATCCTCGGGTCATCCCTCAGGATCTTGACGGGTTTCTGGAGGCGGCCGGCCAGATAGAGCGTGTCCCAGTCGGAGAGATCTCTCGCCAGGGTGTCGAGGTGGACGACGCCATATTTGATCATGACGCCATTGACAGTGATGAAGGGGTTGTAGTACATACCGGCGCCCCATCCATCCTGCATCCAGGAGACGGCGGCGGAGGAATTGGGCAGATACTTCAAACCGGAGTAATGATGGGGATTCTGAGACAGGTTCAAGGAATGCCAGTGCTGGGTATGGCTGACTCCAAAGATGAAATCAATAACTTTGGCGCCTCCCTTTTGCCATTCCTCGACCGCTTTGGGAGGATTGGGGTGTGGGGAGAGATCGGTGGAGGGAGAGGAGGATGAGGACTTCTGTCCAAAGACACCGGAACCATAGGCAAAGGCATAGCGGATGGGAGCGCGAAATTGCCAGAGTATAGAGCGGAGGGACTCCTTGAAATCCTCGTTGATTTTGATGTGTTGATTGTGCCCAAAGTATTGATGGGGTAGATCGGAGAATTTGTTGATGTTGTAGTCGGCATTCTCCTCCCATCCTGGAGGGAGGGATTGGTTGGGAGAGTCTTTGGCGGTGGGGTCCAGAGCTTCCCTTTGCACCTTTTGCTTCAATTGTTCCGACTTTTGCTGGCGGGTGGAGGATGCCGAGGAGGATGTTGAGGAGGATGTTGAGGAGGATGTTGAGGAGGATGTTGAGGAGGATGTTGAGGAGGAKGTTGAGGAGGAGGATGTTGAGGAGGGGGATGCTGAGGATGAGGATGCATCGGAGGCCGAGTCGGAGGAGGGAGACGTGTCTTGCTCGCGGAGTCGAGGTGTTTGGGAGGAAAGGGTACGGAATTGATGGGGTCGGTGGTGCCAGGCGGCCTGGCCCAGCAGAAAGGAATGGGCGCCGACGAGGGAGTGGAAGACGGGCGACGACTGGAGGAGATGCTGTCAATATTTGAAGCAATCTGGTAGATTTGAAGGGAGATTGTACGTACAGCTAGCTTGGGGAGGGCCATGTTGAGAAGAATTACAATGGATTCAATGCTGTTCAATGATCAATCAATCATCAATCAATCGCGGGCACGCATTTCTGCAGCGGATGATGTATCTTCTGTTTGTTCTGCGTTTCGAGCAATGTTTTGTTTTCGTCAGTTTATCGTCGGGAAGACATCCATGGTTGGGCAGGCAAAGACAGAATGGAAAATAAAATGGTGGGAAGGAGCAAAGTAGGTAGAAGATGAGAGTTGAAGTGCGTGCACATCACGAATCAGCGCAGCGTCACAGCTCCCGCTCGTCGCAAAATACCGCGGCGGGTCAGCCAGCCTGTGAAAGGAAAAGGGAAGCGAAGCGAAGCGAAGATGCTCGGAATTAACGGCGTCTCAAGGTCCGAGAAAGATGGGAAGAACACGACAGGATGCTTCATCTCAGTGATCATGAGAAATCAACGAATAGAACCGCGCCAGACACCTCATCCATGGACGGCATGGCATTTCTTGAAGATGAGACGTGGATTGCCGGCCAAAAGTGAAGATCATGAAGTTCGAGCTCGTCGGAGTTCGCTCGGGAGCTCCGCCGCACTCAGCTCCGACGCGTGCGTAAACAAAGAAGATCAACACCTCAGTACAGACAAGACGAGACGAGAACAACAACCAATGCCAGCCCAGCATAGACCAACAACAACAGAACATCCCCCCAACAGCGATACGATACAATAATTACACATCATCCCGTCGACATCATGTCGACGCCAGCCGCGGGACTCAACGAGTACTCGGCGCGTCTGGCCACCTTCCATACGCCGCACCATCTGGAAAAACGACGCGCCAGCAATGCAACCAAGACCAAGAAGAAGCAGCAGCAGGGAACGGTGGAATGGCCGCATGAATTCCCCTCTCCCGAAGGTGTACGTCCTATCTTGTATCCATCCATCACCCTCGGATCACCACCTCACTGACAATTCCCCCTCGCAGCTCGCACGCGCCGGATTCTTCTACAAACCCGCCCACGATTCCGAGGATAATGTCCAATGCTTTTCCTGTCATGTCAAACTGGACGGCTGGGAACCCGCCGACGATCCCATAAGCGAACATCTCGCCCATTCCCACGGATGCGCCTGGGCGACAGTCATCAGCGTCATTCGCGATGCCGATTCCCAACAACCACCCGAGCAGCGCGATCCTCTCTCGGAAGAAATGGCGGGCGCCCGATACGCCACCTTTCAAACCGGTAATGGATGGCCGCATGAGGGCAAGAAGGGCTGGAAGTGCAAAATCTCCAAAATGGTCGACGCGGGATGGGCCTGGGATCCCAATGATGAGGGAGAGGATGGCGATGGAACCACGTGCTTTTACTGCGACCTCAGTCTGGATGGATGGGAACCCAAAGACGACCCGTTTGTCGAACACAAGCGACGCGAACCTGCTTGTCCGTACTTCGCCTTGCTGGAACACTACCACGGGCCAGAAATCGCCGATGGAAAGTCGAAAAAGGCCAAGGCACGCGGCAAGGCGGCTGCTGCTAGATCTAGTACCGCGAGCAAGGCCAGTCGCATGAGCGTCCAGAGTGTGCAGAGTGTACAAAGCGCGGTCAGTGAGATGCCCAGCATGGGTGGTAGCTTCGCCGAGCTGGGTGGAGACGACGATCTGCCAGGCGCGGATGATAGTATCGTTACCACTGCCACCACTGCTTCACAAACAACAAAAGGAAAGAAGAAGGCGGTCAAGGCAAAAGCCACGACAAAGGGTGCCAAGGGCAGGAAAAAGGTCGATGTGGAGGAGGATGCGATCGAGGTCAATTACCCCGAGCTGTTGTCTCAACCCGCACAAGACGAGGATGATATTGTCATCGCCCCGGCAAAGGCTACTCGCAAAGTATCCAAACCAGCTTCACGACACATCGACTCTTCAGTCGTGGAAATCAGCCAGATCGATGTCGCTCCCCCGAAAAAGGCACCCAAAGGTCGCAAACCCAAGGTCCAAAAACAACCCGAGCCAGAACCCGAGCTCAAACAGGAAGAGATCCCCCAAACCCCAGACGCAGATGCCATCGCTGAGAAGAGACTCAGTGAGATTTCTGCACAACTCCAAGACGAGTTGGATCACACGGTCGAAGACTACCCACTAGATCAATCGACTCCCGTCCAAGAGGCACCCAAACCAAAGCGAGGAGTGAAGCGAACTTCAGATGGCGCGCGGAAACACCAAAGTTCCGACTCTAGTGCGTTCGAGGTCGATGTCCCCGCGTTGTCAAAAGCACAGCCAGTGGTGAAGGCGAAACGAGGGAGGAAGCCAAAACAAGCTTCCACTGCATCAACAGATGCCGAGCAAGAAACTCAGCCTGTTGAAGAAGTCGTGGATATGGACACGGATGTGAGCATTCAATCACTTGTGGAAGCCATGCCAGAGCCACCAACGAAGAAGCCCAGAGGGAGACCAAAGGGCAAGAAGAACTCGGCAGCACGTTCATCCCAAGCGTCGCTGGTAAACTCATCAACTCTCGAGCCGGAAGCACAGCCAGACGAGCTGGAATCACWCGAGAATGAGCCCAAAGCGGTCCTGAAGAAGGCGAGAGGAAGACCCAAAGGCAGCAAGAACTCATCTGCAAGGTCCTCTCAACTTTCACAACAAATTGCGGACCCGGAAGAGCCAGCAGYGCAGCCAACATGGCCAGACTTGCCAGTCGAAGATCCAGCCCGGGATGAAATGGAGATTGAAGCATCCCTCGTGCGCATTGCCTCGGAGCAGGCCTCCCACCAAGCCATGGAGACCGAACAGGACCATGTCGACGAGTACGAGACTTCACCTTCACAAGGTCGTCTCAGTAAAGACAGTGCAGAGATTCAACAACTGCAGCAGGAGATTCATCAAGAAGACCTGACTTCTCTGGACAAGTCTCGCGGTGCTGACTCTGCCCCACGTCTATCTTTGGGATTGGAAGCCAACAGTACTGCTTTCACCTTTAGCCCGAGTGGCAGTGGCAATGGCAGTGACAAGGAAAATCAACCTTCTTCCCTCCTTCAACACTCTTCCACCGGCAAATCAGTACGAAAGGAGAGTACAACACAAAAGGAGAGTGAGGCACGGGCATTCATGTCTCGTACAAAGACTACCAGAATACCTCTCGCGCCCGGAACACCCAACCGCTCCCCAACCCGCGGCCTTCGCACCAGTCCCAGTAAAGCCGAAATCTCCCGCCTGCAATCAAATGTCCCTTGGAAACCCGTCGACCTGGACACTGTCCTATTGGGGAATGGAGATGTCAGTCCCGGACGTGTGGAGAGGGCGCTCGTCATGGCTGCCGGGGGAGGGTTGAGTGAGCAGGAAAAGCGCATGACGGTCGAGGAGTGGGTGAGGTGGAGAGCCGAGGTGGTCGAGGCGGAATTGAGGAGGAAGTGTGAGGGTATGGTGGGTGCGTTTGAGAGGGAGGGGTTGAGGGGGTTGGGTTGTTTGGAGGGGATTGAGGTTTCGGGATGATGTGGTAAATACTGTGAAGAATGAGTGGCATTGGGCAGGATGAGTGGGGTTGGGAAGGGTATGGGGAATGAAATGTTCGAAACAGCACTGTTGGGTTAGAATGGGAGTTTTGGGGGATGTGAGAGATTGTGCTACCTACGAATTGATGAACTCGACTGGATCGTTCCAACTCGCCACTACTTAATTTTCACCTTGTTCCAAGTAAAACAGCCTTCATCATCCCCTCTTCTCCAGCTCGATAGGAACGATCCCCAGAAGCCTCCACAATCGCCCCTCTTTTTCACAGCAAAAGTTCAAAAACCAGGCGAGAAAACGACAGCAGCTGTGGGAAATACTGGGCGAGAAAGGCCTAAGTCACCTTAGGCAAAGACACATCGAAACGAAAAAAAAAAGGTCCTGGAGCAAAGATTTACAGGACCGAGTGAGGAGGGCATGATAATCAGGTCATATCATGTCATGTAGAATACTTGTTGTTGTTGTCAGCAATTTTCTCAGCCCAAGTCACCTACGAACCAGCTGTTGTTCGTCTTGAATGGGGGGGGTGTGGCTGCCACTACAAACAATTTCATACCATCTATCTACAAGGAGACACTCTAGGCAAAATTATAATGCTCCGTTATGCCCGATAGACAGCATTTCTGTAACGTAGTCCTCGTCTTAGAAGTGAAATCGGCGTAGTGTAGGACTGTTTGTATACAGGCTTGAGGTTGCCAATGCTAGATTATCTAGAGAGCGGCTATACCTAGGAAAAGATGGACAGTGTGGAGATGATGTCGGAGCCTAACTACTACTTGATGATTTCTGTAGTGTGCAGCCATCTTCTCCGAGCTTCGGCGGTGAGTACCAGGTAAAGTAAGGTAAGAATGGGAAGGCAGAATCCCCTTTGAATCCTTTGAATCCATTCGCCGGAAATGTTGGGAATGCGTGCTTTGGATGTGTTCCCATCCCCGTAGCACCACATTTTGAGGTCTTTCGGCATGAATCACGGAAAAGCAGCACACTACTCCTCGCTGTGATGGTCCGACAAGTTGGACATTTCCCACTTACCGTGTGCTCGGTAGGCGGTATTCGACGAGATGGTGTGGTTGGGACCCGGGGAGATATACGAAGTACGGTACTTCCCCTTCCAAGACAGGTTGTTCTGACTAATCTTCGAAATTGTCGGAGCCGACAGCGGAAATCCAATCCCAAACAAGTGTCTGTAGGGCGCGTGCACTAAGCCCGTCTCACGTTAGGAGCGGGATGACTCGACGGCATCGGCAGGCAAGTGGTCGAAGAGGACAGTATGTAGTAGGGTCTCCTATACGTTGTTCAACCCTTCACGCATCAACATTCACGTACGCCCTTTGAAATGCCTGTGTGCGTTTGAGTTGTCCACTTGCGCCCTACGACAACCTGACTCGACAATACCACGTGATCATGGCGGGGACTGGAGAAGGAGATAGCGGGGCCGGTTTCGAATTCGACGCTGCCACCGACTTTTCTCGCCTCTTGCAGCAGTCGGAGGCTGCGTGGAGCAACGATGGAGGTCTTTGGGCAGATCCCGAGCCATTGCGACTGGACGACAGATACTGCCCTCTCCATCCCGGCGCCGACGAGTGAGTCGCTTCAACATTACGTCCAGCAAAGATTCGCCGAGACTGACTGCCTGAAAACAGTTGCTTGTGCTTCGGATTCCTGGGAGATTGGGAAAYTCCAGAACGGGTAGTTGATGCTGCTCTGCCCGAGGAACCCGACTACTCCAAGTTTGAAAATTACATYCCTCAATTCATCCGCCCCGTGCAGTCCTGCGAATCATGCAAGGCCAGGCGTCTCCAGTGCTACATGCGTCGGGGTGAACCGAGTTGTACGCCTTGTGCCACGCTCTTCAGAGATTGTAGTCTGGCAAAGGTGAACTTGGCAGGCCCTACGAATCAATCGCTCAATGGATCTACAATGCACGTCGTCGATGAGGACACTGCTCTGGACCGCGAACTACTGGCATCCATCAAGCCACTGGAATCGCAAGTAAACGGTAGGGTCCCTTTCAAAGACGATATTCCCGGGACTTCGAAGCGTAATGGCATTCGATTTCCGAAAGCTGCAGTCAAGATTCTTCGCGACTGGCTTGAGAGTMACGCAGATAATCCCTACCCATCCGAGGAGCAAAAGGCTGAGCTGGAAGCCTCCACCGAGCTCAAAGCCTCCCAAATTGCAAACTGGCTTGCAAATGCCCGACGGCGTCGCAAGGTGACGGAAAAGGCTCGACCGAGACTTGCCATGTCACCAAGCCTGCGTCCAACCACGTCTGCCATTCCAATCCCCGCTCGAAACTCGGACAAGTCATGGGAGGAGCTCAATCCTYTTGAGAGATGGAAAAACAGTCCGYCAGAAAATGAGCCGGCCTCGATGAGAGATATTGTAAACGCCATTGCGACCACGGACATTCCCGAAGGCGATTCTTCCGCAGCATCACCATCGACTTTGTGTCATTCAAAACGGCGCCACGGATCAAGCAATGGGTCTGGCTTCTCGCGAAAACGAGCACCATCGACAACTTCACAAGAGACTGGATTGACGTCGTCCATCTCTGCATCTAGTGCTGCATTCTCAAATGGTTCCTCTCATTCCACTCATGGCTCCTTCAACTCGTTCAGCTCCAGCCTCGCGGGCAAGAAAGATCGACGAAGGCGGCGCAGACCGACGGCTCCAGCTGCAAGACGACAGCTCACAGACGACAAGAAGCGCATCTTCCAGTGCACATTCTGCTGTGACACCTTTCGAAACAAATATGACTGGACGAGGCATGAAAAGTCATTGCACCTCTCCCTTGAAAAGTGGGTATGCGCTCCACTCGGACCCGTGATCATCGACCCAGAGAGTGGCTCCAAAAAATGCGTGTACTGCGATCTCAACAACCCATCGAGCGATCATATAGAATCTCATAACCACCGCCAGTGTGAAGAGAAAGGCCATGATGCGAGGACCTTTTACCGGAAAGACCACTTGCGACAACACTTGAGGCTCTTCCACGGCTGCGATGTCATGGTTCCATCTACGGAAAGCTGGAAGTCGGTTGCGAATACCATCAATAGYCGATGCGGGTTCTGTGGCATGCGTTTCACCACCTGGACTGACCGTGTCGACCACATCACTGCTCACTTCAAGGCGGGATCGCGCATGCAAGAGTGGAAAGGTTGTCGGGGACTCGATCCCTCTGTTGCAGCTCAGGTCACGAATGCGATGCCACCCTACTTGATTGGCCAGGAGTCCGTTTCACCCATTCCTTTCAGCGCGACCAAGCGAAATTCCGGCAGAGACGTTCAAGATGCTTCACATTTCGACAGCGGCCTCCTCGAAGGTTACACTAGCAACAATAATAGCGACAAAGCAACCTTTTGGGAAATTTTGACGGTCAAGCTGGGACAGTATGCGAAAGAACAGTCCGAAAAAGGCGTGGTAGTTTCCGACGAGATGCTGCAGAGTGCGGCCCGTCAAATACTCTACCATTCCGATGACAGCTGGAACCAGACGGCGGCAGATAATGCAGAATGGCTCGATTTATTCAAAAAGGCACACGGGCTGAATTTCATACCCTCCACCGTCGGTGGCCGCGGGGAGGCAATTCCGGAGGACCTCGAGACTTATGGAGATCTGGGTTTGAGGATACCATTTGCGATACAACTGCAGGCCTACAATGATTCCCATTGCAACTCCCGTCAAATGGCGAATGCCGCGAACATACCACAATTCTACAAGCAGGTCCTGGAGACACGCCGCGCTGGGCTGACCCAATTGTACTCGGGTCTTTGCGAGAAGGGAGTCTTCTACGATGGCGATCGGCGATGTGACCATGAGATGTGCTCGTTGAATCTCCTAGACGTGAGCACTGTCGATGGCGATCCTTCTCCCGGCCCGCGAATGCGAAGATGGTGTAGCAACAATCTCACGACAGAAATGTCACAGCAGCTCAGTTATTATACTCAAGGACTGTATCCCGCTGCCGAAGGGAGCATGGAGGGCTTCAACAATGCGAGCGCAAGAGCGAGAGGCCTAGCTGCCCTGTCACGGATTGAGGCCCTTGAAGATGATGATCCTGATGGCCTCAGAAATGGTGTTGCTCCGAAAAAGCCATATCTACAGCGCCACCGTTATGAGTTGTCTAAAGAGCGCGAAAAACTGTTTGAGACGACAACAGGCGCATGGCTAGACAGCGGGTTGATGCCAGAGCCAGTCCGAACAGTGYTGGATACRTCCGAGCCGGCTCGAACAGTCTTGAATACAGCCGAGCAGACCGTACCGACAGCACCGACTGTAGCAGGAGATGAGGCGCTCTCTGCACGCATTGTTCTGCAGGATGATGCATGTTTTGACTGGCAGAATTTCGTCGTCCAAGATGGAACAGCGGAGCTCAACGAAAAAAAGACACGAGACTTCTGCCCTGATGCTGCTACTACTATGGATGTTGAAATGACCTGGGATGACTTGATAGCGCCCATTTCCAACACAACAACGGAGATGATGTTGCCGAATGACTTTGGAATGAACGATGTCAATTTTGACGACTTTACGTTTGACGGGGTATTTGATACGCCGCTTGATGGCACTTTTTTGACTTGAAAGTGGTGGAGATGTGGTTTGATTTGATATGATAGATTTGGTAGATTTGTTTTATAATCATCTATTGTCGCTTCCTACCCTATCTATTTACTCGTCCACAACCCCTGCAACTCCCACGTGTCACATGGTTACGCAATTAGAATTGCCCGCCGCCCTCGCATTGATTGGGGCAGTGCAAAAGACAGGCCCGCGGAGAATACCCATGCAAGGCTAGGGAAACAACGCACAGTACCTCCTCCACTACAGCAAACGAGACCTTCCCTGCACTTACCTTTCACAAGTTTGCATGTCACTCGGACATGTTGACGGAACAAGTACGACCACACAGACGACCACGACCACAACTCACATTCRACAACAACAACAACAATGGCAACATCAAGTGTGGCTCCAGCGGGTAGCGGTGAGTACCTATGATTGGGGTGAGTTCTACAGAGTAGAGTTTAGACTGACGGACCATGCCATGCTAGAGTCTATAACGTACAGCTCTGGTGCCAAACCAGGAGTTCCAGACCTGCGCCTGCTTCACTACAACGACGTCTATCACGTCGAGCCCGGAAGCCGCGAGCCCGTGGGTGGGATTGCACGTTTCAAGACATTGTGCGATTATTACCAGTCGGAGCAGAATTTCCCAGGTCAGCCGGGACTGTTGACCTTCTTCTCCGGCGATGCCTTCAATCCCTCCCTGGAGAGTTCCGTCACCAAAGGCAAGCACATGCTCGGCGCTCTCAACACCCTCAACACCACCGTCGCGTGTCTCGGAAACCATGACTTGGACTTTGGCGTCGAGCAATTCCGATATCTTTCCGACAGGTGTAATTTTCCCTGGCTGTGCGCCAATGTCCTGGACCCCGCGCTCGGCGAGGATATTCCTCTCGGTCATTGCAAGCGGACTGTGATGCTGGAGAGCTCCAATGGGATTAAAATTGGAGTGGTGGGTGTTGTGGAACGGGAATGGCTGGATACAATCAACACTCTACCGCCCAATCTGCGCTATCTCAGTGCTTCCGCCACCGTGGCAGAACTGGCTCCCAAGTTGAGAGCCGAGGGTGCCGAAATGGYCATTGTCGTCTCTCATCAGCGACAGCCCAATGATGACAAGCTTGCCTCGAAGTTGGAGCCTGGCACCATTGACCTGATCTTGGGAGGCCATGATCACTTCTATGCTCACTCCATCATCAATGGGACGCATGTGCTGCGCTCAGGGTCGGACTTCAAACAGCTTTCCTATCTTGAGTGTAGGCGTAAATCGGATGGATCCAAAGGGTGGGATGTGGTTATCCTGAGGCGCGATGTGAGGAATCCTCCGTTTCTTGAGAATATGACGATCGATGATTAATAGTTATAGGTCGTCGGCGCTATCCCCGAGGAGTCATCTGCAGTTGAGATGGTGCAGAAGATCACCGCTGGTCTGATGTCTAAGCTGGAGAAGCCGATTGGTAAGAAGAGAACATCTCCCTCTTGACACTTCACCATCTAGTATAATAACCCATAATCACACGCATTGAGGCTGACCGAATGATAGGCTATACTCTGGCCCCCTTGGATGCCCGATTCACAACCGTTCGATTGAAGGAGTCCAACATGGGTGAGTGATCCAGAGATGGAAATCATGCCTGTGTCTACAGAGGTTAACCGCGTAAAGGTAACTTTGTCTGCGATCTGATGCGCTTCCACTACGCAACCGACTGCTGCATCATGGCCTCGGGCACCATCCGAGGGGACCAGATCTATCCGCCGGGAGTGTTGAAGGTCAAAGATGTATTGAATTGCTTCCCCTTTGAGGATCCTTGCGTGGTCGTTGCATTGAAGGGTGAGTGTATCCTGAAAGCTTTGGAAAATGGCGTCTCCAAATACCCAGCGCTGGAAGGACGCTTCCCGCAAATGTCCGGCATCACCATGACATTCGATCCCACATTGGAAGCTGGGAAGAGATGCAGTCATGTCCGGATTGGGAATGAACCACTTGTCCTGGATCGCGAGTATACGCTTGCCACGAGAGATTACATGGTCCGAGGCAAAGATGGCTTMACCAGTTTGATGCTTGAAGAAGAAGAAGGGGGAACGGCACGTAGTATCGTCAGCGATGAGAATGGCCTGCTCATCAGTATGATCCTGCGGCAGTATTTCATGAGTCTGCAGGCTTTGGGGAAGTGGAAAGGGAAGGGGAGGAGGAAGTGGGGAGCTCCGATGGGGAGGCATTGGGAGAAGGTCCATGAGGGCATGCATGGCGGTGTTGATGTTGTGCAGCCGCCTTCATCTTCACGAGACGGAGAAGCAGAAGTGTCGTCGTCGTCGAGTCCCATACGTTCCAAGGAAGAGGAAGAACAAGTTCAATTCGACAGAAACCGACGCGCTTCACTTGTTACGAGAGCACAGCGGCAACGMAAGGAAGATCTACTGCGAAAGACATCACCCACCTCGACTTCGGAAAGCGAAGATGATGATGATKACGATGATGATACTTTGGAAGATCCTCGTACTCAGGAGAGAAGACTTGTCCTCATGCGAAAAGTCATGAGAAAGTGGTGGCGGCTCGCGGGATTAAAACATTCTCCAAATATGGTCGAGGAGGAAAAGGAGGAGAGGAAGCAGCAAAAAGGCGACGTGGAGGAGGAGGAATTCGGGGGCGTCTTGTGGACCAAGGGAGTTTGTCCTAGAGTTGAGGGAAGAATTTTGATGGTTGGGGGGAGCTCTTAGGGCGGAGGGTCTTGATATCTCTTACCTGTCTTACTGACCTTTTGTGGGGATTTGGTAGAAAGAAGGGAAGGACGAGTTTTGTGGGGGCTGGGTATAGTACTATGCTGTTTTTCTTCGCCAGAGGGGGCTTGGAGTGGGAAATGGGGAAATTATCGTGAGCTTAATTCACTTGGGAATGAGGAGAAAAATTCAAGTCGTGGCGGGGACATCAATACGTAAGTTGTAGGATTCATTCAGGTGATGCCTTTTTTTTTGTTGATCGTGGACACATCTCACATCTTCCAGTATTGAAGCTTGTTCTAGCATATACATGCAGTTTGTAGATCTACCTGCTGCTGTCGTAGATAGAACAGCTAAGCCTTCACGTCCCTCTCATAGCCAGTTTCGACATCTCTCCTGTGGGTATAGCACTGGACGGCATGCTTGTCAGCTAGGTAGGAGTAGTAGTAAGTTCAACGTAATCTCCAAGGTGTGTAAAATGGTATGTTCATAGCTCTGAATGTCGTTGTCACATAGCTTCATGTTCTCTCATATCAAGAAGGTATTTCATAAGCAAAAAAAAGTCGTCATAGTCATTCACGTATCCACCACTCTTCTCCCCTCCCTCAAGCCACAAGCCTTCAATCCCTGTCCCACCCCCTCAATCATCCCTCCCCCGAATCCCTTGACACAATATCCCCCAACCTCCCTCACGACGTCTCCCACTTTGCCCTCGTTCCATTCACACACATTTCTCGCAAGCAGCATGCCTTGTCTTCCCAGTGCGTCTGCAGCAATGTATCCTTGCGCAAAAGCTTTCTCGCTGATTCTATGCTGGCGATCGAACGCATAGGCCTGTTGGAGGAATAGCTGGATATAAGGCGTGAGGAAGGAGATTGCGAGGAAAATGTACAGGGTCAGGGCCGCCGTGCAGCGATGTAATGTTGATAGTCCTGCTTCTTCGTGATGTGCAGAGAGATGGCCTGAAGGTCCTTGTTTCCCATCCGCGGAGTCTTCTTGCTCGTAGTTCCTCAACCCGGGCATTGCTTCTCGAAGACACAGTTCTTCTTCAATGGTGAGCTGTTGGGGAAGACCTCGTAGTACACAAGCTACTCCGTCAATGTATTGTCTTCTCATCAGATTGGAATTGCGACTGCGGGTATTCGCTGCGAAGCTTTCGTGCGAGGACAGGTCGAGTAGGGAGATTCCTGWGGTGGCATATTTCCAATTCACTCCCGATGTAGTTTCTGTTTCCGTCTCGTTGTSGTATGGTATTGCTGGGATGGTGCTTCCAGAAGTAGAAGGTCTACTGCTCGAAGACGAGGAGGAAGAGCGACCATGTTCCTCGGAATCTTCCTCCAGATTCAAGTGATAAGAAGGCGGTGGGGTGATGCTCTCCACGCTGTTCTGGCTGGAAATTCGGGCATGTCGTCTTGTTCTCGTATCGTACTCTGCCAGCGCTTGTCTTAGAGAGCGTAGCCGGGAGATTCTTCGCTGGAATAGAGATGGTAGGAAGGTGTATAGTAGAGGTGAGAAAGCACTGGAATCTGAAGAAGCACAACTCTCGTCGCTTTCCAAGTCCGACTTCTCGAGAAGCGGTCCTCGGTTATTCCATGGAAAGGTAGCCATTGTCGTGGGATGTGGACTGTCGTAGTGGCCGGATTCACATCCGTTTCGCGCGTAGCTTCAGTATGGATGTCCGTAAGATGAGAAAGAGGATGTTGAAGGGAATATTCAAGGGAAGAAAAATGTTTGGAGATGCGAGGCTCACAATCAGTCAACCTCGCACAAGATAATAAAGCTCAGTGTGGATGCTGTACCCACAACTCACCATGTCATGCCGGAGCGGTCGGCGGCCACTCTTTTCTGGCATGTGAAAGGACTCAAGGTCGGTTGAGGATAGAGCTACTCTCAATGATCCTGGAACATGTACATGGTTGTTCCTTCACCACCCGGCCCAGGGAACACCGGCGAACATCGGAGCCTCGGAACGCATGGCGTTTTGATTGAGATCCATAACTTATGCGAGGGGCATGTTGTTGGCTTGCATTCAATGTCTTGGAAGAAAGAGACAGATGGGTGAGGATCGATCCGAGGAGAGATTTTCGACAGGGAAAATGGGCCGGAAAAGATGGCGCGGCGGCGCTAGCGGAATGCAGGCGATATTATCCTTGTCGTTGATGACATTGGGGCGAATCTTCAAAGGATACAGTCATCCAATCTAACGTCACACACCTTGATGATCATCGCCTCAGAGAGACAGTGAGAGTAAGAAACAAAGGACCTGGAGCCAAGATAATACCCCTAAACATCCGTCCCCTCTCATCGAAACAGTCGCAAGTTTCGTAGGCTGACTTGCCGGGAAAGACCATCTCCATGTTCATTCACCTGAATGAAGGTCTTGCTAGCACCATCGTCATGAAGTGTGTTGCTGTGACAAGAGCAAAGGCAAGCCTGGGGTGAATTCTGCTTTGGAATAGATATGACTACAGATCCTCTGCATCGACCATTTGAATCACCATGCCACTTGCCGCACCACCACCATTGCAAATGGCCGCACAGCCATACTCTCCCTTCTTAAGCTGGTGGAGAAGTGTGACCAGAATGCGGCATCCCGAGCTTCCAAGAGCGTGGCCCAGGGAAATGGCACCACCACGAGGGTTGACGTTGTCCATTCCAAGGTTCAGAATCTGTAAATGTGAGCTTCCCCTCTCGCCGCTGGATTTTAAAATTCACTCACCTTTGCATTTGCCTTGATCACAGCTGCGAAGGCCTCGTTAAACTCCCACACCTTGACTTGATCGGCGGTTATTCCAGCACGCTCCAGAACGATGGGTACGACCTTTGCAGGCGCGACTGGGAAGTCGATGGGGTCCACAGCAGCGTCGGCATATGCGACTATCCGTGCGAGAACCTTCTTGCCCTTTCCATACTTCTTCGCAAGTTCCTTGTTGGTAATCACCATGGCTGAAGCACCGTCGTTCATCGATGAGCTGTTGGCTGCTGTGACAGTGCCGCTACCACTCCGGTCAAAAGCAGGCTTCAGAGATGCCACCTTCTCTGGCTTCAGTCTGCCGTAGCCTTCATCCTCGGAGACGGTGACATCTCCCTTCTTTCCCTTGACGACGACTGGTACGATCTCCTCGTCGAACAGCTTGTTCTTCCACGCTTCTTGCGCACGCTTGAAGCTCAAAATGGCAAATTCATCCTGTTCCTCACGAGTGATTTCGTACTTCTTTGCCGTCGACTCGGCACAGTTTCCCATGTGGATCTGATTGTAAACATCCCACAACCCGTCCTTCATCAGTCCATCCTCCATGGTCAAGTTACCAAAAGCAGGCAATTGTGGTCCCCGAGGAGTGTAGTAAGGTACCCGGCTCATGTTCTCCATGCCACCAGCAATCAACGCCTCTTCCTGGCCCAGCTCCACCTGCTGAGCAGCAATGGCCACCGCCTTCATTCCCGACGCACAAACCTTGTTGATTGTCGTAGCTTCCACCGTCGGTGAGAGTCCAGCGAAGATGGTGGCCTGTCGAGCAGGAGCCTGGCCCACAGAAGCCTGCATGACATTTCCCATGTAGACGTGTGTGAATTTCTCCGCCGGAACATCAGAGCGCTTGATGGCTTCCTTGATGGCAGTGGCACCGAGCTGCGGCGCAGAGACACTGCTGAAGGAGCCATTGAACAGCGCACAAGGCGTCCTTACAGCGGAAACAATGTACGCGTCTTGAATTTCCTTTGGCCGCCGTGTCGAGGAGCTGAAATGCYGTTGGACGGCTTGGAGGCGTTGCTGTGGAGCTGACATGGTGCTTCTCGAGACCAGACCGGCGGAGCGACGGAATGCGGGCGAGGCCATCGTGGATTGGAGGCGGTGGGGAGGATATCGTCGACTAGTAGCAGCACTGTAGCTCTACGACGATATGTTGATCCATTCGCCCAGCGGCTGGACGCGGCAGAGGGCGTAAAACCCGAAGAACCTCGGATGGGATATGACGATCTTAGAGCGGAACGCTTCCGTGAATTCGAGCATCGAGTATATTACATATTCGGGAATAGCCGAAAAAAATTATAAGGAATCTCGCTACTAATACGGAGAAAGCTTACCGATCTACGGCTTCTATAGAATATATTATATATACGAGAATATTCCGTCTTCTCTACTAATAAATAGAAGTTTCGAGTTTAAAAAGAAAGTAGCCTAGTATATAGAAGCTTTTTAAAAGAACTTACTTCTTCTTTAAAGAGGCTAAAGATAGGACTCTTAATACGTTTTAATTATTATTATTCTAGGTCTAAACCGTTTACTACGTAATTACGTAATTACGTAGTTCTAGTATATTAGAAGTACTAAAGGGCGTAAACTATAATATATAATTACTACTAAGAAAATTACTTAATACGTATATATCTAGATAAGAAAATAATTTACTATATCTTATTAAGTAAATAAATAAGGCTATAAGCTCTTAATATAGTCTTAGCTTAAGATACTAAAGCCGATTAATTAACGTAGATACTTAGTAGTAGCGTAAAAATAAGTAAAGAAGATTAGATAATCTATATAAAGTTTAAAGGGAAGCTACGTTTTATAAGCTTTATATTTATACTAAGCTACTTTACTATTAGAAATTACTAAGGCTACGGCTATAGCTAGACGTAAAGTTAGACGACTACTAAGCGTACTAGCGAGCGCCGCGTACGTAACGTATAATCGTCCCTTAAGAGGCGCGTAAGCGCCTTACTATTAATAAGTAAGAATTAGTTTTATTACTAGTTAGACGGCTAGTTAGCGTTCTATATACTAATAGCTTAAGCGCTTACTATCTCCGCGGAGTAGCTTAGTATAGATATAGAGCCTATAAAAAGTAGCTTCTATTCGAACTTTATATAGACTATCGAATCTTCTTTACTTATTTTTACGCTACTACTAAGTATCTACGTTAATCGATCGCCTTCTTAGCTAAGACTATATTAAGAGCCTATAGTCCTATCTATTTACTTAGTAAGGTATAGTAAATTATTTCCCTCGTCTAAGTACTATACGATATATAACTTTATTAGTTATTATTATATATTATAGTTTACGCCCTTTATTAGAGCTAAAGGTAGGGCTATACTTTATTTTCCCTACCGAAGGGACGATAATAATATAGCCTCTAGGTACGAATAGCTACGACTAGTAGAAGGTAATAACTACTTACGGCCTACGAATATAATATACCTCTAGAGGATAAGAAGAATAGTAACTACTTTTAGGTAGGTATAGCTTTAACTATAAAAAGTTATAAACCCTTAGGCTATTAAGACTTAGAGTTATATATAGCGTAAGTATAATATAACTACTATCTAAGGACTTAGGCTAGGTAACCGATCCTAGCTATAGCTATAATCGGGAATATATCCTTCTTATCTAGCGCCCGGAGATAGGCCTAGCTTAAGAAGAGTAAAGTAGTACTAGATTCTAAGAAGAGCTTAATCGTAAGGATATATATATATTAAAAGTAGTATATATACCTACTTATAATCTACTATTAGGATTAGGTTAATCCTAATAGCGGCCTTATATAAACAAAGTTAGGGTTACGACCCTAAAGGGGTTAATCCTAATAGGTTAATCCTAATAGGTTCCCTTTATCGTATATTTCTAACGTTTAGACAGCTTCGAGTATATCGTAGAATTATAAATCCGCGAAGTATCTAAGTCTATCCGAGCGCTACCTCGTCGTTAGCGACGGATTATAGAAGCGGTAGGAAGAAAGTAATATTCCGCGTAAGGACTAGCTAAGTAGGGTACGCGACGTCTATTTAAGGGCCGGGCGTACGACGTCTATTTAGATTAGATAGTAGACCCGAGGCGATACGTAACGAGTCGAGTTATATAGGGGGTAAGGTTTAGATAGGGAGTACGATTAAGTACGCGCGAGATTCGTAATAGCTAGGCGCGTATATATAATTTAAAAGAAGAGATAGAATACTACGAGTATATTAGTACGATAGCGATAGCGTAATAGAAGTATTCGACAAAATATTCGTTTACTATACCGAGTATCGGATTATAGTTTATAAGCGATATAGATATACCGTTAATCTAGCCTAGATTTAGGGCTATATCGTCGCTAACTATAAGACCGTTACTAAGTAGTAGCGCTAGTAGATTATCGAGTTTATCGCCGGATTATCTACTATTACCCGTATACCGGAGGAGATAAGATATCCCGATACGAGTAGTACGGCTATAGTTAGATTACTAGTATATAATAACGGGTTAAGGTATATTATATAGGTTAGTAACGAAGAGTATAGCCGGGTATATTATAAGAGAAGCGGTATATAAAAGCATTACCGTATATAGTATAGTTAGGAGAACCCGCGTACTAGAGGTAGCTATCGACGTAAAGGAATCCCCGAAGAGATAGGCTAGTTATAGGTTATAAATTAACTATACTAGTAATTTTTTAAGAGCGGTATTTAGAAGAGGCATTTCGCTATTTAGGTCGTACTACTATCCGGATAGGATTCCGTCGTTAATAATGCTATTATAAAGGCC